AAGTTACACTCACGCCATAACTTTTCAGAACGAAAGGTGGAATGGCAGTGGAATGTAAACGATACCATAGTAGACTTGCTGGGCTAATTGGTACAAAGAAGGGCGAAAGCTATGCGACTACCATGTCATGGATCAGGGCAAGAGTACTAGTGTTCTTTGCGCTGCTGAGCTTAGGAGTATTTTACTTACGAGGTTCGCGAGCTTCTAAGGGAGTCCAATTAATATTGTCAGATTTACTCAATAGAAACAAGATGAAGACGTACTCTAAACACTCGACAGAATGACTTTTATTTAGATAATGTGTCGGCCGGAATGGTATAGTTTTATTTTACTTTTTAATCTTACCGTATTTATTCGATTAAACGTCGTGGCTTTTATTAAATTTTTCGTGATTCGAGTGCGGCGTTTATTCGAGGGCGGCGTTCATACGGGGGCGGCGTTTATTCAAAATTCAATTTATTTCCTGCGGTATGGTAGCTGACCATTTTAATTAAAAAAACAGAATTATTTTTCAGTGCTTGTCTAAAAAGTCGTTTTTTTACAATGTGCTCAATTTCGCAATTGCTTGTCTATACTTCTACAACACATAAAGTGAATAAAGACTTGATAAACATCAGAACTGGTACATTCAAAAGGATCTGTGTCTGTTTCACTCAAAATTTCCAACAACGATCGAAGCAATGATCGCTGTGTGCTTTTTGAGTTTATTATTCGAATAAACGCCGCATCGTGATGCGGTGTTTATTCGAGGGCGGTGTTTTTTGATATTTTTGCTCAAGCATGCGGCGTTTAATCAAATAAATAAGGTATTTTATTCTGTAGAGACATTCGCTTTTCTCCTTTTCTTATACCCAGCATTTTATCGTTTTCCCTTTATTATGTTCCGAGTTTACGGAGATAAAACAAGGCTGATGTAATTTTTTTGTATAAATATATAATGTCAAAAAGATATTTCTTTTTATCAATGTAGTACGTAGGTAGGATTTGAATTTTAATGCTGTTGTATTAAAACTATCATTGTCATTATCATGAATTACGGGTCGACGGAGAAGTTTATCGTAAGTAATAAAAATTCATGAACCATTGCTCCTATCACCGAATAGGGCAGCGTTCACTTAACAACATTCTAAAATACTTCAAAACTTTACAACGATTTCTTAATCAAAATTAATTTTTTTCATGACGTTTTTATAATCCAAAATGTGCGTAATAAGATTAACAAATAAAAGTCTGGCAATGGAAATAATCCAATTATACATTTTCCTTTCGATGGAAATTAACTTTCAAGAAATCGATCATAGAGCACCTATAAAATTGTGATTAAGAAACACAACTACTAAATTCGATATATCTGTTTTTTTCCCTCTGCTTTCAAATTTCAAACCGATATTCAAACTCGAGAAAATAGGAAGAACCTCTTCTATTAAAATTCGCAACTATATTGCACATTGCGAATAAAAAATGTTCAAGGGATACCTTTTTCATAAAATTTAGTGCTGTGTTTGTTCATATTTCTTGGTGGTGTTCTTGTTCGGTGAAAGTGTGTTTATAACGAATTTTTTTCAAGAACACATTCGGTACTGAAAAGTACAAATTACCATATCCCATAGTTGATGCGTATTGCAAGGTACAGTTTGAAGAGCCTAAATAAGTGTTAGAAAGACTCTTAGCACGTTTTTTCACCAATCACAAACATTTGCTCACATTTCTAAAGCTCTGTTGACGGCATCGATATTAACTTTGTTATCACTCGATATGAATACAATAGGATTCACAAATTAAGTCTGGCTAAAAAAGATTATGAAATTAAACGTTTTTCCCTTGATCAAAAATATTATCAAGAAATAGGTTATATAGCACCTGTCAAATTATGTTTATCCGAATCTGAATAACAACGCCACAAGATAATCCTATTATTTGTAAAATTGTTGTTTATACCTCTTAATTGTACTCGTTCTGTTCTTTCATAATTCGAACGAGATTCATCTTGTGTCTCTAATACCATTAAGTGTTAAGCTTAAGTCCTTTCAATTAACGAGTGAATAACTAAACGAAATTTTTCCATATCGACCACCGATGTTCTATCGTAACTGGTGGAAGCCCTTCCAACACGGCCACAGGGATGTAGAGGAACGAGCACTTTGCCCACGCTCAAGAAATTTTTAATTATACCCTAGCTGAGATGTTGGTTTAAACAAACCCTTGACGGAAGCAGAATGGTCGCGACACAAATGCGAGCTGAGGTGAAAAACCGCCGGTCGTTACCGAAAAGTAAATAAATGGAAAATTAATTTCACCGTTAGACATTTGCGGGAGTCATCAGCCTTGAGATAAACGGTAAGTGTTTCAAACCCTTTTTGACAATCGTAAACTCTTTGCTGGTAAAGTAAAGTGAACTGTTAGTTTCCTTTCAATTGAATTGTTGAATCATTAAATATTCAGTTTAAAGAATATGCAAATTTTATATAAACCAAGCTGAAAAAAATCTGTTTATGTGTACCTATGTATTTAATCTGCATTTTCCATTGTAGCTTCTCAACATATAATACCTTATAAGTAAATGAAATTTAGTCTGGTGGCAGAAAAATCAAGTCAACTGAGTCTTCAGCAATCCATTGTACGCACTGGCATGAATTTTTTTTTAGGGAAAAAGAACACAGAATTCGGGAAAATGTTGTGATGATAACTTGCACAATCCAAGCAAATGAAAACAATCTAGATTCGAGCGAAAAGATTTATGTGCCGTATAGAGTACGGGTGCCTTCGCAGTACTAGCGCATTTGCTACACCAGAAGCCGAGGATATGTTCACCACGTTTGAAATTATGCTCGTGGTGGTATGTTGTTCATGTTACAGATGCCAAGATATTTCAAGGATGCTATAAATCTCCAAATTGAGGCTCATGAATCACGAAAGTCACCGATCAAAATTACTTTTGTTTCCTCTCATTTCGGCCTTCAACAGTGTTTTATCCTTTCAAAGAAGTGTCCTCCTTAACTTGAACTTTTGCATGGCGAAAGAAAAGTGAACAGTACACCAGTACACCTCTGTATAAATATAGTTAATAACATGAATTCGAATGCAATTTGGTGTCAATAAGCACGAGTAGATTTTTCAAAGACAACAAAATTGCGCGAGCCCGTAAGGCAAGAGCAATTTGTAGTCTTTGAAAATTTACCAGTGCTCATTACACCAAATTGTAAGAGAAATCATGTTATTAATTGTTAATAATGTACATGAAAAAACATCGCAGAAAGTCTAGACAAACGAAATTTTGAAAGCGCGCGCGCCCTATTTGTAATTTGCACTCGTGTTACATGAGAATGCACTCGTTTTCAGCCAATCAGAAGCGCGTAATTTTTTTTCATGCACAGTATAAGATATATGACTTTGTGCAAGTGAATAATGAAGGAAGGATAATAGAAGTCTAAACCTAAGTTTTTAAGGGAGATATCTGCTGAAAAGCGTGATCTTTCGTCCTCAACTATTGCCCTTTTGTTTTTGCAAGTATTCTTTACTCTTATAAGCTCATCCTTGGCATTGCAAAAGCAAAAAACTGCTCTGAATCTCCTTTCCAGACCACTCTCCTTGAAAGTGACCGCAAGGAAACATGAGAACTAAGTAGAGCAAAAATATGACGCCATTAGTCCCAAAATAGCGTTATCTGGAGTCAATACAAAAAACGTCTAGCTAACAAACAAAACTTTGGCAGGACTTCTCCTCATGTTTAGACAAATGCTCATTGAAAAATGCATGAAAGGCAGCACTGAAAGCTAGAAAATTCTATCCATCTTTTCTAATTTTAAACTAATCACAACATATTAGCCGAATTCCTATAACAAGTAATGAGATCATTATTATGTTGATTGATGATGTTAACATTAGCGATAAGTGTGTGGTTTGTAAACACGTTTGCCTCTTGAAATTCTGCATATAGTTTTTCATCATGACTCAAAAAAGGCAAATAACAGTCGAAGGAACTGTTTACACAAGTCAACTACTGACATGTTTGAGAAATACGAATATTAATGAGGTGTGAAGCAATTAAATAACCTTGGAGGTCTCCCCAGAGAAAGGGAACCCATTATGCTCTTTAGGGTACTTTGGAGGCGACAGCAATTGAACGAACACAATACGTACAGCGCAGATATAGAACTCTCATTTTTCAAACGAGGGCCAAGTTAATGACAACTGCTTCATTGAAGCACATTTGTAAAAACGATGATTTGCTTGCATTAAATTACGATTACAATTAACCCTAATTGCCTAAAATATAGGGACCCTACTTTTGATGGAAAAGGGGTAATTAGAGCAGAAACCAAACACCTTAATTCATCCTACCTTACTCAGAAATTGTATGGATTTCAAGCGAAAGAACTCTGTATGGGGCGTGAAATTTTCGCTTAAATGGACACTAATAATAGCGTTCTTACACGTACTTCAACTTGTTTAGAAAGTTTAATTTAACAAAACAAATATTTATTGACAGGAAGAATGAGTCATTCAAATGATTTCTTTCAATTATACAAGGCTTAGAAAGACAATCGTTCAATGAGGTGCCACCGCTAATGACAAACTTTTTATGAAAACTGTTTACGAGAGTGGAATCGAAAAACAGACTCACGAGGGCACAAGATCGAAAACAGTAAGTTCAGACATAGCTGCACTTAATGAGCTAAATGAAACGTGATGAAAGCATTTCATGGGCAAGCTGCCCTAAAGGTCGTCATGAATGTTCCAGCTTCTTAATAAGATCCGTAAATTTATCCCAAAACGGTGAAAATACTCGCCTTGGTGAAGCACATCAGATCCGTTTCAACGATCAAGTTGTTCATAGCAACTATGCTCTAAGTAGACCGTCCTAGCCTAGTAACTAGGATATCGCAAAAACGGAAGTAAATTTCTTTCATTCAATTTATCAGGTTTGGCGGTGCCCTTCACAGCTGACCTTTGTAACAAACAAGTGAAAAAATCGTGATTCCAGTCACTCTTGACTGACACGGTGATTTATTCTGAAGCACGAATGTGGGGCTGTTTGCAATAAGGCGGACATACGAATCATAAAGGTACCCAAGAGTAGACTAAATAATAAGGTGGAAGAGCGAAGTTGCCTTTTATCATTGATAAGAACTTTGGAAGAAATTTGATTTGATAGGATAATTACAATTGTGTTGATAATGCACTTTGATGTGAAGCCAAGATTCCTGAAGTGAAAAAAGTGAGACAATTTTAATGCTATTTGCTGCTAGAAGTTCAACTTTGATGATTCATAAAGAGACTAGTTCCCCTCGCTGGGCTTATAGTAGAGAGCTGACTTCTTTGAAAGCTGTTTCACCAGATGATTCAACTTCAGTTTACTTGTACATGAATTGCTTTACTTTTTCATGAATTACCCTGTTTTTTCAATTTCCTCTAAGTTTTTTTTTCTGAAATGAAGTCAAAAAGACTCGGCGCTCGTGCTTAGAGCCATTTTCGTAAGAGAATTACTTAAATTTCAAGATGATGAAGCGTCGAACGTCGAGGGCAAAGCGTAAGGAGTCCACACTAAGGACGTTTATGTAAACAAAAAGATAATTAAGACAGAAAAAGAAAAAGAAATGATCTGTCAGCGAGACTGTTTATGCTATTCATAAGTGTCCTATTACCCGTGGTAATTTGAGGAGAAACGTACAAGAATGATTTCGCACACTCAGTGAGAAGAGAAAGTTTTTAGGAACTGTCACACTTTCCAAACTGTGTATACAAAGAAACTACCCCAAATGATCAAGGAGCATATAATTCCTTGAGACTGAATGACCTCATTCAGTTTGGAAAAACACTCGAAGATCAATTCCATATCTAATGTCTTATAATGATCATTGACTGAACAAGGACGATGCACGCCAGCGAGAATCGGAAATAAGCTGTCAATATAAAATAACTGAAACTATTTAGGCCCTTGAAATTGATATGGTTAGGTCAACTAAGAAGTCAATTAAATGTGGTAAATAAACGTAAAGTCGGTTGACCTGACATCACAAACGATTTATGTTATCTTAACTCGATTGATATTGGACTGATTCGAACTGTCCATCTAAAAGACGAAATCCCAGATACGATAACCAGGTCAGAGGTAGGTAGAAGTTTAAAACAAGAGGCCATTAATTACTTGTATCGATACTGATTCATCACGTCGAAGCATTTCTTCCAAAATTTTGAGCTAGACATTGCACCTACATCGGTCTTGGTTCAAAAAGTAACACTCGACTTCGAAAATCATTTTGTTCCAAGATCCGCATGAGTCTCCTCAGAATGGAACATGATTTTCCTTTAGGCAGATTTCCATACGTCATCTTTTTATCATAATTACAGTTTGAAAATCATTACAGCATTAGTTATCGAATTGAACCTTCGCTGCAGGACTCGTCAAAGTTTTCTTGATACCCCTACCACTTGGAAACAATAATATCCTGTTCTACTTGGACGAAAAGATGATTTTCCTTTGTGAATTGAACAAATCTTATTCACACCTTTCCAAAACTGTAGCTGAGCATTTGCATAACCTTTGTCATAATCCAATATATGAAAATGCTTCACAATTCTGTTTTACCTTCAAAATCACTCCCGCAGAGTTATTACTTCTTTCTGCGTGTTTTTGCGTGCGAAACCAAGTTGTGGACAAATCACACTTCATCATTATTTATTGATGCTGTAACGCAAATGAAGTGAGGTCTGAGTGCTTTATTTCGTAGCAACAAATAGCTTGTCTTGTAGAATGTGTTTTTACATACACATAATAACAATAGAATTGACAATTTTTACTTTCGATCTTAGACAGAAAGCATTCATTTTTCGCACGGAATCGAAATTACCTCCGGAAAATGCCGAAAACTTTTGTATCGAGTTACTAACAACAAGAAAAATTACCCGATGAATTCGCCAGTAGTCCATCAAAATGACTTTCATGGAGCATTGCAAATAATCGTTAAGTACCTACTGTGGTATTAGCTTACAGATCTCTTCCGTATAAATTTGATTCAGCTGTGTTTTCAACGAGTCTCTTTCGTCCAGGCAGTGACTCTATACGTTTCCAATCGAAGCGGGCCGTTTGAATATAGACCCACAATTTGGCCATTAATAGATTCACAACAAACATTCATAAACAAACGTCATCTGTTATTCCATATCAAAACCTCCACCAATTTCAATGACGGTGGTCTTTGTTTTCTCCGCCACGCATATTTCCTTAGTTAGTGAAACAACCACACCACAAGAAATCAATAAAAGACACCCCCGACTCAATTTCAATGCCATGGAGGTATTTAAAAATTTATCCGGTTATTTTGAGAAATAGATTGAGACAACATCGTAATATTTCTGAATTGATCTCTTGGGCTTCATCTCAAGGAAACACCAATCGAATCTGACAGGAGCATCGGGCTAAGAAATTAAATCGGCGTTTAAAAGGCTCGTGGCAAAAAGACGGAATCTTGTCTTCATTTAAAAAGCAGAAAAGGCATAACGCCCCAAAAAAAATACTATGGTAATCTTCATTTCGTCTAAAAAGGAAGTAACACAACAATGGAAACTTTTCAATTTAAATGCCATCCACAGCTGATATCAGATGGGAAAAGTATATCGAAGTCGGTATAATGCCTTGCAGCTCCTAATTGAGCTTAGATGTGCAGATAGGAAAGCGACCGCCTTGTCGTCTCTCAAAAGACAGTGAGATTTAATCTGATACATACGAAACGCGATATATAAGTGAAGTTCTAAATTTCCTTCTGTTGAAATACGTTTAATTCTTGTTTCAAAGGACTCCCGATTTCATGTTTTATCATTAACTGCTAGAGAAACACAACAGCCGAGATTACCTCTTGGGAAACCGTAAGTAACCTCAATTTTTCATGTAATGTTTTCTTGGGTATCATTACAATCTTAGAAGCGATTCATCGCCAGGAACAATACATTTCAAAGTTGAACCACGTAATTTTACTGTGAGGTTTTATGTCTAAGCGGAAATTTCCTTTCAGTCGCCCTAATGCAAAATACCACTGAAAACTTAAGTAAATCACTAAATGTCCACCAGCTTGAGGCAATAGGAAATGGAATTTTTAGCCGAATTTAATTATTTTAGTTTTGTGTCGATTTTAATCTCCTTCTATAGTATACGCGCTGTTTTCTCGCTCAAAAGAGAGAATAACAAACAAAAGCCCTGCTTTGCAAGGAAATTTGTTTTACACAGTGGTTGTTTGATGCAAATTGCGCAAAGTTTATGAGAGATGAAAAGGGCCAGTCATTGCGGGAGGCCAGGTTCACAGAGCAAAGCAAATAAGAGTAAATCCGATCAAATACAGTTAAGTCCTCTAAGTCTCAGGGTCTTGACATGAATTGCCAGTGCCGAACTGAATTTAGAGAAGAATAACCTTTTCCGGCGCTTTCATGAGCTACCAGGAATTTTATTAGATGATGCCTGGAGATGCTCTTTATTAGGGTAATCGGAGGTTTTCTTTTCTTTGGTTTTATTTTTCTGAAGAAAAATAAAAACAAAAGAAAAGAAAGAAACTTTTTTTAAGACAAACTGTCCTTCCACTCCGATAACCGCAAAGCAGGGTGAATAAATTGAGAGCATCAAAAAGAAACCGAGATATCCAAGTCAATCCACTTTAAAAGTGTGTTTTCATCTGAAATGTCGTTTGAGTTCTTCGTCAGAGAAAAATTATACAAGCAACGATTATTTTTTTTTTTGCTCAATGCACTAATACCTAAAACAATGCGAAAACGTTTGGATCTGATGCGTAAAGAACCAAGTTGTACCCGTCTATATCACTTGGTTTTAACCTTCCTTGCAGTGCTTAAGTAGTAATACAATTGCAAGAGATTATCTTCAAACACTATGTCATAACTTTAATTTTGCCTTGATAAACAAATGAACAACGTAATACCAAACAATAAAACAAAAATCCATCATGCTTCAACTTGTCACGATTGCTATATACACTGGCATGTCCTCAGTGGTTTTGCTTTTTAATATAAAAACACATTTAAAATGTCAAAAAAAATAAAAACGATTTCAGTGCAAGACACAGAGTAATCAACAGCAGTAACTACGAACGTATTAATTTTTTTCTCAACTTTGGTGGGCACGCATGCGCAAGGCCTATTGAATTGACTAATCTGGAGTCGTCTTGCTATGCTTATGAAGAATTCGCTGTGTCGCTTCACATCTAAAGCAGTAGTGACAGTCATTACCCCGTTCATATCAATCCTCATTATTCATCATACGCCCGAATGCTCCTCATTATTTTTTCAAGGATTATCCTTTGGCACGTCTTGACAACTTATTTCCTAAGGCATTGAAAAAAAAATCGAAATTGTGGTGCTGTTATTTACTTCGGCCATTTTTCCCAAAGATTAGAAACACAAGCAGTACATAGCTCTTGCATAGAATTTCAGGAGAGTAATGTCAAGCAAATACAGAAAAATTAGAACTTGGCATCTGACGGGCGGGCGATCAATGTCTGGTTCAAGTTCCGTTCTCAAATAAACTCAGTTGGGGTGTGTGAAAGGAAGTAGAAGATTTAAACAAACATCTAAATAGCTTCTTGGTAAAAATTAAGGAATTCAGCAGAAAACAAAATGAAACAAAAACATAAAACTTGACTGGTAAAAAAAGGCGAGTGGAACAGAGAACCAGTCGAAATAACGCGATCTTTGTTTCTAAAAATTACCGTTGTAAAACAAACGATAATAAAGTTATTAACTAATGAATTGTTCGGCTTCTGTACGCTTGCTTAATTAATGGTTGATCGATCGGAGGAAAGACCAAGAAAATTGGTTGTGTCCGACGGCCTGTCGACCGGTTGTCTAGTTGGTCAGTTGTGAGCAACTGGTAGGTTCGTTTTCCAAAAATCGGTCGGCTTTTTCGGCTGCATTGTTTTGTTTTGTTCATTGTTTGGTTCATTTCGATCAATAGCTTGTTTGGCGGGTCTTATTTGATCAATTTATTGCTCATCTGGTCGGCTGAGGAATTCGTAAAAGGGCAAGTTAGACGACCAATTTGTTCTGTCGATGGGTTGGTTGGTTGCAACTGGTTATGCGTTTCGTTTGTTATTCGTAATTCTCTACGTCAATAGGATACAAGAACTTCGAAGCAGAACATGCAACCAATGGGAATTATTAAAAATCTGACTACAAAACGTTGGTTTTCACTCAGTTGAATAGGCTCGCTCGGAGAAAATTCTGGTACAAATTAGCAAGTCTCACATCCCCAAGAAACTTATCAGCGTCATCAAAACTCATCATTTCTAGTTCTTTTTCGGCGCCCACATTTTAAGTATTTTCCTCGGGCAACTTTCGATAATATTTTGCTATTGTTAAAGGAATGTCATCTGCAAGATTTTAGAGTTAAATTTGAATTAGAACTTGATTAAATTCGAATTCAACTTTAATCCACTTTAGTTAGAGTTTTGCCTTCATGTAATTAATCATCTTTGGAATGAAAAATTCACAGCTTTCGGCAGTTTCTTTGATACCCAAAATATCACGAAGATAAAAAACTAGATCTGCAGTGGAAGATAAAAATTCATAAGAGTAATAATTTTCAATTCTGAATTTTTTTAAGTGGTCGTCTCAAAGGGAAGATGAAAATTTTTCAAATGTACACAAAAATGTTAAAAAACCGCAGTTGTAAATATGATAAATCACGTGTACGGTCGTGTTTTATCAACATTTGTATTTTCATTCAGTCATACATCGCTAAAAATAGCTTGCGTGCGCCCGAAAACATTACAGCACAATTGTAGTTTTTATCACTTTGCACCTTTAGACTCCCTTAAAGTAATTTCACAATCCTGGCGACAAATAGCCCCGGGTATCATAAGCTTGAGTGCATTTAGATAATCAAACATTAATGCTAGTACCAAGCTTGAGGTCGTCCTGAAAGGGACTCACTGCATGAGACCAAATGGTATCGTTAAGGAATTAGTACTTCCTTCGGGCTAAGATAAAAACTTTACATTTCAATCATATGATTCTCTTTTGACAAAGATATTCACAAAATGGAAAATTCAGATTTTATTATCTACACCAAATTCACTTCTTCAGTCTTCCATAGAATTGATAGTTTTTGCATTTGAAATCGAAATTTACAATTTTTTTCGATATTTACAGAAAACGTCAAATTATTATGACTGGGACACCATTACAATTATCTTATTTTATTGGATCGTGGGAAACCAGACTTTAAATTTCAAAGACATTATTAATTAGATTAAAGGAAGGTATTCTCCTTCGATGCAATTCCCTCGAAGAGTTAATTTCGTGTAGTTTTTTCCACTGACATTTGTCTCACTTAAAGAGCGTTTTAAAATATACTTTCTATTTCTACTCACGAAGTTACGTTAGACAACTAAAGTTAAACATTTTAGGTACCAAACGATACTGTTTCGCACCATAATGTCATTAACCTTTATTGGTTTATGTGAAAACAGATTCCGCACTTCCTTTTCCCCATTTACCTTACTTCGTCTTCAAAAATAATTTCTTTTTCCACTTTTAGCGTGAAAAGAACTTTTCATTTCAAAGGTCATGTTTTCTACTGAAAAGAAATTCAATTAATAGGAGGGCCTTTTCCTCCATCACATGTCTATCTTGGCATATGCATAAAATAAAATATAGTTTTCATTGTACTCCGGACAAACAATTACTATCAGATCAGGATGTTGACTATTTTGGCTTGTTGTTGAACCTTCTGATCGTTCTGGTAACTCTACGAAGATACAGATTGCATGAAAGCTATCTATAGCATGAGATTAAAATGTTTGAGGTTCCCATTCAACATTAAATTGGCGCCTAAAGCCCCTTCAGCGCCACTTTTCCAAGTCGGTAAATTAACTATGCTTGTCACGTTCATAGCGCTCAGTCCTTTGTTCGATCGACATTAATTCAATAATCAATCTTTCACACGAACTTGGAAATCATGCACTAAAAAAAAGGCCATCAAGCTCAGCAATGCATCACAAACCTTTTCACTTCATAAAGGATACATGTCGCAAATAAAAGGTTAAAAAAGTCATATGTGAAAACAAGGTTTCAGCTCTTTCGTGTGAAGAAAAGAAAATTTAATTTTCCATCATTGCGTTTTACGCGTGAATCCCACAAGCCACGTTCGAAAAAAGAATAGATTAAATTACGTCACCAAATGAGCGGAAAATCCCTGCCCTCGTAACTCCAGTGTCTTTTAACAACAACCCTTATTAAGGACAACTCTCTTCGAAAATATCGAGTCATGCAAATTTTTAATTAAATTTGCCAGAAAACTTAAGAATACATTCAAAGATAATTTTTAACAAAATGTTCCAACTTAAAGCGGTTAAATTAAACCGAAAACGATGGAAAGCTCAACTTTTATTCAACAAAATACATTTTGAACCAATTGCTCATACACTTCCAAATTGGACAGAAGCGTTTCCTTTCTAATTCTTCCCTCCTTCAGCTATTCAAAGTATATATTTAATGACAAAAAAAACAATTACTGAGGCTTATTTTTTATTCAACAAAATACGTTTTGACCCAATTGCTCATACACTTCCAAATTTGGTCAGAAGTGTTTCCTTTCTAATTCTTTCCTCCTTCGGCTATTCAAAGGATATATTCAATAACAAAAAACAACAATTACTGAGGCTTATTTTTTCATTAAATCTGACGTAGCTATAGAATTCAGAATTAACGGTATAGAAGCACGAAGAATGAAACACACGTCAAATTAACTCAATGTAGCACGCAACATTCATTTGTGACCATGTTTATAAAACATGAACTTTTTGGAATCAAGTATTCTGCGATGTAAATAAGGCTTAGGTTACAAAGCAGTTTAGACAGAGAGCCTGTTTTTTCATCAGATGATTAAAAATTTCCATCTAACTGCCGAGTGACAGTATATCAGGGAAGCAACAACATTGGTGATGAATGTTAACAACCTAAAAAAGGTAAATACAGCAGTAATGATCTCTAAGGAAAAAGCACAGAGAATTTAATACTTGAACATGGTGTATTTTATGTTTTATCTGCTTATTAAGGTAAGGCATATTACTGCACAACTGATTTTCACCCATGTGACACTGTTTTTGAGTTCTCGCAAGAGAAATGGATACTGCAAATTTCTGCCTAAAAAATTAAACCACTTTGAAAGCTTGTAGGCGTCTATTAGTAATCCGCTAGCGTTTATACTCAGTTTTCACCACGATTTATTTCACTTTTTACCATACAAAATTTCCTGAAATATTATACTTCACGTTTGTTACCCATTCTCTTTAGGAAAAGCATGCCTCTAAAAATTGCTGGTTTTTTTCTACCAACATACATTGTGAGAAATTAATTCAAGGGAAACATTAAAAATTTATTTTGTCAAAATGAAGGCCAGTATTGCGTGCAATGTACGATGGGGAATATACATTGAATCGGGCATTAAGAAAATGGAGTTTCAGAGGTCCGTTGATCACAAGCATTTGAATCGAGTACAATTTGTACACTATCAAAACACAGCCAACAATACCTGTCATCAAAATCCGATCAGCATATGTCATTTGTTGCAATTATTTCCATGATAAACTGATTAAAAATGGTCGGAAATTAATCAAAAGACTGTGCCACAAGAAATTACCCAAACTCCAACAGCCGCTCAAGTCTCATCCCTGATATCATTACAACTAACATAAAGCCTCAAAGAGAAAAAAATTTTAAAAAAAAAAAAAAACGGTTTGAATCGAGAATATCTACGCGTGGGATTACAGAATTTTGGATGGATATAGTTCAATCATGATGCAATTTAAAATCAAGAACTTAGTTTTCATGCAAAGACAAATGCTCCTACTTCATATGATTAAACACTACCAAGAATGGCTATTGGTCGAAGTCCTTCATCCATGTACATTCCAGTTATCTTTCATGATGCTAGCTAACGATCAGCAGATCATTAACATCAGTTAAAATTCAGTTCACGTTCAAAGGATTTGTCCAAACTCAATACTGAGGGTCATCTATTGTGAGTTTATCGTAACCATACTGAGGGTTATCTTTTGTCCTAACAGTCAATCATGAACGCTGCTAATTCTTTCTGAAATGAGTGACCTTCAGGCCATGTTGACACAAACATCCAATTTACAATTATTTGTATATGTGCAAGGTTTCAAAGGAAGGGAATTATCATTATTTGCATTTTAACACAAAAAACCAGCGCACTTCACTGAATAAAAAGATACAAATACGTAGCCATAGTGTTTTAATATTACTTATAGTGATGATATTTTCTCGTAAGAAAATCTCCTTAAATGACCCTTCAGAAAACGGTTATTTTAACATGGTTCTTCATAAGGATAATCATTTTAGTGCAGTCAATCCGCATCTTTCTGAGTAAGCTTCTGTCTGGCTATGAGGAAGAACCAATCTTGATCTAAAAATGCTAAATGTGCAAGAAACAATTCATCCGGACTTCGGGTGGCAGTTTTAAAATATTTCTAGAAAAATTCAAAAATAAATCTACGATGATAAGAAAAATTCACATTCCCCTTGAATCTTCCCAAAAGGGGTAGCGCTCTTGTCAAAATGTTTTCCGATGGAAATGGGTTTTCAGGCCATGAAATTAATTATCATTCATAACGCTAAAATTTGGGCGGAAAGGGCGCCAAAGAAAAGACAATAGAGCTGAAACTGAACACCAATTACAACTCCAGGACTAAAAAAACTGCTATTTCGTCCATTAAGCAATTATGGCTCAAAAGCTTGCACTTCAAGAATCTCTACTCAAGTTCCACAAATGAACGCTCAGAAAATGACTGATGCCAATCCTTCTTTTGTGCTCGGCGCTCTGATGTCTTCCAAGGATAATCGATTCATAAACAATGAATACTGCACAAATTGTTTGTAGTATTTAAGTTGTCAGCACCTGTCCTTTTCTCTTGTTCGCCTAATATTGGATCGACGTAGTGCGATCATAAAATTTGTTTAGCTTGGTCACCAGCAAAACAGTATTTTTCGATATTTACCGCCTAGTAAAATCGCCATCAAGAGTGTATCAGTCACTCGTGGAGTGAAAAAAATGATCTTCAATCAAGGTATGCGAAGTTGTTCTCTACAATCAAATCCAAGCTTTTTTTCTGTCAATACTGGGTTATGCGCTTTCCGGTTGGAGAAAACTTTACTAGAAAAGGTGTTTCCTTTTCAACTATCCAAAGCGTCTTAATGAAATTCTCTTCTTTAATTACGAGAGAAGCACGGTCAAAAGTTTTCTCACCTTTGTATTGAAAAGGGAGTCGCTTGACAACTTAGTAGTGTTACAGAGCAAGATCTCTCATAAACTGATTGTATTAAGTATAAAAATAAATGCATGTCTTTCGTCTTTCTAAAATCGGCATATGTCCTTTAAATCCAGGTTTTCTGGCCAGGAATAATTTTAAATATTTCGACGAAATTTTGCCTTTGCAGCAGCGCAATTCGAAATTATAAAAATTGTCCAGTCTTCGTAAGAAGAAGGATAGCAAAAACCATGATAATTCTTAAATACAAATTTTATTGAACAATTTTTCTCAGGAAGGATGAGGTAGCCGGCAAGCAATATTCTTTATTTGTAAAAGAATAAAAACGCATTACAGTTTAATAATATTACGCCTCGAGAAAGGGATTAATGCAAATGTTTTTTTTTTTTTTTTTAAGTGACAGTGTTTTATTGCGGCTTGAAGCTATGACAGAAAAGATCGTGGCTTTAAAAATGTGAGAAAAAACCCTTGTTAAGGCTCGAATACTGTTAACAAAGTGAAAAAACGGTGGTTATTGGTTCACTTGGTCGAATGTATAGAACAAACACATTACCGCGGGAAACCTCACTCTCCGTGCACCACCTTCTAATGAACCCCACAACGGCGAAATTTTACACCACAATGAACCAGCGAATAATTCAGCTTGAAAGGAAAGCAAAATATCCCTTTTATAATTACAAGGTAAGCTGAGTTATTCAAAATATTCGAATCTGAATGAGAGGATCTCAATCAATCCTCTTTACGGTTGTTAAAAATGGAAACTGGCGGACAGTTCATATGCAAACTGAAAATGATTCTAATCAAATTTTATACAATTGTCGGAATTAGCGAAGCGGCTGCAGGATTTTCACTAATCTGTCATGTTTCTTGAACTGGTCCTCATAAAAGTAATTTTCGACCCTATGTTTTTGTGCTTCTTTCGACAACAAATGGGTGGTCTAATATAATAATGACGAGTACATGAAGAGAAAATGGATCTTTAACGAACCATCAATGGAGCAACTGATTGGAATTAATTTCGACTAGGACTACGGAAGTCCTAGGGCTTTCATTTAAAGAGCCACTGTCAAATTACGCCTCATTTTCGTCGCGTTTTTCATTAGCCAGGATGTATGGTAACAAACTATACTCAGGACTGGCAAGTTTGACGAGGAGAATCAGTAAAATTGACGGAGAAATCCCCATTCACGGTGGGAATTTCTTAGTTAATCTTCTATTGTAAATTCCTTTCAGTCCTAATCTAGGGCGTGTTCCAGAGTACAATATAGGTGTTTACTTCGTATTAACGCTGCGTACGGTTGATTCTCAATTTCCCGATCAAAGGTTGATCAGGAAACTGAGAGTACTAAAATGACATCTCCCTCACAGTTCGGGCTATTCGAAATAAAAACACGACCATGAAGAGGTCTTACCTTAAGGAAAATCAATCAAAAACCTGATCCGTTTTTTTATGAAATGCAAGGATAAGAAATTTAGGTAAGATTTAAGTTGTTTGCTTAACAGCGCCACAAAAAAATACTTGATATGTACTTCTCTTCTCTGCACTAAAGTGTGCGTATTTACGTTAACGAAAGTTCTACCCAAAAAAAGAGAAACACTCTTAGAACCGTTAAGAATACACGATAATATCCATTTACTTAATCACAACTTTTAAATGCTGTCATAACTGCTAGAGTTAGGAGACATAATTACATCTTCGTTTAAATGTCCAACAGAAACGTGTCCTCATCTAGATCCAAAAAGTTGCTTTCAAAACACTGCATATTACTTGGGTTAGTAGAGCCCATTTTTCCTCTTAAAGACGAAAACTGTAATCTGAATGTTTGAATACAAACCTAGCTTGTTTGTAAAAAACAGCTCAAGATGGAAACAGGTGGAAAAAGTGTCAGAGGTACATCGATTTGCGATAAGGAGTGATTGCTTCACCATTTATTTACGCATTATTGCTGTTTCCGATAACATTTATCAAAATGAGTTAAAGCCTAGTCGATTAAACCTTAAACTGTTGGGTTGCTCAATCAAGTCAATGCATTTAAAAAAATATATTTTAGTAGACTAGATAAAACTAATTCTATACCATAACGATGTATTTGGAGTAAACACGGGCTTTGATCAGTAACAGGTTTCACCATGGCAACACATTTTAAAAGTTCAAGAGTAGAGTGCTTATAACAATTATCATGCGACCAGTTTTGTTATGTTTTCCTTCTAATATAAAGACAAGGCAGATAATTACTGTTAAGGCTACAACGGCCGGCCCAAGTCCCTCCGTGCATGAAGTAGAATTTATAAAGTACGGGAAACTGTCTGAGAGGAAAGAAAACTTCGCTAACCGCAATTGAATATGCTGTTCACATTGAAAAGGAATCTTACTGTCTTTAATATAATTTTATTTATATATTATTCCTTTCAAGTAGAATTCAAACTCACTAGTGAAGTGAATATAACTTAAAAAGCTGGGTTCTCTGAAATGTATGCTTAAATTAAAGCATATGTTTACTTTACATTGAGAGAATGGAAATCATTAGCAATGATATCGAAAATTTTTCTTAATGTAAGCAAACCAGGGAAGTTAGGATTTATTATTAAAAAAAAAAAAGTATTCTTTTCAATAATTCAGACGCCAATGAAAATGATGGAGCCAGTAAACGGGGCGTTAAAAATAGGAAAACTTTATCGGCCAGAACCTTGGCGCCTTCATTTAATTCACAGGAGGCCTGTTGTCGCATCTCACTCTGAAAAACAGTGTCGCGAAAGGAATAGTGCAGCAAGAATTGTCTGTCATATGAGAAAAATTGAGCGGAAAGACGGATCATGGATGATAGGATTTCTCTTTTGCTAGGTACTTTCTTCTTCCTCTCCCATCTTATTTCTTCGATCCTACTTCACAGTTTGTTGCACAGAAGCACGGTGAGAGGTAACTTTATTTTCCATCGTAATAAAAATAACTTAATTTATTTTTTTCTCAGAGGTGAGAGGAGTGCTTTAAGCGGTCCGTATTTTCCTGTCTCTGCCCACGGGCAACGGTAGCGCATTCGTGAGTCGCCGAGTACATCGTTGCCATTTTTCATAAATATGTCTCGTTTCTCCGGCTGGGCAGTATTTTTAAGCAAAGACGTCGGTCACTACCTCAAGCCGATAAATAACTTATCAATCCTCTCTTTTCTCTCTCTCAAATCACTTTGGTTGACAGAAAAATATAGGTTTCAGCTTCAAAATAAAAAATTTGAATTTACTTACAGTTACTCTCCTCGCCGTTTACTCAATGAACAAAGGTAAATCTTCGTACATGAAGTAATCATCGATGAGAGTGAATAATACTTTCCGTTCGATCACTGACTTTTTTAAGAAAACATTGTCGTGACAGTCCTTGCCAAACTAGTTTCGCTGTTTTTCAAACATGAACGTGCGTTTTTTCCTCTCTTACGCCCTCTCAAATTGGCAGGTGACGGATTGTGACAGATACTTGTAAAAATAATGTTTCAAAGTTTATTTGGAAGTCTTTTAAATCACCTTTATCATTACACAAGTGAAAATGTTGCGGTGAAGCATCTCTCTTTAATTGCATCACCCCTATTTTAACTACCATTTACTCGCTCAAAAATTGTTCAGTTTATGGTAGATCTCGACGTATTTACAGCCCTAAGTCATTCGGGTTCTTTCGGAAAGAATTTCGTTAAGTTTAAAAAAATAAATAATTATGTTATTTATATGCTGTTTTCACAGTTCCCTTGAAAGGTCTAAAGTATATTTTTCTTTTAGATTCGAAGAAGTTTTGCACGGAACCGGGAAAAACTGAAAATTTATGCATATTGATTATTTAGCGGTTTAAATAAAGAAAATATGACAATTAGCTCACGGAGATAGCTGTACCTTCAGGCTAAATGAGTGTATTAAAAATTTAAAAATAATATTTATTTGGCACCAGCAAATAAAATGTATAACTGCGAGGGTTACATGAAAAAAATTTTTTTAACCAATCCTTATTGGATGTATCCTCCAAAACTTGCGAGATGAAAATTAGTATCCAGCTTCAAGTTCAAATTAGATGTTAATGTTTAGTCCGCTTGACATAATTTTGTGAACAATTAAAAGTCTGGTTGCGTTTCAACTGCTCATGTAGTTTTAATTGTCAACCGTTGCTCCATTTTCGGTAAAACAAAAACTAGGTTTTTAAATTTTCCAGTGAGGCTCTCAAGGTGAAAAAAATTCCTCTCAGCATTTACCACAACACAAGAACGTTGACCAAACAAATGGCTATGCTTCACCGATAATTTACGGCTGTGCCATCTGCATCTTTCCATCACTAAGCTTCGCGGAACAGGTGAAATAATGTTCAAATGACATCGCTTTCAGTTGGGTATTTCTTAATTTCGAAGACGTTGCCAAGATAAGGAAACAAACAGCGGTTGCACCAAAGTAAAAATTGAAAATTAAGCACTACTCAAAATTTGCATCAGCACAAAAGAAAGACCTATCTTTTTCTTGCATGGGCGATATGATATTTCCTTGGCTGATATAATGTTTCTGAAGAAAGGGAAATGTGCCCCAAGGCTTATTAATACAGAGATCTGCATGGTTCTTATATCAAGCAATGTGGGCTTTTAGACGGTGACACTTTTCGAAGAGAGGTTTTTAGAAACAGTAACTCTCAAAACGACAGATAAACCTATATATCTTCAGTTTATTGTAAAACGGACTCGAGAAAAACCTTCGACATGAAACGGGTTTCGGTTAAAGGTGGTCAATCGCCGGTCGACCGTATGTTCAACTTGTGTGCAGGCTCTCGTGTTTGGGTTTCGCCTCGTGGCACTGATGGCTATTGCTTCATTAGCAACCGCTTATGAAAACTGAAAACATTGTCCAAACCATTGATGAAGGGCCTCTGTAGTTCTTTTTCTGCGTCACACTGTCATAAGCTCTATCAGTTTTTTTATACTTTTCTTTCTTGACGAAAAGCGTCAGTGTGGTTGTTACCACCCTCAGGATTTGAACTCAGTCCAGTTCAACTTACTGGTTATGCTCGCTGACAATCAAATTTGTCACTTTAAATCCTTATTATATTAAAGTCCAACTTAGGGGTTGATCGATGACTTTTTTCCCATCAGCGGTAGCGAAGGTGTAGAAGGCGGCTGTGCCATAAGGCGAAACCCAAACACGAGAATTTGCCCGCAGGCAAAACAGACAGCGGTAAATCCTTAGCAACCGACTATCATTGAAACCCTTCCAGGATTTGAACCCAGTCCAATTCAAATTACTAGTTATGCTCGCTGACAATCACATTTCTGTCACATTGAGTTCCCTTATTATATAATTTTCTTTGAAAAAAAAACCCTCCGATTTAGGGGTTTTTCAATACCTTTTCCATAGGCGGCGGCCGATCGTGTAATAGACTTCTGTGCCATAATGAGAAAACGAAACACGAGAATTTGCTCGCAGGCTACAGACGGCGGTAAGATGTTGTACAGGCGGCGGTAGAGCACCGGTCATCGACAATCATCGAAACCGCTGCAATTTTACTGAAGCTGTAAACAGCAGGTAATGTTTACAAAATTCTTAAAGCGGATTACACATGCGTCTCTGAGAATCGAGACCTAACTGTCTGGATTATGAAAGAAGGAAAATTTTGGTTAGATACACGAAAAGTTTCATTTCTCGAGTACCGCAGGCAGGTATACAAGTGGCATGTTCCTTGACAAGTTTCCTGGTTTCCACAAATATAAGACCATGTCTACCAACAAACTAATTCGTACGCTGTAAGAAGGGCTCGGTTCGAACTGGGATTGTGCTGAATATTGGTAAGTGCATTCGGCGAATTCACGAATAGATCAGAAACTTAGTCGAATGAGTAACAAAAACAGCCTCTTTGATGTGATGTCAACACTACGACTAAAAATTTATTAAAGTTGATGCTCTGTGGTGTTATTAATATATATTCTTTCGACAAGAAAAGAAAACCTAAACAACTTGATGTTGGCAACTCGTTAGAATCCATGAAACTAAAAAAATAGCAGCCTCGGAAAAGAACAGAAAACTTTGCAGTGATTCCGTGAATTTTTAATAATTTAAATTGTCACATGGTACACGTTTTTCAACCTTTGTAACAACTGCTTTAACTTTGTGCAGCAAATTTCAAACGCAAAATCCGCTTGAAACGGAAGTTTTACACGTTAAAAGTTGATTAGCGGGAGCCATTTCGATATGTTCATAACGTGTCAGAGATTAAAAAATTGCCGTTATACTATCAATGCGATAAGACTCAATTTTTTTTTTCTTTTAAAAAAAAACATAAAAGTTTCCATTTACGAAGTATTGGTAAATATGAAAAAAAAAAAAAAAAAAAAGATTTTCGCTTTTAAGGCTTAAAGGTGGTTTACTTACCCTGCTTGAACGCCTCTAGCGTGACCACATACTTTGGAATCGGGCAGTAAGAGAAAGTACGCAAGCTTATATTTCAGTCCTTAGACAAAAACACCTGAGGAAAGTCTACATCGGCACCAAAGGCTGAGTGTAGCTCATTTTAATTTAAAGGAGTTTGTTTTTACGCGCTTCAAACCACATGCCATTAACACTATTAGAAGAAACAGGCTGTCTGTGTAAAATAAGAATAAGCTTTACTCTAACAAAGATAATGTTTAGATAGGTTTCGCTTGCGGCGAGAGGTGAACCACATTTATTATAATAGAGGGAGTAAGTTTCTGAAGAAACTATAGTGCTGCGTCGGTGGGAGAGTATAACAGGGTAATTCAGTATTATTAACTGAGTTGGTAATGTAAATTGGCCACCGTAAAGAGTTAAAGATCTGACGTTTCGAGCGTTAGCCCTTCGTCAGAGTGAAATTCGTCGCTGATAACACTAAATTGTCACACAAGCTCTCCATTCTTCATCCTTCATCCCAAGCACCAAAATCCACTAAAATACAGCGCTCGATAATGCAAATGTAAAAAGCGCCTTGGAGCAATTTCATCTTTTATTATATTTTTTTGGTCATTATTTCATTTTAACTTTTTTTTTTGGTCATTTTTGCTTTATGCATATTATTCCAGAAAATTCTTATTCTTACCATAGAAATGTAAATGAATTGCAGCAGTTCCTTAAATAGGAAGCGAGGATACTGTTTTTCTCATTGAATAGTTCAACACTACCCTCAAAGAATATATTTGTGCACAATGACCAAAATTCCAGCGGCTTCTTTAATCTTTTCACGGCAAAAATATGGAAAAATGAATAGCCTTAGAACCTTTCCAAGTTGGTCAAAACATTCACTAACAATATTATATACAAAAACTTATGTAGATATACTTCATTGAATAGACACATTCTGGCTTCGACGAATATAATTATTTGCAGCAATAAAACCGTCAAAAAGAAAGAATTTTCGTTTGTGCTAATTGATAAAACTCACAATAACTTAAGCTCCTAAAGGCACTTAAATAACTTTAATTCGTAGCGGCAGCAACAGGACTCACATCGCACGAAAGCACAGATTCTGCAAGATTTGTTGTAAAAGAATTCTTCGAATACAATTTTCGTCAGGATAACAATTGGACAAGACTAAAATTGCTAAAATACAACACAATCTCCCGGTATATCTTAGTCTAAGTAAATTTAATGAACTCCAGTCTATCAAAAGCGGTAGATGTTGAACTCATTTAATGCAAAGTGTTATTAGTCGGCGGTCGATGTACATTGTTCACTAGATCCTTTCAAATCTCCATCTGTATTAATACAGGAAGTTGCCAAATGAAGCTCGACTAATTCAAGGGAAATGCAATGAGATGGTTTTTTATTCACCTTTTGGAAATGACCATCTCCTGTGGTAAACATTTGCCTTCTTTCTTTTGAGATAAACAGCGAAATTAAGGACCTGGCTGACTTAGGGTTTCCAAGACGATTTAATTTATTCGCCAGAAATTGGATAATGTATGGTGCCTTTTACCTAGTGGATCGACCTGTTCAGTGCTTTAGAAAGGAAATTAGCTCATTTCTCTTTAGCTTTTATCTGATGCGAAATTGAGTGCCGTCAAAATATATTTAACATGAAGCTTAATGGTCCGATGTCATTTCAAATTATTAATCCAGATTTTCTCATTTACACAGGTACCTTCCCACTGCATTGAGGATATCAAATCGACAAGCTTTTAAAAAAGTGGAAATTTAGCCCCCCCAAAAAAAACTGTGAAAGAAAGCTCCTTGTTACGCCAAGTAACCGTGGTTGACAACGAAAAAGTCGTCCAAATCTTCTTTGACGTTTTATAATATCTTTTTGTTTCTTACTTTCCCATCAAACTGCCTGTCAACAGGAGAACACTTTTCAGCCCAATACTGCCATCAAAATAGATAATACATCATTTCCTGTCAACCGTGGGGGATAAAGAGAGATTTTCGATTACAAAACCCGCAAGTACAGACTTCAAGCACTTAACGGTTTACAAGTGCCCGTGGAACCGCCAACAGCTGCAGTCCGAGCCATGAATCACACAAACACGACCAACCCAGGCGCAAAACTAAACGATTCAGTAACTAGCGGCATCTACGATCCTCTAAATATTCTTTCATTCAGCTGCTTGCTTCTGATTATGACAATGACCTTGTTTGGAAATGCACTTGTTATTCTCGCCTTCAAGAGGAACATGAAGATTCGCACAGTAACAAACTACTTCGTCGTATCTTTAGCCGTAGCAGATATCTTGGTGGCCTTGGTATCCATGCCGATATGGGCTGCTTATCTGATGTCCGGGGTATCACTCAAAGAGGTATTCCTAAAAGTATGGACATTTATGGATATTCTCTGCGGAGTGGCTTCCATTATAAACTTGACCGCAATTAGCATCGAAAGGTACTTCTGTATCACTTATCCTCTCAACTACCACACCACGATGACGTCAACGAAGGCTATAACTACCATCATCATCATCTGGATATTTTCTATCATTATGTCCTCGCTTAAGATTATCCTGTGGGAATGGCCTCCACCAAAATACGAACTAATGATAGTTATCAGTTGCTTTTTTGTGCCGCTTCTAATCATGTGTATTTCTTACAGATTTATTTTCAAAACTGCGCGCTTTCAAGCGCGCCAAATAGCGCTCATGATAAAAGGTAACGTCAAAAACTTTCTCCTGGCGTCGGAGATGCGCGCCGCAAAAACGTTAGCCGTCGTAATGGGCGCTTTTGTGATCAGTTGGGGACCCTTCTTCATTATAAACATAGTGTATGGTTTTTGTGATGGATGTGTAACAGAGCAATCCGTGGTTGTGGCCAAATGGATGCACTACTCAAACTCGGTGTTCAACCCCATTGTGTACGCATGTATGAACAAGGAATTCAGAAAGGCATTCTGCATCATACTGTTTGGACGAAAACGATGTTGCAGACCAAGAGGCAGAAATGAAACCACGGATCAAACAGAACTTACCCTAGGAGCTAACATTTAATTTTAATCTCCTGAATCCGCAAGCTACATAGCTTGCGAAATATTGTCAGAAAGACGTCGGACCCGCCCCACATATAAAAGATTGGATTATCTTTGACGAAAGTAAACATGTTAAAGAAGGTTCGGAAATGAACTAAATTTATTGGCCAGACGAAGGGACCGGTCATTATTTATGTAAAGGGGGGAGGGAAAAAAGGAGGAGGGGGGGGGGTCAAGGCTATTTCAGATTGACTTGAGTGGGGGGGGGGAGCTTAACTTTTTATCAAGAAGTTTAGGTGGGCTCAGCAGTTTGAGGTATATTTTAAGAGTTTTCCATTGCCCAAGTTGGGTTTTTATGCAAAATAATAATCTTATGGTTGTGCGTTGCATGAATTTTAACAGTTACTAGGCATAGAAGAAGAGACATGAGGTGACAGGGGGGTCATCTCGTCAATATTGAATTAAGAAGGGAGAGTTACTTGCTATTTATATGGCCTGGAAGGGGGAGCTTGTAAATTTTGGTCTTTGTAACATATTTTTCCTCTCCCCCCCCCCCCCCAGACATCATTAATGACCGGTCCTTAATGAAAAACTCAAACATTTCATGTGTTCGTAACAAGGTTACAACATGGGACAATTAGCTCACACTGAGATTGAACGGTCTCTTTTGCAAGTGTGAGCTATTGCCTTTCTCAGTTCAACTAAGCCATCAATCGTTGATCAGGCTAATTCAATTGCTTGTGTATTGAATATATACATAAGATATCTCCATTTGTAAACTTCATATATTCTCTAACTGATCTGCCTTTTTTGCCACAGTCGCTACTGAGCTAATACATAACTATAGTAGCACAACGGCGTCCTGGCAGTCAGTGTAAACTTCTAAACATCGACATACTGTTAAGTCATTCTAATAAATAATAAAAAGTATAATTCCTTTGATAAAACTGCTTCCAGTTCACGGTGAAATTCCCCTTCTGGACTACACTAATATTACGTTAGTTAGCTTACGTGAATCCGTGACAGTGAATCAGCTTCCTCACGATAACGGCATAAATTTCAAATGTATCTCCATTTAAATTTGTCTACTGACCTTGACGGTGAATTTCATTTCTTTTTCCTCCACAGTTGTTTCACAGGTTAAATTAAATCACTCTTTGAGAAAAGGCGAAGAATATAGCCTCCTTTTATTGCCCTGGCGGAGGAGAATTTAAAGACAGTTATTCTTTAACACTGTAGGCCAAAAGCGAAGCATAAAAGGGAACCTGCTTCATTTCATAAAACTCAGTCACGAGTGAATAAAAAACAGCTTACCCCGAAAACATTCGATTATGCCTCCACTTTTCAGTGAAATACCATTTCTGTGATTCATGAATGTACTGAATTTAAGACATTTTACAGCTTTAGAAGGTCTAAACATTCGTAAAACTGTCGCACTTAAGTATCCATAACTAGGAGTACACTCGAGCGCCATTTTGTTTCTTAATGAACAAAATACCGCGAACGAACTAATCAGCGGTCAACACACAATTCATCTAACAATGCCATAACTATGCCGGCAAGACATTGTTTCGCTACAAGATATTGTCGCCTTGATAGGAAACAACGTTTCTTATGGATAATAAATGTAAAAAATGAGTTTCTAGAAATTTGTAGAGTGCCAAGTCACCGTGGAAAATTGTTCATTCCGAGGAACTTGGAGAGAATTGTGAGATTGTGTCAGCGGTGAGCTAAGATGTAGACTGTGGTGGCCTTGGGTAAGCTTATTGAGGATAATTATTGTACAGCCTTTAGGAGTCGCTACTTGTTAATAATATTACTCGTTGTTCAATAAAGTAGTTGAGTTCGTAAGATTGTAGTGTTCTTTCTGTCGGTTCGATTATACCGTAACAATTAACAACTCTTTTCTTCTTCACAATCGCTCGCCGGCAAACGATGATTTAACTTAAGTACGATGATAACAAGGAAGCCTCTCGCAACGATTGTGCTTAATTTGTGTTTTTAGATTATCGATCAGAGAATGAAGAAATTCTCTCCTTACTCGCTTCAGTCAAAGGTAATAGGTACAAAATTTGACAACTTTAAAAAAATACCCCATAGTGAAAAAAATCAAACGTTTCTATAACTGCTAGAAAAAGCTAGATTTTGCAAGTTGGTAATTATTTTGAATTCCTGCAGTCTTTTGGCATTCAGATAACCATTCCTTGAGAAGATTGGGCAACACTTCACATTCCCCACAGTTGGAGTTGAACAATCGAAAAAGTTGTTTTTTATCAGCTTTAAGCAATAAATAATTTTATCTCATGCACTATAATAAATTGATCTCTGTAACTGATATCTACATATTACAACCTACCGACGCAAAATTCTAGATTTGTTGAAGTGCTAATTAAAAACTTATGATTAGTATTATATTTTTTCTTTTGTTTTTCGCGGGGCATAAACAAGAAAGCCCTCCTGACAGCGGTTCAGTTAACAGTTATGTTGCCTAGCGACTCCAGTACCAGAATACATCAAGGAATAGGTGTCAGCGACACGTAACTTCGATTGTGCCACCTCCAACTTCCAAGAAACTTTGAACCATGTTATCACAATGACATTCGCGTCAATTAAAACAAGTTTGAATTTGTGTGACTCACAGGAGGTACAAAATCATGTCGCAGTGAAAAAGACTTTGGCAGGAAATTCTCCGGGTAACAAAATGGAAATTCATGTTACTCAAGGCAAACTGTTATCGCAACCTGTCCTTTTGGTGACCGGCAATGACTTAGGGAGAAGCAGCCTCCATATCTACAAACAGATAATTGCACCAAACATACACTTATACTGACCAACACATTCTCTCTCGTTTGTTCTTTGTCTTGAAGAGGTGATGAACAGAATTTATTGCTTTTCTTATTGCCTAGACCGCACTCTGATTAAAGTGTTTTTTGTGTGGAAAGCACTTAGCATCTTGCCTCAACGTCCAATCAGATCCGTTGAGTCGATCGTTTCTGTAATGTTTTCTGGCAGCTTTCCTTTCACATGGTAATTATTGGTTTATTGATGATCACTGGAAAATCAAATTTCCATACGTGAGACCATCTTGTTGTATGCTATTCATTTTTTCCACAAAGCTCCTTGATCACCATATCTCCTACCTAAGTCTTTTGCAACCACACCAGCAGGCGAATACCTGTAAATTTCTTAAGATTCGTCGGAAAAGACAAAACATTATTTCGATAAGCTTCTCCGAAAAAGAGATCATTTGTGTGCTGATCATTTTTCATTTTCTCAAGGCTAGTGCAGGTAGCAAGTTCTCATGGAATTATCAATGAAGGAAGGCCAAGCAATGAACCAAACAAATCTGTTCAAGCCGGAATCAGAATTGAATAACTCAACGATGGGTGAGCGAAGCAGCCCACTGAATATTCTTTCATTTAGTTTCTTGCTGATGATCATGTTCATGACTTTATTTGGAAATGCACTTGTTATTCTCGCCTTTAAAAAGAACTCCAAGATTCGCACAGTCACCAATTACTTTGTAGTATCTTTAGCCGTAGCTGATATCTTGGTGGCAATAACGTCCATGCCGATTTGGGCTGCATATCCCTTGTTCGGAGCACAACTTAAAGAAAGTGTTCTTAAAATCTGGACTTTTATGGATATTCTCTGCGGGGTGGCTTCTATAACAAACTTGACCGCAATAAGTATCGAAAGGTACGTTTGCATAGCTTATCCATTTGATTATCAGATCACAGTGACATCACAGAAGGCAATACCTATCTTGATCATCATTTGGTTATTTTCTGTTCTGATGTCCTCGCTCAAGATTGTACTATGGGAGGTACCTCCACCGAAATACGAACTTGCAGTCGTAATAAGCTGTTTTTTCATGCCACTGCTAATCATGTGTATATTCTATACCTGCATCTTCAGGACTGTACGCTTTCAAATTCGCCAAATCTCGTTGGCGACGAACGTGAACATGAAAAGATTTCGTTTAGCGTCAGAGCTGCGCGCCGCGAAAACAATAGCCGTTGTGATAGGCGCGTTTGTCGTTTGTTGGGGCCCTTTCTTTATTTTAAATACAGTTTATGGATTTTGTAATGGATGTGTCTCAGCAGTAACAATAACTGTGGCAAAATGGATGCATTACACAAACTCTGTGCTGAATCCCATTCTATACGCCTGCATGCATAAAGAGTTCAGGAAGGCATTTTTCGTCACATTACTTGGAAGGAAACGTGTTTTTCGCCGAAGAGGAATGGAAAAATTTTCCTCAAATGGAACAGAACTCGTCCAGTTCTGAAAACGTTTTACGACATAAATGCTGGCTTCAAATACTCCTTTGATCTTTGGCCGGTTAATATAACGCTGCTGATCATTGGCAATCTAAAAGTTTTGCCTTTTTGTTCAACGAAACAATTACGATTTTTTCAATGTTGTACCTGTGTAATTTCACACAGATATATGAACGGGTTATGTAAACAAAGTTAAGCATTTGTTTAACAAAATTGCGTCCTAAACACTCCTCAATCTAGCTGAACCTTTCATCTGAAAATCTGTTTTTGTGAACAGTGGTAAGAGGACCGAAAGCTATAAAGAGAAGAGAAAGTTTATTGAGAAAAATAAAGTCTGAGGCCCACTGATTGCGTAAAACTGTGGTTTGGGTTATACCTCGAGTAAATAACCAGCGCAAGAGTTTATATCATATGGATGTTAAGGCTTGAGTTGAACCCTGAATCACAGGCAAAGAATTCCCGCAATAGTAACCGGGGAGAGCATGTTAACGTCAGTTACATCGGTGGTAACGACATGCAGCATACAGTTAATCCTCAGCTACAAGACCACTCCGCAAATTGATACATTTTAGACATGAGAAAAGTTGTTTGCTCGGACTAGATATAAGTGTTTCAAAGTGGTAGCCGTTGTTTGAACATTACAAAATCTTAGCTCCCAATAAAACAATTATGGAAGCTCAGCTGATAGTAGCGTGAAGGACAAGATTATATGCTTATCGAAGCATGGAGTTTGCAGACCTTTTATATATGTTTTTTTTCTTCGTCACTTGCAATCTCAACCACCGGTAAAAAAAAAACCATTTAACTCAGCCATGAATGTCATTTCTACCGATTTGTTTTTCTGGGTGTTCAGAAAGGCTTGAAATTGGGGAAGCGTTCCACTGAAGACTGGAGGATTTTCAAGGATCGATCCAACTATCAAAAGAATCTCTGCGTAAAAAAAGCACTGACCGCCTCTCTAATTTCAAAACCAGAAAATGTCTCGCACAAAAAGCGGATGAATACGAAGTACTGCTCCATCTCAAAGCGCATATTATTCAAATTATACTAGTATACGAAATTAACAAGCCAGGAGCCCTTGATGTGCAATTAAAAATTCATTTTTGTAACAGGATTTTGCTGCAAGGAAACTTGAGAACAGGTTTGTTTATTTTGACATCAAGTACCTATAAAAAGAACATTTATCCTCTTCTTTTTACAGGAACCTGTTATTGATGGGGAACCATAGCAACTTCCTCTCCCATCAATAATCAAAAAAATATGTTTTGGGAATTATGAAGAATGGCATCAGTTTTCAAACACGTCAGAGAGGAGTGCTTTGTGAACACGTTCTCTCCGCTTACAAATGTAAACAATGGTCGTAATCAACGATGAAAAAAGTCGAACATTAAAAGATGAAAAACTTTTTCTATAAATGGAGTAAATTTGGGACATTCAAATAGCCACTATCGTGGCTGTGATAAGGAACAGTCATTATCTATCTCCCGACGGGGGTTCACATAGTGTTTAGAGGCAACGGGGGGGATTTGTCGTTGCTAACAGAGTATTAAGGGAGTACATAAAAAAATTGACTGTCAGTGGGGGAGGGGGGGCATTAGAATAATAAAGAGCCTGAGGGGGGGTCAGGTCAATTTTACTGCAACATAACCAAAATCTTCCGACTACCTCCCCGTTGATAAACAATGACCATTCCTTTAAGTTATTTTTCATTTTTCCTTTTTTTTTTTTTACCTCCGAGGTAACAGTCATGTCACTGAGCTGTTTACAAAATTAAAAATTGTGGATTTTTCACAAAGTCTCCAGAAAAGAAAACTAAAACATCCAAAAGACTTTCCGTTCCTCTTTCGCATTAAGGAAGTTAAAAGTACTTTAACGACTTTGTTTTGATTTGATTAAACATTCGTTGGGTTAAAAAGTCACCTCTCCAAGATTCGTCGCTGATGCTGTCATAAAAAAACAAGTTGGGTTTGAACGTATGCAAAACTGTCACGTTTTTAAAGTCAATCAATAAATATTTACAATATCCCTTCAGGGTGATGATCGAGCAGGTTAAAGACGGTTGAATGCAAAGGGCAATGATATTCCTAAAATGTTTTACGGTATTATGATTGCTATTTTTATAATTTGAGGATTTCTAAGATTTATCGGAGTGAAACAGAACTGCTTATTAATTGCAGGGTTGAATATGATTTTCATCACACAAGAAATCGATAAAGAGTAACTCAATAGCAGGAAATTGCCACAGCATTATCGTTGTGTTATGAGTAATGAACGGCCTCTTGCCGGAACCCGCTGGTGGTTGTCATGAAAACAAGCTTTTCTGCTTACCAGGGATTGGCTAAGCTGAACAAAACAAGTTTTTGTGTGTTTTTCTTTTTGTTTGAAGATAAAAGCACGGTTGTGGAGTATAAGTGCTATCTCAGGCACTGATAGATGTTGGTGACGATATATGAGAACTGACAAGCCAACCTTAAGGTAAAAAATAACACACTACAAACTCTAAAGTAGGGAATTATGGTCGAGAACTTGATACAAAATTTCACACATGAAGGGCGTTACATCCAAGCGAACCAAAACATATCAACTTCTCTGTTTTATACGCAAACCTTAAACCTAAGCGGTGAGGCAGTCGCCGTGTTCAAAATCTCAACCAAAGACTATCAGTAATAGCAATGAGGATTTAAACAAAAGTTTCTTGATCTGATCGCTGAAATTCTGTGACCAAAAAAATTTGCCTCTCAATGCCTAAATAATGGACTTGCAATAGAAAAACACCACGCATCTATTCTGTCGCAAAGGAATTCAGTTTGAGTTTCAAGTTTTCTCCCGTGCTTTTGAATTCAAAATTAATTCCGTCTCGTCGCAAAGACGATTGTCTTGGCCTAACGAACCAGACCGCATGAGTCAATTATTTAATTCTTATCGGGCTAAAAAGTATCTTTGCTGACAAAATCGAGAGTACAAAAGTAAGTAAAAATACCGTACGCATCTCAGCCTTTCATCTTTGACTGCACAAAGAAGCGTAATCATTTTAAGACACTTCACCGGACGATCTCACGTGCGGAAAATTGATATATACTCAATGGTGTTTGAATTTCTTAAGTAAGCCATTTTGTCTAGCTATTTAGCTTTTTCGTTCAATTTTCTGGCGTTAAAGAATATGTTACCAGTTCTTTTTTTTAAGTTTCCAGTATTTTACACCTAAAAAGTTTTTGAGGCAAAAAAACATTGAATGATTTTTTAAGATAAATTGAATTATCTTGACGCTTTATTCGACTTGACTCACTCGTATTAAAGTAGATTTTTTAATATATGCAGATGTGGCAAAATAATGTTTTGTTCGCGGCTCTTTGTGCGGCATAAAACTTTACTAATACGTCAACAAATACTTGTTGAATTCATAACAGTATTTCATATTTGTGTTGACATTCAAAGATAAGTTTCACCTAACTCTAAAAAACAAAATCAAAAAACGCGTGCCGAAAGTAAATTTTATTTTTCCATCTTCAGTTGGAGTCCATCTCATAAACATGTTTTTTATATTGTTTTCTCTTTTTCTGCTAAATGACGCATTTCAGTATTTCAGCCAATGGATCATAAAATAAAAACATGTGTAAACGTAAGCCATCGAATACAATTTCCCCAATTAGCGCAGTCTTTCAGGATACTATCCGGATTTCCGTTTTGGAGACTATCCTTTTTAGCAGCTACGGTTTTTTCTAAAATACAATGAGGAAGATGGATCACTTCTACTGTTAGCATAACTTTCAAACGTGATGTTTTGTAGACTTTGCGTTTTTCAAAAGCAAAATAGTGAAACAGCCTGGAATAAAAAAATACAGCATAAAAAAAACGGAAATACACCAATACGCTCAAAAACCTTGGAAATGTTTCAACTATGCACTAACTTCCTCATTGGTGAAATAAATTCCGTATTTACTACAGGCGTATCTGCACCTTTTTCGGGAATATTCCTCGTTGTGGTGAAATTGTTGACTACATACTGAAACGAAATAAAAAAAAGCTATTAAAATGTATTTTGAAAACGCGCATTCAGTTGCCGGAAAAAACCTTTAAAAATTTGGCTCTGCATGTGCAAAAAGGAAGGTTTCGTATTCTGACAAAGCCAGAAAACGTTTTAGTCTAAAGATGGAGGATAAAGTAACGAAAATTTTAAAAATTGAGTCTTAAAATATAATTTCAATTCAAGTTACGAATGCTCCTGAACAAGGAAAAATTTGACTTCCTATAAGAACGGATGAAAACAAAATATTTATTGCTGACATTCATCTTATTTTGATTGTGAATAATTTTTACAAATATCGATTTTTAAGAGGAGAAAAACATGTATGTCACGATGAATTTGAAAACGCCTTTTGTCAAAGGTTTTTGCTCCTCGCAGTAGTTCTTTTTCATGGACGGATCGGTTTTTTTTATTTTCCATGTTACTTTTCTCCCATTTTAAGCGTAAAATCAAACAGGAAAATTAAAGAAATATGTTTACATATAAAAACACTATAAATATAGCCTTAACGTCTAGATATCTGCAAAATAAAACCTGCGTGTGGCAGTATTTCGAAATATTACGGATGATGTCGATGATTATGTATCTTATTTCATCAGAAAGGAAAAACTTGCAGTTTTTTAAAAGAAGATTGTACCCTGAGGCCGTCAGGTATTGAAGGTAGAATGTCACGAAAGCAATAAAATGAACGCACGTTGTCTGGAACAGCTTTATGTTATCAAGCTTTTCTCAGCCAACAAGCACATATGGTAATAATTTATGGAAATTTATCAAGCAAATGTAAAGATAGTTGGTTTGTTTTATCATAATTTCATACTTAAGGATTAGGAATACGAAGATAAAAATTATTCCTAAGATGGTCTGTGGCTTTCCCTGGAAATATTACTCATGCATTCAGTATGAAAGTTTACCACATGAGGTAAAGGTTTTTGCAAACTTTACAGCTTTATTCAACAACTTAAAGCAAAATGAACACAATCGCCTGTATTTGGCTTTCAAGAGCGAGAAAGATGAACCCAAAATTGTTAAAGCTTTAGACTTAAGTTTTATTTCGTTTTAGCTCACACTGGGCTTAACCACAGGTAAAGAGGAACTTTCAAAGAAATAACTTTTGGTTTGGGAAATATCAATGAAGGCACGTATGCCCTTAAATGAGACATCATATTCGTTTAAAAAAAATGATAAAATTCATGGGCGCTTTGACAAAATTGAACCAGTAAAATCTCAAAATTTTGAAGGGAACATCTCATTGATAAACAAAATGGCGAGTGTCCATACATGCATCGCTAAAAAACACGTAATTTCATCGAGTCTTAAGGCTAGAGCAGAGAATCGAGGCAATCGTAAAACCCTGAAATTTAGTTTTGCTCAGACATTTGTAGATACAAATGACTCTTAAATGTTAAACGGGTTCCTTTTTGAACAACCCAATTATCGAATATTTCTTGTCTACGTCCTTTATGGTTTGCGTTAAACGCAGGTAATCACGCATAAGGAGATTGTCACGCGAGCCTAAGACGATTAGGAGTGGTAAGAAAACGATCTTCCCTGAATTAAATAATTTAATCTTTATTGCATGATAAAACGCACAGATTGGTCACGTTTTTCTTTCGATCAAAGCGAAAACAGCTTGAGAGCAAGTTTTACAAGTCGCTATGCACCATTTTCGTTTCTTTGCACTAGCCCAGAACCGAACACGGGTTAAAATTGAAAGTTTGCGTGAATCCTACATACGACAAAAGCAAATTTAATAAGTTATGTTAGCGCACCGCGCGTGATTTTTTTTTACCCGCGTAGAATTCGCCGAAAAGCAGGGACTTCTCGTGTTCTAATCGTCATGTATCATGAGAATCAATCTATGAAAAATTTCTACGCACAAAAATGTCTGACGAATCTTCTCTAAACTTTTCAAAAATAGGCAGATCTAGGCATCGGTCTTAAACCTAAAAAGTTGACTAATCACTCAGCGGGTGACTCCCAAAGAACATCGTGTCATACTGTGCGGAAATAAAGCTCTCCTTCCGTGAAAAAAGAAAGTAAATCAGCATAAACAAGACGACAGGAAAATATCGTAAAGCGAGAGAAAAAACAACAAAAAAAGGTAGTCAAACTCCACAAAGGGGCCTTGCCACTCTTTTCGTGTTAGTGTGTCATAAGAAGTTTCCAGCAGTGAATAAAAATTATAAAAATTTATGAATTCGCAACATTAACTTAAATTAATTTCTACATTTTAAAGCTTTTTGAATGAGTGCAGTAAGCTTCTATAAAAATGATATCAGAAAAATTTATATCGAATGGCCTTAGTTAATTTTACCACCAGGCATGAAAATAAAACGGGGCAGCGCTTCAGAATGAGAGCACATTTACAGCTTTTAACCATTATAGGAAGCTTAAAGATAACAGAATTTCCACATCAAAAATTTTACATTTAGCAAGCTTATGTTCAAGCGACTTTCAAGAAATAACTCGCAACCACTACTTAAGAAGCAGTTTATCAAGTTCAGGGGTTTTCCTTCGCCACTTCATAAAAGCGATGTCGATTTAGAAAGCTTTGGCAAAATTAAGGAATAAGCCAATAGTTTACTTTGAAAATTGTTTCGTGCGCTTAATAATTAAATACGAACATGACAATAGATCATTTATGAAGGTTGTTAAAAGCATCGTGTGCATCTTAGGTCGTTTAACTTAAATTGGCGCAGAAAACAACATTAGGAACTTGATCATTTTACATGCTAAGAATAGCAATGCTCCCTAACAATGCAATCTCAAAAATAAGTCAAGATTATTTCGTTAGTGTTCTCCAACATAAATGGAATCTTTATTTTAAATAGATTTCTCCAGTTTCCGGATAACTGCTGAGTTACAACCCAAATTTTAATAATTTAATTAAGATGCGGAATCTCTCTCGGATTGAAATAATTTTTCACCCAATTGTGTCTAACAACCTAAGACATGACTCAAGAAATCAGTTGAGAAACACTGTCACTATTTTCGTAGTATTTTGGATGAATTGCAGTTCTCAAAAAAGTGTATTTTGCGAGCCTTATCACTTGCAGACCATGATGACAAATACCGTGCTCTGATTGGTGGAAATTACGCCCAATGCAAGGTTCTTACACTATATAAAGCACTTACTGTGATCCTTAGGACCCTACAGCATTAGACATCGTTTAGTTATCATTCCTAGCCAAGGAGGAAATAAGACACTTGTTCTACGGACGAGCCGGATAATCGAGATTACAAGAAAATTCATTTTCACTTTATGAAGGTAATGAACACCTACTTACCTTCGTTACTTTTCGACGCCTGTCAAAAAGTGTGATCCGTATTCTGTCAGCCTGGAAGGACAGCTGTTGTGTTGTGGTAAGTTTTCAGAGCACGTTTTTTTTCCAATTTACCGGTATCTGTCGCTTCAAAGAAGAGAAATCCATTCGCGAAATACTCTAAACTCTAACTTTCTGATTCAGGAGCTTTTCTGCGATGTTGACAGTTTTTACAATCTCAGTTGTCCGCATAAATTTTGTTTCCAACAATAATTCAATCCAGGCCGGGTCGGTTTCTTTTTATCTCCCTGCAATGAAACTTATCTACGCAATAAAATGAGCCGAGCGCACTTATATATATTTATATTGCCTATTGCTATTAAAAATACAATAAAAGAAATATTGGAAATCTTTTCAAATTCCGCTTCAATATTGCTGCCAAACAAAAAGTTATGTTTATTTTCTTCGGTTCTCGTATGGATTTGGAAAGTTTTCTTATTATTTCTTCACCTTCAATTGTTACTTTCACTTTTTTTTCAATGTTTATAAGGTTGTTTTTCTTTACTTTCAATCCATGTCTCACAAGACAGACAAATTTGAGAAAAAACTCACCAAGAGTCATCAATTTCACTTAATTATATTGAGGTCGTGACATCGAGAAATCCACTTTTCGTTTAAATATTTACACTGAGATGCAAAATTAATCAGGTTCAGTTCTCTTTTTGTTAATGTCTCTGATCGATCAACACAGAAGCCAGCACAGTTTCCAGCTAAATTCATGTTTCCTAGCTCAGATTGAGACAGAATTGTGGAAATACCAGATCATTTTACTTGCGAAAAGCTTACATGAGTAGCTTCAATACTGAGGAAGAAACTCGAGATTAGTTGGGGTATTTCTAAAGATTTACTTCGCCTCTTCTCCAACCCACGTTTGATCTTAGTTAATCAAATATTTGACCTCTGGTCTTATCCAACAAAGGTTCCTGATTTTCGCTGCATGATCGATTCTTTTCAAATGTAGTTATTTCCAACATTCGCCACACGAAATCTTTCAGACCAATTCTATTATCGTGTAAATAGCTTTCAATTTTAACATCGAGATTGTGTTCGTCTGCATTATAATGCCATATGTTCCATTATTAGTGCCATTTGTATCTCTTACAAACAAATATTCTTTATTTATACTGACCACAAACACAGGCCATTAAACTGAGACTTTATTCTGCAGAGAGGTAAACGTCGTGTGTATCCCTGGCTTTTTTTTTTTTAACCGTATAGTGTTTAAAAAACCGGGAAATCCTTCACCAATGTCAAACTGAGGATAAAACCTACGAAGATTTGAAAATCGGCATTTTACGTGTCACTGTGCAAAAAAGCTGAACGCGCATGATGTTACGTCGAAAGCGATCTTCAATTTACGATTTGAATCAAATGCAAGAAGAAATCTTTACAAAAAATTGACTTTAAGAAATAGATAAAATACCTCTTTTCAATCTTTACTCCGGTATTAAATCCGGTAGGACTCTTCATTCCTGTCAGTCTTTTGAAGTCGTATAATTAACCTTGTTGTTGTACAGACGACCAACAAGTCATGTGCCTTTCATAAATCGGAAATTGCGTTACAATTATTATTAATCAGTTCCCCTTGTAGGAAGTAGTTCGAGACGGGTGATTAAGAAAAACGGTCTTTCCCGTATATTGAATATCTGCTATTTGTATTCATGTTAGCTGAGGCATGTTTCTCGAAGGTCCCGGTAAATTAACCGTAATTAAAGCTGTTTCACCCAAGATGGGGGTTTAAAAAAAAAAAAAATATTACATGATAAAACTATCAACTAAAAAAATATATAATAAACTGGTTGGGATATCAGAACTGGCTTCTCTATTCCTAACATTTTTATTTCAAAAAACAGCTCCGGGTCCATTTAGTTACCATGACCTCCGAGAAACGGGCCCCTGGAACGCGAACTGTGTTATGAGCACAGAGGCTCTTACAACACTAAGCCGCGGGACTTTATATCTAGGGTAAGGCCGACCTTTAACGCTACCCTCGACCAGATGTGTGCCAAAAGGGCAGCTTTTCAAAAACATTGATTCTCTTTTTCCTTTATTTCTTTTTTTTTTCTTCCTTTTCTTCTTTCTCCCATTGGTAGGACGATTAGAACATTATTATATGTAAAGCGCACGCACGAAAATGCACTCGAGCGTTTCAGCCGCCGATGTTGTTGTGTTTTTGAATCAACGCCACGAAATGTGGACAAATGCATTTCACTAAATCGCCCTCCAAAGTCGACACAAAACTGTTGTTTTCCATTCAGTACGAAAACGCCTTTTCCAAATTTATTCAGCTGGAGGCTTTTGGTTGGGTTACCATAAAAATTGCGGTGAAGTTTATAGTTTAAAAGTTTATAATGTTGTTATGAGTCCTCTCGCCCAAAATACCATCTGATTTCCCCAAAATCCTCTGCTGCCCTCGTCTCCTCCAAGAGATAAATAATAAGCGGCCCTAAAGCTTCCACGTGCTGTGTTTCAATTTTTCAGCTGGCTATGACAAGCCCCACTCCAAAGCTGAATAACAATGAAACCAACGTTGAGGAGAAATTCGACCGGGAAACAATTCTCATTTCCATCACATTTCTCATTATTATCATCTTATTGGCGCTGTTTGGAAATATTCTGGTCGTTATTGCCTTTCGTGTGTTTCAAAACCTTCGCAATATGACCAATTATTTCATCGTGTCACTTGCTGTGGCAGACATTTTGGTGGCAGGGATTTCGATGCCCGTCTGGGGCGCGTACATCATCACAGGACCAGAATGGAAGTTTGATATATGGGTTGAACAAGTAAGTTTGACTATTTCATTTTTCTTTTCTTATTCTTTAATAGTAACATGTAGCTTTTCCAATTTTTTAATGCTTGCCTCATCAGTTTCCGAACGAAATTTTTTTGCAGCTATGAAGTTATGAAGATAAGGCCTTAAAATGATTATAGCGATGTCTTTAAAAATGCTCTCCCCCCCTCACTTTTGACGAGTTACAGCACATGCGGCCCAAGCTCCAGCTGTGAGATGATCATCTTGCACAATAACAGAATTTATAAGAGTTTGTATGAGAATATTTACGATCGCTCTAAGGAATAAAACAATACGTCAAATTCTCAATGAAAATAACTAACCTTACTTCCACAGCGTATCACTTGTTATCCGACCGTTTACTTTGATGAAAAGAATCCATTTTAGCGAGTTGTCCATTTCGAGGTTTTCAACTTACATAAGAAAAGCCCGTTGAAAACCTCGAAATTGACAACTCGCTAAAATGGGCTCTTTTTATCAAAGAAAGTGGTCAGATAACAAGTGATACGCTGTGGAAGTAAGGTGAGGTATTTTTATTCAGACAAACTGACTGTTATTGTGCAAGATGATCATCTCACAGCTGGAGCTTGGGCCGCTTGTGGTTACAGTAATGTTTTCAAACCTGGAATATGATTTGATGACGATAGGGGGTCAATGTTGGATTAGGGGAGGGGTAAGTGCTTAGATACTGATATTGATTCAGTATTTGCAACCTTTACATAACTGATTTTTTTTTTTCGGCACTTTGTCATAGGTTTGGAGCTGTGTCGACATACTTTGTGGTGTTGCATCAATTCTCCATCTTTGTTTCATAAGCTTGGAACGTTATGTATGCATTACCTCACCACTCACTTACCACGACAGAATGACAACCCGCAAGGCTGTCATTGCCATTTTTGGTATATGGTCGTCTTCCATCTTCATGGCGGTGTTAAAACTCATCCTTTGGTCCGTTCCCCCACCTTCCTATGAAATTGCCGTCAGTGTTTCTTGTTTCTTTATCCCTCTGGTCATTATGCTCATATGTTACATGCAAATCTACAGAGCCGCGCATCATCAGATCAAAAAGATAATTCTAACAGTCCATGGCAGCCCAAAGAGATTTCTTCTCTCCAAAGAACTCAAAGCGGCTAAAACAGTTGGAGCAGTTATCGGCGCTTTCGTCATTTGTTGGGGCCCATTCTTCGTCTTAAACCTCGTGTATGCTTTGTGCAAAAGCTGCTCACCAATCCCTGAAGAGGCGGTTCTGGCAGCTAAGTGGTTGCATTATGTCAACAGCGTGTTAAACCCAATCATCTATGCCTGTATGAACAAGGATTTCCGTTCAGCTTTTAAGAAAATCCTTGCGTTTTCTTGTTTCTATATTGTCCCGGGTATTCGGAGACAGGAAATGGTCTGGGAGAGATCGATTTATAGCGAGCGGACCTCGCTTAGATCAACCAGAGGAAGCTCATTACGAGGGAAAAGTTCCTTGAAAGACAACAGCTCTCTGCGATCTTGCACATCTCATGTCGAGATGAATGGTTATCATTCATGTGACAAACCCTATTTCGTTTAATTTTTGACCTTACCTAGGGAAAAACGAAGGAGCTCTTAACGCATAGAGCGCTTTCCGGCCTACGAGCGCATTTTCCAAGCTGCTGGAGGGGGGAAACGAACAAGAGCGACGGCGTGTGTGGGGTACGTGGCGCTCGTTAAGTGTTTGTTGTGATCGGCGGAAGTTTGAATGTAACAAATCATCTCTCCTTTCTTCAATTTAGGGAATGGTCATTATTTATAGCCGGGGAGGGGGGGGAAGGGCGCAGGATTTTACGAGGGTCACAAAGTTTTCAGGGGGAGGCTGAGGGGATCAGTCGTCGCCAACAGAGTTTAAAGGGGGGAGACTACAGAAAATGGACTTCATTTAACTTCCAATGAGGGGGGGGGTGGGGGGTCAGATAAATTTTATCGTGACAGAACCGAATACTCCGGGGACCCCTCTCCTCCTCCTACAAAAACAATACATAAATAAATAAACAAAACAGGTGATAAATAATGATCAAATGAAACTGTAATAAAACGTGTGATCACTCTCCGCCTTCGACGTAACGTATATGATCCACGAGCGATAATTCCCTCTTTCAATGGCAAAATGAAACTTAGTTGGAAACAATGAAAGATCGGGAATCGAGGTTGCACTTTTGATTTGATCGGGTCAGAACGGAAAATAAGGAGAAGGTCACAAAATGAGATTGGCTCATAACGGACAAATTGTCAGTTTTAGGACGCATCTACAAAGTAGTTCTCAGATGAAATATAAACGAGGAAAAAAAAAAGGGCCTGGAATTTCAACTTGGGCGTTTCCTTTGGAAAGCCCGAGTAAAAATCAAATATTAGCAAAATGGACAAGTTTATAATAACCACAAACAATTTAGTCACATCATGATAGTTTTCGCCGATCTGTTATACGGTAAAAAAGTGGATATCACTGAGGGCTTGATCCTGTTTTGTGCCAAGAAACAATCAAACTGAGAGTCTGATTAGTTAAGAAAATAGGGCGAGTTTTATGTCGAACAATCACATAGCAAAGTAAAGACAGTCAATTACAAATTACACATTGATTTATTTCATCTCGGATTCTTCACCGAAAAAGGAACCCACTTAAATTTGCACCAGTTTTCATAAATAACACCTGATCATTTGTATACTAGTTGTTTTTAAAATGAGCTGATAGCAACTGAGAAATTTATAGTTGACATTCCATAATTGTTTCTACAGTCCATGCCCTCTCGTTGATTCCCAAACGTTCGCTAGTTCTTGCTCGTCGCCTTGGGCGCCGCAGGCAAAGACATGCCCAAAACACGTTTCTAAACTCCCGCTGATAATTTTCACTAAACAGCGCATAAAGCACAGGCGTCAGCGCGCAGTTGGAGTGGGCGAAAAGAAGTCTAAGATACAGAATATTGCATGAGATTTTCACGTCATAAGACATCAAAACGGCAATAATAAAGTATAAAATCCAGCAAAGAATGAAAGCAGTTGTAACTACGAGCACCATTCGGGACACTTTTCTGTTCATCTCCGTAGCTTGAGTGTTCTCGGTTGTAACTCTATTTCCAGGACGACTTCTTCTCTTTAAAGAAAAGATCGTTGCTGAATACAGAGCGATCATGACTCCCATGGGCGTGGCATACATGCCAATCAAGTTGAATTTGTGGTATAATACTGAGGAACCTGGCCAAAACACTTCATCCAGAGAGAGGCTGCAGTATACTTTGCCACAGTGTTCACCAATTTTGTTTGCGATCAAGATTGGAATCCTAAGAAGCGAGGATATCATCCATGTAAGAGCGATTAAGTAGCGCGCCGCTTTAGTGCCGTTGGCCAAAGTCTTCAATGGACGTACAACAGCTAGGAAACGTTCACCGCTGATACAGATTGCAGAAAATATTGTCACACTGACAGCTGTCTCATGAATGAAGTACACCAGTTTACAAAACACTAACCCAGCTATGCCTTCGGAAAGCCATTCGTAACCTCTTAATAGAATGCCAATCACTCTCGGCATGTACACCAGTGTGATCAATAAATCGCTCATAGCCATGTTCACGATAAAGAAGTTTATCGCCTTTCGCATGGGGCGACTTCTGAAGACAACGAACGCGACCAGAATGTTTCCAACCGTAGATCCCAAAATAATAAGAGCATAAGGAAGCATTCTTGCTATTCGTAGAGCCACAGAGTCACTGTCGAAGCAGAAGCTTTTGACCGAATCTGTGTCAACTCCGGAGCAATCTTTTTTAAGTACCCAAGCACTTTCATCTTCCATAGTTAAGCGGCAGGTGTAGGTGGCGCTTCTAGGTGGTCTGTAATTTCAGATAAGAATGAAAGTACATCGTTGTTAGAAATCGGCGAAAGTATCGCTTGAAAGCGCTTCCTAACAGCTTTCGATACAATCGAGTAAATAACGATATCTGTCTGTTAATACTTCATGAAATGCAACATCCTCCAGTTACGTAACATCTTATTTTTGCCAAGGTTGATGAAGAATCAGCTGGTTATGGTAAATTTGTTCCTGTAGAGTAGCGAGTTTCGAAAAGCTTAAGTAATTAACATCACTTTCGTCGCAATGTCGTTAAATATCATAAATTGTTACGATCGGAACAACTTCATCGGAGTAACGCACCTCATTACAAAAACAAGTCATTTCGAAATCGTTGATCATTCGTTCGCACCTCAGAATACACTGAAATTAAAACGAACGATTTAAGAACGATGGGTGATAAAAAAAATACGTAAGATTTTGGGAATTAAGTCAACCTAGAAGTGTTTGTAGGTCGTGCGGGAGAAAATAGTGCGTTAAATTAACCAATCACAATTGCTGTAGTTGGTTGAAAATGTGAAAGCCAAAATGAATAAAATCAGCGAGAGGCATTTCGTGGGAGTGCCGCGGGAGGTGCTTCCTGACTCACAAGAAATTATATGAGGAATGATGAAGAAACTTTTTGTAACTAGAGAGCGATACTGACATGATCACTTGTTCAACAGCTTTTTAAACTTAGTTACGGTGTTTTGAACTTTCTGGTTATAATTTTGCGTTGATAACTATCGAAGTATTTCATCTGCCCGCCGATGCGCGCAACAATCTCTTACAAGCTATCGGCAAAGAACTAACTTCCTTAGAAGAATGGAAAATCTCCTTCTAAGATATTAACGTGCAAGAGTGTGCAAGAACTCGTAGGGGAAATAGTAAAGATATCTTTAACTTACCCTAAAGAATAAGACGAAGTGCTTAGCAAGGTTTTCTTCTGTTGTATTTTCTCTGTTCGCGGGTAAATATTTTGAAAAACGATTTCTATTCAAATGGAATGGCTTTAAATGACTGACGCACTTGGAAAGGAGAAAGAGTCAATTGTTGTTCATTCATTAGCACCCTTAAAAACGATTAAAAGGAAGCAAATGATTATGAACAATTGGCGATAAAACGAGAGAATTTGACAACATAGCTTATTTTGGTTTATTTGCGGGAAGCGCTGAAGAAGATAACCCGCCAAATTAGCCAATCACAGTCCACGTCGCAGCGGGGAGATTAAACTCATCTCTGTTATTGGTTGAATCAAAAGAAAAATTCAATAAGGGGCATTTCATGGGAGTGTCAGAGGAGGTGTCTAATTTAGTAAAACAACATTTTCAATGCGGAGTGATGAAAAAATGAGAAAAGAAATTTCAATTTTAGGCGACACTCACAATGCCTACAACCTTGCGCCTTTCAAAATTTGTTACAGTGGTTTAAATCTACCCGTTTCCATTTCGCGTCGATAAACATCTAAGTGTTTGCGGTGCGCACAAAAGTTTCTTAAAAGCTACTGGCTAAAATAAAAAAAAACATCCTCCTTCTAAGATATCACAATGAACCAGACTGTACCGGAAGTCGTAAGGGAAATGGCCACTATCTATAGTTTACCTTAATGAATAAGAAGACGAGGTTAGCTTGAATTTTTTATGAGATGTCTCCTGTGTATATGAAGATTTTAGAAAGCGATTTTGTTCAAACGAGATGGCTTCATGAAACACTTCGAAAGGAGAGCAGATCAATCCTAAATCGATGTTCATCTGCTAACACTTTTTAATACAATTAAGAGAAAACAAGCAATTGGAAAGCATTGCGCTGAAATGCGAGATTTCGGTGATAATGTCAACTTTGTATCTTTTGCGAGCCACCGGAAGAATACCACCCACCATATTAACCAATCACAGCGCGCGTAGTAGCAGAAAGATCAAAGTTACTTTTGGCATTATTTGAGTTTTGAAAACGTAAAAGCTAACAAATAATTTCGGTAGGGGGCATTTCGTGGGAGTGTCATGGGAGTTGCCCATAGAAATGTTTCATCGGCCTAATAATGCACGTTATCAATCTCTTTAAAAGCTATCGGGAAAAGGAATAGAAAAGAATAGAACCTAAAAATATGGCAAACCTCCTTCTATGATATCGCGGTGATGGATGGAGTGTCAAAAATCGAAGACGAAATGGCAAGGCTCTATAGCTTACCTTACAGACCGAGAAGATGAGGTTTGTAAGATGTTCTTACGTGATATTTCCTGTGTACATGAAGATTCTTGGAAACGATTGCTATTCCAACGGAATGGCTATAAAATGACTAACGCACTTTAAAAGAAGAACGGTTCGATTCGAAATCGCGGTTCATTTGTTAGCACTCTTTGGAACAATTAACAGGAAGCAAATGATTAAGAACAATTGGCAATGAAACGCGAGATTTCGGCGACAAGGTCAATTTTGTATAGATTGCAAGCCGCCGGGTAAATACAACTCGCTTATGTAACCAATCACAGCGCGTAGTAGCTGAGAGATGGAGTAATTTTTGTCATCGGTTGAATTATGAAAACGGAAAAGGCAAACATGAATAATTTCTGTTAGGGGTATTTCGTGGGAGTGCCCTGGGAGGTGCCATATCTCATAAAAAGTTTGAAAAATGTGAAGATAACTTAGTTTCACCAGACAATACTCTCGTTACCTGCTCTTTGCGCGGTTCAAGGGCGATCGATCGTGTTAATGAACAACTAAGTATTACATCTGCCTGTCGAAACATGGCGACAACCTCTGAAACACGGTTTTGCAATGCCCCCGCTGTTATCGACAATAAATTTTTTTTTAAAATACTGATTTCCTAAAGAGAAAAGGAGCTTTAAATGTTTCTTTTTCGTAGAGGCTTTGAAGAGTAACAATAGCTTTGAATCCTAAACTGTTGATAGCTTTTATAAAAGTGATTGATGATGGTAAATATTGAGTTCTGCCAAGTGATAAATTGACCGGATTTAATTGCAAACGTTTCAATAAGTTGGTGCTGATTGCTTGAAGCAAGTTTGAAATCTTTCTAAGTCAAATAAGCCTTTTATGTTCTCCAAATTAAATGTAAACATTATGGCAGATGGAAATGGGGAGTATTTCATATACTTTTTCCTCAAAAGCGTGGATACGATTTAAAATTAATTATTTTTTGAGCGGCCCTAGTGGAATAAAGCCAAGTGTTATGAACTGGCTCGGAATTCATCCTTCGAGGAAATTAAATATTTTATCTTTGGAACCAATTTTTGTTGGACTAATCAGGCGTCCTTTGTGGCGAGCATCAGTTTAGCTTTAAAATAAACATTCGGCATATAATTACGCTTCGTAATGATGTTGTGCATTAGATTTCTTATGCTGGAAAATTCAATCAGTAGGAAAGTCGAGTTGATATCTCCAATTTTCAGATATTTTACCCTTCTCTCCATAATCAAATTCACTCAGTAGATGTCAGTATATTTCCTGACTAAACTTACATCGACTCCTTCGTGAATCAAGTTTCTTCAAAGATTAAGCTAATACTAGGGCAGAATTCTTCATAATCTACTTGAAGTCGACTGTTGTTGTTGTGCACGGAGAAGGTGTTTAATTGAAAAACATGAACTGAATTTAAAGCTGTCGGACTGTTCTTACGGATTTCTTGCATTCTGTTTCGGTCATTCAGCTGTAAATTTTTGTCAAAGATGTATCTCCGATTCTGATTTAAACTGATACCTAAAACTTTAAACTCTTCATGTCTTTTAGTTTCTTTATCTTCAAGCGCTTCTGTCGACCTCTCAATCAATTTCAGTTTGATCTCCTCGTTAGATTTTAGAGTGAAACCACCGACAGTTTTAACAAAAAAAACGAATTAATTAGGACTAATTCATGAAAAAACCTGAAATTGCGAAATCACGATTGGATATGTTTCATTTCAGCCAACCGACAATTTTCATAATTAACATGCAACACTCTGTTTACTTTATTACTCTCCAAGTAGTCCGGTTTCTTTGAAATCTGCAGACGGAAAATAAATATTTGGAAATTTGTCTCAATTGCATTTTTTTGCAACAAAATTTTGGTGAGAACCCAACCCAGCCTTGTTTCCTTTACGCCTGGTTTTCGTGTCTTTTTTTCCACGATGTTCCAATTTTCCCATCACATTTCTGAATCCCTATTTCTCATTTAGCATAGCCAAACATGAAACATAACATTACAAATAAATGAAAGAAAAGGTTATCTTAACGGAGAATATTTCAGTGAAAGAAGAGAAAGCTTATTTAGAATGAAAAAAGAAATCTCGGACTTACCTCTTCTTCGTGAAAAAAAAGGAAACTTTTGCAGTTTCCTTCTTTGGTCGAGTTTTATAATAAAGACAAAGTTTCCTCCCAAGGCACAATTCAAAAACTTGCCGAGAAAACTTTAGTTACGATGTTTAATATGCACATATGTTGAAGCAGTGATTTCACACGCTATCACTGAAGTAATTTCGAACGCCTTTTGATGCTTGTAACTTTCGGCTGACAAAATAAATCTCAAAACTTTGGTTTCTTCTGTCGAGAAAAAAAAACCCCGCCATAGTATAGAAAGAGATAATTGACCGCACCTACACAAAGTTACGAGAAGATATTACGGAACTGATTTCAGATTAAATGCTAAAAAAAAATACGTTACTACTTCAACTTCATATGTAAATTTAACAACTTACGTCGGTTGTCATTGAATAAAAGCCAAAGTACTGACAAAACAATAGAAAGGTCATTTGGAAATAAATTCCATTTCCGATTTAAAAGAACCTTCATTCAGATAACAGCCTTCACGCATTTGACAGAATTTTTTCTTTGCCGATGGAGCAAACATTGCAGCGGCCAAGGGAGGTTTTAAGACTGGCGGGTAAGAGTCTGACATTCTCGACAAAGTAGAAATATGAAGCTGTTAAACATAGTCATTTGAAAAGCTTTCAAGTTAGTGGCGCAGTTTGACACCTACGTGAATGCACTTTACTGGGTGAAAAAATCACTGCCCCGTGATGTACTTTATAAAGGCCTCGGAAGAAATATTATCTTTAAATGAAAGAAATTTAAATACCTTTAACTATTCATGACAGGCACTGTAATCTCTGTATTAAAGTTGAGGATAACGTCACTGAAATTTAGAGAGAGTAATTATAAAATGCTGCATTCATGGTGGACTTTTTCTGTCTTTTAAAGTGCGAAACTTTTCATTCTCCAAACAGCAGGAAAAGTTAGGCATTTAATCGTAACGTCAAAGTATGGCAAGGCACAAAAACTAACCTAGCTAATTATCGGCGAACAATATCAGGGGAGAAAAAAAGAATGAAAGATTTACTTTGCGTTTGGTTTGGAAAGTCATTGAAATGATGTCTTGATCCTCAGTCAGTTACTTAAGATTTTATCATCGGAAAAGTCGACATTTTTTGTGCGTGTCTATGTGCTTCGCCGCACGGAAGTCTCAAAAATAACATCGTCGTCTAAGACTTTTAAAGATAAATAGAGGAAGATAGCTTACGTCCGCTTTCGAAGGTAATTCTCATATTAAATTTGAGCCCCAAAATAGACCAAGAAAGCAATCTTTAAAAAAGTCGAACATAATGCAGTTTTAGTTGTTATCTCTCCAAGACATCTACGTTAAAACACTTCGAAAGATTTAATGTAATGATTTTGGAAAAGTTATTAATTTCTAAAAATAGAATATTTTGCCCTGTCGACGGGCAACTGAAACACTTGTCAGACTGCTTATTAAAGGTCCCTTCAGGTAAAATTAAATTGTTGAAGTGAATGTTGAAAAGCTCAGCTGTTGGCGACTGATCGTATTCGTCATTTACTGAAGTAAGGGCTTTTGTTACTCTCGAAAGAGCTCAACTTATCAGCTTAAACTGATTATAAAATTGCGATATTTTTCCCTTTTATACGCCGGACAAATTCCACAATCGGAAAATAGGTTTACCAGAGACCAAGGCAACATTGTCAAGCCTCAAACATGTCTCCAAGATCCAGCAAGATCTTGTATGACGAACATTTAAGAGATGACAATGTTAATAGTGGCAGCATAAAGGAGGTGAACAAAACTTACTTATGTAAATGACTTGCCAACAAGGATTGCAAGCGAAACTGTACAAGTTTTACCTAACATTCTACCCTTGGGGGTTTTACATTGAAAAGTACTAATGCGTAAAGCGATCACAAATATATCTTAAAAGGAAATCTTTTTAGTGCTTTACGTTATGTTTAAGGCTGATCCAAATGCAGGGTTGCATTAATAAAACATCCGGTATTTCATTTATGGGTACGTTTGTATACACAGTCAGTCTAATTAATGAAAAATGTCTTTTACACGAGCTCTATTCATTTTCGAACAAGTTTACAATGTCCTACAATATTTAATGGCACTTATGGAGAAAGAAGTTTAAAATTACTCTCCAAGAATCCTTTATCTTCTTGCGAACTATTTCCACATCGCTTTAATTTATTGCATACTGAGGTTTTCAAGAAAGACTTATTGTTAAAAAAAAAGAAAAAAAAACCACTTGCTAAGGTTTCTTTTAAACCGTAGTCGCTCAACTAATATGTACATTGGGAGTAGGTATCTGCCGCCACAATCTGAAAGACGGGATTGCCTGACTTAAGTGTTCCGTTGCAGTCACGCGATAACGATGACAGAATTTGTTCAGTTTTTGTATCAAACAATCTCTTAATCATCAGCTTCGCTGTCGCCGCTTTCCTCGTCTCCACTGGCGGCTTCTCCGACGTTAATCTTGAACGGATATTCTTGATCACACCCCATGTATGTGTCACACATAAAAAACAGAGTATAAGAGTAGTTCCCAGGCGAACTCGGAGCCACAAAGTCCAGTTTAACCTTGGCCTTCTGTTGAAGCGTAAGACGCTTGATCGAAATTAATCTGAAAGAAAAAGAAACGTTTCAAAAGAGCTTAGTTACGATTCGCGATTATTTTTTTTTTTGTCATATGTAAACTTTCTTACTACTGAAAAAAAAAATAGAAGTGACAACTTACGGCGTTTCTGTTAAATAGGTTTTTATCTACCTAGGCTGAAAAAAAACATATTCTCTTCGCTATAAATATTCCTTTACAGACAATTTTTTAGGTATGTATTCATATTAAAAAAAAGATGGTGGCAAGTTTTAGCTCAGTCGTCGAATAAAGTAAAATGTCGTTTATCTGCTCGCGGACTTGCAACAACAACATAATTCCCCCAAGGAATCGATTTCTGATTTTGCGCTCCGATACGGTAACAATGAGCTACAAAGTAACTCTTTTAAAATATTAACAAAAATAATTAATAAACTTCTCAAACTTCTAAACGGCTTAAAGTACACGCGTCGGCATAATAACTTGGTGACGATCTGAAGGCTGGCTCGTATCGCTGTTAAGCACTAGAGGATCTTTGTCACATAGTCTCATCTCAACACCGGAAGAAGGGAGAATTTGAGAAAATCATCCAAATCTGAGAAGCCTCTGGTGGTTTATAAAACTATCGACAAGAGACCTAGAGCTTTAATAGAATATTTTAAAAAAAATACAGAACAAGTGTTTAAGTCTAAGACTTAACGAATGAGTTTACATACGATTATTTTAACACAACTATCGACCAATTTGAGTGCGAAAACCATATGAAATATATAATAAATATCTCTAATTCATCTTGGTTTGCTTTGTGATTAAAATAAGTCTGAATCTAAAAGTGCCGTCTTCTTACCCATTGTTCTTGGTGTCCCCAATAACTAGCCACCAGCCCTCTTCTCTCTTTCCCGGAAAGAACGGTGCAATCACCGGGCCTGGCTGCTCATCCTCACGATCAAGGTCCACAACAACATTCACAGGAGAGCCCCTTCAAATAAGGAACCAAGGAATATCATGTTTAGTCCAGGGAACCACAATTGCAATAAAGCGCGCTATCAATGTCATCTACACAATAATTCACAAACTCAGTGCTACAGATTCCTGGACTAACACACATAATGACGATATTCATAATTCTGGGAGAAACAGCGGAACAATGGAGGATGCAGTTTGAACTTACGCAGAGATATCGTCCTTATCCTGTACCTCAAAGGACAATTCAATGTTTGGATATCGGTTACAAAATCTGGCAACATCCTGCAATGAAAGAAAGGTAGAACAGTTGGGAAAGAGAGGCAGACAGACAGACTCAGACAGACAGACAGACAGACAGACAGACAGACAGACCGACAGACCAACCGACAGACAGACAGACAGACAGAACGAATGACGAATGACCGACTGACCGACAGACAGAGACGTAGCAACATACGTTTATTTTTAACTAAACATAGCAGTTTCTTACCTGCATCTGGCTGTCATCCAGTTTCAAAAGTTTGTTTCTTTCATCGTCTTCCAAGTCCATGATGTCAAACACTGATTCCACTCCCTGAAATATACCGCATGAAAATTTCTTTTATTGTGCTTACAATATCAGAAAGTTTCTCGCATTTAACAAGTCAATTCAGAGCCACTTCGTGATGAGTGAACGTTATACTCTGTGAGCATTACAATGCATCCTTGAGCAAATGGGCGTAACCCTAATGTTAATTGCCTTTACAGTACCTTATCAACGCATCGTTTGATTATCTCCGAGCTGAAATGAGGAATTTGTTTCAGGTAGGAATCTTTGCTCCACATGGCCTGAGTAACCTACATAAAGGAAATGAGAACTGTGAATACTACTACTAATAAAAATTTCCGCACCACGGTATTCCGAAATTGCATAAGCTCGCCCAACTTCGCTTGGTGATTGGTTTTGAACTCTCAAACCACCCTTCAGACCAATCTTTATTTGAGTGTCGAAAATATTCCGTAATTACATTGGTTTTGCATTACTTCGCACTGTGATATGACCAAAGAATTTCGCACCACCCCCCCTCAACCAATCAAATGCAAAACTAAAACCATACACGACTTGGTCGCCCGCGTTTTGCCGCCCGCGTTTCCCCGCGCTTTAGACAGTTTGGTTGTTATCACTCTGACTTCCCATTGGCTCTAAAAGGTATTTTCTTTTCATCTGATTGGCCGTTGATTTTACTTTGGTTTTGGTTTTGGTTTTACCATAATCAATCAAGTGCTCAAAAACCAATCGGATGCGAAACTAAAACCATTCGCGACTTGGTCACATGCATTTTCCCGCGCTCCAGTCATTTTTGCTCGTTTTCATGTTGAACTCTCATTGGCTCCTTGTGACATTTTCGTTTGTTCTAATAAGGCATAGTAATAACTTTGGTTTTCACTCCACGACAATAGAGCGAAAAGAGCTCTCAAGACTTTCAAAATCCTTCATCTCTCTCTTTTGAGAGTGCGCACGCGCCCACTTACCATTTGGGCAAGCTCCATGGCGGCCAGCGCAGGTGACAGCCATCCGTTGCTGCTCAACACATCTACACAGGCTTGAACAAGACGCATGGCCTGGGAAAAAAAAGGGAAAGATAGTTGCAGTACAATCCAATAAATATCCTCTAGATATGATCCTCAGCACTGAAAAAACCTAGGAATAGAAACCCGCTTGCTCCACATATCTACACCTATAGTTAGTTTCATCTTTCACTCGCCCTCCCGCTTTTTCGTTAGATCGTTTGAATCTACTACACCGTTTTCTTGTTGACTCGTTCGTAAGCTTGATCGTTCCATCGTGTTTGTGAGCTCTTTCGGTAGTTTATTCGAGTACTCGTTCGTCCACTCATACCTAGTTTCACTCTCACTCGTTTCTTCGTTCGTTCGCTTGCTAGTTCGTTTATCTGTTCCCGCGTTCGTTTACGTCCAATCTTTCGCTAGCTCACTCGTTTGTTCGCGATCACGCGTAAATCGTCCTGTTTACTCGTTCGTTCTCTAGGCTGGTTTTTTCACTAGCCAGCCTTCCGTCACTCTACTACTCTATTACTCTACCACTCTCCTTCATACCTTGCCAAGGATGGTCTCTGTGTCTGACTGCATCTCAGCCGACAGTTGCATCCGGGACATATGAGCTTGGATGAGCAGGTTTGTCTTGACGTGAGGATCGTTATACTTGGGATTTGCGACTTTGTGGGGCACTCGATTCATAAGCTAAAACAGAAAGAGAGCAGCGACTTCACCACAGTGCCAGGTTTGCCTTCTAGACTAACCCACACTGCAGCCACAGCTTGGCCGTTTGACCCGCCTTAAGAGCGACTAGCATATAACTTCCCCTTAAAATATTAACCCTAAATCGCACATTAAGGTCATGAGAATTAAAGAATGATCACCAACTAAATTGAGTCGTATCAACTAAGTTGAAAACGTAAATTGGCCACGGTAAAGGGTAAAAAAGCTGACGTTTCCAGCGTTAGCCCTTCGTCAGAGCAGAGACGAAGGGCTAACGTTGGAAACGTCAGCTTTTTTTTTACCCTTTACCTTGGCCAATTTACGTTTTCAACTCAGTTGTTAACACTAAATTACCAGCTATACTCTCCCACCGACGCAGCACCACAGTTTAGTTAGAAACTTACCCCCTTTAAATTGGGTGGTGATTGTTAAAAAAATTCTCCTTGTCGGCACCTCAGGAAATGTATAGAGAACAGTATAGAGAGTGTGCATACTGATGTTAGGGTCTAAAGGGTTAAATTTATTATACTGATCCTTATCCCTCACTGATCATTATCATAAACCAAATAATCCACATGGCTTTCTTCAGAATCAGGTAAAGCATGGGTTTGTTTTAATCATTTTGATCAGCAGGTTCCATTTTTACCGCTATCCTTTGAAAATTCAAAGAAAAAGCAAGTTGGGGAAAATTCGATTTCTGTACCACAAGGTGACTAGGAGTATCGCTACATTTGAATGTATCACGTCAAGTCTTTCTGACCGTCCGTTTGTAGGTCGGTACCCATTTAATCGTTTGATCACCACACCCCCGCGCAGTAACCTCGATCACTATCGTAAAATTTAAACATTCAAGTTGGAATTCTCAGGAGGGTGGGCTCCAGGTCTCTCTCACCTGTTTCAAAGTGGTGTCCTCGTGGTGTCTGATGGGAAGTCTCTCGTATTCATAAGCGGATGAGATGATTTCTATCAAGCCTCGTAGCTTTGTCTTTGCGTTTAATGACACACTGAACAACTCTGAAAAGTGAAACGAAACAGATGGTTGGACAAATGGTTCGAATCTAATAAACAATAACAATAGGAAAGTTTAATTGAGACTTGTTGCTATGCAATGTTTTGCCTTCGTACTTCTTCAAAAAATCAATTTCGAAATCTATAGTTGGCTTATACTTCTATTTCCTCGCTCAGAACTCTTTTTTTGTCTTCAGTCAACGACTAAAAATTGTGATCATATGGCGAAATATGAAGTCAACTAACAAGATCTGAAAAAACTACCATCTTCACCTTTTCAATTGACACACAAGACCTTACCAATAGTTGTGTAGTTGATGTAGTAATAAGCTGCGATCATTCCAAGATTTAACGGCGATACATCCATTTCATCCTCAATCGACAAACACTACAAGAGAAGAATACAAGAAATATGAATCGATAGATTACTGTTTATTCTGTATGTAACCCGTACACTTTTATTAACCTTTCATCCTAAGATCCAATAACAAATTCTCCTTGCTCACTGCCATACGATTCCTAGTAAATTGTTCAGAAGAATTTGGTTTAACCCCAAAATAACATTATTTAGCATGTAAGTTTGTCTGTTCTCATAACATGTTTGCAAGATGACATAACGTCTTTGAATGGCAATGAGGAGTTACCAGGTAATCACTTTTGGGGGTTCAAAGGTTTTTAATTCAGTATCGATAATTATTTGACATGCATACTGTACCTTGGATTGTTCCAGGTCGTTAAGGGTGTTTTCCACCATATCTGACATGTGATCTGACAGATGACGATGAGTGACACCTATGTGGAGGAAAGCAATGAACATGCGAAGTGTGAAAGCATGTAACCAGCTGGAGTTTGGGAAGAGCACCCGTACGGCTTTCCTCTTTAATGATGGCAATAGATAACAAACCTAAAGTCATCAGTGTTTTAAACGTCAATTTTCACATCGAGGAAAACTGCTCCTTTTTTGTTAATGTTATTCTTTTATTGCACCTAACTGGCCAGAGAAGCACCTTCAAACCTAATCAAATACTTTCCGAGGGGACCATTCAAAATATATTGTGCGCGCAATGAAACGAAAAGCAAAACACATATCGTTTTAACCAAGTGCTAAAAGTAATTTTGTCCTTGATTGTACTGAAGTCTAAGGCTGAGAAAAATTCCATGAATCATCTAAAAATAACCAAATGAGCTGCAAAGGACACAACACGCGCTCTATTGAAGTAATTAGCAGATGAAATCAAAATTGAACTTGCAAAATGGTTTGGTTAAATTTCAAAGAGAAGCGCTCTTATGCGTCAAAATTTCCCACTGAAAGATTAAAATAACGCGCAATTCACCTTGTAAATTGTAGTAGTTTGGATTCTGTGTCATTCTGCGGTACAGGAAGGTCCATGTGAGGTAATCTACGGCGTCTTGTTTGTTCTCCACGGTCTTCGTTACAACCTCAGCATTAAAATGGTCGTGCAGACAGTGATCCAAATGCGACTGAAACCGTTCAGAAAAGTTTACATAAATATTTTAGTTACCAGAAGCGATTTACAACAGCTGGCACATTCAAATACCGCGAGCAAACAGGGAGAGGGGAGGGGAGGGGAGGGGGAAGTGGGGAACAAGTCAGAGGACATTAGTTACCAGTCCTACCCCACTCTCCGCTTAGTAACTCGGTGCAGCTCTCGAGCGACAAGCCTGCTCAGAGACTAACTTTGTCCGTTCGTTGACTTATTAGTTTGTCTGTTTGTTTGTTTTTCCGCCAAATTTCAAAACCAAAGATACCGCCCTAAGACTAGTGCAAACAAATACGTAAAAAATCGACATCCAGCGAGCAAGACACGTACGCTCTTTTCGGATTTCTATTCCAAAGGATAACACTCACCTCTATAGGCAGAGGCTCATAAAGGAACTTTTTAAAGTATTCTTTTTTCGAGGCTTGGCAGAGAATTACAGCTTTTCCGGAGTCGTCTAACAGTGGTCTATTTGCTCGGCCGATCATCTGCAACACATCTGTGACTGGATAGTCTACGTAACTATAATGAAAGAAAGAAGAAAAAAATATCTTACACAGTTGGATATATATTAAATTCTGTATCGAAACATAGTAGGATTTTTATCATCGATCATTTTCTGTGATAAGAAACCTCGCCTGAATTTTCACCTAATCAAATACAATCTAATGTCTTCTCGAACACAGGGCAAGAAAGAGGTTGAGACCAAGTCAAGGGTTCGATAAATTTTCTCATGGGCGGCAGATAGCGCATTAGGCAGCTGCGCCGTAGGGTGTAACCCAAAAACGGGTTCGCAACTTCAACAGGCGGCAAGAGGTCTTACAGTCGGCGGATGACCGCTGGTAACTTGCTTTCATTGAAACCCTTGCCAAGTTCTTATCCCTTGAGTCTGATCAACCGTTGAGGTTTCCTATGCTTTCTAATGGTTTCAGTTCAATCAAAATGCGCTCGGTAGGAGAACAGAAAAAGTTACACGTCTCAAAATTTTCGGAAACGAAGTACTCCCAAAAATCTTTTGTTTTCATTACGACTCGAGGATATTTTTCGCCTGGCTCTTCCCTTGACTTATTGTAAAACAAGCGAACAGAATGGCGCTACAAAGGGTAGTTCGACTTACGTGTGGATCTTTCCTTCGTAGAACTGTGTGTCCATGATGATCACCAGATGAGCACTCATGTCAATCGCCCAGGCAAGATTGCGTGACACGACCACCACCTGTAACGCAAACAGTCACAAAAAAACTGGTTTTTACATGACGAGACCAATACAAGGTAACGAAGGAAGCAAGAGACCTCCATCCTCATTAATTTTTCACGTGTTACAGAGATTTCCTGAACTAAGCTGTGGATTACCTGAATGGCGCCAGAGTTGAACAGCTGTTCCACAATCTTCGTTTCACCTTCAGACAGTCCCTCGTGTAAATAAGCCACACCATAACTGACAGTCTCCTTTAAAGTCTGGAGAAGAGAATTACTTTGTTATCAAATTTACGCAACGTACCTTCTTTTCAAAACATAACTATCGTGGGAAAAACATTAACCCTTCTTTCTCAGATAACACATACGGGGAAACTCATTTAACAATTTCACTCCCGAGATCTCATTAGAAATTTTCCTTACCGTCTTTTATACAATTCGTATGATGTTAGTTCAGAGAAGGTAAGATTAACAATCAACTATGGATATATTTCTTTATTCTCATCACTTGTCTTCTTGGTATTGTGTTGATATTGTAAGGAGAAATTCTATCTTGGTCACTCATGGGAGATAAAGCGTTAAATCCTCTCCTATATGAGCGAATCAAAAGTGACCAAAAATTTCGCAAAACACTGCCATCCCGATAAAAATGTAATACAGACAAAAACAATTTCCTATCCAAAGGTTCAATCCACCCTATGTACGATGCTTTAGCAGTTCGTGTACTCTACCTAGATCACCGCCCATGGTACACAACTGCCCTTTCATTCTCAGTCATTTTATAACCATTCGACGGCAAACGCAATTAGCAAATTCTTTACCTTGTCGTTCAAACGCTTCACAAAAGGCTGAAGATCTTCCTCGGTGCAATGCAGGAACCTAAACAGAATAACATATTTTTTTTCTAAGAGGAAAGGGTGACTTGGTAACCTTGAAACGGTTCAGACCTGTACGAATTCATTGAATAATTTTAGTTTGCAATCAAAATAAAAAACTGATTCTTTAGATCGCTTTTAGGCTCACCTCTCCGCATCATTCTCGGCGCCAGAGAAGGTCAGCAGATCCAACGCAGTGAGTTTAGTTTGTCTTCTGGAAGGCACAAACACAATGACAGGTTTCTTGGGAGAATGTTTCACGATGGCCTGATAGGTAGGTTTAGTCATGGCGATCAGACGAGATGCTGTATGAGTGATGTTAAAACCCTAAAAAAAAATCAAACATTTTAAAATTCAAATGCAATAAAAATGGAGTGAAAAGAATGTTTTGACTATTTATATTCGCTATCGCCCAAGCGTTTGGTCATCAACAGGGAAATAAGCCCTTTTTCCGTTTTTAGAGACCGGTCATTATTCATTGCGGAGTTGAATTGGGTTGGAGGGTCAGAAGATTTTGGTTACCCTTGGTTACCCTTTGGTTACCCTTACCCGAACCCCCATAAGGCTTTGTAATATTCTTATGACCCCTTCTAATTGTCAGTTTATGGGCAATTTATTTTCTTTAGTTCCCCTTTAAACTGCGTTAGCGACGACTCATCCCACCTCCGTTTCCCCTGAAAACCATTTGACCCCCCTCCCCCCTAAAAAATCCTCCCCCAACGGCCATAAAAATGACTGGCACCTTGAGGGGGAATTAAGATCTATTAAGACACAAAAACTGAAGAGGTCAAGATGCAACCTTCCTCCCCGATAAAGCTTGTTTAATAAGGCAATTATTGTACTAACGAAACTCGACATATTTTTCTTTGTTTGAACTGTCTTCAAAACACACAATTAGCTGTATTTCGCAATTCCAATGGCATGTTCCAAGCGTTCACTCTGTAAACAGGTCGCTTGTGAATGGGATATAATAGTGGCGCTGAGCGAAATAAGACTTAAGGTTTGCTTTTTTTTCTTTAAATGAACGCCTACAACAGGTTATTCTTGTTGAGAAAAAAAACAAGTCGCAAAAATTTAAAAAAAAATTTATAGGAGGATGGCTATGAATAAAGAAGATACACGCGGATTTCACACAACGTTTCGAGATTTAGTGTGGTGTACAAGCCAATGGAATCCTATTCATTTGAGCACGTTGTGACAAATCTTAAAGTTGAAGAGGCTTAGTTACCTGTATGTGAAGCTCCAGTGGAACAGGTCTCACGTTTGGATGGAAGTTGAACAATCCAGTCGGCCCAACTCCAAGCCACTGAGAAACATCCTGTGGTTATAAGCAGAACAGAACTTCGTCAGTCTTATAACGTTACATTTACCTCCCATTTTGAAAATTCACAGCAAAGGAACATGGTTATTTAATCTCTCCAAGATAACCTTCCTAATTTACAAACCTTAGCATTTGCCAGAGAAGAGCTAAGGGCCACAACTCGGATATTCCTCTCGATCTGTGACGAGATGTATCTCATTCGAGAACAGATCACCTCCATCACAGGCTGAAACACAAACAAACAGTGCATTAAACAAGAAATTGAAATTTGTGTCTTTTAGTTACAATAAACTGACGGATGTTTCACATCAAACCATGCATCAATATTGAATATCGATAATTCATATCCTCCTATCAACTTAAAACAAAATTTGTAAGGGGGGGGAGGAGGGGGGAAAAGAAACATTCTACTCCTCCCCACTCACTCGGCTGACAAACGCAGGCAAAAATACCATCAGTATGAAGTTAGCGCGCGAAAACATATCAGCAGTGTTTAGCAAGGGAAACACGCACGAGTGAGCCGACTCTAAGTCGCGAACATGCTCAAAATTGTTATCAAAGAAAGCAAGTTTTGTTTCTGATACAAAACATAATTTCTTTTACATGAAAAACACGAAGATAAAAGTACAGGTTTTACAGAGAAGAAAAACTTAAAGCAACACTTAACGCAAGGTAATTCTTACCCCCGATTCACCGCCGATCAAATGAGCTTCATCCAAGATAAACAAATGTACATTCTGCACGTTTTTTCTTTGTTTCCATCGTCGGGACAACACATCCCACTGCTCTGGAGTGCTAACTATCACGTTACCCTGAAGAAATAAAGTAATCCATCACTCGAATCCTGACGTACGAAGCTATGTTTTTTACCCTGAGCAATCCCTTATCTGCTGAGAAAGATGCTTCCGTAAGCAAAAGAGATTAAGGTCAACCAATCTCCGCCAGTTCATACGACATTTAATCACGCGCATACATACTGGGGGCGTCATTGCTGCGCTGGAACGGGGACTGAGTTTTCAGGGGGGAGCGGAAGAGGGATCAGAAGTCGTCAACAGAGTAAAAAGAGGAGGGGGAAGGACGATGGAAAATTGACCGCCAATTAACTGCCAAAGAGTGGGGGGCAAAAGAATATTACAGAGCTTTAAGGGAGGGCTCAGGTAAATTTTATCGTGGAAAAAACAAAATCTTCCGACCCCCTCTCTCCCCAGGCGAAAACACATGACCGGTCCCTTGACACAAACCTTAGCGAGAAGCTTGAGGTCAGCGCTAGTTTCTCCCGTCAGTTTCACAACGTTCTTCCCCAGCTGTAATCCAAACTTACTCTGCCAGTCCGTATACACCTGACGGAAAACAAGACATCTCTACATTAACAGGTCACAGAGAAAAACAGATTTATCGCTTCCCCTCAGAGAAGCGAAGTTTTAATGATTCCAAAAATCTTCCGTAACGGAACAGTTTCAGCCTCTGTTCCACATAAATGCACTACAGACAAGACCAAACAAATGAAAAGGGTATGTTATTGGCTTGTTCACCAAACATGTTTTCACATCCCTTGATATTCTATTAAATATAATTAGAAATTTGCAACCTCATGCCGTCCTAATATCAACATAGTTGAATTCAGGATGAATTATATGTTTTAAATCATTGGTTGCATCACTAAAGCGAATCATGAAGACATTGAGCCTGTGCGGAAAACCAAGCAGGGAATAAAGGGCCAGAAAATATTTGATGTCGTATGAGTCAAGTGCGAAAAACACGGACACTAAACGCGGGGGGAAAAAAAGCGCGACCGGAGCCAAGCGCGGGAAAAAAAGCCCATTCGGAGACAAGCGTGGGAAAACAAGAAGACAGACCAAGCGCGGGAAAACAAGAAACCCGAGCCAAGCGCAGGAAAACAACGCAACCGGAGCCAAGCGCGGGAAAACCAAGATGACGTAGCAAAGTGCGGGAAAACTAGACAACCAAAGCCAAGCGAGGGAAAAGAAGACAACCGAAGCCAAGCGCGGAAAACAAGACAAACGCTCAAAGCGCAAGAAAAACAAAATACCGCAACAAAACGCGGGAAAACAGGAAATTTGTGCAGATAGTGGGGAAAAAGGTAGTTATCAAAACATGAAATTAAATTTACTTTATAACAGAAAACATAAGCAACAAACGCCGAGTGCACACATGGCGCACATGTGACCACTGACGGATGAACAGTTCACGTTAACTTTCTTTCAAAGCTCTTACCTGGTCAGCAAGGGACTGCAACGGAGTTACGTAAACACATCTGCAGTCAGGTGTTTGCTGAAGAAGTCGCAGCACTGCAAACTCCGCACAGATAGTCTTCCCACTGCCAGTGGGTGCTCCGATAAGAACATTTTCGTCTGAGTTGTACATGGTGTTGAAAACTGATCAAGGAAATAGAAAAAAGGAAGTCCAAACTACGATGAAAGCAGTCAATGAAATCTTCGGCCATGCTCTGCCTTCGGTCTAAATTCTATCGCGCAATCGTGGGAAATAAAGCGCAAAGTGCTGTACGCTTTTCCTCTGCCGTTAATGCTAATTTCTAATTAACTCCGTGATAGGTATCTGTTTTTACAAAAAACTTAAGGGAAGGATGGCGACTTAACGCGTTTTTATAGCTCAGCTACGAATGCAACCTCATGCCGTCCTAATATCAACATTGACTTCAGGTTAAATTAAACTTATTTAAAATCACTGGTTGCCTCAAATTAATGCATTTTGACATCAGACGTGGCTTCAATTTACGTTGGAGGATTTGAATAGAGCGTTTTTCAACAGCCAATCATATGAAGGAAAATATAACGAGGAGCCAAAGAGAACTGGAAGTGAAAACAAGCAAACTGCTTGAAGCGCGGTAAAACGCGAGTAACCAAGTCGCGCTTGATTAAAGTTTTGAATCTGATTGGTTGAGAAAGTGGCGCGAGTTTTCTGGACCAATCACAAAACGAAGTAAAGCAAAAACAAAGTAATCCCGGATTACTTTAGACATTCACTTGAAAACTACTTTAAATAACCCACAAGAAAAAACCAATCCTCTCAATATGAAATCATTGAATATTTTACCTTGTGTCTGTATGGGATTGAAGTAAGGGAACTTGTCCTTGTATAGACCTTCAAATGCTGGATTTCTCAGCGCAGAAACTGGCAAAGGTTGTAAATCTAGAAGTTCCGTGGGCGGAGGGTTCTTCTCAGGTAAAATCAAATGACGGAATGAAACTGGCAACTGAGTTTCTGAACCTAAAAGAACAAATTCAACAATCATCCACGTATAAACAAATATCGTTCGATTTCAACGTTTTTCTAAAATAACCTTTTTTCTCGCTCTCGCGTTCTTGATCATACTTTATCAAAGATTAGCATACACAAGCATTCATCACTGTAATTCACCGAGTATGAATGTCGAACATTAGTGACATTATAACATAATTTTTTAATCCACAACGATGGAACATAATATATGGACAACAGAGAAATTCAAACCACAGCTTATATCTTTCGAAATTGCTCTTTTGCTCTGGAGGACTGGAAAACAAAAACGGCCTTTAAATCAGGTAGCAAATAGTGTCCTGCACTGACGTTTGCTGTGCGTTCATGTAGAGTCTGATGCGCGTTTAAAAGTTAAACACACGAACGAGTTTCTCCCTGGCGCAATTAATAAAGTTTTGGTGGCATATCACTGAGCAGTGGTGTACGTCAGTATCTGAATTCTCCCCACTAAAAAATAAAATCTGTGCTTTATAAAGAGAATGGATGTCGAGAGTGAACCAAAGATTCTCACCCAGCCACTTGTCTGATACAATCCTGATAAAATATTGAGGGGGAAGCGGCTCGAACACAGGGACAAAGAACTTCAACGTGTGCTCATCCGTCGCAAACTTGCTCTTCAACAAAAAGTACTCGTGATGTAAGATGATTTCGCTGTCCACATCTTCCACAAAAATCCACATCGCCTCCGAGTTCCCGTGAACTTTCTCGTCCCACTGGAAGTCTGGGGTGATGGAAAGCTCGACACTGAGAGTGGATCTACAGAAGGAAAACAGGAAGTAGTTGGTTAAAGTGCTCTCCAACTTAGTGACGTAATTCACGTTATCAACACCACAGTGATTTGCAGGACCTTCCAGGACGGAACAGGACCAAGGTTAGCACATGCTATTTTCAAAAGGAAAAAACTTCTTGGTTCTCTCGCATTCAAAACCAACACAGTTTTATTTTTTTTAAATCAGATACCAGTAAGAACACCCGATAACAAGAACGACTTGTGATCTAAAACTTGATAAGTTCTTTTACCATTTACAGGATATGGTCAAGCCACACCAATGCAACCGCGTTGAAGTTTTAACATGAACAGATGACAAAATGCGTTCCGAAATCGCGCCCGTTAAGTTAGCAGATTTCACTTAAGGAGGTCCTAAGAAAAACTGAAATATGATTCCACACACTACCTACCTAGTTATGGGCTGAATATGGGTCGCAAGCTCCATTTTTGGAAGCTGATGTACAAACTTGTACAGCGTCTTTCCCATTTTGGGCATGTGCACTAACTCGCCGATCTCAGTGGCTCCCAAGTCGTAGTATCGCTCCCAAGGGAATTCCTTCTTCTCGATTCTCTTAATAACCTCCATGGGAATTTTCTTGAACTGTCGGAGAGGACTCATGGAAAGCCACCTTGATTGAGAGAAAATATCAACGTCTCTTATTGCGAATAACAGGCACACTAGATTTAAAATAATCTTAAAAGCTCTAACTACTATACATCACATACAACTCTTTTTAACCTTTTCTTGACGATAAACTAGTGAACAGCACTTTATGAACTGAAATAGTAAAAACTTGTTTTCATCTCTAACACGTTTCTTCTGACAATAGCAGATTTCTTCTGGGAGTTTTTCAAGCTAAGTAGATAAGCTTATTCATGAATAAATCGTAAATAAGATGTCTACTTTCGACCCTTCGACGACTATGACGACTACGTGATGTGTTTGGGAGTCACAAATTTGGTACTAAATCTGTGCAAGGTACGCAAAACGTTCTGTCCTAACTAAAAAAAAACATATAAAATATTTATCCAAGGGAATATCCTACTTACATTCGTTTGTCGATCATTTTACACAAATTCAAACATTTATCCGTCAACTGAGCCCAGCCTCGGTTCAAAACAATTTCAAAGATGGCTCTCATCAACCGCCCGGAGGACTGCAAAGGAGAAAAAAAAATTATTAAACTTTAACTAATGGCCCTGCAAAAGCACCAGCACAGAATTCAACTGAGTGTCGAAAGCATTAAAGGATTGCATTAACATGCTTCACTCTGCTTCGTGATTGGTCTACAAAACTCACGCCCCCTCTCAGCCAATCAGAAGCACAGCTAAAAGCAACTGTGACTCATGTTTTCCCGCGCCTTGTGTAGCTTGCTTCTTCTCAACCCAAGGTGTCGTTGGCTAATTGTGATATTTTCTTTGTTCTGATTGGCTGTCATAATACCCCACATCCTTGACTTTAAGACAGTGTCGAAAGAAGTTCTCCCTTAACGTTCACCTTGAATCACAGCTTTGTTTGAACTCAACGTCAAAGAAGTACTTTATAAAGATAACTACCACACTCGAAAAAACCTCTTGGCTTCGATTGTTACGATGCAGATAACGCCATCCATTGGAGAAATCTCTAAGCCGGTGGATTACGCTATACTTTTTGTTAACACTTATTCGCTGGATAACGTTGTCCATCCTTCGAACAACCGAGCCTTTACCTATTAAAAGCCAGTTGGTAACGTAAATTGGCCACCGTAAATAGTTTCAAAGCTGAAGTTTCGAGCGTTGGCACCTCGTCAATTACTCTGACGAAGGGCGAAAGTTCGAAACATCAGCTTTGTAATTCTTTGCGGTGGCCAATTTACGTCATCAACTCAGCTGATTATACTAAAGTACCCTGTTATACTCTCCCACCGACGCAGCACCACAATTTCTTTTGAAACGTACCCCCTTTTCCTAATAAAAACTGACCTGTGTGACATAAACCATGTCAGACATGAGAGCAAAACCTTCCAACTTCAGGTGAGAGATGTATGCTTGCAGTAACACATTAACCTGTCAACAGCAAGGGGAAAAAAAGGCAACAGTTGAGGATTTCCTATTCGATACCCAAATGAAATCTAAACTCTGTTAAAATTTTCCATGTCTTCAGACAACTATATGGCAGCTACAGCGAACGTTGTTCTCGCAACTGCCAAAGATGCCATCTGAAATATCACTGTTCCAAAGACTCGACCCTGCACACCAAAGAAAGGTATCCAGGAATTTGACACTTTGGGTTCATAGTACATTCACAGAATTGCCGATCCTTGCACGACCTCAATCAATGATTATTACAAAAGTTTTATGTGGTATTTTTACAGGAATGCTATTTGTGCAATATTGGCGCAATATTGGCACTCCTTGGTTACGTACGTGCAATTTCACTTTACATGATAAGCTGATCTGCGATCTATTGTAGAACAGACGCATAGAAGACGTAACCATTACCAACATTTGCTTTTTTATCATTTAAAACAAATGGGTCACGGGGTCTGTACCGTAACAGATCAGAGAAGACGGCATATTGTAGTGAGAACATCAGTGACACTCGGCTGCGCCTCATGTGCCACACATTTTACCAAATTTGGACGTCATTTTGATCTATCGCTGAACAGATACACAGCAACATAGAATCTATTTTTTCATCCTTTGCACCTTAACATCAGTATGCGTATTCTAAATACTGTTCTCCGCATAAATCCTAAGCTGCTAACAAGGATAATTTTTTAACAATCAAGAGCTTCTTAATAGTCGGTGATCATTTCCCTAATTCTTCTGACCTTAATGTTTGATTCAAGGGTGATCTTGTAAGGAGAATTTAAGTGCTCGTCAGTCTTAGGGGTTAAGGGGTTAAGCAGAAAACAGCACCTTACTTAACCAGGAAAACAACCGAAATTTTCACCTTAAAAACTAGACACAATACCATCACAACACCACATGCAGAATAACTTGAACAACACACGTCCCAAACTCTCACAGCTGTGCAACTGTTTACAAAATGAAAATACCTTAGCACTCGGCTCTTCAATGCTCTCCTTGACAGGGATAGGAACACGTTCTAACAGCTTGTTCAGTTCCAGCTTTTCTTCCTAGTGGGAAAAAATTAAACCGCAATGACATTATTTAAACTCGTGATACAATTTCTTGTAATTGTCCAATCTGCATGTCCAGGATCAAGTTGGAATACATACCTAGTGGCGTATATAGCCAGGGCCAATCACGGTTTCTACAGCATTCTTAAGAGAAACTGGAGGCACTGCTACCCACCTCTCCCCTCCCCCTTTTAGATGGGACCTCCTCCTTCTAGATGGGATGCTAGTCTATCATACGTATACTCGTTCATACTCCTAGATGGAGAGAGGTATGGCGAGAGTTCATTTCAGTGACAAGCCCCAGTCTCAAACCCAGACCTCTTTCCCAGACCGCAGCCCGTAAGGACACCTAACTCACATTTACATGACCTTTCATTTTGATTTCATTTATCGGTCTACCTCTCTAACAGTGATGTACTTGAACTCCGAAGACAGAGAAAACACTCTGAACAGCTCAATCTCACTCAGAGTAGGCTTCAGCAGGCTGTTGTATGTGGCAATAGTTTCTTGGGTGCAGTAATAATGGCTAGCAATACGACCTAATTCAGTCACCTGAAAGGAAAATCAAGGATAGCCATTAATGATGTGTACAAAAATTAATGCAAAACTGAAGAAAAGAAAAAAGAGCCAATTAAAAACAAAAAATCAGACTTTCCATCTCACCTGAAAGTTTCCAGATTTCTTGTCGTATTTCACCAAGTTGTTTTTGTCCAGCTGAGAGGCTGCTGAATGAATCAAGTCCGCCCTTCGCTAAATCATCAATTTAGACATAATACAGTTAGAATTGTGTCTTCTAAACTTTCCATCTTACTCTACTTTTTGCTTATTTATTTATTTATTTCTGACTCAAAGTAAAACTGTAATATTCAGGGACCAATTTTTTTAAATTTCCTGAAGCGCACCATATTTGCACCAAATTATTCAATAAAATGCGCCGCACTAAACAGCTATGCTGTAACCTCGCATTTACAAGTCAACATGAACATTGAGCTTGGTAATGGTTGAATTAGAGCAAGGTAATTTGCTTCAGTTTATCTACAATTTCTCTTCCAAAATCTTAGCTTTTTTGAGCAAAATGTTGCTTCAAAGGCAAAACAATCAGAGGAAGATCAACCCACACAACCACTAACAAGGAACCAGCATCTGCAAGAGCCATTCTCAAGAAAACAAGGATCAATTTAAAGCTTTGGATTAATTTCAATCACAAATCAGTTTCCAGGTAAATATTTTTTAATCGAAAACATCGGCTGGCATACTAAAACATGCCCACTGTATGCCACGAAGCTTTACATTTAAAAAGCCAAACCTGTTCAAGAAGTGGGTCCTTTTCGATCTCATCATGAGAGATCCCGTACAAGGAAGGATTTCTCAGCATTCGAATATACAAGTAAGTGTACCCTGATGAAAAAGAGTATTAAAATCAATAATCAAAAGCAGTTCTACAAGCTCCATAATTCCAAAAATGTGAGGAAGACTCAGTTTTGGATCACAAAGATGCCACATCTCACCTAACCAATGCACAGCCTCCTTAGCATTCTGCACTGTCCCCAGGACAATTTCAGCATTGAGATTGTCAGCCAGTTTATTGATAAACTGACTTTCAATGGGCAACTGAAGGAGATAAATCACTTAATTAGATGACTAAACAGGACTTGCGTATCTGAGACTAGCTGTGATGATTGAAAACTGTATCCTGAAGGGTTGAATATGAACACGACAAAAAAGCTACATGTAACTTCCCCCTGTTTACAAGAATTCTGTTATAATTTAAAGAAGTTAACCAATGATGGTTTGTTTGTCATCTGCATTTCAATCCATTTTTAAAATCTACCCCTACCACCCCCTCAGATCTCAGACGAAATTCTCCTTGATGTCTGCCAGACGATTCTCATGATGTTCCTTTGGAGAATTTGGTATTGGATCAACCAATAATTTTTCATTATTCTAATCACTTGTCTGCTTGATGTCGTATTGGTATTGGGATGAGAAATTCTGCCTTGGTCAGATGTGGGAGTTAAAGGCTGACCAGAATATTTCAAATAATTGTGTTTCCATGAGTTCATCTCAAAGAGAAGTGCAGTTACAAGCATTAGCCCTTCAACCTCCACAAGTGATCAGCATAGAACTTCTCCTAAAAAATCTCATTACACTTTTCAGCCACAGATAGAAAAAAGAAACAACCCTATCAAGTGGAGAATGTTTACTTGACACAACATCAAGTTACAAGGGAATACATAGCAACAAGAGGGGAGCATTAACCCTTTAATCCCTGAGAGTGACTAGCAGCTAATTCCTCCTTTCAAAATCCCCCCTGAATGTTAGCGTGTAAAGGACTAATCATCAGATTCTTGGAGTCACCTGTTGATTCATGAGTGAAAGGTAATACTGCAGTTCGCTGTGACTTGTTAACAGGATGCCTTCTCCCTTGGTGTCATACTGTGGACGACCTGCGCGCCCCAGCATCTGCATCACATCTAGTGCACCCAGCTCCACCCAGCGACCCTTCTCAGGATTGTAGATCTGTAAAAGCACAAAACTGCACTGTCAAAGATCATGTTGCTGCCCATCCTTGGTATCATTGCACACAAATCAAAGCAATACACTGACCAATGTTTGATTTCATAGCTTTTGTATATGCAACAGACTTACATGTACAATACCACTTGTGCATACTGTGGCACCCCAGATGCATGCCAAGTGCATGTAATAAGTGTAAATTACATGTCCATCAGAGTGCATAGGAACATATATGTGCCACAGAAACATAACAAACATGCAACGGTTTAACAAATGCGTGTATTCTAATGTCTTCTGTTATTCACTGTATGTATTAATTTTGCTATTGCTGTAGAAAATTGTATTTCACTTGACATGAAAAATGTGAAGTTGATCATTTAAATGATCTTTGATTCAACATTTCACCCTTCAGTTAATTGTACTTTCTTGTTAGTAATTTACTCTCCTTATGTAACAAGCATCCTTAATGTACAACTCCTGTCATCACAAATACTGTCTTTGAACAACATGAACATGCTTAGGTGAACTTTTAGATCAAAAGTGCCTCTGTCAAAAGTGTGAATCTTAGGGATTTGCCTTTCTCTCAATTAATAGTACAGTAAATATAATTTCTTATTTTGGAACTCTGCAGAATAGATTTTCTTTTAACTGAATAGAGATTTATCTTAGTAACATGTACTTGAAATGATTGTAAGTAATTTAACTGGAACTTTAGGTCAGGAGGACTGTAACTGTAATTCAAATGTCGTAATTAGCACATGTATTTGGTTGGTGCTAGAGCCATTAGACACCAAAATCAAGTTGTTATCATTATCATTATTATTATCATTCCTACCACATTCCTGACCCTAAAGGTATGTAGGACACTTCTCACATACATGTATGAACCTGTTTGGCACTATCACATTCCTTGCCAAAAAGTTCTTGGCAACTCAGCACTGAGTTAATCTGCAATTGTCCACCATAAAAGGAAATTCTCACCTGTGTTCCCTTTATGATGACTGTGTGTGCAGGCAAGTTCACACCCCAAGCCAGCGTGGCTGTGGAGACTAACACTTGGATGTGCCTGTCAGCAAAGAGATCTTCTACTAGAGTTCTGTCCACTCTTGTCATACCAGCATGATGAATAGCAAAACCATAAGGGAGCAGATCCTTGAGTTCCAAGTTCACAGCTTGCTCAGCTTCAGTTCTAAAGTACAGCATTCAAGAAGAACACTTTTCATCGAAAAGCATGTGTCATCTCAACATGGGTGTGCTCAACAAATTCAAAATTCAAGTTGTGACACTTGTTTCAATGGAAGTCTACATTTACAATCCTATGTCATGTTCATGTATGAAAACTGTCTACCATTTCTTTTCTTGAGGTTCCCATTTATCATTATCATTATTATAAAGGAAAGATACCCCCTATAATTTTTTATAGAAAGAGTGAAGGTTTATATGTTTGGCTAACCAGTACAAGTACAGTGTGCATAGACCTTTGCTGCCTTAAGCAAATTATACTAACCAATATAAAGGGTTCATTGTATACCAACCAAGTTCTAAGACATTAGCAAATATTTCACTTGAATCATGTTCATCTGATGATAAACTCTTAAAAATTAGAGTGGAAAAAAAAATTGGGAAAGTTGATAGATGTAGAATGTAAGCTTGTTGAGGATGTAAGTCTGTGATGTAAAATATCAATACCAACCTCAACACTTCTGTGCTTGCCGAGTCTTCCCTCAAGAAATGTCCTAAAGTGTCTCTTTCCAGGCAAAGGTCTCTTATGGCCCTTGCTGTTTTACTGGTCTCCTTTCTTGAGTGAACAAAGATCAACACTTGGTTCTTTCCTGCATGTTCAATGACTTTCTCATAAACAACATCATTCATCACCTGAAACACAGAGTTACTCCTCATTAACACTTTAACCCCCAGAAGTGATTAAAATGTAACTTCTCCCAACAATATCCATAAATTGTACAACAAACCAGTATTAAGAATACTCAAACTTATCAGGTAGAAGTTGTTATCTGATCTATCACCAAATTCTCATTATCAATTTACATGAAAATGTGTAGCAGCTAGAGGGGAGAATAAATAATCAGATCTTGGGAGTTAAAGAGTTAAAAAAATAGTTAATGTGACAATATCATAACAATGCCAACTGATTCACACACTCAAACTCAGCAATTTCCTGTGATTTGTTATTGTATTCAAATGTATTCAAGTTTCCCTTGATTTCTCTTGAAACAATGCCTATATTTGGATCTACAATTTGAGGGGTTGTACCTTAATATGAGTCAAAAATTAAGGGCAAAAATATAAACAATTAACACTATTGCTCTCATTGACGAAATCGGCCGAGGCCTGTCATTAGCAATCATAACTCAAAGGCCACTGGTACATGTCTCTACCTGCAGCCTTTTTATTGGTTTCTTCTCTGTAACACCAATGTACTGCTGCTCCAGTGGAACAGGTCTGAAGCTGTTGTCAAAAAAGAACAAACCCTTTGCAGGATTCACACGCATAAAGGTTGCAACATCTTCATAATTTGGTAAAGTGGCACTCAACCCAACCAGTCGCACAAGCTCCTGAGTTGTTTCTATCTGTCGAATGGTGCGTGCAACTAGAGATTCTAGAACTGGACCACGATCATCATGAAGAAGATGAATCTCATCAATGATGATGAGGCGGACAAGCTGTGTGAATGTTCTCTCTCCTCCCTTCCGGGTAATGATGTCCCATTTCTCAGGGGTACAGACAATGATCTGGGTGCTGTTGATCTGCTCCTTATTCATGTTATGATCTCCTGTTAACTCAGATACTGTTATTCCATATGTGCTGAGTCTCTGAATGAAGAAAAATTTAAAAAATCAATCAGGCTAGAAGACAACATAAGGACTTACTGAACATTTGCAATGAAAAACTTAAGAGTCCCACTTCTATTGACTAGGCTAAATTTTTATAAACACTTCATCACTTTAAAACTTGAAAAAGCATGCATTTATAGTGTGATCTGAAAGTGATACCATGTAAAAAATAGGAAAAAAAAGAGACCCTTTTTAGTTATGAATTCCAAAGATCAGTTCACAAAATGTTAGAAAGAAAATGTATGTAAAATGAAAAAAAAAAAAATGCTTACAAAAGAAATCTTGTGACTGGGGAGAGAGACCAATAGTTTCAGTTTTGCATCTGATTGGTTAAGAATATAGCACATGCCTCCTTGACCAATCATGGTGCACAATAAAGCAAAACAGTGCAATCCTGAAATAGTTAACCCTTCACCTTTTGGGTGATTAACATGTAACCTCTCCCCAAAATATCCATACATTATCTGGCAAACAGGTAATGAGAATACTCAAACTTAACAGGTAGAAGTTTTTATCTTGATCTAACTCCAAATTCTTATAACTAATTTACAAAGAAATGTGTAGCAGCTAGAGGGGAGAGTGAAAATCAGATTTTGGGAGTTAAAGGGTTAAAATTTTTCTGAAGATGCCTCACCTTTGTAAAATTTGCAACCATTTCCTGCACAAGAGATTTCATGGGTGCAACATAAATAGCTTTGAATTCCTCCAGATTGATTGTTCCATCAAGGTTGATGTGCTTGCCAATCTCCCTCAAGATGGTCAATAGAGCCACATTGGTTTTGCCAGCTCCAGTTGGTGCACAAAGCAACAGGTTCTCATCAGTGTTTAGAGCTGAGTTGCTCAATCGGCTCTGGATTCTGTTCAAAGATTCATAGCCTTCAAAGGCAGGTTGTGCATATTTAGGAAGACTTGTGATAGAGACTCGCTCCTGAAAATTGAGGATAGGAACTTCATCATACAGCCCACTTGACTTAGACACATAGGGGAAATTAACTTCTCAGCTGAATGGTTTAAATAACTTCAATCTATCACCAAATTCTCTTCATAAATCCACCAGGAGATGGGCAACAACCAGAAGGGAGAAAAACTGCTTTGATCTTAAGTACATCCTCACCTCTCCTGCTTCATATGGTTTGGGTTTCAAAGCTGGAACATGAACTTCCTCATAACCTTTTCTTTGCTTTCTGAATGATCCATCAGGCAGCTGACATTTCTTGTTGGCCATCAAATGACTCCCATCCTTAAACGCTAGATCTTCCAGATCTAAAATTCTGCGACTACCACGAGTCTGTTGGGGGAAAGAAAATCTCACTAATGACATTTTAAGTAAAGTTCTAAAATAGAGTGTTCTCTTAAGGCAAAGATCAATACTCCTTTGTGTATCAATAAAGAATTCTACTGCAACACCCAGAAAACCATAAACACTGAAAATATAACTGGAATGTGTTATGTCAGTCAAAACCATGCCAGTCAGGTAAGAACAATCTCAACTTTACACAGTAGTGCCTCTTGGTCTGTGCTTTGTTTACATTACCTCATTCCCCCAACAATGGGTAATAATGCCGCTAAACCAATAGAAAGTCTTAAGTATTCCAATGAACAATGACAATAATACCTGATCAGATTCAAATGCATCCAAATCTGCTGCAATTCTTGCTTTCCTATTGGCTGCCTTGCGAGCTCTTTCCTCCTGCAACAAAAAATACCAAGATTATTTTTCATGATTATTTTATTTTATTTCATCACTAGCCAGGTTAGAGATCACCATTGTGCTGAGGGTTCCACATGGGTGAGGTAGACAGCTCAGTATCCAGACATAAAGAAAATCCTCCTGACACTTTATTGTTTCACTCCCAGATCTCTTCAGTAATTCTCCTTTCTGTCTGTCCTACAATTCTTGTCATGTTGGTTTAAAGAATTTGGTATTGCATTAACTAACAATCCCCTAACTGATATTTTTCTCTATACTCATCACTTATCTGCTTGACCTTGTATTGATTTATTAAGGAGAAATTCTATCCTGGTCACTCATGGGATTTAAAGGGTTAACACTATTTGCCAACAAACATTGTACCACATACAAAATGAAACCCAGCAGCAAACAACATGAAGTAATACCAATCAGTTCATTGGAGTTAAATAAAATTGTTGTTCCCGTTTAATCAATGTTATCAGGGGCAGACAATGCTCAAAAACTCAAGGACCTTCTGTATAAGCATTTGTGTGCTCCTTAGTTTTTTTTCTCTTGATATTGTTGTTAACAAGTAAAAATCATTTCAGTTTACTTGATCATTCAAGTAAAAAATATTTGTTGTTGTCAAATGTGATAAAGTTTTATCTTATAGCATATCACTAATTAGAGTTTATTTTTAGGTCTGGGGATCAGCTTAACCCTTTAACTCCCAGATCAAATTTGTAATACTTTTTACTGCCAACCATACAATTCTTATCATGTTAGTTCAGAGAATTTTGTATTAGATCAATTAATTATCCCCAAATTAATATTTTTCTTTATTCTCATCACCTAGCTGGTTGATATTGTATTGAAATTGTAAGGAGAAATTCTGTCTTGGTCACTCATGGGAGTTAAAAGGGTTAATAAGAAGATTAAGTTCTTCTCTGCTTGCTCTCCTTTTGCAATTGTAAACATAATTTCAATTCAAATAAAGATTTATCAATAACTTAAAAACTAAATAAAATAAATGAAGGGTTAGATATGCTTTGTAAGTTAAAGTTTTGAAGTTGTCTGACCTGAATCAAATCTTCTTGTTCTGTCTCAGTCAGTGCATGCAAGATGGAGGCCAAATCTGGATCAGCACTCATCTTCTCTTCAATCTCTTTCTTTTCCTTTGCACTCTGTGCAGTTGCAAGCAGTGTGCAATACAGCACCATGCTCTTGTTCTTCCGCAGTAACCGGATAAAAGAGAACTTATCATGTCCAAGAAGAAGCATCATTTTGTTTTCCAGCTCACGATCATCCTTTGCACTCTTCAGGATCTCCAGGACTTCTTCAGCTTTTGATCTTGAAGCCTCAGCATCTGCATAATACTTGTTCAATTCTCGCTGCAGCCAAAAGGCATCAATGTCTCGAGGATGAAGAACATCACCTGTTCTTTGAGCTCTGTCTTCTTCAAGCTGCATGAGAAATAACAAAAAATTAACCTAAGATTGTGATCAACTACACATTTACTGATAACATTTCCTAATATCTCACAATAATCTTTCTCAAGATAGGACAAAGAGGACATTGTAGTCTCTATGAAGGATTCTAACCTTAAGACCTCAAAATCAAAGAGTAGCTTTCAAAAAGCTCTCAGTAGGAATGCTTATAAACTACTGTTAGTATGATTCAAATTTCACTCACAGTTCACATTTAAATAAAATTGGGATCCTGTACAGGTAAATGCACAAATACATGTAGCACATGCAAATATGTACACCACCCTCTAGAAATTAAGGGTAACAGATACTGTGGAACAAAAAAAACCCCAAATGAAAAATATCTTACCCCTCCCTGGAGAGTCATGGTTGTATCAGCCTCTACTCCTTCCTCCTCATCACTGGGCTCTTCATCACGGACTTCATCAAAGTCTTTATCTTCCTGCAATTCATGAAAAAGATATTTCCATCATGGACCGAGGTTATCAGGATTTTCCATTATCCTGATTTTTCGATTATTGGAATTACTTCTCAGGTCCCAATTTATTGGGTCGTTGGTTACATATAGCTTATTAAATAACTTTTTGTAAATACTTTTGACAAATGTTAACAGTTTATACACAATGATTTGTAACTGTACTTTAATTCATGCATAATATTGATTGAATGACATGTATTCTCTTTTGAGTCATTCAGTTTTATTTTTGGCTTATTGATATTCATATTTTTCAATTATCTGGACTCGCAATTACAGGGGTTATTCAGTTCCCACAAGTCCCGATAATCAAGATTATAATATTGTAAGTACATGTATACTCTTTAGTATATCTGTTGTCAATAACTTAGATGTGATTGTGTTTATACATAGCTGCCTAGGACAATACAAGGATGTTAGCACAAGTTTTTATCAGATTTTATGTTTTAAAATACCTCTTCCTCTTCTTCATCAAACTGCACAGCCACACCATATGTCTCATCAATAACCTCATCTGTATAAAGAAAAAGAACAAATGCTTGTCTTGAACCAGCATGGAAGAATGCAACAAGAATTACCCCTTTCAACCCAAAGAGTGACTATCATCTACAACTGTAATTTCTCCTTACAATATCACCCCTGAATCACATACAAGGGTCACAAGAATTGAGGAAATGATCACCAACTAAACAAACCCTTGATTGTTTAACAAATTCTCATTCTCAGCACCTCAGGAAATGTATAGAGAACAGTATAGAGAGTGTGCATACTGATGTTAGGGAACAAACAGCTAAAATTTTGGTACATGTACTAATCATTATCCCTCACTGATCATTATCATAAACCAAATAATCCACATGGCTTTCTTCAGAATCAGGTAAAGCATGGGTTTGTTTTAATCATTTTGATCAGCAAGTTTTACTTTTACTGTTTTCTTTTACTACTTCAAATAATGAAAAAGCAAGTTGTGGAAAAATAATCAAGAGAAATCGAATTAGGTAAAAACTTGGAACTTATAGTGCTAAAAATAATTATATAATCACCATCATTTAGTAAACTCCTATCAACAGAGTAATCTGTGATCTTTTTCCCCAAGTTCACCAATAAGGCATATCTTTCATCAGGCATTCCACCAAGAAGGGACACAATCTCTTTCTGTCGTTCTTTATCCTGACATAAAACCATTAATTTTGCACGAAGTAAATCTATAGCTACATATGTTACACTAAAATAATGACAATCATTCAAAAGCAAAAGTCTTTGTGTTTGGTAAAATATTGACAAGAATACGCATACACTGCAACTTAACATTTGTTCAAAGAACTTGTTTAACCCTTTCAAGGACCAAGCAAATTATTAATAAATTGGCTTGGATAACTTCCCAAGGGATAGGTGAATTTCCCTCTCCACATTAAACAGGCACATGGAACAATCACATGACTGTGGTAAGCTAAGAGAGGAATACAGTAGACTTGATGATACCAACAAGCATTAAAACATACAGTACAGCTTAGAGCTGTAATCTTGCAGAAAGCTCTACTTTATCAAAGTTTTAATTACAGAATATAGTTGGAAGAAAATGGCATAAAGTAACACAGAGATAGCCCACATACAACTGTACATGTGTAATCACTAAAGAAAATAATTAGCTCAGGCCACCAAAATTCAGGCAGAACATTTTGCACAAATGGTCTACCTAGTATTCTCCCCTTCACATTTCTTAAAGAAGTATGAAAACCAGTCAGTCAGGTTTCAAGGGAATCTACTAATAACCAATTATGTATCAAGTAGACCCTAAATTGCATGAACATCATACCTTCAGCTTGTCATCCTTCAAAGCTATCAACACTTCATCCGCAGCTCCACAAAGAATGTCTCGTGGCTGGGTTAAAAAAAAAGAATTCAACAAAAAATAGCACATTTACATCTACCAGTATCCAGGAAAGTTCTTGTGGTTATAAGTTATACATACAGTATAAGGAAATGTTCTGTTCACTATAATGTCTTCTAAAAAACTAGCAACAAAAATCCTCAGAGATGCAGTGTTTTAACAGAGCACACATCTTCATAGTTACCTGATCACCAATAGCTGCTTGTATAAAGCTCAAGAGGACCTCGTATGTGGATTTGGTTTCCCTGGTTTTTGGCCTGTATCGAACACCAGCTAAGTCTGATGACTCAGCTGACAGAAGACTGCTACTGGTCTTGCTCTTGGTAAAGTCTTCTTTCTCCATCATTTTCTGACGTCTACAAGAGAACCAGCTCATATTAACCCTTTACTCCCTAATATCAGTGTGTACATTCTCATCACTGTTCTCTAAACATTTCCTAAGGTTCTGACAAGGAGAATTTGTGCAACAATCAAGAGCTTCTTTTGTTAATGTTCATTTCCTTCATTCTCGTGACCTTGATGAGTGATTCAGGGGGGATACTGCAAGGAAAAATTAGATGCTAGTCACTCTTAGGGGGGGACAAACTCTTCAGCACAAACAGCAAAATGATTTCTCTCCTAAAAAGAGTGATTACTACATGTCAGATATCCCTCAGAAATCAGAATAAAAATAGCTAGTTGTATTGTGGTGGATGTACAGTAAACTGTACCCATAACAGTTTACTTACTTGGCCTTTTTCTCTTCTGATACAGGTGGTTTTGTTCTTTGGTACTTGTCACCCATTTTAATTCCCCCAATGTGACCCACGAGGGACACAACCTCCCCTGTTGCTTCATCACGTCCTCGCCGTTCAATCAAGGAACGATCAGCTTGCAAAACAAGATTAGAGTTCTAGAAACAAAAAAATACACAATCACTAAGGGGATAAGTTTCTAAAGAAACTGTGGTGCTGTGTCAGTAGGAGAGTTTAACAGAGTAATTTAGCATTATCAACTGATTTGATATGATAAATTGGCCACTGTGAAGAGTTTTTTTCAGAGCTCTGACGAAGGGCTAATGCTTGAAACATCAGCTTTTGATCAAAGACACAATCATATGAGAAAGATGATAAAAAATTGTTAGAAATTTTATCATACAAAACTTTAATTCAGGCAATGGAATGTGATAGAAGATAAATTTTGAGCTAAGCCATGAAATAAAGAAAGATGTATGCATGATTCCTGAGGTAAAAATTCCAAGTTCCCCAAAAGAAACTCCTACACCTGCAAATCAACGCTTTACTATTGAGCTCCAGGAAACTCTATCCTGCGATGGGCAGGTGACACGATTCCGTCAAACTGCTGAAAGCATCTTTGTCCATGCAGAAATGCATGCAATAAAGAAAATGGCGAAAATTTTTCAAAATCATTAATTACGCCAACTGATTTCGCTTTGACGAATTTGAATTAAAGTGTTCAGGATAACACTTGTAGTTAGTGCTGCGAATGTAGGATATGACATTAGTGGAGGCCGGCTTAGAGCTCGCGATAAATAGATATACACGTTTTAACTGTTGCCCTTCTCTTGTTCCTAATGGTTACTTGTTCCAATTGCACTAAAAGGCTGCAACGAGCTGACGATGATAATTTTTATCCAATTCTACAACCACGTGGTTCAAAACGCTGCAAAAATCCTTTATAAACTCACCGCTTTGTACTCATACTGCAACGACCTGGCCGTAGCATCAGCCATGATGCCGTATCAGACCTACTCCTCGTCACTATAGCTTGTTACTTGTCTGGATCAAATTAAAAGCGTTGCGTAGCGTGGGTAGATTGAGACAGTTTGCAGGGAGAAGAATCAAGATGGCTGCCAAACGTTGGCCGTGCGTATGCCAATAACGCAGTCCGCTGACCATTACCGGCAGTCTATCCAACTCGTCCCCAGAGGTCGTCCTGGCTAACGCTCGAAACATTAGTTTAGAACTATTTACGTTGACCAATTTATTATTACTCAGTTGATAAAACCAAATTATCTTGTTATACTACCCCGCCAACGCAGCACCACAGTTTCTTTGGAACCTTTTCCCCTCTGAAGCTCGCTAGCAGAATTGAACAACAAGGTCCGTTTCTAGACAACAGTGTTCGACTTTTAAATTTATTTTAGACTCTTCGTGGCCGATTTCAGACACTAGTGTCCAATTTTAAGCACTACCGCCCTATTCTGGACACCAGCGTCTTATATTGGACGCGAGTGACCAATTCCGATTTTAGACAGTAGTGTCCGATTTAGATAATATTGTTCAATCCTAAAAACGAGTGTCCGCTCTGAGGCATTTCAAGCATTAGTATCCGATTTTGGACAATAGTGTCCGACTTTAGATATAAGTATCTTTTTTTACACACACACCACAGTATGATTTTGGTCTCTAGTGTTCGTTTTTATCGTTCACGTATTGTCTAAGTACCAACTTGGTTGAGTTCAATAGTTTAAATTTTAGGTGGTGTTACAAAGAATGGCCTTTATTTTTGCTTAGAAGTTTCTTCTACTGTTTGATTTATTTAGTTGACAGTGTTGTGCTGCAAGGAAGCACCTTGATAAAGCGGATGTGCGTGAGTTCCTCTTCTGCTGAGACCGCCGCATTCTTATCGCTTAAATAAATATAGCTCTTATCATTGTAACTTTCTAACTTTTAAGCAGATAAATACTCACGCACTTCAAGAGAGGATCAGTCGGGTGTGAGGCAGCTCAGCGGAAGTGACGTACATTATTTTCTTTTTACTTCCGTTAGCTACTTCCGCGTCACATGATCTTAAAGTTTAACGTGAAAGATACAGCTTCAGTCCCAAGGGAAAAAGAAGACGGACAAACCCGAAAGATGAAGCGATGGTTAGAGAACAAAGTCTCTGTGTATTTTAAAACTGTTAAAATGTCGTTTTTGGCAGGTGCGCTTCTCGCTTCGGCCATATATCCGATCGGAAAAAAACACGATCGGTAACTTACAGTACAGACCTCAAACTCGATTAGCTAACGGTATTTGCTTACCAACCCTAAATCCTACTGAGCTGTATTCCTTTCGCGGAAAATATCTTAAGGTCTCATATTCCCACTTCCGACTTGCACATCTTCCGTTTCAACCACCGCTAACAGATTGAATGAGCCGACTTCCATGAAAACATGGAAGTTAAGAGCTTTTGGGCCAAGATCAAACAGCATGTTATTCCAGTAGGTTTTTTAGATCTGCTCCGAGTCAATTAACCAGCAACAAGATTTTTGAAGAATCAATAAATGGGATGAAAAAAATTAAACGTAATCCGCTCTCCTGGAGATGTATTCCCAGCTTAGTGGAAGAGGAACTAGAGGTTGACTTTTCGTTTGGGTTTGAAACAAGATAAATGGCTTCGATAATTTTAACTTGTGAAATGATGTTGTCTTTTAAAGCTTTCGTAATTTGCGGCAAGCGAGAAAGCAGAGAGTGAAACTACATAGATATCTACAAGAGCACAATTTGCACCAGCACCTTTGAACAGAATGTGGGGTTCAACTTCATTTAAAGCTTCCGGAATCTTGGAAGGTCAGGAAACGGAAATAGCACGTAACCAGGCTGGGTTGATTTTGGTTTACAACAGGGTCAGGATTCAAGAATATCCACTTCCTACTGCACGTGCATTTTCACTGGGATGGATGTAGCATGAACGCTTCATTGTAATCAGGTAATGATTGAAAATGTGCAAAAACGTGCTTCGAAAGTAAACTTGCTTCAGAAGCAGTGGCCTGTTTTCCTAGCAGGTTACATTTTCCTTTTCGATTGCCTATCTGTTAGTAGAGAAATGGAATCTTTTAGATTCAGATTCAAAGCGGCAGCGCATGATTGTTCAAACATTAATTCTCTCGTTTACAGAAATATCAAGTGGAAATAGACATGGAAAAAATTACACGCTGCGTGCCACAATAAACATAATTTAAAACCGGAAGTTCTTAATCATTCCAGAAATCAGTCAGTTGCATTTACAACAGTAGTAAGCGGATATGATCTGGTTGAAGCGTATCAGGTATTGTTTTTCTAGGCTTTCGTTGCAGGAAATCAGTGACAAACTCGAGACAAACAAGACGCCTCAGAAGTGGTATTTATAGACCTCAACTGAAGGTTTGAAACCATTATCGACAGTATTAAGCAAGGGAACATTAAACTCAAAAGAAGACCATACAAGACGATCGGTTTTGATTGTTTCACGAGGTGAGTAAACATCGTATGTTGCAGTTGCGTTTTGTATGCGTGTGATGTATAGATTATATAGATTTAAATGCATACTGGCACCCAGTTTCATGGTTATTGTGGGTGCAAGTGCCCCTTGCACATTTATTATAGAATGGAATTAATATATATAGTTGAATTTATTATGTGTTATGGGGAAAAGAAAGTTCCTCGTCGCTGTTTTTCTCTCTCGTTTGTGCTTTATTTAGATCCATAGCACTGAATCAGCAATCTCGAATGTTGAATACCTTGGCATTTATCTAGTTAATTTATCTAGGTCCCTTTCGTGTCTTTGTCACTGAACGTAGTATGCTGTGTTCTTTTCGCAGTTTTTCTTGTCTTTTTGTACAACAATTCAAATGTTATAATTTTGCTAAATATGTTTATACATCTCACCCCTATTAGCTCCAGCCATTTTCGGGTTATGTGTGTGTATTCATTTTGTTTAATCTGTAAACTACATCAAGAAAGCAGTGAAAGGTTTAAAACATTCACGAAAGTAATTATGATTGTAGTAATGACACCTTTTTACATAGATGTCCTGTAGGAAGAAAGGTTAAAATGAACGACTTCCTGGTTTCATTTCAACTAAACCGCCTAAAAATCACAAATGGAGATCATCTTCAAGAACGTTTGTTTAACCTATCGTCATCATTGAAGCCTCTTGGCACATAAGGGCCTATTCTTAGCATAGTTCTCTTTTGAAAAAAAAATTATAACCTAGTTTGTACAACATCCTCGCCAATCTTTGTTCAGAGTGAGGTTTGAGTGACATCCTGACGAACAGCTTCGAAGATACTAACTCAGTTTCCTTATCACAGTAACAGACTGAACAATCACCATCCACTCGGTATCCTTCGAAGAACAGAACGATCCACATTCAGTTACAGAGATATTACCAGACAAAATGAAGGTAATGCATTGTATGAGATGATGTGATGTGTTGTGAATGGTAATAAATCTGGATGGTTCTACCGGCTTTCTAGACTCCATACACCCATCTATATTTGTTCCCACTTCATCTTATCGCCATCTTTCGGTCAAGAGGCGCAGCAAAATCGATTCTATTTTACCCTTTCGTTCATTTATTCGTGAATTCTTATCAGTTTCAAGTTTGTGGAGGACACAGAACATTTTTTCCTTCTGCTGGAATTCTGAGCGTGCCGTGTCTCGGCGCTTGAGCATATGCAAGCTAAGTTCACGGATGCGGGTGAAAGCAAACATGAAGTCTTTGCACTGACTTATTATGTCAGTGATTCTGATGATAATGAGAAAGAAAGGTTTTTTTCCTGTAAAGCGATTACAAATATATCTGGCTAATCATGGACATTTATTTGGGTTGAGGTTCAATCGAGGGAAGTTTATCTTTCTAATTAGCCAGTTTATTGTTTCAAACTGGGCAGTCGATCAAAACAAGATGGCAAGAATTCAACAAGGTTAACGGCAGTGCGACCTCTTATTTTCCATGTCAACAATAAAAGCAGTTGGGCGGTTTTTATCACAGTTGGCTTGAAATTTGTGCCAATTAGATGGTAATACTGAAGGATTTTTGCAGCTTGAATTTATATTATAAAGAACTATGAAAAGAGCGAAAGAGGTAATTGAAGAAAGAAGTGGAAAATCGCTCATGTAACTTTTTGAAAGGTGGCTATCCTTTTTAGTAAAGAGAGAATGTAAGTGTTTGAGTTCCTTCCCCCCTCCCCCTCCCCCCTTCTTCATTCCGCAGTTGAGCGTCGTGGACATGCTTTACTTCCGGCACTCTGTGATTGGTCTTGAAAACTCGTGCCACCCTTGTAACCAATCAAAACTTGGGCACTGGTTTTTCCCCGCGCTCGAAGCCGTTAATAATGGCATGTGACATTTTTCTTTGTTCAGAGTGGCCGTTGTGTTCACTTAAGTTTTGGTTAAGCGAAAAGATTTCACGCGGATGATTACATGCTTCTTAAGAATTATTATTCTTTTTCCCCTGCTTTGTCAATTTAGAGTTTATCAGCTCTGGTTGTTCCACTTCTTGTTTTTACACTTGTCACCATTCCACCGCCGTCTCTCCAAAGTCCACTTCCTCGAAAATCAGTGGGCAAACCATGTGTGCTCCAAATAAATGTGCGTAATGGCGTCCTCGTGACAGAATGTGAGTCGGCATCTTTTGGCTGTTTGAGCAGTATTCCTACCTACGGTTACCCGAAATGTCAACCAGTTTATAGAATGATGGAAATTCCACAATCTGGAGAGAAAAACAACATGACTTCCTATCTGCGAGGAAAGCAAGCCACCATAGTCGATTGTAAATGTGCTTCATAAGGAATAATGACTGGTCAAAACACTGTTAGTATTAGTCTTGTGCCCAGACTTTCCACATTTCAGTAACAATTAAACAGTAGGATCTGGATACAACATTATGTTATTATGTACCACTCAGGCGAATTAGCTCTCGCGGACGTTGATTGGTTAGGAAGTGATTAGCAAGTTATTTTCCCCACAGAGTAGCCGAAGGGACAAAATTGCATGTCAAAAGTTGATTTCTGACAATTCTACGGTATAGGGAAAGAGATAAACTATATTTTTTGGTTTCTGTGTGATTATCACTGAAACAATGGTTCACTTCGGTGACATTGAAGGTGGTGGATATTTTCCTCCATGAATGAATAATCGTTAGATGTTAATTTTTTTTAAAAAAAAAACTTTACATTTTTTTCTCCCTATTCCAAAGTTAGAACATCTAGTAGAAGGAAGGAAGACTTAAAGCTTGTTTTTTTTGAAGCTGTTTAAATGTACAGTATTTCTACTAAAAAATTGCTAAAGAAGTCGTATCCAATTGATCGACTGAAACGAGCTAAGATATTTCTTTAAACGACCTCATCGTTCCTCATTTAACCTCGTCATTTCCAAGGGTGACCAATTAGTAATTTCTCCTTAAAGCATTAACCATTAACTGCCAAGATCTCATTAGTAATTCTCCTTACTGTCTGTTATGTAGTTCTCGTGATGTTAGTTTGGAGAATTTGGTATCTGATCAACTAATGATCCCCTACTTGATATTTTTCTCTATTCTCGTCACTTGTCTACCTGATATTGTACTGATATTGTAAGGAGAAATTCTTTCTTGGTCACTCATGGGAGTTAAAGGTTTAACACCGAGGCAGAAAGGTAATATCGATAAGTTGTTTCTTGATTTTACAAGAAATTCTCTGTAGATTGACTGAAGAGAATGCGCTCTCTCAGTTTAGCTGCCCAAATAAACGGTATTCTGTTATTAGCATTTCAGTCGTTTTATTGTGAATTCTTACCTGAATAAAAATCCTATGAGATTACTAGCAGTGATTTTTACTGAAACCTAATTGAGACATTTCTCACGGAACATGTAATGAACATGTGATTTTTCGCGGAATTAAACCAAATGATCGCGAAAACTTGTAACAGTGAGCACAATGTTTATCACAGCTCAGTCAAGTAATCGGTCAAATGAACTAACTGTCAAGAATTGTCAGAGTTTAGGTTCAACGCTCCAGCTAAACTAAACATTTTGAAAGATCTCGAATAATATTCTGTCTGATGAATGACATTCAAATGTGGTTGTGACAATTTGTTTAGCTTATTTGCCACCAAGTTAAGCACATTTTCTCCGAGCTCTTTTTCTATCGAACATGAAATCCTTCTTGTTAAACAGACATCGATGAAAGATCAGATTTTTCCTGCTTCGAGGGCAAGTTATCTTAATCGGGCGCAATAAATGTACCACTTACATCTTCGCTGGTGAAAATAAGAAAGTTGCCATGGTAACTAGGTTAAACAAACTACTAGTTTTACTTTTCACAAAGGCTTTTTTTCATTCAAATACATCACCTGGGCTGAATTCAACCTTAAGTTGAGAGGGGAGAATTTTCCATTCTGAGATTTTGTTTTATCTTATTTCGATCGCTTAAGAAGCTTTTCTACAAGCTGAGTTTTATGTGGACGTGATTTCTGCATTTGGAGCTCTTGAAAGGTGTTTTTAAATTGTCTTTTATCTAAATAAGCGATCAAAATTTATATCATAGACAGAACACTAAATGTCTGCTTGAGGATATGAATTTATCTTCCGGTGTTAACAATATCTCTCACTCCTTCACTTCGCTCATTCTTAAGAGTTGTTATCAACACTCGATCGAAAATATTTGATTCGTTTCCACGTCCAGCCATGTAATATACTCTTGATCAATCTTACACCCCATTAGTCCAAATTACACAAAAAGAGTCTTTCATCCTGATGATGATTTTTTCAAATGATTAACAAAATAATTTAAATAATGAGTAGAATATCATTGTTATGACAATCAAATGAATGCTTTGAACGTTTAAGAGAGAGAGGAAGCAAAACCACTTGCTTTTCCTTTTCTCGCGGGTAAATGGTCAGTTTTATTTAACCTCCTGTCCTGTATCCTCAAGTTTGTATCGCCCGGCGAATTTCCTCCCAAGTGATTGGCCTCGTCAGATATACTGAGGGGTCAGGCTTATAATCCAGCCCTTTTTATCAAAGTTTCGATTTACGAACTAGAAATGGGAACAGAAAACATACCACTATGCAGTCCAAAGCAGTCCTGGAGGTGTAGTGGCGAGATAAGCTCGCTAAGAAGAACATCACCTCGAGGGAGGCGAAGAGATCTGCCAACAAAAGAGTCCAGCGGAGGTCCATAGTTGAGGTCCTGTGTTCCCCAGCAGGAGCGAAGATGTCCTCATCTAACTAACTAACTAACAAACGGAAACATTATTACCAAACTGTAGGTTTAGTAAGGTGATATAGGGAATCTATATATATTAATCATAATGAACTGAGGTGAATTCAAGTTTGGCTTATATTTACTTGCACAAAGGTGAACATACACTTTGGGAAAAGGGAAGAATGGCCACTGGATAGTGTCAATTCGCGAGAAGGAAAAAAAAATTCCAAATTAAAACTTCACTGTTCGTTCTTTGACCAAGACATAGTCCTCAAACTTGGCTTTCTTTTTTCTTACATGTCAAATCAGCGAACCCAGTCTTGCGTGCATGCATTTTTTTAATATAAAAACATTGTGTAAGTACTAACTTGAACAGGAACTCAGTGACGAAGGATAAGATTGAAACGATAATATTTTGAGCAAAGTGAAGTTATTAAATTCGATTGATTGGCAACCCTTGAAAGATACAATCAAAGAGGGTAGAGAGCGATTTAGATAAATTAAAGGCTTTATTGAATTAAAAAAAATCCACAACAGAACAAGCTAAGGATAGGTCTGCAAACACGGAAAATGTGGAAAACGGAAAAAGGTGTTCAAAGGTGTAAACTTTCCATTTCCGAACAAAGTCATAAACTTTATTGGTTCAGAATCGATTACAACTAGATCCATCTTCTTTAAAATGTTAATTAAGTATATGAATCTTTTTTTCCAATCAAACAAAAGATGTACCATTTAGATGTACCACAATAAATTTTGCCGCTTTTCATTTGAAGGAAGAATTTTATCCGGTAGTCAATTAGTGTTTTCAAAAGTCAGTAATTAGAACAACTTCAAGAAAAGATAAAGTAAATAAAGCCTTTTCCTGACAAGGCAAAATGGATTTCATTTAAAAGAAGATCTCTGATATTACTGATTGCTCTGTTTTAATTCAAGTGGGAGCTTCATCCGGCAGTCACAGTGTTATATGTAAAGACAAATAATTGATATAACTACAACTAGTCGGGTATCATACCACAAAGTAGGAACCTCTTAGCTGCATGGTGCACTTCAATGCCAGATAGTTTCAACAAGCTACGAACGTTTACACTCATGTATAGAAACTTTACAAACCCGAGCGGTAAGCCCAAACTGGGCGATAAATGTTACGCCGATGCCTACACTGTCATCTGCGTTCTAAATATCGTGTGTTCGTTGACAGCATCTTTGGGGAATTTCTTAGTTCTCGGTGCAGTTTGGAAGACACGAATCTTACACAAGCCGACGAATTTGCTCGTCTCTGGACTCGCTGTGTCTGACTTGGGAGTCGGAGTTCTAATTCAGCCATTATTCACTTTGTTTTTGATTTTGGAAATGAGATCAGAGGGATCTATTCGAGATACGTGGAAGATCTTTAGATCCATACAAGCCGTTTTTCAGTCGGCGACTGTTCTGATTCTAACTTCGATCAGCGTAGACAGATTTCTCGCCCTTCAGCTGCATTTAAAGTACGTTTCCATGGTTACAATTAACAAGACAGCCACCTTACTGTGTTTTATATGGGTTACAAGCGCTTTCTGTGCGATGACGGTTTTCATCGACAATAACTTATATCGTAACTTTATAATCACGCTTATACTGTTGTATCTCGTGATAAATTCTTCCATGCACTTCATGATCTATCGCATTTGTCACCGTCACCGAGTTCAGATTCAAGTTCAAATACGAGCACAAAACGGGCTAGAAACTCTTAATATCAAACGCTACAGGAAATCTCTGATCACCATGATTTTCTTGTTTATTTTACTCATGGCGTGTTATTTTCCTTATATTTGTATGCGTACTGCTGTGAACTTCATCCATTGGTCCTCACCGTTCAAGAGGTTTGTGATGAGGTGTACGCTCTTTTTGGTTTACTTGAATTCTTCGCTAAATCCGCTGGTGTATTGCTGGCGCATGAGAGAGATGCGTTCTGCTGTGAAGCAGTTTTGGAAATCTCTTCACCCGTGACAGTGCTTTAAGTCACTCGCTGTCGCCGCAGCTGGTAGAATTAACTTTAAAAAATGACAATGGAATAGAAATAAAATTAGATGAATAAATAAAAACGTGAAAACGCAGGAAGTTATGGCCCTGTCTAAGTGGGTGAATGATAACACAGTGGTCAAACGTCTACGCATGTGCAAACGTTTTAATGACTTTGATTATAAGAACGCAGTAGCAAAATGAGTGCGCATGCTTGTATCACACGAGAACATATATGCGTGTAAAGGGATGGGAGCGACAATATTTCCATAGTAACACTGTCGAGGCAAAATGGCGGCATTTTTAAAATTCCCATTCCTTGTTTTCATTTTGCGGGGATAAGCCCAAACCAAAACAGATAAGGTTGCAGTTTTCAGGAAAGTTTCTGTCGAACATCTTCCGTCATATATCTTACTCAACAAAAAAAGGTATTGCGGGAACAGGTAAGAATTTAGCGGCTGAAGTAGAGTATCCGTATCCGTAACATGGCTACGAAGTTTGGGCACCTGTAATCGCTCTAGCGCCTGTTGTCATCGTCTCCTCTCAGGAAGAACTCCCTGGAGAAAAAGTTTGTTGAATCAGCAGAAACCTTGCGTCAGCTTTTTTCGAAAAGGAAAATGCTAGCCCTGAACGCTAAAATGGCTTGAATAGCGGAGCATGCGCACCCATTTTGCCGCTGTGTCAACAAGAGGAAGACTAGAGATGACTACACTGTCACGACCGGGTTGTTCTACACAAGCTGCAAATGACCACTCAAGCCAGTAGGTCATGGTATTTTTAAACTTCAAAACAGAATGGCAAATTAACAGAATACTCTTGCTTAAATACGCTTTTTGTTCGAAAAATCTCGATTTTTCCTTTTCCTTACTTTTGTTTCCTTTCACAAAGTTACATGAACGTTAACTTTCCAATTTTCTTTCGCTTATTTTGCAAGAAAGTGGTCGTTTCTTATACTTACCTGTTTGCGCGAGAAATTAACGTGCGGCCAGCCAGAGTTGATCCCCTCGCGCATGCCCGACGTTTGAACGCTGCGTTGTGTATGACTGCGTTATGTTTGTTAGAGTGGGAAAGTTGAAGAATGCGACGAGTATTTTCTCTGGCAGCGTGTGCCCGCGAGCAGGCCCTCATTAATTTTTAGCGCTGGGTAATGAGGCCTTGAGAAACGGAAGCCAGAAAGAGGTGTATGAGTGATGTGGCACTACTAATGAGAGTATATGGTTCCAAGTCCCATGCAGGCCCCTCGTCAGCTTGCTTTCGCCAAAACCTTCAAACTTACTTGCAGGTGAAGGAATGCTTGTACCGCAGCGCTTATAATGATGGCTTGCTTACAAGCTACGACAGCCTGATTATGAAGTAGCATGGGTATGCGCACGTATAAACTGCGCGGCGCCTTATAACGAGAAATTTTTGTGCGCCGCGAACCTGGAATAATACCATAAGTCTATAGTAAATTATTTAAGGCATAGCTAGCATTTTCCTGAGAGGGGTCATTTTTACCGCTGCCCTACTCATCAGCAGGCTCGTATTCATGCACCAGCAAAGATTTAGACTCTTCCAATTCGCGCTTCTTAATTAATCCGAAGGCGGATGGGTGGGGGAAGGTCTTTAGGCATGTCAGGGGCCCGTTACTACGCCCCTGATAATTATGTTATTTTATGAACTCGCACAAACACCTTGCGAAAGTGAAATAAATTGATCGAATGGTCACCGCTCCATTTGTTTTGTAAATCTCAGGCGTGGCCTTACGGTAGCTAGCGCTAATGTGACAATCAGTAATGAATTTGCGTTGTTTATTGATGTCTCGCACAGAGATTCTTAAGAAAAGGTTGTAAGCAGACTTATGTGAGGCTTTTTTAATTAATACTCGGCCGAAGGTGAAAAATCAGACCTAGAAGCAAAACATTTAACTGCGCTTGGCGCCATTCTACAAATCTGAGTTTTGCTTTCAGATTTCAACTTCTCGCAGTTTCATATAAACTTATTCTTCTTTACGACACGACCTCCGATTGGAAAAAGGCTCCGGACCCTCGAAATTTTGCTGGCTTGGTTCTAATTACAGATAACTTGAAGTTTCCGGCGCAACTCGAATTCACTCCATCAGACAACATTCTGTAAGCTTTCACGAGAAGATGCACTCGATTCATCCTCTGTTGACGGAGAATGCTGTAATCCCCGTATGACAACCCGCTCCGTTACGAGGGGACTGTCAGTGTCTGTCATTAAGCCTCTTTCTTCTGAGGACGTTGCACCGCGTTGCGTCGATAATGGGGCCTGGGAAGTGCGTAAACTTGAGACCCAAGCAAAAAAGGCACCAAAGCTGCATGAGGGCCCCAGATACCGTTGGCCAACTTTACACGCCAACACGACGCCGATAACGAAAAATATGAGTGTAAACAGGATGAGGGCAACTGTGAAGGATGTATTCGACTCAGGTGCTGTTGTCAGTTCGAGCTTGGAATTCACGATTTCAGGACTCTCAGTGGGGTCCGGAGCGGGAACAACTCCTTCCGGAAACAAACCATTCACGTTAAACCATATCGCTTTGAAGTAGGACTTAGCTGGGTTTGACGAGTAGAAGTTCACCGTTGTTTCATTTGTGACGGACCGAGAGAGGGATGGGGCGTGCTTGCCACTAAACCTACAAACAGATTTACTCTCCTCGCAGGGGCAATTCTCATTTTTGAAATCCCAAAATCGTACTTTTTCCAATGTCACAAAATCTTGAGTACAGTCCTCGGGTAAGGTGAAGTTTTCAAAAAGCAACTTAATGTAAAAGCCCGGATCTTGCGTTTTAAGTGTCCGACTACAATTCACAATCGCGTCAGATTGACTTTGCTGGAATATATCGCTAGTTAGGACTCCTGTGGCTCTTCCAGTGACGTCTATGACCCTTGCACCACAGGGATCCTTCTGACAAAAGCCTAGAGAAAAATCACATCACAAGATAAAATTTAAAAAAATTTGATTTTATCTGCTACTCAGTCTTTCTTAAAATTGTAGTTGTAATTACTATTTTTCGGTCACCAGATTTATCGCAAGGAATCCTTAAGTCAGCTTAGAAGACAACTTTCTGAACAGCTGTACTGTTTAGTGCGCATAATTTACATATTATTTGCATGTTAAGTTATTGCTACGTGTTTTTGTCGAGGTTTTATTCATCTTTAAAACAATTAGCCCCAATAAGACATTTACCAAACACAAGATTCCGGTATTAAGACAACATATTTAACCAAGAGGTATTTTGACCTCCTACACCGTTAATCTGGGGAGCTTGATTAACTAGTAAACTTTTAATTCGTTGTCGACTGTAATGCAAATATTCTTACCCCGAGTTACCTTTGAAATCACAAACACACTTACCATCCTCTGACTTGTTCTTAGCGTTTAAAGTCCAGTTTCCGTCTGCTTTACAGGTGTATGATTTGAGTTGACCATTCTGCAGTCGATATCCATCTTTGCATACGAAAACAGCCTCTTCACCTGGAAGGAAAGTCGAGGAATCGTTCTCGATACTTTGCTTTCGCCTTTTTAAAATGGCGCCGGTGGGTTTCTTCAGTTCCTCTTCAGTACAAGTGATGTTTTTGCTTACTGAAGCCCGCTTGTGTCGCAACGTTATGCCTTGTCCGCGAGTTTCTAAGCTCTGTGTAGCGATGGCAGCGGTTTGGAACACAATTACAACACAAAAGAGGAGATAGCAGTTCATCCTCTGGTCGGTTACCTGATCTCTCCGACAACACTAGTTCACGCTTGATCCGGTTTCCAATATTTAATACGCATGAGTACTTTTTCACAACCTTCTTTCACGTGCCTCCGTGAAAAAAAAACATATGAATACAGACAAGTATCCGCTTATATCGGGGTAAACTGCCAAATACAATTTTTAATGTCTTCGTTCGTTAGCTGCGTTAAAATGAGCCTTCTCTCTCTTCTCTAGTGCGATAGACAATATGATTAGGAATATTTTAAAATTTCCGTCATAAAATACTGCGGTACTCTTTGGACAAAAAAGTAACGCAGTATTTTATTTTTTGAGGGCCAACGTATTTCGCGAAATCTATTTCTGATTTTTTTTTAAATTGCAAAATATTGCAAAATAGAATCAAGTATTATAAGGTTTGAACAAGGGGAAAGACAGTAGTTGCTTTTTACGTACAAAGCTGATCTGGAATAATTCACCTCTGGACGATGATTTCAATAAGTCGCTCAGTCAGGCGCTCCGCCAATTAGCGGTGGAGTAGCATTTGTAAGTCTTGTAGGAGGCCGCAATCAGCCAGCGAAGCCACCGTGAAGCCTGTTCGGGAAAACAGTGAAACATTCACACAATCAGACAGTTAACCCTTTTAACTCCCTTGACCGACCAAGACAGAATTTCTCCTTACAGTATCAATACAATATCAACCAGGTAAGTGATGAGAATAAAGAAAAATATCAATGTAGAGATAATAAGTTGATCCAATACTAAATTCTCTGAACTAACATTATAAGAATTGTATGGTTGACAGTAAGGAGAATTACAAATTTGATCTGGGAGTTAAAAGGTTAATGGTCCTTAAGTCAGGTCATTCAGTTATTGAGTCAGTCTGTCAGTCAGTCAATCAGTCAGTCTTTCAGTCAATCAGTCAGTCTGTCATTCAGTCAATCAGTCGGTCAGTCAGTTAATCAGTAAGTCAGGCGGTCATTAAGTCAGTCAGTCGGTCAATCAGTCAGTCAGTCAATCAGTTAGGCAGTAAGTCAGTCAGTCAATCAGTTAGTCAGTTATGAATAAAGGGGGTAAGTTTCTCAATAAACTGAACTGTGGCGCTGCGTCAGTGGGAAAGTATAACAAGGTAATTAAGTATTATCAACTGAGTTCATATCGTAAATCGGCTACTGTAAAGAGTTTCCAAGCTGACGTTTTGAACTTAAGCCCTTCGCTAGAGCGCCAGTCACATAGAAATTGACCACACATGCCAGTGTAGTTATGGAAATCAAGTTGATGTCGACCACATCAAAAGATAGAGGATAAACGACTTAAGGTTGTGCCTGGTTTCATCTTTACTTTGGATGAAAACAAAGGGAGATAATTTCCCAGTTGCTGATACTTCACACGCACACGAAAGAGAAGAAGAGGCGAAGAGGGAACTTGATTTTTAATCACTTTACCCTTAACTAAACACAAACCAATAAGCAGAGAGAACAAAAACAAAATGAACCGAAAAAAAGGTTTCAAAATCTTTGACTATGTTGATTGCTGTACTTTAGACAAGAAGTATCTCCTGGGGTCCGTAAATGTCTTTTTGTTGCCTCTAAATCTGGATAAGTTCAGCTCTAAACAGCTATAAGATGGCTGACAGAAATCATCGTAGTTATTCCTTTGGTCCCATACGCATAGTACAGAGTTGCCAAAACAACGCCTTTAATGCATCTAATTTGGGCTTTATATAAATTAATAAATCTGATGAATCGTTATCTTTCTCTCTTATATAACCATAAAGTTGCAAGTGTACAATCTAGCATCCTGATTGTTGTATCAGAGTTTCTAAATAAAAATAGTATTCTTCTTTGATGAATAAAGATTACTCAGTAAAAGTGGTGACTTTGTCTCAATACCATCACCAAATAAATTGAATAGTTTCCTTAAAACGGATAAATTTGCGAGAATCTATTTATCTAGCCCCAAAAAATATTATAAACTGGCAACGTTTTCATGTAAGGAGGTAACACTGCCCTAACATCTTTACATCGATTACAGAAATTACATCGTAAAATGGAGATGAATGAATGCTCAAGCCACGCCCTCTCCCGCGCTCCCGTATCGAGTCCTAAGAGACGAGGAGCCTCTTGCATCAACAGGGACATTTCTCAGTGGCCCTATACGCGTACGTTCGTTTTGAACGCTCCCTTTGGTGGGCCTTGTTTCTGGTGATCCTTCCCTTCGTGGCGACAAGCGTGGGGATTGCAAACGCCGTCTGGCTGCAATCCAACTGCAGCAATAAGCAACGCTACAACGGGGTCCTAGAAAGTGCTGTCCCACTTTGCACGACAGAATTGCCAAAACAGCAAAAGCGATGATGGAAAAAATGACAACTGCGGCGATATAAGTTGCGTCTGTTGTGTCATCCTCAATGTTTTTAGGTTTTGGGCCTAAGATTTTTAACTTATCTACCCAGTCTGAATCTTCCTCTGGAATAAGACTGTAGGGGAAATTCCCATTCACGTTGAACCATTTCGCTGAAAAAGTCGACGACTTTGAGTCCATGGAAACGTAGTTTACAATCATAAAGTTTTTGTCGGTATGCGCCAGAGGAGGAGCGCCAGTTCCATTACCAAAGGCGCACGAAACGTTAGTACTCTTCTTGCAACAGCCATGCGATGGATCCGTGCCGCTTAAAGTCGCATTTTCCAAGTAAATATAATTATCTTTGCAATTCCCATACATAACAAAGTCTGTAAACAGCAGCTTAATGTAAAAGTCTGGATCATCGGTCCACAAAGTTCTTCTGCAAGTCAGAGATCCCGTATAATTTTTAACATTAGTTTTAGGTGAAGTTATCTCGCCCACGGCTCGTCCCGTCAAGTTTACTAAGATTGGCCCACAGTTAGCTTCATCGCTTCCATCCGGGCAATCTACAATACAGTCACACTTCTTACAAATGGGGAGAGGTAGGCCGCCTGATGAACACTCGAAGGATTGGTTGCGACTACAGTTGTTAGGCAGACAATAACCTGATGAAAACATGAATTGAAAAAAAATTAAAAAGCTTTTTTCAAAGAAGGGAATCAGCGAGTTGGGAAAGAGGAGGCCTAGAATATTGCTGTGAGGTTTAGATATAGCCTCATACCCAACCCTTTCGCAATCAAATTCAGTTACAGTAACACGGTAGGGTTTGGGTACGAGATTAGTCTGTAAATCAGCACAATTATGTCCATCTACTGTAGGCTACGTTAGCTAAATGCTCTGCAAAAAAGCGAGAGGGGGGAGGGGGGAGGGGGAACGGGAAGAAACGATAGGGAATAGGTGGAGCTTGCACAGCCTCCTCGATCCCCTTCTAAAATACCATATATTTTTTAAGTCTTTGAGCCTTGATTTATTAGCTTTGCCAGTTTTTACATCAGAGACTCGAAATTACCGCTCTAAATCGTATGGTAGAGGCTGAAAGCGGACGATGGCGTCTGCTATCAGACGGTAGAATTCAAGAGTTCCAAATCGGACGGCATCGTCCGAAGTAAGACAAAAGCGTTCGGAAAATTGGACGATATCGAAGAAAATAGGATCGAAGCGTTCGGAATCAGACGATAGCAAATGGAGAAATCAAAGTAAAGCGCCTGTCGACAATACTGTCTGCGATTAAATTTTATGCAACTAAACATTAAGAGAAAATTAGCATAATCGTGGATGATTCTGCTTACACCGGTGTGACAGCTGTCTGCGTTGTACTCTACGATGGTGAACTATATACTTTCATTTCTTGAAAATAACGATAAAAATAACATTTTTGGTTTCTCCTTGTCGACCTAGAAGATTCACCGTCTCCCAATCAATCGCGAAATAGTCATTTTAGCTTCGAATTTTTTTAAGGAAATGAAAACACGCCAAAACAAGGCAAAAAATATGCAAGCCGTGATCAACACACTAACCACTCAGATCTGAAATTATAACTTTAATGAAACTTACCATTCGAATATTTAGCTAAACTTGCTAAAGATTTCTCAGTGACAAAATAATTCTAATACTTCTAAACTGCTGTTGAAAAAATTGCCGATGCAGTGATGATTTCATTCTTGATTCTTTGGTGACCTTTTATCTTAGCTGTGTGGGAGTGTTGTCGTGACGGGAAACATAGTATTCGCATTTCGGTATCATTTCAAGTATCAAATTTCTCTTTTACAATAACTATGGAATTTAGAAACTGTTCGTGTAAATTATTCCACATTTCCGTACAAAAATATAGGATAACTAAGGCTGAAGTTCGTCTCAACCGCTTGTGTGTAACAGATCGCAAGTAACATTGTAGTCAAGTTAAATAAACATACTTACCATGTGTTCCATCACCTAATCTTAAGTCATCCTCAATACTTGACGATCGAAGCAACCAACTGCCATTCATCTGACAAGTCAATGTTTGTAGCCAACCAATCTGGCGAAATCCTTTCTTACAAACAAATACAGCCTTCTCTCCCGGTAAAAATACACTTTGATTCCGAGCACCAGGGCGCCATTTTAGTTCTGTATTATTCTGAAATGGTTTCGGTGGCCCGCAATCTATCGTTGATGTGACATGTGTAGATTTCACTGAAGCCTCATTCGAGGGAAGTCTTTCTATTCCGCAAATCAAGCGACAAGATGAATTTAAAAGTAAGCAAAGAAGAAGAAAAATGGCATCCATTTTCTTAACTTTTCGCTTTCAGATTTCCTTTTGGCGTGACACAGCTGTGATGGACCTAACTGTGAAGAGTTCTTACAGGTCTCGCGTATATCGGACCTTCCTTGAGAGGTCTCGCGTGAATGCAACCGGAAGCGTGACGCACAAGAGTAAAATCGCACTTAAGCTCCTCGCATACTTTTCAATTGGCGGTCTCTTGAGGAACTAGCGTACTGAAAAGTTTGACCTAAATCCTTAGCAATGGGCATCGTCCATCTTCTATTTTTCCGAATCCATCGTCTGTGTTTTAGCACATGCCAAAAATCCTTTAAGTTTGAAGGTCCAAATATTATGCGTCAACTTGTTACCATTATGGCGTTTTTTCTACCTTGTCAAATCAAGGGCTTGTGGTATCCATTAAGCTGATCGGAACTTCGCGCATCGCATCAGACGAAGTGACATGCTTCATCCCAACGGAAAAGTTTAGGAACAACCTCATTGTTACACTAGCGAATGACCACTGCAAAATCGGCCTAAATAATCAATCTAAGTATTGTTTCTCCTTTCTAAGTGTTTTTTATTTGTCTGCTTTTTGATTCGCCTCCTCAAAAACATGACTGGCTTTGTGCTGCAGGAGATGTCAATAAACTCAGAAAGATAAGGCTAATACATTCCCTTTAGTGTTCCGTGGGTAAAAAAGTAGTAAAAAGTCGGCAGTGGCAGCTCCTCGTGAGTCCGCGACATTTTGACCACTGTGATGACGATAATCGTTGCCGACAAGAGTGCAGACCACGCTAAACCACCATCGATTTGTTTTGAATTACAATATATCGACGTCAAATAAAACAATCCTTTCAGTGCGTGACCATTGTGTGACATGTTGAAACAAGAAACTTTGTCTGTGCTCTTATCGACAACGACAAATCAGTGGCCGATCAGATTGCGACATTACTGCCAATTGTGGTAAAAATTATTTCCCCCCAAACTTGTGAAACAGAACATTTCATGGCCTGCAAACAGACTCTCATCCGTGCCGCGCCACGCGCGGCGAACAGCGAGGTCAGGAAAAGATTCGGCAAAAGCGGTACTTTTTGTATTGGACAGTGCTGGACCCATACCGCGGGCTCTTGCAGGCTCACTTTGCTCGCCAGCCGAGCATCGTGGAAGCGGTACTCATAATGGCACTGAGATCAGCTCAGTGCCATTGTTTTTTTAATGCTAAAATGAGGGCGTAAAGCCTCTTGTGGCTGCGGTCCAAGTCTCAAAAAACTTCTCTGTTTGAAGCCTGCTCGCAGACTAGAAAAGTCGCCGAGGAAAAGCTTAAAAGTGGCATATTGACTCCTTTGAGCTTCCTTTACGCTCCTGGCTTGAAAAATAAAAACCGAAATACATGCTGCATCTTTGAGATATTCCACTATTAATACAATGGATTACTACTATTATGATTACTGCTATAATTATTTTAATCCATCGGACTGTATTTCCCACGCTCTGTTCAAGGTAGTTGGTGAAGCGGCCCGTCGAAGCTTTGTAAAGCTCAAACAAGCACCGCTTAATTTTAAACAATAGGCGGTATAAGACCGGACCCTTTGCAGCACCTTCCGCTAAAACACTCGGAACTGCACACTTCTGTGAAGCGACGCGGTACCTATGGAATACCGAGTAACTTTCGATGCATTTAGTTTTCTGAAAATTTCGGCGTCTCGCTCGTATACCAAACTCTGAAAGTACTTCCAAAGTCTGTCAGGGTTTTCTTTAGGCCCAACATGCGGGGAAGGACACTTTCATTTGGCGTTTTATTTTTAAGGCTAATTTTCATCGGAATAGTAATTTGCGGATTCGACGCAGGCACGAACAAGTAAGATAGGAAACTGGATCTTCCTTTGTTCTTTTCCACAGTATGTGACGGCCGAGGAGTCAATAAACAACATATAAACAACCCAAATATTTCCGGGAAAACTCTACCAGCTCTCACGCTTCCCAATGGATTTCCTCTCTAGGAATTTCTGTGCATGACATCTACCCTTATTTCCGTTTTGCTGCGGGTTCACAATTTCCTACAAGAGGTTTTAAAAATGGGTTATCGATTCCTAATGGTTCACTGTTCGTTCTTAGGACTATTTTAGGAGACAGGGAAGACCTTGGCATTTGGCCACATAGGTCGTGTTAAACCTTTAGAAGGAACGCGAATTTTTAATTTAAAATCTGGATTTTTGGGGTTTCGAGACATTTGGAGTTACACTATGAGAGTTCCAATTGGAACATTTCGCATTCCATCCCTTATCCCATAGCCAGATATCAAATGTAATGTGAATTTTAGAATTAAGACCTAGCATATAAAATCGAGAAAATGGGGTGATGATTCGTCCTACGGTGATTATTCGACGAAATGTGATCAATCCTACATTGAACGGAAATATATCATTACCTTGTTAATCGGGTAGTCTGATCGTCCGAGTGCAGATAATCTTGACAGGACTGCGGTCGACGACAAGGAAAGACTCTTGACAATCTAGCCGGATCTCATCAATAGAGGAAATATCCTCTTTCACATTAATTAGGACTGGATCAGGATCAACGCAACCAAGTGGACGTTAAAATGCAAGAGGGACTCAAAAAAACGGATGGGGATGGTCAAATAGTTGACAGGAAGAAGCAGGAAATTTTTCCTATCACCGCATGTGTTTTCGACCAGAGACGTCGGTTTTGGTGATGAACTGGTATGATTAAGGAATTGAGAGGCGTCGATTTCATTTATCGCAAAATTTGAACGATGAAAAGTGCTAAAACTGCGCCCACTTGCGCGTGCCGGAAAAGGAGCAAAAAGCTTCTTAATGCTGAGAATATCTTCTAATTTTCTTCACAGCATTACCCCTGAATCACATATTAATGTCACGAGAATAAAGGACATGATTACCTGTAAAGGACACTCTTGATTGTTACACAAATTCTCCTCGTCAGCTCTTAAAGAAATGTATGAAAACATTATGGAGAATATGTATACTGATGTCAGGGTGGAAAGGGTTAAAATTCTGTGTGGTAATGGCGATAGAGCTAAGTTCTCTCATAAGCCACGCGTTGAGGAAATCCAGCCAGAACATTTTTAGATCGCGACAAACCTCATTGACCTATTTCAAGTCTTGGTCTTAAGGTACCGAAGAAAAGGCCTTCGTGCGTCTTAGTGAAATCGAAGGCAGAACGCCCCAGGCTAGACCAAAGTTAACTGGCTCGCGCTAAAATTAATCACAGCTTTCGTGCAGATGGTAAAAAATGTCTTACGCCCCTTTTTGGGGTCATCAAGCCTGTCACGAGAGATCTTTATTGTTATTTCTTGTGAATAGTAGACATAAATTTCCGTTGCGTGAGGCATTAGCAAGGGAAAGCAGCTGCCCGAAGCAATTTTGAAAATTTCTCCCCAGCACTGTGTTATGTCAAAGATTATCAGAATTTAATCTTGCAAGAAGTTAAGATCATCAGTGTTTGTTTTAGGAGACTAAAAAGGTAGAGGTGTTGTGTGGAATAGCCGCCCCGAAAGGCGATCTTGATAACAAGATAGTCATGAACTGCAAGACGACACAAGTGAGAATGTATTGTTCGAACGATGCTACCGATTGTATTTTATTTAATTAATTTTTTTTTCTCTCAAACATCTACGGACGGTTGAATTGTTTGTGATAACGAGATGAAGTTCGGATTTCCTAGAAAATGCTATAAAATGCAGAGAGCGGGGGCTTAGCGTTCTAAAACGGTTATGAACTCTCTAAGTTTTCATCAACTTCGCAGTAGCTACAAGTTAATAGCCCTTCTTGCGCTTAGAGCAGCGGCGACCGGAAATACTGCGTTTTCCTTCTCAAGCGAGCAATTTCGGCGCATCGTTCATGCCATATTTGTCAGTCGGAGAATAAATAAAGAAAACAAAGTTCTTCTTCGTGAATCGTGAGTAGAAAGTGATACATTTCAACTAGTTAGATGCTATTGTCATGATTAAGCTGCTCTCAAAAAACTTAATTTTTCCTGTTCGTACTTGTGAAATAAAACTCCTGAGGGGATTCATTTGCGGATCAATGGTGTTTGCTACAAACAGCCGCAGTTTGCGGTTGAGTTCACTTCTATTCTGAAATAGTCTTCTCCTTATTTCTCAATAAAGCTTCTCCGCCCAGTAAACATTCAAATTTGGCCGGAAGAATTCAATATCACACTTCTGGCGTGGGAAAAATAATACCCCAAGACAACTATTTCATTTGATAGTCTTGATAGATGGGATAGTAAATCTTTGTTTACAGTTCCTTAACGCGCTTGATAGACTGGAGTGAAAATGTCAATTCATTCAAAAGCTTTCAAAACAAAGCATCCCACAATATTTTATAAAAAAAAGTGTCCGCTTTTTGCACCTATCTTTAGCATTTTAGGTCCAGAATTTGACCTTAAAATGACACGTTTCCTTAAGCAATTATTTTAATATGATGAATGATATAAACATCGTATCCTTGACATGGTAGAATCTCGATAATTAACTTATCATTTTTTTCTTACGCCGTTTATTCTGGTCAATGTTTTGGTTTTTGCTGTCAAATTAGTAAAGCGGTCTATTTAATCTATAGAAGCTGTGATTTGGCGATAGTTGCACGTCTTGAAAGTAACAGCTTCAAGCCGTCATCACTGATTTATCAAATCGAAACCATGTGCTCACTTTCCAGTAAAACCACCCACTTTGAAACTCCAGCACTCGTACTTCCGGTTAAAAGATGGTCGTATTCTTCCTGGAAAAGAGAAAAAACTGGTGTGGTGAGAACTGCTTACTATTTAGCTCACACCTTTGTTTGTCCAATTTTGAATCGTATTGTTCGATCGGTCTAGCTGTTTGTTCCGCTGGGAAAATGTCAATTGTTGTTGACTTTGTCCCCGTGTTTTCGTAACATGCGTGAAATTAGGTAATTAATGACGTGTACCCCGGCTGGGGTATAAAATAACTTTGACATTTGCGGTAAGATCATTTCCCACGTGCACTTGCAGAATAGTGGAGTACGATACCTCTCCTTCGTTCAACTTCTATTCAGCAATGGTAAGAACACAATATCTTGTACAACCTTTGAATATCTCAACATTTCTACTGAGAATCTGCGGTCAAAAATCTGCATGTAGGAGGTTTTTCAGATTGGACTTAAAACCCCCTTCTTGCATACAGTAATTACTCAAATCCATTCATTGGCAATTCATATTTTGTTGCAAGTTCAGAAAATTCTGTTTTTGATCAACTGCCGTTTTTCTTTAAGCTTCTAGGTTAATTGAAAAGATCGGCAAAAAATCGAAACTAAATAGTGGAATTATAACAGTTTGTTACATAATTGTGCGTGAATAATCCGCAAATTCTCTGATATTGTCTTCCAGGAGAATTCTTCGACCTATCTCTTCGGAAAACGTTTCCGCAACCGATTGTTTGTCGGAGGATTACCAGTGAATGTAAGCTGTTTTTCTTACTGCTTTTATCCTCTAACAACGCTGATCCTAAATGAGTGTTTTTAAAAAATTATTGGGGAAGATTAAGTTCATTTGATCAATCATTCTACGGGTGTTTACCGTGTAGTCCAAATAAACCGCGGGAAGGCCCCTTGAGTTAGAAAAACAATTGTGTTTCCACACTATTGTAGAGTAGATCGACCTTTTAAAAGTTACTCAGAGTCCTGTCATGATTAAGCCTATTTTCAGTCATATTGCTTCACCGACGGTGTTTTCTACAAACGCGCAAATGCAACGATTATTTTGCGAACGTGACTCGCTTGGTATGGTTATCCGGCCACAATAGCCTGTTATTTGTTTTTCTCGTTTTACGCCATGAACTTTTGATGTAAAGGAAATTACGACTGTAAAGGAGAGAAAAAAAAGAAAATGAGAGAAAAAAAAGTGCAAGTTTGTGTATAGTAGCGGAATTTGTCAATGTGTATGTTTAATTTTCAACATTCCACGTTAAAATGTGGAGTGTGCAATTTTTCTCGATTTATCTCATAGAAAGCTTTGGAGTTTTTATCTTCAACTTTATCTCTTTTGTGTCACGACTGTAATTTTGATCCGTGTTTCAATTAAATCGTCAATTTCTATGTTTTACAGCGTTAAACTTCCGAGTTTTCCAGCGAGCTCGGCACAGCCAGATACCAGCATGTTATATTTGTTAGCCATATTGAATTAATTATTCAATTGGGAGGCGCGCGAATTTTAACACGCTTGTTTTTAATTAATCATTCTGATCTGGCGGAAATCTCGGTTTATGTGGATAGCTATTGTTTTCAGTAGTAAAGATGGATTTTTGAGAGTGCAGTTTCTTTTCTTTTTTTAAGGTCTGGCTTAATTTTTTTTTAAACTGTCCTCAACTAAGCTTGTAAAAGCGTTTGGGTGTCAGCTCCCAGAGATGGGGGGGAGGGGTAGGGGTGAGGAAAAATCTTATTAACATCAGAGTATTTAATTTGATAAAACTCTGACAGTGAGGGTTCTCAGTAACAATAAACCTGATACTTCACCTGGGATGATGCCCATTTTAATGTACTGTATGGGTCACACTTCTTAATCGCTTTTAACCTAGGCAACAAGCTGCTTAACTAAACAAGATAGTGTTTTTTTCTTTTAAATTGGTTACAAAAGGCAGGTTAAGTCTGCTAAATTAACCCTCCTCAAATTTGTGGTAATTTGTGACATACACAGAGATTGTGCTGCTTTTTATGGCAAACTTAATCAACTGATTGGCCTGCTTTTATATATGAAGGTCAAATAACTTGGTTCTTCCTAAGGCATGGTTTGGTGTTGTGTAATCATCACATTTGATTAATATTTTTGTGATGTTATTTTGCAGACTACTGCTCATGAATTGGCCAATTATTTTTCCAATTTTGGACATGTCATAGAAACCAAAATTATCTTTGATGAAAACAATGTTTCCAAAGGGTGAGTTTTTTATTGCTTGGTTCAATTGTAAGAAATCTGTTTTTTATTAAATATGCACAATGAGAACAAAAGTTTTAAATCTTGTTTGTGAGAGTTTTTTGGGTTAATTGTGAACTGTTCTTACATCTCTGGATGTGCCGAGGAAAAGTGAGATTTTCATAGAGGACCTTGGCTTTCAAGCCGTTAGTCAAATAATGAATTACAGGGTTGTGAAATATTTTCAGAACAGATCATAAATTCTTTTGATGCATGATTGTAATGGTCAACTTTTTTCTTCCTTATTGCCTGACAGATATGGATTTGTCACTTTTGCCTCAGAAAAAGATGTTCATAATGTTACAGAGATGGTAAGATATTTGAGAGTGATTGTTTCCAAAGACAGCGAGAATGTGCGTGCCTAGCTAGCCAGAGGTGGAGCTAGAAAACCCTAGTTTTCAAACCAGTTTGTTTTGAAGAGCAATTTCTCATGTCTGGTTTTTTAACATTTGCCTTCTCGTGTATACATTTTTGAAGAAAATATAGCTTTTAATCAATGTGATTAATGAGAATGCAAGACATTTCATATGAATACCTGTTTATTGGCTTAAATCTTCAATTGTGGTGGCAGATGTGTTTGTTTCAATTCTTCACAAGGATGGGAATATTTTCGGGACACCTTTGTAAATGTTCAGGAATATAATATGAAAAGGTCCTCATTTATTGTGTCTGACTCAGTTTAAGTTGGTCAGGTGCTAAGCACAGAAAATTGAATCTTAATGAAAGGAACTTTTTTTCAACTACAATCACCTTTGACCAGCTGGCGCCCATTGTGTCGAAGTCAGGACAGTGTAAATTTCCCAAACTCCAGTGCTAAAGAGCTGTCCCAAACCAAAAGTTATTTCTGAGTAATTCTTATTTAGAACCTAAACCACAACATAATGCTATTTGGAATGTGACCTGCAAAGCTTGACTCGCGCAATGTTTAATTTGACCAAATTACCTGAAACTCACTTGAACCAAAAGTTATTTCTGAATCATTGTTTGAAATATTTTGAAATTCAACCATAGCATGGTTACTATTTATGACACAAAGTGCACAGCATCTGCACGCAATGCTATAGGAAACCACAAAGAGAAAGATGACGCTTGCACGACCTATTGGTTGACATAGGCCATTCTGGATAAAACTGTCCAGCCCTGCACTCACTCTTCACTGGTGCATTTTCCAAGATCATGAATACCTGTTGTTGTCTGAAGCTGAGAAGGGAAAAAGAAACAGGATAATATTGTCACATTTTGCACTGCATTTGTAGTTCCATACTGTACCTGCAAGACTTGAATAAGAAACTATTGTTTTGTAATGGTTACGTAATCGTCCAGCTCATCCCTTTTTATATGAATTTATTTGCAACCATGTTTAGATTTAAGCCTTGCATAACAATGCTTTGAGAGATGGGGGTCATGATTGAATAAAAAAAAACTCTTTGACTGAGTTTGGTCAAGGCAGACAAGATTATATGGGTCTGACATGACACATGGACCTTACTGTGTCTGGTTCATGCCTCTACAACCTCAAGCCACTAATTTTCCCATTCCACCTCCCACTTAATCAATGAGCACATACATTGTGCAAAGTTAGAGGAAAAAGACTGAAAAAGAATTAATTGCTAACAACCTAACAAAAGGAAGTCAAACTGTTCTGATACTTTGCATGGACTCCCTATTTATCTTGATTATGCTTTGTGCCCTGGCTTATGCTTTTTAAATCCATCACATTAAGTATGTAAATAATGCAAAGGTAGAGGAAAAGGCTGAAAAATAATCAGTTGCTGACAACCTAACAAAAGGAAGTCAAATTGTTTTGCTTTTTTAACCTTAAAACCTTTCAAAACCTAGAAGTGATTAATATGTAACTTCTCTCTTTGATATTTGTACATTATCCAGCAAACAGGTGATGAGAATACTCAAATAGATCAGGTAGAAGTTTATATTGATCCAACACCAAATTCTCGTATCTAATTTACAAGGAAATGTCTAATAGCCTGAGGGGAGAATTAACAATCAGATATTGGAAGTTAGAGTTGACTCCCATGAGTGACAAGGGCAGTATTCTCCTCGTGTTAAATATTCAAAATCAAGCAGACAAGTCATGTGATTAAAGAAAGATATCAACTAGGTGAATATCAGTTGACCCAATAACAGATTCTCAAAACAAACATTATAAAACTTCTGTGGTAGATAGTAAGGAGATTCATCTATGAGATCTTGTGAGTGAAAAGGTTAAATGGAAGAGAGGACGGAGGCTACTTTCTTAAATTCTTTTAATTTGATTACTTCTGTTTTGCAGGGAACTTTATTTTTTCGTAATAAAAAGCTCAATTTAGGACCTGCTGTGAAGAAACAGGTAAGCTTTGAGTTGAACATGAGCACTGTATATATATCATAGTTTTAAGTGCTAAAAGAGCAAAAAAAAAATCAGAACCCAAACTGATGTCATTTCACTTTTAATTTATTTTTTTTCCAGGGACCAATGTCTCCCGAATCACCTGAACTTGTGGTGGGTAAGTGGAATATGATGAGAATTGTTCTACTTGTGAGTGTTTCATTGCATATTATTCTTTTCAATTCAAATTCTTTGGGTTTATCAAAGTTTCTCAGCGATTTTTTGGCCTCTCTTATAAATAACAGTTGTACAGTGGTGTGTATTAACCTTTCAACTCCTGTGGGTGACCAAGACAGAATTTGTCCTTTCTATATCATTCTATACAATATCATGCAGACAAGTGATGAGAATAAAGAAAAATATCAATTATGAGTCATTTGCAGACAGAAAGGAGAATTACTAATGAGATCTTGAGATTTTAGGGGTTGAACATGGGGCAGTGAGAGGAGGAAAATGATAACCTAATACAAGTAACCAAAAGGCCAAAGTAAACACAAGCAAATTGCTTGAAATATGGCAAATATGAAAGTCTAAAAGTGGTGATTTGGTTTAACAGGACAATGTAGTATCAACTGAGTTGATAACATGAATTGATAACATAAACTGAAACATCAGCTTTTAAACTCTGCAGTGGCAAATTTACACTATCAACTGAGTTGATAACACTAAACTACCCTGCTATACTTTCCCATCAATGTAGCACCACAGTTTCTTTAGGAACTTAACCCTTAACTCATTGGTGATTTGGTTTAGCTTTGCATCTCTTTGGCTGGGAGGGGAGCATGATTTCTCCTTACCAGTTACTTTTTGGGAGTTGAAAAAAAAAAACAAATGAATGCGATTCTATTTGACTTTGGTCAATAAATCTAAAGAAACTGTGATAGTTCTAGATCTCTGAATGAAGATTTTTATTTTTCTTTTCTAGTCAACACACAAATGAAAGGAGACTATTACTACCCAGTTCCATCATATACATACTCTGATGGTCAGTTGTCCCCAGCACCACAGGTAAGGATTTTAAAACTTACTGGAAAACTTGGCTTATGCCACAGCCTATCACAGTTTCAGTCTCATAAAGTGTAACAAGGAGGTCACTACTTCTAGCCAATTGGGATGCCAGTCCATTATAGGGTTACTTCCCTTTCTCTCTCCTTTCCCCCCAGCAGTTCCTCAGCATTTGTTCAGTATTCCCTGACAGTTGCACTACACTGATTTACAATCCTGGCTTCTTGGCAAGAGAAAGACACTGTGATAGTGCAGGGTGTAATGGCTAAGAACCATACAATAACCTGACTTGAGGCTTGTTTCTCAAATGTCCCTTATTCATTATTATGAGCCTGATGCCATATTTAAAACCAAATTTTTAATATCAAAATTTAAAGAATAGGTACAATTTGTTCCATGAGCCAATGGTTCAGTTGTATTATTTGAAAACATTAAATTTGAAAAACCCCATCTTGAATCAAAATGGAACAGCTTTACAGGCCCATTTAGTTACTGGGACCTTGGAGAAGCAAGCCCCTTGAGTGTTTAGCAATGTCCTGGTAACTAACTAGGATATTCAAGCTTGTCAGGTAGAGGTTGGTCTCCTGATCTAACACCAAATTCTTGTAGAAAGTTAAAAGGAAATTGCAGCTTGTGGGGAGAATTAATGATCTCATCTTGGTAGTTTAGGGTTAAGCCATACCTCTCAGCTCTGAGTCCAACACAACTGGCCATTGGGCTGTTTTATCTCGCAGTATAATGAAATACCAGCTACTGGTTCATAATTCTTCAAAAGCTGAACATGGGAGAGTTATGTGGTGGTTTTTCTCTTTTAAAGTTATGATACCCTTGGGCTTGTGACACTGTTTTTACAAAATTTTCTGACATTTTATACTTCTGTAATTTCTTTCAGTATACATATCAACACCCATGTCAGGTGAGGACTTGTACTGCTTACGGCCGTGGAGCTAATTTGTAAATAATTAATGACTCATATTTGTTAATATTGTAAAATAATTCTAGAGATATACACTCTCTTATTGGTTGAAAAGTATGCCATATCTTGCAAAATTGAAAAAAAAAAAAAACCTTTATAAGGTGACTAATAACACTGAAAACACTGACTTGAAAACAAAAGGTGCATGATAATTAAGTAATTGGATTTCATGGAAAAAGCTCCGAGGAAGTACTCGTGATAGCTAAAGACTTCTTTCAAATTGTCTTGTAAAATGTTGTGACACAGAGAATTTAAGATGTTGCATTAAAAGTCACTTAGAACTTTATTCCATATATCCTTTGGTTACTCTTGGACTTTGTCTTTGGGATAGGTTTGACAATATCTACCCACTCTTCATTGAAAAATTCGTAAATATGCTAACTTTGTACTAACGAGATTGTTCAGGTGATTGTAAATGTTAAATTCTGTTTGATAATTTTCCTCTATTTTATCACCAGGTTTCCTATCCACTCCCTCAACCTGGGGGATATATGTATGTTTATGGTAAGTTTTGTTGTGTGTTTCAAGCATTGCCTACATTTTTCAATTCAATTGAGTTCTCCTCTATACATTTTGGTCGGTTTTGTTTTTCTACAGAAGAGCAGCCTCCACTGATGTTCTACCAGCAACAAATACCTAATGTGCAGAACATTCCACAAGTAGGTACTCAGTTTGATTTCAATCTCATAAGTGCAATAGAAGAGATTTCGAGTTGCTTTGCTGCCAAAGAGTGAGATGTTTGGCTGTATAGCCATCAATTGTGATGCCACTGGTATCACCTTCTTGCAGTGGAAATTGTGAAAATATGAAGTAGCTAAGGTGTGTATTTCTTTACTGTGAGCATGTGTGTAGACAGTGCATGGTTCCTGTGGCATATGAATTTTCTAAGTTGGAAAATGTTCAAAGAAAGTATAAAGGGGAAAAGGTGTAAATTATACCTTGAAATATAATTAATTTTACTTGTACTAAACTTAAGCAGCAGTTTTCTATCTCAAAATCAACCGTTAGAATAAAAAACTTGATGCTTTACACCCAAACATCAGTATGCAAACTGTCCTATGCTCTATACATTTCCTGGGGTGCTGACGAGGAGAGTTTGTTTAGCAATAAAGCCCCTCTTTAGTTGGTGATCATTTCCTTTATTCTTGTGACCTAAATGTGTGATTCAGGGATGATATTGTGAGAGAAATTAGGTACTAATCACTTTTAGGGGTTAAAGGGTTAAGTGCTAAGAGCATAAGATTGTAAAATTATAAATTCAGGGATAAGTCAAGGGATCTTAAAATTCCTATGATCATGGCAATCATACGTTTTTGTTCATTTCAGGCTCCATGTCCTCCACAAAAAATCAACAAGAGGCTACCTCCAAGGATGAGACGTTCTCGAGAAAACTAAATTGAGCTACCTTCTGCATCAGACAGCTTTCCCAGTGCACATCATCATGCACATCCTGAGCAAATATTCCCTTGAAAAACTTTGAGTAGACCCTGCTATGTTGCAGGCTTGGATTCAAACCAGGATCTTGGTGACGAGTGTATCATTTAAATAACATCAAATCAGATTCATTTGATTCTTAACTTGCACATGATACAGATATTTTTACAGCTCTTAGACAGCTTTAAATTTGTGGGGTAATTTTTATATACTTTAATCTTCCTGAGTGGAAGGGATAATTTAGGAAAGGGTTGAAGGGGGTTTGAGAACCTAAAGGTATCAGCCATCTCATAACATTCATACATCATACTGACGAAAACTTTTATTGACATGATACTTCATTAGAAACTTTTATGCTGTAGAAATTTCATAATGTTTATGAAGATCTAAATGCTCTCTCTGCTTTGCTTGCTTTTAATATGTTTCACTGTCAGCCAGTGTTGGTTCCATTAAACCCTAGACCAAATACTGCATCAGAACCTTTTCTGCTGCTGCTTTAGAAATTTCATTTTGTATGAATATTTTTGACGGGAAGTTACTAATGATTGTAGACTTAAACAGACTTTTACAAAAGCTGTACCTTTTTCTGAAAAAGAAAGCAGAACTGACAGCTTTGGTTAGTAAAAAGGCTTGAGTTTGACTTTCCATTGTTTACAACATCTTTTATACATTTAAATATATTATTATCTATTTTCGTGTACACTGACAACATAAGATGTAATTTTTTTATTGATGTGTACATGTTGTAATCATTTTTTAAATATTTATTTTTTTTAAATATATGGTAAGACAAATCTGAAAAAGGGAGCTTTTGCATGAAAGCTAAATTCCATGTCCAGCAGAGGAACCTTTGAAACTAGCTTCAAATTTTACTTGATTGTACTATTTAAATCTTGTAATTGAAAGCACAGCATGGCATGAAATAATGACTATTGATTTTAACAAGCACCACAATATTTGTGTATATGTATCTTTGATAATTAAATCTCTTGATTGAAAGCGCAGCATGGCATGAAATAATGATGATTGATTTCAATCAAGTACCACAATATTTGTGTATGTATCTTTGATAATATCCAAGTGATGTATTTTGCGACACAAACGCTTTAATTTGAAGAAATGAAGACAAATGTAAGTTGATCATTTATTAAAAGTGTCGTTAAAATGATCCTGGTGTATCTCTGTTCTTTATATTGAATATCTGCATTTCTTTACAGTTTACATACCTTAATTTCTCTCTTGTTTTGCTTCTCAACTCTACCACCTCTGATCTCTTTTTACATTATCACACGTTAAGTCAAATATTAAGTTCACAAGGATGAAATGGAGAAAGTGACCAACAAAGGAAGCTCGTGATTGTTCAGAAAAATCTCCTTGTCAGCATCTAAGGAAGTGTTCAGAGAATGGTATGAAGAATATTCATACTGATGTTAGGTAAATCATTAAATTGCTGTTGAAAATGATCCTGATGTATTTCTGTTTCATGATTGAACAAAGTGCATGAATTTGCTACCCTTTGACCTCCCTTTTTTTTTTTTTTCTAACATTTGCACTCTAAGAGCTATTGGCATCAAATTTCTCTGTTCCGTATCACACGCAAGTCAAACAGTAAGGTTGCAAGAATAAAGGAAACAATCACCAACCTAACTCTTAACAACATAACATCAGTATGCATATTCTCCATACTGCTCTCTTCATATTTCCTTAGGTGATGACAGGGAGAATTTGTTTAACAATCAAGAGCTTCTTTAGTTGGTGATCATTTCTATAATTCTTGTAACCTGGATGAGTGATTCAGGGATGAGAATCAAAGGAGAACTTGGATGCCATTCACTCTTAGGGGTTAAAGAAGCTCTTAATTGTTAAACAAATTCTCCTTGTCAGCATTTAAGAAAATGTTAAGAGAACAGTGTGGAGGATAAGTATATTAATCTTAAATGATAATGGTTTAAGATAATTTTGTTTAGGATATTATCCCCTGCTTTTCATGACCCCAGGTGAATACGTGCACTGATTGGCTTGTTTGAATGCGAGTACCAACCATTCTTCACCGTAAAAACAACTTGAGGAGCAAGTAGGCGTTAAAAGTTCCATTTACAACCAGCTTCACTATGTTGACATAAATAAGCAAATCCTCAAGTGTGGTATATTCCTAAAAGATTACCGGTACTCACCTCATCGTTGGCTAAAACGCTGGTAAATAATATTGTCCACTCTCTAGTCACCAGATCCTATCGAGCAGAGTAAAGCTCCCGGCTCAAAGATATAATTTACTCCCAATGCTTTGAATTTCTTAGTTTCTGTCGTATAAGGCCCGAAAAACTTGAATCCAAATTGATATATGATTAAGGAAATTCCTCAGAAAAAAAGTCATCAAACAAATCAACTACCCATGTTTGTTTCGAAAAGATGGGTCACCGTTCTTGCTTCAAAGATATGACAGACCAAATTTACCCTATTTATGCCTGTACTGACACTAATCACGTCCGTCATTTCACCGCAAGTCATCGGTTCATGGTACATTTTGTAGTAGCTGGGAGCAAGGGTTTTCCCCTTCCATGATTTTTTTTTTAATTTCCCCAATTTAAAGGGGATAATTTATATAACAAAATTATGCAACAAAAAATATCGGTCACTGTGCTCGTTCAAAAGCTGAAAATCGTCGTACCTTTTTACCTGGTCAATTGACTTAAAAACAATACCGTGTTCGCCTGATTACGTGATTTTTATGCGCAGCACAGGATGTGCAGTGCAATACTGAGGAATCACCTTAACTAGTGAAGTCAAACCTAGGTGTACTGACAAGAAATTTCATTTATTTACTGGAATGCTATTTTATAAAAATAAATCAAATAGTACGCGCGCTCTGATTGGCCATAAAACCATTTACATGAGCGTATGTAAACACGGTTTTCGTTCCTCTATCATCAGTTATTTTATAAAAGAAATGTAAAATGGTTTCCGTGTTTACATAGCCTGATGTAAACACGCGGGAGATTGGGAGAACACGAGATAAGCGTAGGAAACCACTCCGCTTCGCTTTTCTACGCTTATCTCGTGTTCTCCCAACCTCCCGCGTGTTTACATCAGGCTATGTAAACACGGAAACCATTTTGCATTTCTTCAACAATAACTGGATAGTGCGAATGATACGATATCCTTTAGGACACCAATTTAGCGACTGATAATTTGAAATTTATTCGTTAACTCTTTGGCCTGTTAAGAAGTGACTAGCATTTCCTCCTACAGAAACACCCATGATTCCCACAATACGGGAATGAGAATAAAGGAAGCGATCACCAAACAAAAAGGCTCCGCATTATGAAAGAAATTCTCCTTGATGGGTGTTAAGGGTTTAACCCCTTACATCCTAACATCGGTAAAGCTGTTCTCCAAACTATTCCCCATACATTCTCTAAGGTTCTAACCAGGAGAATTTGTGTAACAATCAGTAACTTCTTTGGCTGCTGATAATTTTCTTTATTTCGTGACCTTACTTCATGATTCAGGGGTGAAATTGTAAGGACATTCAAAAATCGTTTACGGGGTGCAAAGGAAAAGGTTCCTCTCATCGATTATAATTCATGAGAAAATTAAAAATACGTCAGACGAGAAGGAAAAAGAATAGTTTAAAAGGGATTCTTTTGAGCGTGGATCAATGATAATAAAAAGGAATAAAAAACAGAAAACGCGAAGTTTAGAAATATCTAAAATGTAATAAGTATATAGGTGTTCAATTTCCTTTACTTTCAATTTAGCTTTCATGAGTTAAAAATATGTTCGTGTACTTCGTTTAAATCTGGTAACTGATTACTGCGAACTTTATAATTAGAAAATGAAAATAATTCAGAAAAGATGAGTGCTTCGATTTGCAGGGTAGGCCCCTTTTTCGCGGGAATATTGCCAAAGTTACCCACAAATCACTGGGATGGCCAATGTACGCAAGCGCAGTAACACCCATAGTATTTCTCTGACGCAAAGGGTTTACTCTGATACAAACATGTCGACGTCTGGGTTGGTAGTTTCATTTTCGACGGAGATCTCGGCTTTTCAAGCTGGCACGCAATGGAGAAGGGTTACACTGGTTTGAGGAGAACGTGAGTACCTTCTACTTTGGGTTTCTAAGCTTTTTTCGTGGTTGAGATTGAGATTTTGTGCAATTTTTTTAGGCGAAAACGTGCACATTCGACCAAGTGCTCGTGTTGCTACTCGTCAGAAGACGAACCGGAAAATCATGCAAGCGCTAGAAAAGAGGTGTGTTGATTAACCATTTACTTTCATGCAAATAGTCAATCTATGATAAGGGCAAACGAGGCTTTTAATTGTAGCTTTTAAGGAAAGCTCGGAAAATGACAAGAAACTCGACAGCAACAGTTTCCTTCGCCAGATTTGTTATGAGTTCTTGAATTCACCACGAGCATGTGATGACCGCGGAAGAAAGTGAACTTCGATAATCCTGCAGCTTTTTAATCAAAAAATTACTAAAACTCTGGATTTCAGTCGTGATTTCGGTCTGGATAGCATTTTTTTAAAATACAATTGGCGATTAAGAAGCGTGAAAACCAAATATACATGAGATTGACGGGGCAAAACTTTGTTTTAGTTTTTCGTAGTACATTGATGAAACGCTGGAGTAGGGCTGGAAGTCGAAATGATGTTCGCTTAGTGTGGAAAATTTACGGGCAAATGTATCTAAGGCTTGGCTCTTCGCTCACGCTGCAAAATTCAGTATTTATCTGGGATTTTGCTTCGTGCCAAAGGATTGTGTAGCATGTTTTTGACCCTCGAATGCCATGTGGTCAATATTTATTGAGCGTAGCTCGGATCGTAGGGCGATCAGGCTGAAATGTACACCGCTTTAGTCAATTTCATGGAAAATTTATTTACTTTCATCGTCATCGCCCTTCAAGTGGATGCCACACCGACCTGCAACACATACGGTTTTCGAGGTGAACGTTTTTCCAGAGTGAAAATATGTTAAGCAAATCGAAAGTAACAGTTATGCTTGCGAGGGACAAAGTTGGCACTTGCCCCAGAGAGAGACAGTCGATCAGGCTTGTCCACGCATCTGTTGGCCGGTTCTAAATTTACACTAGACGTCATGCAAGCGGAATCCAAACAGAATTTGTTTTCTGATGTGCGAACGACATTGCTGCACTGAAGAAGTTCTATAAAAGTTATTTATTTTCTTCTTTTTCTTAAGAGTAAAATATTGTCGTAATCCATTGCGAATGGAATCTCGTCTCGACTGTTGCCCACGTGTGCGATGAGTTCTTCTGAAAGTAGAAAATTTATTTTGCGACCTTGGGGAAAAATGGTTTTTTTTGCACGTAACCCGCTAAAATTAAAATTACACCCATAATTTTTGTCGAAATTAGATAAAGTACAAATCAGTTTTCAAGGAACGATAGTTTTTAAAATTTTTTGACATTTGTAGGAGCACATTCGAAATGTTAAACACTTGTACATGCGATATGTAATTATGCAAGCAAACTGTCTTTGGTTTTTAATTTTTTTGACTGCGAAGAGAATTAGTCGATACAATTTTCACTTTGAAGATCACTTTGCTTGGCCTGAAATATTTTCTCGTTTGTCGCTGTAATTTTCTGAAAATTTCCCAGATAACATCGTTCAAAATTTTTCTTGATAAAGGTACGACTATTTTTGGTGTTTTAAGAATAATTTACGCACAAGCCTTCGTTGCAGACCCTTATCACATTTAAAATTTCTTTCACACCTGCACAGACAATACTCAAGAAGTTAGCTTCCTCTTGGCTTATTGCTAGATTTTTTTCTTTTTTTTTTGCAAGAACTGAACACTCTTGATGTGTATAATATGTGGATGTTAACACATAATTTTTCGTTATGATGTGTTTTGTCTGATTTATTGTAAGAGTCCCTTAGACGAAGAAGGATTTTGGATATGAAAGGAGTTTCCATCAGTAGTTGTTTTTTTTCAGTAGTAAACCCTGTTTACTAGAAAAGCAACAGAGATCAGAGGAAGCCAGGACATTTCTAACAACTCTGGCTAGACTCCAAGACTAAATAATGAGTCAAAACAAAACCTAAGAGTGAATTATTTAAAAAGGTCATTATTCTCCTTTTCATCCTTTAAATTACATTTTTAAGAGTTAAAAGATTTCTTTTGACCTCAAAGTCTTGAGAATTTGTGAACAATTTAAGAAAATATGTTGAATAATTTAAAATATTTTCCTGTTATGATATACTTTTGCCTCACCAATTTTGTCAATCACTGCTGACTGTTAACATAAATGTGAAATTATCATGTAAGATTTTGTCGTCCAAGAATGTAAAAAAGTTATCTCTTGTAACCTAAATGCAAAATGGCCTTTTATCACATTAGTTATGGTCATTTGGAGGTAATGGTAAACACCTTTTGTCATCTTCAGAAGATTAGACCAAAAATGTTGGTGCCCTTGGACTAGTTACACACAAGTTGTATGATAATCCTCTTGTTTTTTTTACCTTGGCTTTGAAGTTGTGAATTTGCTCCATTATGTTTCAGAGGTCAAGTAATGTCTGGTCTCAGTTTGGGTTATTTTGTCTTAATTAATTTCAGTGTGGGTTTTTGTGGTCAAAATAAACTGCTACACAGACAGGTTTTATGCTTTTAGAGTGATTAGCAAGAGTCCTTCAGATGCCCACCAGGCATTTATTAATTAATTAACATTTGAAGTCACACTTCATGGGTGGCGGTCACTTCAATTTGATAATCAGACAACAAGTAGCTTATTTGCTATAAGTGCTTATCACTGGAAGTTGAAAAGTTATGGCTGTTTGTATTGAATTGCATTTAATACAAGTTGGTTGGATTTGTCACTCACCTAGGCAAGATACCAGTTGAGAGGAAATAAGTGTGATGTGCTCTTCATTTATAGAGTCAATCCTTTAGACTAATATTTCAATTTTTTTGGTCAGTCCTTGTGCTTTTCTTTTCAGTCTGAGTTGAGCACAATTTTTACTGCGCTAGCCCAGAAAACAAATTACTATTTTTGTAGTTGTTGTATTAATCATTTTGCCAAATTTCCACAGAAGTCCAAAGAATGTGATCCTGACAATGGGAAACGAGCAAGCACGTAAGTTGTCATCCCTAAGAACATTTTCTTTGATGCTTTTGGTTGTGATTGTCTTGATATTCATTTATTTTCTTTTCTTACCTCTTAGGAGAAAAAAAGTGAAAACAGAGGATTCTGCAAGTGTCATTAATGTCAAAAATACAGGTGAAGGAACTCAATCAGATGAGTCTGTCAGCAAAACACAAAAGGGGAATCAAAACAAGAAGTCAACAGCCTCTGAGACATCCAAGAAAACTGTTCCAACTCGAAGAAAAACATCAACTGCACAGAAATCGTTGGAAAGCAATCCAGATGGGGAAGATCTTGAACTGACAAAAAAACAACATGGCAAAGTTAGCAAACCCATGGAGAAAAAGAAAAGAAAAGTGCGATCACTGACGTCAAAAAATGATAAGAATCAAGGAGAAAACACGGACTTGAACAAAAGTGCAGATAGTTTGGTAAACATAACATTAGCTCAAACTCAATCAAGGAACAAAAGGGTGAAGAAAAAGACTTTGAAAGATGAAGTGCAAAATACTCCAAGGAATGTTGACAAGAATTTTGCTCACGGTAAGGAAAAGTCTATAAACAATAAACAAAATACTACCAAGGCAAAGGCTGGGCTTGTTGTAGGAGGGACAGTGTCAAGTGAACTTAAACAATCCAGTTCCAAAACAAGTGAGACAGAAGGTGAGAAACCGATTAAGACTAGAGGTACTTCAAAAAGTGTTAAATCTGTGAATGAATCTAATGGGGAAACCATAAAGGAGAAAGATGTTCCTCTTGGAAGCAGAAAACGCACTAATAATTTCAAAAATGGTGGAAGTTTGTCTGAGAAGAAGATTGGTGTGTTTGATCATTTATTTGCTGAACTAAAAAAGTGCCCAGGATTTAGCAAAGTTACAGTTTCATCTGCTGCTGAATTGCTTCTCAAGCTGACAGCAGACAAACTAAAGTCCTTGATCCCTGGCTTGCCATCAAAAAAGATGAAAATAAGTGTGGATAAATTGAAAAAGACTGGAGAAGATGCAACATTGTTTCCAGGGAAATCGAACTCTTCTTGTTCTGTAAGTGAGCCAAAAAGGAAGCGTCCAAACTCTGAAAAGTCTCCTCTAGGATCTCCCGTATGTCCAGAGAGGCCAACAACAGGGAAATCTGAGCAAGTCAAACTTTCACAGGCTGCGGAGGCGCTGGTCAGCTTCCGCACCAATCCTACCATTTTGCGTCAGGATAACAAAGAAGGTGACATTTCACATGGAAAGTCTCAAGATGAAGTCACCTTAAATACTTATCCTGACTCTGTAAACAATTCCTCTTCTAAGGAGCCCAGTTTGGTCAGTAATGTTGTCTCTGCATCAGTACAAAATGTTACCTTAACAAGTGAGCAAGTTTTGTCACAGGTTGAATGTAATTCCCATTCACAGAGCCAGGTAGTACCACAAGTTCAGCCAGGTCTTGTTGTGCAGAGTCCTTTCCCACAGCAAACTGTAAGATTTCCTGCAAATATCGAAGCAAGCCTGCAACAAGTGGCTCATGTACAGCAGAACTTGTTGAATCTGAGTCAGGTAACATCCCAGTTGAGTGCAGCTGCAGTGGCAACACCTCAATTAAGCCCAAGTTTAACAGGAGCTTGCCCAACAAATCCACCAGGGTCAAATGTCTTGGGACCAAGGATTTTGAATTCAGCTGCAATGCAAAATATTCAGGGTCTATTTTGTAGACCAGTGGTACCCTCAAATATCCAAACATCAATGACTGCACAAAACCCAGCTCCATCTCTGCCACCAAGCAGCAATGCTCAACGAGCTCATCCACAACAGCCATTGAAAGGAATGGAAAATGTTGTCAGCTGTGTTGGCTCACGGTCGACTGCTAATTTGCTGTGGAATATCAAACCAGCAACACCTGTTGTCTATTTGACAAGCCCCCAGACACTTACTGGTGTCAGAGCTAGGAACTTGATACCTCAAACTGAAGGTCATACACCATTACCTTTTACCTCAGGTGTGGCTAGTGTTCAGGCATTGGGAATTCCAAAGACCACACTAAACTCTACAAGTACAAGTATATTTACATTAGGGAAAACAACAGGAGTGAGTCAGACTGCCCCACAGGTAGCACCTCAGTCTGTCAGTGTTAGTAGCCAACGGCTAATTCTACCCCGTGAGCAGAGGGCAACACCTGTGTTTCCAGGTGGATTGCAAAGTGCTGCTGCTCAGATTCTGCCAACAACTGTCATGGGGCAGATCCCAAGAAGTATTGCTCCAGTTGTTCTACCCAGAAGTGTTCCACTTCAGTTGGGTAATGTAGGAGTGACAACTACCTTGAGTGCCAGGCAGCCAGTAACATCCAGTACAACACCAGCATTGTGTGCTGCCACTGTGCAAACCACTTCAGCTACTAAAACAACAACAACAGTTGCACCAGTGAGTGCCAAGCAGGCTGTGAAGAAGTTTGTTCACGAGAGGACCAAGTCTGTGGAACTGAAACGGACAGCCAGTCTGAACAACCTACTGACAAATGAACCTGTACCAGTTTCCAAATCTGCTGGGATTGACAAATCAAAAGGTGTTATGGTGAATACTGCGTTGCAGAGTCATGGCAACCAGCTATCAGACTCATCAGAGAAGCAAAGTGCAACGAAGCAGTCAGACTTCAATTTGCACCAGGCTGTGTCAGCACTTCTCAGCATCAGCTCACAGGATGGATTAGATGCATCTGATTCCACTCCACCAGGAGGAGAAGGTGACGAGTCCCTAGATGAGCATGACGATGAGGTTGTTTTCACCAGCAAGGGTGTGTTCCGTGTTGGAGATGTAGATGTTGACCCAAAATACAACAGAATTGGCAGAGGTAAGAGTGTTGTTAAATTGACAGAAAAATTTACATCTTAGATAGACAGAGAATAAGAAATCAACTAAGGAATAAAGTTTGGCCTCAACTCTTTAACGTCAAGATCTGATTATTAATTCTCCCCTCTGACAAGCACACATTTTTTGTAAACTAGTTACGAGAATTTGGTGTTAGATAGAGATAACAACTTCTACCTGATAGGTTTGAGTATTCTCATGACCTGTTTGGTGGATAACATATGGATGCTATAGGAAGAAGTTACATGTTGATCACTTTGGGGAGTTAAAGTTTTAAGTAACCATTGATAAACGGCAAACTTTGCCCTCAACAATAGACTATTTTCTTTCATGTTGGGCTGTCTCTAATAAAGTTGTCCACAGATAAGATTACATATGTCCACTCAGGAGTTTAAATTGAACTTTCAACACATAGGAAATGCTGTCAGTTGTATTTCTGAAGCCTTTACACCCTAACATCAGTATGAATATTCTCCACACTCCTCTCTGTACATTTACTAAAGTGCTGACAAGGAGAATTTGTCTAACAATCAGGAACATATTTAGTTGGTGATCATTTCTCTTATTCCTGCAACCTTAAAGTGTGTTTCAGGGGTTATCTTTTAAGGAGAAATTAGATGCTAGTCATTCTCAGGGGTATAAGGGTTAAGCCTTTAATTATTATTTTCTTTATTATTTTTCAAATTTTATTTTCTCTTTTTTTCACTACACAGAGGGTTACACTTGTGGTAAATGTGGCAAGATATTTACCTCTCTCAGCTATCTGGCACGACATATCAAGCGCGTGTGTCCAGACATGAGCTGCAGGAAGTGGAAATGTACTATGTGTGACAAGGCATTTCGCCATCCATTTGGTCTCCAGCAGCACATTTACACCCACACGGGGGAGAGGCCGCATAAATGTTCTCAGTGTCCAAAGGCTTTTTATAGTTCCAATGACCTAAGGAGACACAGCAGAATACACTCAGGTGATTTCTTATTGTAGTCAACCTTTAATTTTTTTTCTCTATATAGCAATTCTCATTACTGTCTATCATGCAGTTATTATGATGTCAGTTTGGAGAATTTGGATTGACCAAAATTCCCCTAACTGATATCCTTCTTTATTCTCATCCCTTGTCTGCTTGATATTGTATAAGTGTTGTAAGGAGAAATTATGTCTTGGTCACTCATGGGAGTTGAAGGGTTTTAAAACATTTGAACACTTCAAGAGAGAGTGTAGTTCATCATTTGACGACTCAGAACTGAAGAGAAATTTAACCCAATAGCCAGGGGCATCTAAAGGAAGTTTACCATCCCCTGTCATATTAAGAAAAATCTGCAGCAAGTAAACCATAGATTGTTATTGACTGCACCAGAAATCACTTGAAATATCCTTCAGTGATCATGCAGCTTCCTTCTATTTTTAACACTTAATCCTTAACTCCCAAGATCTGATTGCTAATTCTCTCCTCTTGCTACTACACATTACCATGTTAATTAGTTATGAGAATTTATTGTTTGTTCAAGAGTACATCTTCTGCCAGATTAGTTTGTGTATTCTTATTACCTGTTTGTTTGATAATGTATGGATATTTGTGGGAGAAGTTACATGTTAATCACATCTGGGAGAGAAAGGGTCAAACCTCTAAGAAAGACTAGAGTCTAATTTCTCCTAAAAGAAACACCTATTCCTAAATTTTCAAACTTCTTCAAGGGTTACATGAATGTTTAATTGTACTTGGTCACACCAGGAATCCCCTTTTTTTTGTGACAACTTTATTTAGTTTCCACTGGCTTCATTTTGTCACAGGTGAGCGCCCTTACCATTGTAAGCATTGTGAGAAGAGTTTTGCCACCACAATATCTTTGAAGACACATACTTACATCCATACTGGGGAGAAGCCGCACAAATGTCCTCACTGTCCTAAGACGTTTGCCACTTCAAGCAAACTGGGACGACATATTGTGACACACTCAGAACAGCGTCCCTTTGCATGTGACCATTGTCCTAAGTCTTTCAACAGATCAGGTGAGAACTAGCTAAATATCTGGCTTAATATCTGGCAGACAGTCTGACCTATGTCTGTGATCTCTTTGCATTTTTATACTTTCAAGGTGGATGAGTGATCACAAAAGTGTTGTTATCAACTTTATTTAAAAGAAATTATCAAGAACCCAGTCATTAATGACCTAAGAAATGTTTTATTGCATTTGAGGTTATTAAGTCCTTAGGAATTTTTTTCGTCAGAAAATTACTCTCCTTTCAATAACTCTCCCTTCACCAGAAAAAGTTGAACCAGTGGGCTTACTGGTATAGTGCACTGGACACTGGGTCCTGAGGTTTTGGTCCAAGATCAGGCTGGGTCAGTGTGTTATGTTCTTGGGAAAAACACTAAACCCTTTAACTTCAAGATCAAGTTTTTCATTCTCCTTACTGTCAACCATACAATTCTCATGAAAATGTTACTGGTAGTTCAGAGAATTTAGTATTGGATCAACTAATTATCCCCAAGTTGATATTTTTCTTTATTCTCATCACTTATCTGGGTGATATTGTATTGATATTGTAAGGAGAAATTCTGTCTTAGTCACTCATGGGAGTTTAAGGGTGAACTCTCACAGTACTTCTCTTCACTCAGGAGTATAAAGGAGTACCAGCAAGGTGTCTAGCAAGCCCATTTAAATGCTTTGGGTAATTATGCAATGGAGTATCATCCCATTTAGGGAAGGATAAGCCAGTTGGATTGTAGGCAGTGCTTAATTAATACTCTCATGCCACTTGAACTTAAGGTGATCTACGGCGACACAACATGCACGTGCATGAATCCCGTGACAAGCCATTTGATGTGGATGACAGCAGTATGACACAGTCAAACACCAACAATAATACCAGTACTTCCAGGGACAAAGACCAGGATCCAGGGAATAAGAAGAATTGTGATTTATCACCAGAGCTGGGGCATAATCTGTCCCATGATGCTGCCGCAAAGGCTAGCCAGGGTGGGCAAACTTTGAATAAATCCAACCTCACAGGCGAAATCCTGGCAGAGAGCACAGAATCATGCAGTGGAGACAATGGTTAGGTTTAAATAATTACGGTAATCATTATTCACCAAAGGGGAGGTAAACATCCAGTACTTTCACCCAAATGGAGACAAATAGCAAGTAAAATACCACACAGAAACTAGACAATTAGTTTACTTTTTGTCGTTATTCCCAAATATTGTGGGAAAAGATTCCTCATGTGCAATTTTATGTCCATGGCTGCTCAGACATGAATAGTACTTGCTAATCACTTCTGAGCCAGCTAATCAGTGGGAGCAAAAATCCTCATTCACTTGTTGTGTGGTACAATACACACTAAGTTCATTCAGTAACTGGATGGCTCCCTAAGCTTGTTCAGTCAAAATGCCTTGATGTCTGTCAAGTTCTTAATTTGAGTTTTTGTAGACCACAGCTTTGTCTTTGTCTAATGTAGTTCAGTTACACTAAAAGACCTTGGCAAATATTAAGCCATGTTTGTCCCTCACAAGGTCAATGACAATTACCTTTTGATTTTTAATGAATGTCTTTGCAGCAACGTTTTTAGGGTGTGAAGGTAGAGACTTTCTTGTCAAAGCTAAATTTTGAACCTAATTAAAGGTTTCTAGGAGTGGTTATGTTAAATTTGTGCTTCATGAATTGGTGTAAAAAAATGATTTGTTTATTAAGAATGTTCTGGTATGTCACAGCATTAGAATAAGTGAATACAGATATGTCAAATTTGAGCAGCCTTGCAAGTGCACTTTTGGTGGAATCTGTGAGGGTAAAGCTGTGGGCTTTTTTTTCTCCTGGAAGCTCTGCATGATTTGTTTGTATGATTTTTGACAAATCACTGTAAATTCCTTACAAAGTGTTTCTAATAGTGGACCTAGGTTCAAAAAGTGCTTTTATTTCATAATTGAAAATTTATTATCAATGGGGTTTGATATCATGGTTAAGGATTTCAAAGAGAAGTTTATTACAGTTTATTACTATTTAGTTTGAATGTGATGGATTCACACCTTTTTTGTGGTCAGGGTGTTTTTTTTGTGAGAGCAAAGTTGTTGTATGTGCTCAGTTATTGCCTCATTGTGCTTTGCAATGATTATTTTATGCTATGTCTCCTTTTGGAGAGTGTTTTGTATAGTGCCACGTAAATTTGAAATATTCATAGAATATTGCTTCATGCTGTGTAATGGGTAGCCACCTATGTGGCAAAAGAACTAGGCAAAAATTATTGCAATTAGACAAAATTCTTCCCCACTATTGAAAGGGGAATTTTCTCCTTTATGTAACAAGGATGCTCATTGCTGAAGATCTTCCTTTTAACATTTGATTATCAATTCCCCTTTCTTGACTCCCTACAATTCCTCACTGTTGGTGAGGAGAATTTGGTATTTCAACAATTTACGATGTACGTAATCTCCAGCATAATCTCTCTGCTATCACCTTTAAAATGGAAGTTTCCTGGAAAAGGGGGACCAGGATTGGGAAGCTGGAATCAGAGATCATGAGTATATGAAATTTGTTCTCCTTTATCGGTTTCCATTTCCTATCCTAGAGAATATTTTATCTCCCACCTTCATTGTAAATTCTGGATCCTGGTTTTCCAAGAAAGCTTTCCTGGATGTTAGGAGATTGAGGGTAAAAGCAGACTTTTATTTGTACCCTTACAAACCATGTCCCTTGACAGCCCTGACTGAGGATGGAGTTAAATTATCATAATTGTCATTAATTTATTTATATATTTATTTAGTTAGTTTTTTTTTTTTTTTTTGGGGGGGGAATTGGTGATTTACAGGAAAATTTCAAGGGATGTTGACACAGGAAAGTGTTTGTAATGTCACACCCTTACAATGAGCATTCTTTCATTACAATGAGGGAAATTCTCCTTTTTGGGGTTTTGAATTTCAGTAGGCCAGGTTGCTGTTTGAGATATATGATCTGCAGAATTTAGCTTCAGTTGAGCTCTTTTTCAGAGGTTAGTTTGCTGTTTCTTGCAAGGAACATCTTTCAGATTTTGAGTGAGTTTGTTTTCATTTTAAATTAAGTTGTTACAAACTTGATTAATGATATCATTTCCAAATTAATCACCTTCCATATGTTCCCATCATTAGTTGTATCTGCTTTGTTATTAATTGGTATTTAAAGGGATACTAAATAGTGGATTTTTAATTCTCTTATGAAAACATTTAATGATTTTCTATACTAAGTCACTTAAGTTTTGATGTGACCTCATTGCAAATTAGTTTTTTTCCCTAACCACTTTTCTGTATTATTGGAAAAATCCAGAATTGTCTCGTCAAAATCAAGGCACAAATTTTGTCATGACAAATATTTGTCTCATCTGTTGGGTCCATTTTAAAGATTTCAAAGCTGTCAAATTCCTTCTGTCAGTGACTAATCTGCTCGTAAGAGCAGCTGGCAAAGTTTGCGAAAGGATTCAAACTTTAATTACTGCGTAAACTAAGTGTAAATCCATGCTGATGGCAGCTTTTATGATAAATGATATACAAGACTATCACGGCATTGTTTCTTTGGTCAGTTTTGCCCAATTTTTTTGCTTCAGCCAAGATTTGTCAAGTCAGGACAACCCATCTGCACCTGTAAAGTGCTAGTGATGACAGAAAATTTGTCTAAACATACAACTTTTTGCCAATGCAAATAGGCCCTCAATAATCAGAATTTTCTTTTGAATTCATAGTCGTCTTTTGAAAAGTAATTGGTTATTGATGAGATTGATATACTTTTCAGTATCTCCTTTTTTATCAGTAAGAAATGTATTTTTTATTTTAATTATTTTATGTAGGTATTTGTCCCTTATATAAAAATAAACAATAATGGTGTAGTTTATGTCGACATTTGGAGCCTAACAGATAAGTGATTTGCATTATGGTTTTTTCCAGCCAAAATTTATCTTTGCATTTAATATTTCACAACCTATGTATCTATCTGACATATGATCTTAAGTCATTTGATAAATAGCTATCATTACTTTATGGTTTTAGGTTGTCAATTTATTTTTGTTCAGCATAGGTGTTTGGCCATAAGAAATCACAAGCTTGTATTGTTTGATTACAAATGCGCTGTCCTTTTAAACTAAATATTCTGTTTGGAAATGAAAAAAGAAAAAAAGTAAGATATTTGTTTGGGTATAAATGGTTCATTCTGCTTATATGGCTTGCTATATGACAAGAAAGGAACTTTTCAAGTTTAAAGATACTATTTAATTTTGCAATCCAACATATGATGTAAAAATGAATTAAGTAAAACATAGCTTGAAGTATTTTCCATTGTTTCAAGTATTTGTTTTCTTTACAAAAATAAGAATCTTTCGAATGTGTTCGTACATAAGCCACATGTTAAATCATTTTCGTTGTGAGCCATTGAAAAACGTTTTTTGTTTTGTTAGAAATAGACTTATGCTAGATGATGCAATGAATTCAGTTTACTCAGGAAAAAGATATCTGTTCCAGCTTGCTTGCCTCTGTGTGATGTTTTTTTGTTTTGGTACATCTATGTCAGTGTCAGTGCTGCTATCAAGTGCTGTAGTCAGTCATGTTTTTGTTGGTTTTTTTCTTTTTGGCCAATCAAAACTCAAGTTCACTAACAGCAGCTGCATGCTGGTATTTCATTGGCTGAAAAAAGGTTAGATAACCAACAGAAAACCCCAATTGTGTGGATGTGCTTTCTTATTGTTTGCCTGAATTATGTTTAATTTTTTAAGATTTGTATGCATATTATCTGGTTTGTAAAGCTATTTGTAAGAAAAAACTTGGATGTGCAATTAATTCATAAACAAACTCTGTTAGCTAGAATCAATCTCAATTATTTTTGTCTGTGTAAGTTTCTATATTGTTGTATGTATATAATCCAAATCGATTTTGTACAGAAAATTAACTAGGATTGAAAAGTAAATCCAAAATATGAATTATGTCAATAAAATTAGTTTGACTTCAAATAATCTGTGCGTGTTCAAGCTTGTTTCCTGTCCTGTTTTTCTGCCCCTCCGTCAGGGAGACTGCGTACCGGCCGCCAGAATTAAGTTACAATTGCTAAATTGTACGCAGTGAACTGAACAGTTCTTAGTCGGAAAGGAAGCCATGAGTTCTGGTGAAACAGAGACACTTGAACTGCCATTACTTGAAGTCTTCACCGCCTGGCCAAAGTCCCACACTTTAACACTGTTATCCAGTCCTCCTGACGATAGTAGTGTACCGTCTGCACTGAAAGCGAGGCTGTACACAGTATCGGTGTGCCCGCGTAGTTCTTTAATCATACTGCCTGCGGTTAAGTCCCACAGACGAATGCGCCGGTCTTCCCCAGCGGAGACTAAGTATTGGCCGTCCGGAGAAATCGTCAAAGCATAAACTGAACTCTGCAAGCAGTGAAAAAAATAATAAATGGATAAATAAATAGAGAGATATCTGAGCTACGCTTTTCCGTGGGGAAAAAATCAAATTTGGAAGCAATAAAAATAGCAGGTCCGCAAACGTTTGTTAAACAGGTAGCAACGGACATTTTCCGCGTCATTTTTTCACTGCGTGTGGAGCTCCAAAGAAATTGGTTTCCACGACTCTTAAGACCCCTTTCACACCAACCAGAGGATTTAAGAGTACCACTTTTTAAAAAGGTGGAGTAGCTGTTGTTGTTGTTTTTTTTGTTACAATTTCCTAGAAATTAATGAAATCGTTGCAACGGTTCCCTAAATCCCGATCTACAGACATTCCCTACGTAGCATTTTTCAATTTTGATTGGTCTAATTCACTTCACTTTGTGATTGGTCCAGAATACTTGTACCAGCTCAAAACCAATCACATGCTGATATAAAACCGATCATGGCTTGGTCACCCGCGTCTTCCCGCGCTTGAGCTCTGATGCGCGTAGTTGTTGTAAGTCCTCATTGGTCACTTTCGAGGTTTTCCGTTGTTCTGATTGGCCGCTGAGATGACAGTTAGGTATATGCTGTCTAATAATGTTTGTTAGGCGCACATACCTTGTGTCCTGTGAAGAGTCTGACACAGTTTCCAGACTGTAGGTCCCATAAGCGACAAGTGCGGTCCGATGAGGCGGTAGCGAGATACGTACAGTTTTGATGAAATTTGACACACTGCAAGAACAAGACGTTGAGAAGTGAAGTTTCAATATTATATAAACCTGTTTCAGGCAATAAGTTTCTGGAACAAGCAAAAAAAAGCGAACCTGAGAAAAACGAGATGGACGAAGGGGAGTGAAGTTTCTACTTTCCAGACCCCGTCGATTTTCGCGCGTTCGCTCTTCTGCTCGCCTCTACCGACCCAGTGCCTGGCGTTGGATACTTGTACACGTTTAACCCTTTAAACCCAAAGAGTGACCAGCATCAAATTCCTCCCTACAATATCACCCCTAAATCATACGTGAAGGCCACGAGAATAAAAGAAATGATCACCAACGAAAGAATCTTTTGACTGGTAAACAAATTCTCCTTATCAGCACCTTAGGAAATGAATAGAGAGCAGTATGGACAATATGAATACTGATTTTAGGGTGTAAAGGGTTAACTACTTGATTGTGAACTACTCCTCTCGTAAATAGAGAATATTATATGGCCGCGCGGAGACACGAAATCTCTCCTTGAAATATTTTTTAACACGAGAAAGGAAATTTCGTATCGTTAAGCGGCTATGTAACATTCCATTTATTATATAGATACCAATGAAAAACCAAACCATTTCACTTTCGCTGCGAAAGACGCGAGTCATTATGTAACCATGGTAACGGTGTTATTTTCACGAGTGAAGATATCACGTTTTTGGTGAAAACTCACCTGGTATTTCATTTGTATTTCTATAATAAAGTGTGTTTGCATCTACATTGAATTTTCTGTAAAAGGAATGATAAAGTCAGCTTAAGTGCTTTTCCACAAACTTACATCCACATCCTGAAGATGTCCAGCAAAGATTCTCAAAGGAAATGTGTACTCTAGATTCCACAGCCTGGCCGTGCGGTCCTGGGAGCCAGTTGCAAAGTAGAGACACTGTGGGCTGATATCCAGGTCCCACACGGGAAAATTGTGTCCTTTATACGCAACCACGTTTGTGTAGGAGTGAAGGCTCCATAACCGAACTGCCAAATAAATAAAAGGAGAAACACACATTAATACATCAAAGAGATTTACGTTCTCTTTCTTGGGAATTTAGGAAGGATTTAAATTTTCCCTATTTAAACAGCATGAGGAGGGTTTCCGCAGTTTGCAATGGTGGAAGTCAACGCTTCTCCACAACTCTTCCCAAGATCCTATGCAGGTTAGTTTCATGGGCCCATCACTCAGTGCAATTGTCACTCCTTGCTGGGAACTAGGAACGAGAGAAGTTTAGTGTGCGAGTAGAGTTTGTTGAGGCTAGCTCTCTTGATATGTTGGGGCTGCTTCGGGATATATAGAACACTTTTCATCCGTACTCTAATGAGAAGAGCAAAATACTGTAGAAAGCGCGAGCAAAGAGATTAAGGGTGAGGGGTTGGGGAAACCAAAGCCCTCCACCATCCTCCCCTCGGGCTTCTTTGTCTCTACCGTTTAGTATTGTCCAATTTGTTCGAAACTGCTCAGATTTAAGCCGGGGGGGGGGGGGGGATTTAAACAGGAAGGTAATTTGCACTCGGTGTTTCCCTATTTTGGGCATCCTTTTTTTTTTTTTTTTTTTTTCCAACTGAGTTAAGAATGTAACTTGGCCGCCGTAAACAGTTTTTATGGTGACATTTCGAGCGTGAGCCCTTCGTTGGAGGGAAAGTTCTGTTTTGTTTTATTCTTGGCTTGATTCTTTTTTGTTTGTTTTTTTTTTCTACCCCAGCTAAGTATTATTTACAAATCCCCTCATTATCAAGGACATTCTTAAAAACTCTCAATTAATAAAATTTTCGCGACCCTTTTGTTAATCTCGGATGGGGAGGTCATAATCGAAAACATGTGTTCCAAGGTTACTAGAGATCGACAACGCTGATTCTATTAAGAAAATCCACTTAAATTCTTAATTGTTAGAACCGGATGTTTTTGTCTAGTTTATCCAAAGAAACAATAGGGGACTAAACCACTCAGGAAGGCAACGCAGAGGAAGATGTCGATTAAAAAAATGAATTTATATTTTTAGTTTGAATTTCGCGAATGGCCGGTTTGTTTATTGTCTCTCATGCCGCTACAACTCAACTTAATTATAATGTGTGAAGGTAGGGTTGAGTTCCAAATGAAAACTTAACTAATTTGCCTTCGGGGTTTCCGCTCTTGAACCGCGCAAATTTATAATTTCAAGTTGTTTTTTTTTGCAGAGGACGGCTAAGTTTAGAAACGCACGTGCTGAGCTATTGTTATGATGTTGCAAGACAATCTGTGAACTTCTAATGATTCGTCGATTGATCAGTCCCGAAAATTTTTAATTTGTCACGGTACCATGCTGCATGGTCATTGTCATCAGCTTTCAACGATAAAAGCCAACAACAACGATTGCAGAAGAAATTCCTCGTTGCGTCCTGGTGCGAGGTCTTTTATCTAGTATAAGTGCTGAAATTAATTTTAGAAACAGTAAACTTTTGAAATCTTCAAATTTCTGTTGGCCTTTGTACCTCCTGTTATCACGGGATAATCGTTCATTTCTGGCCGAAGAGATGGTGTGATATTTTGCTTGTCAGTCAGTGATCCAAAAAAAAAATGGCTCATTGACATCAGAGAAAAACGCCTTCTTGCAAGGAATCCAAACCTCCTTTGCGTCACATATTGTGGCAAAATTCATATACTAGTCCAAAGAATAACAGAAAAAAAAACATCTGCATGTTTTGTAAAATTAAGTATCAAAAGGGTTGTTCACTTGACTAATTTGTCAAGAAAAGATACTAAGTTTCATTGAGGAGAGACTAAATACCACAAATTGTCTCATTTATTGTAATATTTTTTTTGTCGGTGCAAGGCCCTTGTGAGTCAAACAGTCGGTCTCCATAAAATAAAGTGATCACTTTACTATGCTGTTGTGAGCCAGTCAAACTGACCTGAATGGGCCATAACACAACATTACAGTTCGCTATTGGGTACAGAGCTAAGATGAATTGACAGGTCGATGTCTCCGCATCAGTTGTTTTCTTTAAAAGTGATTTGATTTCGATCTGCGAGAATAAAATTAGCTGCCTTTCAAGCTCCACAAGGTCTTTTCTCACGGTATACAATGGTAGCGTTTTCAAACCCTAAATTACGATGCTTTCCTCTATAATTCAGTTTGTCTACGTTCAGTGGGCTTCTCGTGTTATCAATAGCACGCCTCTGTCTTCTAGAGGTTTAGGATTTTACATCGACAGTCAACAGTGTAATTGAAAGACTCAAGCATTTTCAAACCCTTTCAAAAACCTTCTGATGCCATATAGACCACAAAAGTGTAGGTGTTGATCAACAGAACAGGAAAGAAACTTTGCTTAACAATCTGGAGCATAAAGCTTGGGAAACTAACGCCATACTCATCTGCTGTAGTGGGAATAAAGAATGGAACGAGTAGTAAATTGCACACGGCACAGCCCTCAAAGGTTCTACACCAGACCCAGAAAAAGCTCCTCGTAATGTCCTCGAGGAGAATTGCCCCTAGAAAACCAGCACACAAGGGGCATAGCAAGTTCGTGGGCAACACAAATAGGTTTACAATACGAAACATTCGTATGGACAATTGAACTGTTTAAATCAAACTGTCCTTCCAGAAAGATGGATAATTCGCAAAATGAGACTAGGTTTGATCACTTTTTAAACTTGACTAAATACGTGTTGTACCAACGTGATATAAGCTCATGGTGAAAGCACGTGATTTTAAAAAACAGCTGGATATCTTGTGGAAAACGAGTCGATATTGCTTCGAATCACTATGACTCACTATACCTGAGCCGCTTATTAAATGATCTCTATAGAACACGAATTGATGGTGATTTAACCTACTACCAATTCTTTGTTGCTGCGATAATCGATGCATTCAAAATGCAAAAATGCAAGCAGCAACATAAATCAGTTTGGCTGTCTTTCCTCTTTGCTTTAAATTTTGTTGAGGTAGTTCTTTTGCGATAGTTGTTTTATATCTCTCTTTACCTCTCTTAAGATTATTCATAGTGCACACATGATCGCTCTAGCAAACCGTTCTGCACAACTGAATGCATTGGATCAATTTGGAAATACTTGGAAAATGATCAAATTCTTGCTCAGCACTTACGAATGCTATATCCTATGGCTTCCTTCGGTTTGGTGGGTGAGTTCCATATTTCAATAAATTGTTCCAAAGTGCTCAAACTGTTTGAAATTGTAGGAATGTACAAACCAATTGCACATCGTTTCCTTTGTATATATAAAAGGGAACTTATAAAGTGACCAAATACTAAGATTTGATATTCCATAATTAATATATTGTTACTGAATCGATAACAATTTCACGAGTCATACACATATCGCAGAAAAGGAAATTTCGTCCGCAATTATGAACGCATAACCCTCGAACGCAGTAGTAGAAATAACATGTATGATATCTCAGTAACTAACAGAAAAGGACCAGGCGATCTAAGGTTAGCATGAATTATTTATTCAGACATCATTAATCAAACAGTAGAAAGCTGTCTAAGTCTTTCTCATTGAATTGCATATACTTTCTCGATATAACAAAAGGCTTTTGAAACGCAATAACGAATGCGACCTCATTGTCAGTGCCTGTTGAAAAATATATTTAAGTTATCCTACACCAGAATCTTGCATTTAGTTACTATTAATCCAGCAAAGAAGAGGTTTTAAACATTTTTCGACGAGCGTGGGGGAAGGAAATCCGATTCCCCAATGAGGAATTGAACTTTAGCTTTAGGGTTGGTATGTACAAGGGTATTCAGAGTAATTGCTTTCTAATTCGTCGAAAAAAGATTCTAAGCTGAACTGAGGAGAGACAAAATGCCTTAAAATGTCCCAAATGCACGTATTTATCGGTGTTAAGTATAGGTTAATCCTCATAAGTCAAATAGTTAAACTCTAAAAGAAACAATAGCGATTTTTCTTTGCTACTGTGGGCCATTGAGAACGCAAAGAGAACACAAAACCACTTGAAAGTTCGCTATAAGGTACTAAGCTCACAAAAACATGACGAGAACTCGATGTATCCCCATCAGTTGTGTTTTAACGAAGGCAACTTAATTTCGATCGCCGAGGAACATATCAGTTCCATTTCAAGTCACACACGGTTTTCCCTCATGTTCTATAATAGTGGAGTTTTCAAGCCCAAAATAGGATGCTTTACTTTTAAATCACGTTTTCCCACGTTGAACTGAATAAAGGGGATAAGTCTCTGAAGAAACTGTGGTGTTGTGTTTCGTTTTATCAAATGAGTTTATAATGTGAATTGGCCACGATAAAGAGTTCAGACAGCTGACGTTTCGAGCGTCTGCCCTTCGTCAGAGCGAATGATGACGTTCAGTGGGCATGCTATCAAAAATAAGGCTGTGGTGTGTGGTGTAGTGCTTGGAGAATTTTCGTCATCTTAATAACTGTTAAAACAGTTACAAGAAAAACAAAAAGACTCGGGCATTTTACAGCACTTACTAAAGCCTTCAGGAGAAATGTGAAATAGAAAAAGAACTTTTGAAGTCTAGACAGCTTAAAACAACGGAAGCTAACTCCAAACTAATTTGTTAGTAAAAACATGGAGCGGTACGAGTTGTGGATTGCAAAGGGAAAATTCTTCTTATGACCTAACCAGGCCCGCAAAAATTTCTTTGTATTGTTCTCAAAGGGACGTGCGTCACAAACACAGCACACGAGGAGCACAGAAAGTACGTGGGAACCACACAGAATTGTATTACTAAACATTCATATGGACAACTGAACTGTTTAAATCAAACTATACTTTGAGAAAAATGGATAATTTGCAAAACAGGAGGTGTGTTTTATCGACATGATGTGAGCTCATAGTGAAAGCACGTGATGTAAAACACAGCTGAATGATCTTGAAGAAAATGCCGGAGTTGGCAATGCTGCAAATCACTGGAAATTACCTATCTTAGCAGCCTTGTAAAGGATATCTATGCTGCGGGTTTGGCTATCAAATCTTTTTGGCTGCGACAATGCATGTAACAATGCGAATTGTATCAAGGGTCATTCTGGTTCGCTTTCCTCTTAGCATCGAATCTAACGGGGCGGTCCTTTTGCAATATTTTTTCTGTTTCCCGTTTTAAGAGTACTCATTGTTACAACACGAGCCACGGTCGTTCTAGCAAACACTTGCAACGTGATGAATGTGTCATATCAATTTGGAAAAATTTGGAAAATGTTGAAATTCTTGCACAACATTTACGAATGTTGCATCTGTGTCACTCACTTTGGTGGTGGGGGGGGGGTGGTCTTTATTGCGAAAACGACCACATAAACGTTAAAATACTTGAAACTATAAATTGATATGTGGAGTGAACAGTCCAATTTCAAATCTGAAGATATAAAATCATTTGATATCTCGTAAGAATAAATTGCTGCAGAATACAGCAATTAATCTACGGGTCACAACTATATCTTACAAGCGAGAATTTTACCTACAATGATGGAAGCTTTAATCTCGACTACACTAAGTAATGGAAATATCATAGATTCTATTCTTGTGATGTGTGGCAAAGAACCAAGACGATACAAGATCATTATAGATTATCCATTTTTATAGCATTCACCAAAGAACCAAGACGATATAAGATCATTATAGATTATCCATTTTCATAGCATTCACCAAACAGTAATGAGTTGACTAAGTCTCGCTCATCCAATTGTCTTTCCTTTCTCGATGTAACATAAGGCTTTTAAGATGCAGAAACGAAATTGACCTCAAGGGCATTACCTAATCAGAAAATTACATTATGCTGTCTCACATTAGAGTCTTGAAATTTTAATCCAGTAAAAAAACATTTTGAACATCTTTAACGGGCGGGGGAAGAAACCTGAGTCCCCCAGGAGGATTGAATTCCAAGTACAAGAGCTACAGAAAACTCAGTGGTGAGCTACTTTAACTACTAAGTTTTCATGCAACAAAGGTCCCTTATGCTGCAAGGATCAACTAAGTCGAAAGCGTGCCACGTGCAATGATGGATTCCTAATGGTGTAGAATTTGCTATCAGCTGGATATGCAAAGTAGTGACAATTAAATGATTTTCAATAGAACACAACGACAGTTGTGTCATTTTGTAGTGTTTTAGCGAAGATAACGGCAAGAAAAATGAAGCAAAATGTAAAATAGACATACTGATCCATTGTTCCTCACACTAAGCCTTTGTTTCCGGCCTTGTCCGATTGCCACAGTCGCTGTGGTTTTCCAAAGGGTACTTCAATGTTAAGGAAGACAGAGAATAATCTGACTTGGAGGCTAAATCTACTGATACAAAAACAGAAAATGCCTCTCGATACACTTCTTGTCATTCTCCACAAACTGTAAAATCATTTTTCTCACGGTAAATTACGGTGTTCATCTTTGTTGCATTTGGCTCAACTGCAACTCGCCCTGACATTTGGGAAAGAACTCTAAGAATGTGAAACATTTCCACGTACGATTCAGCTGGACACGTGGAAATCACAAGAGACAAGCAACTAGACACAATCTGTTCAGGTGATATTAAAATCGCTGGTTCTTTCTCGAGTAAAATAAATGAAGGACAAATTATGGTATGACCTTGTCTGCCCTTGAAATAGTGCTCAAAATCGCTTCTTGTCAAATATTCGCGGCGAAGTTTCTTTTTTCGCCATGGAAAGACGTATTTTTAGAGCTTTTTGCGGTCAACTTCTTGTCGATACAAAATTTCGTGAGTTTGGAGGGCGACTACTAGAAAATAGAGCATCACGTCACAATGGTAAATCTGTGGTGCTTAGAGACAAAAATTGTTTTTTTCTGGAACAGTCTACTATCAACTTCTAATTCTTTGGTCGAGGTAATGGAATAGGTGACGTATCATACGTTATCCACAGGTATCCCAACCATTGAGGTTGTACACTGAAATATTGCATAATAACGCAATGAAAGGCCAGTTTACAAGCGATGTTTTCATGCATTTTTAAATCATTTCTAATTAGACAAAGTCCTCCTGTTAATCAGTAGGAATTCCTTTTCATTTTCGGCCTTGTGGAGACTGGAAAACTTACTGGAATCGACCCGATGCAATTGCGTCAAACTATAATGGATTAATCGAAGTGTGGGCTCATCACGATTCGTCGACCGATCACTCATAAAAAGTCACGAACTGTCACGACAACTTGTCGCACAGTATACTGTCGCCAGCAATCAACGCTATAAGCTTAAAAAAAAAATTACAGAAGGCATTCCTTTTCGTACCCAAGCTGTGAGGTTTTTTTTGGCAAGTGTCAGGGCAGAAATCGATTTTTTGACACTGTTAACATTTGAAAGAATTTAATGAATACCATCAGAATATCGAGCTGAAAAGTAAATTTATAGTCCAAAGACTGATCACCTCGAGGACACCAGAAAAAACCATCTGTTTTGGGCTATATGAAGCCGAAATAATGAATACCTAGAATATCGAGGAAAAGTCATTAAGTCCAAAGACTGATAGGAAAAAAAACCATCTGTTTTGCAACGAAGCTCAACTTAATTCACTTGACACATGGTGCAATGATTGTATCAAAAGGGCTACTCAGTTTAATCGCTCAATAATTGGTCAAAAAAAGATACTGAGCTTTATTGAAGAGTGGCCAAGTGCTCTAAGTTCTGTCACGTATGTTTTTTATTGGTGTAAAGCATACGTAAGGCCCTCGAAAAGTCACGTGGTAAAACTCTATAAGACTTACTAGGCACTGTGCTTTTGCTACTGTTGGCTATTAAGAACCCATGAAGAGCACAAAACCACATGAAAGTTCGCTATTAGGTATGGAGCTCATATAAACGTGACGATAATTCGATGTCTCTCCATCAGTTGTGTTTTATCGAAGATTCGACTTCGACCTCCCAGAAACATATCAGTTGCCTTTAAAGTCACAAGAGGTCTTGTTTAATGGTATGCAACGGCAGAGTTTTCAAACCCTGAAATAGGTTGCTTTACTTTTTAACTAAGGGGAGGGGGTAGGAGGAGGTAAGTTTCGAAAGAAACTGTGGTGACGCGTCAGTGGAGGCTATCAAGGATGATTTGGTTTTATCAGCTGAGTTGATAATGTAAATTGACCACTATAAAAAGTTTCCGACGTTCCGAGAGTTAGGTTTTTGTCAGAGCGAATGACGACGTTCGTTGGGCTTCTCATGCTGTCAAAAATACGACTGTGCTGTGTAGTGTAGTGTAGTGTAGTGTAGTGTAGTGTAGTGTAGTGTAGTGTAGTGTAGTGTAGTGTAGTGTAGTGTAGTGTAGTGTGTAGTGTAGTGTAGTGTAGTGTAGTGTAGTGTAGTGTAGTGTAGTGTAGTGTAGTGTAGTGTAGTGTAGTGTAGTGTAGTGTAGTGTAGTGTAGTGTAGTGTAGTGTAGTGTAGTGTAGTGTAGTGTAGTGTTTCAAGATTTTTCATTATTTCAATAATTGTTTAAATGGTTAAAAGAACAGCATTCCCCAGCACTTTCTACTGTCAGCCTTCAGAAAACATGTAGAGAAGAGAAAAAACTATTTAAGTCTCAACAGCTTAAAGCGACGGAAGCTAACTTCATATTACGGTGCTAGTGGGAACAAGAGACAGAACGAGTAGTGAATTGCAAAGGGAAAATTCTTTTCATGGCCTAACCAGAATCGCACAAAACTCTTTGTAATGTTTCCGAAGGGACTTGCCCCACTAACACAGCACACGGGGGCCATGCAGGTTCGTTGACATCACACATAGGTTTGTACCACTAAATATTCGTATAGACAACTGAACTGTTTAAATCAAATTATTCTTTTCGAAAATTGAATAAAGTCCATAATTCTCACAATGAAACAAGTTTTCATCAATTGTAAAACTTCACGGAATGTCCGTTTTACAGGCGTGATGTATAAGCTCATGGCTAAAGCATGTGATGTCCAAAACAGCTGAATGATCTTGAGGAAAAAAGAGTTAATATTGCTGCGTATCGTTGGTAATTACATATCTGAGCTACTTATTAAGGGATATCTATTGTGGTTTGGCAATCAATTCTTTGAAGTCGCGTCAAAGGATGTATATAAAATGCGAAAACGCCAGTTGTGAAAAGCGATCAAAAGCGTCAGTTTGGCTGGCTTTAGTCGTAGCCTCGAACTCTAATGGGGGGGGGTTCTTTTGCAATTCTCGTCCTATTTCCCCTTTGACGATAATTCATAATTAGAAACACTCTCTTGCATGCATAATCCTTCTACCAGACTACTTGCAACATGATGAATGCGTTATATCAATTTGAATTTGAAAAAATGTTCAAATTCTTGCACAACATTTATGAATGTTGCATCATGTGGCACTCCTTCGGTTTGTTGGCTGGGTTCCTTATTGTAAAGAAATTTGCTCCAAAGTATTTCAATGTTTAAAACTGAAAATTCATTTGAGGATTGTACACAACCTTTCCAGTCTACGTCTTCTCTCGCAGATATTAAAAGGGCTGAAAAGGGGATTCAATAATTTATTTGATTTCCAAAAATGATTAAATCGTTACAGAATAGAGAAATGAATTCACATATCATTCACTTATCTGAGAAGCAAGAATTTTGTCCACAACGATGGACGCTCTAACCACGTTTTCAGTTGTGGAAATATCAACGATTATACTTTTTCGATTTGAGGCGAAGGATCAAATGATGTGAGGTCATTATGAATGATCCATTTTCATCGCATTCACCAAACAGTAAAGTGTTGACCAAGTCTCGCCCATCCAATTGTCTTTCCTTTCTCGATGTAACATAAGACTTTTAAGATGCAGTAACGAAAGTGACCTCAAGGGCATTACCTAACGAAAAATATTTTTATGCTGTCCTACATAGGACACTTGCAATTTCCTAGTATTGGTCCAATAAAGAGTAAATTTTAAAAATTTTGTGATTAGCGTGGGAAGAATTCTAAGTCCTTCACGAGGACTTGAAGGCCCAAACAGTTCAGATTTTTCTGGTGGATATTCTACTACAAGAGCTGCAGAAAACTCAATGGTGAGATAATTTAACCACCAAGTTTTAATGCGACAAACGCCCTTCTAGTTGAAAAGGATCATTTATGTCAAAAGCGTGCCATGTGCAGTGATGGAGTTCCTAGTGGTTTAGAAATTGTTATCGGCAGAATATACAAATATAATGACAATTAAATGATTTTCAATAAAATATGCGTACAATTGTGTAATTTTGTGATGTTTTAGTAAAGATGACGGCAAGGTAAACATTGGAAAATGTAAAATAGACATACTGATCCATCGATCTTCGCACTACGCCTTTGTTTCCAGCCTTGTCCGATTGCCACAGACGTTGTGGTTTTCCAAAGGACCCTCAGATGTAAACGAAGATATAGCAAGGTCTCATTCAAAGGCTCAATCTACCACTAGAAAAACCAAAAATTCCCCTCGACAAACTTCTTATCATGAACTAAAATATCATTCCTGTTCGTTGCACTTGGCTAGCAACTCACCCAGATATGAAGGAAAGAATTCAAGGTATGTGGAAGATTTCTACGTACGATTAAGCTGAACACGTGGAAATCACAAGAGACAAGCAAATAGACAGATTCTGTTCAGGTGATATAGGATTCGTTAATTCCGTTGCGGGCAAAATCAATTAGAGAAGAGTTCATGTAGGACCTCGTTTGCCTTTTAAACCAGCGCTCAAACTCATCGCTCCTCGTCAATTATTCGCTACGAAATTTTTTTTTTTCGCCATGAAAAGATATATTTCTTAGCTATTTCCCCGTCAACTCCTTGTCAATATGAATCTTTTTTCAGTTTGGAGAGCAATTACTCAAAGACAGAGCGTCACATCACCTTAGAAATTTGCGCTGCTAAAAGACAATAACCTTCCCTTTCTGAGTTACCATTACCTTTGGCACAATCTACTATCAAATTCTAATTCTTCAGTCGAGGTAATCGATCAGAGGAAACATCATACGTTATCCACAGGTCTCCCAACCTTTAGGGTGGTACAACGATTGCATAATAACAAAAATGGTTTCCACGCGATAAAAAAGGTGTTATGCGAGGTAAACAATTTTCATGCATTTTTTTAAACAATTTCTGCTTACTGAAAGACATTTGCTGAATCAAAACAAACTTCTTTTGATCTACGGTCTTCAGTGCAAAACGACTGGCACACTCACTGGAATCACCTTAATGCAATTGCGTCAAACTATAATAGATAAATAGCATTTTAACAGATGGATTAGCCATAGCTATCCACGAGAATCTCTTAGATTAAAGCCACTCTGGAAGTTATGCTACGTATGAGTTTAAACTTGAAGATACACATACGCATAAGACCAGGGGATGGGTGGGTGGGGAAAAGGACTTAGCGTTGTAACTTAGAGGAATGCCCGGCGTAGAGGTACAAATCTTCACACTTCTAAACTACACGTTCGATAAGCAAAATAATTGAGTCAATTAAGTAACAAATCTTTTTCTAACTGGTTGCATTTTGTAATGAGAAGGGAAAAACCGAGCGACTACACGTTTAAGTAACTTTCTGGAACACTTGAAAGGATCATCTATTAAACCGATAAATAACTCTTACCACATTTTGCGTGGGCTTATATAATATACTCCTGTTGCCGGCGCGTGCAATATAGTTTAAATTATTATGCAACAGGATTTTCTGCTCCAAAGATTGGGAAATCTGTGCTTCTCCCGGGACCAACGCATGACTCAAAAAGGTCGCAGGTGAAAATATAAAAGCTGCAGACGGAAGAAACACTTATAATTATAACTATAAACATTGAGGCTAGTCGCAAAGGAGATAGGCGTTAAAATAGGCGGATAAAAGGTAAGATTTCCAAGAGAGTCTGTCGATGCTTAGTCTGCATCCACCAAAATATGATAATTTTTTTTAGCGTTAAAAATAACATGAACTGCGAGATCGACCAAAACCATACACGCATATCAAGTGCCCTCGACGATTTGCATATTCTTTTCCAAATGGATCGATCCTAGATTGTTTGGAGGAGAGTCCATGATAATAATGGCTCGTTCGACGTCAGACATCGCGTCGATTCTTAAGTACGTTCGCTTCACTTGATCACAAGAGATGATGAGAGTGGACACTATTTTAGTTCTCCTTCGCACTGGGAACGGATGCTTTTGTTCGCGCCGTGAAATAAGAATTACGTGTATTTCTCTGGAAATTAGCTCACTAAAGCGAAACTCGCAACAGCTTTTAACATACACCTACATCTGCGAATTTTCACTAAGCAAAGCTCAGTATTATAGCAAAAGAACATCAAACTTTTGCCCGAACAAAAGTGCGATTAAAAGACAAACTTATAGTCTTGAAACAAGGGGTTAATTATTTGGTCTGTTTTGGTTCTGGTCGGAAATCGGGAATTGATCATTTAAATTTAGCATAGAATTGGATGTGGGGATTTTAAAAGAGAACGTAAAGGCATTCATGAGAGGAAGCCAGTATGAAAATAAATTAGCGATTTACCTCTTCAAAACCAGAGAGAGGCAGTTCTAAAATCTTGCGCAGCGTTTGAAGAAGTCATTTAAAAACGAGCAGGGAGAGTGGAAACTAGGTCTGGAACGCGTATGATTGCCGCCTATAGCCTGAAATAAAGTCAGTACTTAAGCAGAAAAAAAAAGTTCCTCCGAATTTACCCTTCGGGACAAGGTCTCTTTCACTTTCTGCTAAGAAAATACAGGACGAGTAACTGTAAAAGTTTCTGAATTAATTAAACCCATAAATTATAACGTGGCGAGATAATTGCCTGCTTTGAAATTTTTAAACTCCTTTCGTATGGGATCTGTCAGTTTAAGAGTATGAATGATAATGATGATAAAGTATTTGCATATAATTTTTCCTAAGGAAAAGGAATAAATTCATGGACAAAGTTCAAAGTCGAGAGTTTGCACTCCTTGAAACTCCAAGGAAAACAAAACTCCGTCTGAGAAATTAAAAGCTCAGCCTTTTGAAAATCGAGGCTAACGAACGCGAAACTGACGTGGAGTTATTGTTTACTTTATCAGCATTAATTAAGCACCTTAAATAGAAAACATTGTGAAAACCTTTTTTTGTTTATATAAACATCTATGTTATAAGTAAAAAAAAATAAAAGCCGGTATTAAATAACCATTCGATAAGGCCAGAACTAGGAATATGAGCGAACTGCGTTAAATCAAACAAAAAAACCTCCGTCGACTACGGAAACCCTTAAGATCGGCTAAAAAACCCAGTCCGCGTTCTTTGGCACAATTTTACGCAAGAAGATCAGCGAAACTCCTGAACTTTGACTTTCTCGCAGTGGTCAAGTTTTCTCAGTGTAAACGGATCCAAGTGGCGGGAACGGAAATTTTTTCATTAATCGCCTTGAAAAGGGAATAAAAACACGATTCCAAGAGGTTTTGAGTTAAAATAATCTTTCAGTTCCAACCAAGAGGCATGATAAATTCTAAGAGGTCTGGGAGCATTCTGAGACATCAACTGTTCGAAGAATCCAGTTGAAAGCTATTTTTGACAATGATATTTTCCGCGAACATTTTTGGCGCACGGCCAGAATCTTAGCAAAAAACTGAAAGCAGAATTTTAACTGTAATGAATGAGGAGAGAATTCAACCGAATGAAACCACGATGACATAGTAAACAACAAAAAAATAACGCGAAGGTCTTTCTTAACGTAAAATCACGATAAACTATTGAATAAAACATCCTCTTTGCGTGGAGTTTCTCAGTTTCGTCTAACCTTAAAACTTGGCAAAAACCTATGAGAATTGTTTAAAAGAGAAATAACCTTTAAACAATGAAGGCAAAATTTATCGTTAAAAACAATCAATATCGAGGTATGCGTAACGAAAAGTAGAAACAATTTTTTTTGTCACTCCTGGATAGTGTCGAAACCTAAAGTAACACTGACATTGACCGAAAAAAAAAAAAAAAAAAAAAAAAGCAAACAAAAACTGTCAAACCAGTTGCATCCAAGGTGAACAACGTCCAATCGATTTTATTTTCCGTAGTGACAAAAAAAAGGAAGGTGCCGGCGTAAATAGGAAACTCACCATCTGAAGGAAGTATTTAAAAGTAAAATAGGCCGTAACCAGGTTTACTTCGCAATACCCAACTTCACCGTCAAGGCCCGCTTTCAAAGTGCGGACAGGTGAATTTATGAAAAAAAAAATATCCACAAAATACCGAAATCAAAACATCACTCATATGAAGACCTTGATATCGACGAAGCAAGGGGTGAATTTTAGAGCCGCTGAGGACATTTTTTAAGAATCAATGCCTTATTTTGACGAGTTCAGTTTATCCATAGGCGAAAGGACATTTACGAAAGCTAAAGATAAGACACATCAGCTTTATCCTAATACCCTCACTCTTTGATATCTGTGGGCAAAGTTTTCTTCCCTGGGGAGTTTTTAGAAGTCCCGCTAAGAGTTGCTTGTCCGATCAGTATTACATAATGCACGAGATCTCCACAGAGTGCACGTGCGGCGCGTGCTGAACAATTTTCCTGTTTGACCGCTTACAATCCAGTTTCTGCAAGCTGAAAATGTACCTCTTCAAAAAGGAACGAGGAAAACTGTTCTACACTTTTTGTTAAATATTCTTCGTCTCTGTTTTTGCCAAGAGGGAATCCGTTCTGTAAATAACCTTGTTTAATAAAAATCCCGTAATTGACTGTTTGAAGTATTTTAAAACTGAATTACATTAATACAATAGGAGGATTTTCTCTTTCTTGACCTGTTTCTTTTTCAGTCGTAGTATTTATAAATCTACATAGTTAATTTAATCGTTTTATAGAAACTTTCGTTTCTTGATATTATCATCAGACAATCACTGTATTAGCGTGTTCGTTTCAAAGGAGATGTCTTTTAGCTGATTTCGTCAGATATGTTGGCTTTGTGATCTGACAATTTCACCTTAGCATAATCACCCAAAAATAAAAGTCTGTTATGTTAGTTTTAAACTCACCAGTTGTATCCTCTGATGCTGACAATAATACAGAACTGTCTGGTGAGAACTGTGTGGCATACACCGGGCCACTGTGACCATGTAGAGAAACACTCTCACAGGACACAGTTTCCAGTTTTGGTGTGCATGGAAGAAAATCTAGACGTACAAAGCAAAATTATATATAAAAAATGGATTGATTCTACAGACACTGTTGCGCTTCATCAACAGATAAGAGAGTGACAAGAATCTAGTTTCTACCAACAGTATCTACCCTGAATCAAACATTAAGGTCATGAGAATGAAAGAAATGATTGAAAAATCAAGATACTTTTGATTGTTAGACAAATTCTCCTTGCACCTAACATGGGAAATGTATAAAGAACAGTATGGAGAATATGCATCCTGAAGATAGCATGTAAAGGGTTAGAGGTGTTCCTCCCTTGGGGGTAAACTCCTGCACTTTGTGAAGTTTCCTTAACAATTGACTGATTTGCACACTCTCATCGGTGAGATTTTTTGTGAGACTGAGACATTTAACACAAACACAAAACACGGAGTCACAGGAAAAGGGCTCAAATGCAGACTTATTGGTGTCGCATTCAACCTGCTACCCAAAGCATCTCCAACAGATGATGCCAAAACTGCCTACAAATTACAAAATTCAAATTAGTTCGAAAAAGCGTGTTGTGCTGTTAGATTACAGACACCCATTCATACCTGGTGCTAGTTGTACTTTAGAAATTTCTGGTTTACTCTTTGATCGCACAAGTTTCTTTGGTGTCAAACTCCACAGAAGAATTGAGGAATCTTCAAAGCCACCACAAATAAGACCAGCATCTTTAGAAATAGCAGCAGAGCTTAATCTTTGGAACAAAAAAAAAAGCATAAGGAAAAACAAAATTCAAAAAGATATTTTGCACACTTTTTTTTCATGAAAAATTATAATATTTGAAATCAAATTATGGTATATTTGAGATAGTTATTATTATACTATCAACACTTGTTAAATCCTTTCACTGCTAGGAGAGACCAAAAAATCATTTCTCCTTGCAATTTCACCACAACATTAGGCTAGTTTGAGGTGGGAATTTAGCAAAAATATTATTGATAGGGAAATTGCCTGATTCAGCACAAAATTTTATATCTAACATCATAAGAAATGTATGACAGAATGCAAGATTTGTTGATTTGTGGAGATGGGAATGAAAAGGCTGAAGCAAGTGGAAAACAAACACATAAAAATCCTTGATCATCAGGGAATGAAATTTGTCAGATATGTGGTTTTTGATGAGTCACCCCTGCTCATGATCATCACTTTTATCATCACTATCCTCACTACAGTTATGCAACACTAGAACTGCACAACTTTCATTTTGCTTCGAAGGGAGGAGTCAGGAAAGGGGAGAGGGGACTTACAGGCTAAAATCTTGAATATAAGTAGCAGCAACTTTAAATTGCTAGAGAAACTGGAGAATCCCTGGGGTGTCCCCCTAGGGGGAGAATCCCCAGGGTTTCCCCCTTAGGAAAAATCTGCAGGGTTGCTGCCCAGGGGAGAGTCATTGATTCACTTTTTACATGTAATTCTTACCCTTGGTAAGCATTCACAAAAGAGTGGAAACAAACTGGGGGTAGACAAGCAGGTCCATTTCTGATATGGCCGATGCTTTCTTTTAAAGCTACCAGGCTCTCGTTTTCTTTTTCTGAGCTAGATTTCGCTTGTTTACCGCCTCTTGTGGCCCTGTAACTTGACACTGGTGCCTCTGTTTCATCCGTTTCCATTTCATCGCTGGTTTGCTTCTGTCCTGGTTTACTGTGCGATATCTCAATGCTAAAGTGTTTGTTCAACAGATGAAGTAATAGCACGTGATCGCCACTTCTCAGAAATTGGACGAAATAAGTAAATACTTTGTTACTTAGTTTGACGACGTATTTACTCCGTCTAAAATTGGACGCTGTATCGCTGGATTTTAAACGTTCTAAGTCCGTTATCGCTTGTAAATGTTGGATTTCTTCTTTGTGCTCGATCGGAAAGTCGCCACTGTGCTTTGTGAAAAGTTCTTGAGCAGGAATCGATTGTCCCTTCGCAACAAGATCCAAATAGATGTTGGCAAACATCGGGAACAAAAATTTGGAAAGTTCCACTCTGTAAGCCGGGTTTGTACCCGTTATGAACGATTTCAGACTGGAGAATTGTTCATTCACCATAGCTGGGTCTGAACTGTTGATTGCAAATGAGAATACATTAGGAATGCCACTCTCGTTACAAACCGTCCTCTTGCAAGCCAAGTCCTCCATTTTGTGTTCCACTGAGAAGTCCTTCATAGAACTTTCACTCTCCGTGTATTTTCGCTGCTTTAAAAAGCTTGTTATTACATTGGACACCTGTTCGTTCATCTGATTCTTTTCATTTACGCTCATATTTTATTTCAATCGTGCTTGTGTAGTCTTTTGACTTATTCAACGGCATGGTCCACCATTTTGTGAGGAAAATTAACCGCTGGCTACTATGTGAGCCGACACTATTTGCAAGCTCACGCCATTTTGTATGAAAGCGTCACGCAAGGAGTGATAAAGAGGTTACCTGGTTTTCACTTGACTTAAAAAAAAAGCTTTGCAAGTGATTATCTTGTGAGATGATGTTCAGATATCACCATGGGGGCTGCTTAGCGTTGTTCATATGAAATGCCATAATTTTTGAAAACAACTTCTTGGAACTTCAATCGTAGACTAGCTTTGAAAGGTCGAAGAGGAGTACGGTATGATTCTTTCTCCCACGGTTTCGGTTTTTTAAGGATCTAAAAAAAGATACACCTGTGGGACACCTGAGGATTACTGTAGACGTCAAAATATCATACAGCTTAAATTATCACAAAGATCAAGTTTACAATTATCATTTGTTATATTATAAATTTTCTATTACAAAATTAAGGAGGCAAAAATAGATTCAAAATCGGCAGAGTAGCAAAAAGGGTACAAAGTGGTAGTGTCACTGTCGATTTTCCTTTATCGTTGGGGTCGTTCCAATTTGGTACTCTTATTTCTTTCAGAGTGAAATGCCACATCGATGCCAACAGTCTAAAACGAAAAATTCAACGCGATCAAACGTTAATGCCCCCACGTCTTTTCATTTGGTTATGTTTATTCGGACAGTTCACTCTAAGCAAAATCCTTCCAGCATAGGTCTACGAGTTTTACACCTGCACTCTACTGTCATTATGCAACATTATAGATATTATTATTTTTTTAAGGGAAAGGGTTGCATTTAGAAACCCACAAATGACCTAGACGCTTGAAAAAGTAGCTGACCTCTCCTTAGTTGTGCGTTGTCTCCGGTGTGGTTTTTTGTGTCAATGCGCCCTTTTCTATATGTATCCAGATGTATCGGAAGGATATATTGCACCTCGGAAAAAGCGAAGGCGCTAAAACTAGCCTGCTTCATCATGAATCGGCCCCAAAACCACACCAGAGACAAAAACGAAAAAAAAAAAAAACCCGCACCTCTACGTCGAGGTAAGTATTTGCTTTTTGATCCCAAATATTTTTCAATTTCTTGATACAAATGTTCACTTGCAGAAATCCTCAACTTTGAACTGTTACATAGTGAGGTCAATGAGTAAAGATGTATCCATGTAGCGAGCCTGGGCTATCTAAAGCTTTTTGTCTGCTCAACAAAAATGTGGTAAATACATCTTATATTTTTAATATTTTTCTAAAAGTTGTTGAAAAAAAAAAAAACAATGAAAATCTTGTCACGAAACTGCAACCTTGCGACGTTAAAGTTCCAAAGGTCAAGGTTCTCCTTACCTCCCTCCCCGAAGGGTAATATTCCGAATTTTTGGGTGTCGTTGTACCCGATTGGCCGAATGCGTTGTCGGATTTCCGCGAAAAATCTCGAGTGACTGAGTCAAAGTTTCACATGCCTAAATCAGTTTGTTTACGTCAAAGTTATTTTTTTGTCTCATAATGCTGAAAGTCTTTGTAGGGATGTTTTTTGTATAACGTACAGATTTTAAGAAACTGTTTCCACGCTTCTACGAAACGAATGCTAAGTCACACATGTATTCGTAATCGATCAAGTTCTCGTACACTCCGAACACAGAAACCGAGAACTTTCGAACATTTCCGAAAGTACTCCAAGGGTAAGTGATTACGTAAAGGGCGGCTGAAGGGCGTCTTTCTGCGGGGAAATCAATTTCGCGTCGGTTTAAGTACTGTATTAGGTTACGCTCGAGGCCTCTTTCGATCGCCTAGAATAACATCACGCCGATTTCACAGAGCTATTGCGACACCTAGAGAAGTAGTATCTAAGCTGTTTGCACCGTTTACAACGCTTATTACCAATTCGACTCTAAATACTGAGCTCTCAAAGGCCAAAGTGTAAAGAGTTATCTATATCCACAAGATTCCAATCAACTCAGGTAATTTGTTGACCAATTGCTATATTGAAGTCCTCGAACGTCAATGTCACTGCCTTTCTGTTGTTTGAAGTTTTAAAGCGGTAATTGCCAGCACATGCGTCAAACGAAAGTGGCTTCGGTCGATTATCCCAGCTGGCTAAAATATATTGTATCTGCGCGTAGACTTCTCTTCCGTCTGGGTGCCCTGGAAAGCGCTTATCACCTATCACGATTTTATTTATAACTTATGCAATCACGGCAGCGCATCGATATTATTCTCATCCGGGTGCGGTAAACGAGAAAAAAATCATTTTCCAATTTTTGGCCATTTATTGTAAGCTTATTATTTTGCATAATTGTAATCCTCTTTCGTGCATATTTGATGTTATCGGTGATGAATAATCATGGTAGTTCTTAATTACAATTCCCGTTGAGATGTTGATACAGTTGCAATGATCTTTCTACTGCTCTAAGCCAAGTTAACAAGTTTGTATCTAGAAAGAAAACAATTAGTTGTTGAGTTAGGAGCGTGATATGGGTAATACTTGTAAGGGGATAAATTTTGATCAGTTGGGCTTTCTTGGGTGTTCGTACTAACCCAGAGCTATTTTACCTTCAATGTAACATTGTCTTTATTGGCACAATGCATCATTGATTGTTGTTAGAAATTACCCCATGTAAACAGTGTAACAAGAAGGCAAACTTGGAGCTCTGTGGTTGAATTTAGAAAGATGTTAGTAGTTATTTGTCTGAAGAGCCAGACAGAAAACTAAACTCTGATTCACTTTTGACGGTTTCATGATTCAAAGGGAGTAGCATTTTTGGCAAATTAAGGCAGTATATTCTCTTCAAATCTTATCTTACCTTGCCAAATAGTTAACAAAAAAATGAGAGAAACCCTTTGCCACCTCTTCAATCTGCACACCTTCCAGCATCTAGCCCTCCCTTCCCAGGTTTTTAGGGTGGTTGTTCCACTATCTGTTAGTTAACTTTTAGCTATTTTTCCTATTGTTACATACAGATCCAAACATCAAATTCTGTTTTTTATTCTTGCAGATTTTGTCCCCTTTATTATCAGACAACATGTTTTCAGCTATTCCTTTTGCAAAGTCATTATATGAGACTTTGTCTCAAGCTCTCACAGGAAGAGATGAGGTGTGTAACCATGACTTTGTGCTATCAATTCAGCTGTAGAATACACCTCTTTAGGAGTAGATTGGACATACTTTGTACTAGTCAATTATTTTTCCTTGAGTATTGTTTAACCCCAAAAATTGACCTGCCCTGGTACATCTTATTTCTCCTTACAACTTCACCTCAGATTCAAGCATTTGGGTTAAAAGAAGAAAGGAAATGATCCTCAAGCTCTTGACTGTTAAATATATTCTCCTTGCAAGCATCATAGGGAGTGTATGGCAGATAGTTTCAAGAGTATGCATACTGATGTTAAAATATAGAGGGTTAATTCTTGCTGCCAGCACTCAATTTTCAGGTCATTTAGAAGCAGCTGGGAATCCCCTGAGATGTTTCAGGTCACTGATAAATAGAACCAAACAATTAAGTTAGATGTTATTGAAAGACAATTATCAGTGGCTTTCAGTGTAGAACATCCAATCTTAAATAATAATCAAAAAGTCAAATTACAAATTAAACTTTTGTCAATTTGTTTCATTCATCACAGGTGTTAGAGGTTTTGGGTGCATTTGACCTGTCCAATGAATCGCTACAGGAAATCATGAGTCTTCTTATTGGTGACTTTCAAAAAGGGCTCTCTGTTGATGAAAGTGAGCGAGCAGAAAGCCCAATTAAAATGCTTCCTACATATGTAAGGGCCATTCCTGATGGCTCCGAAGAAGGAGACTTTCTAGCCTTGGATCTAGGTGGAACAAACTTCAGAGTTCTTAAGATTTCACTTGAAGATGGCAAAGTCAATATGGAAAGTGAAATATATCCTTTGGCCCAAAATCTGATGACCAGTGATGCAAATACTCTGTTTGACTACATTGCTGGCTGTATATTACTTTTTGTGAAGAAAAACAAAATAAGTGAAAAGTCGCTGCCATTGGGGTTCACATTTTCATTTCCTGTAAAGCAGTTATCACTGACATCTGGCCTGTTGATAAGATGGACAAAGGGTTTCAGTGTTGATGGAGTGGAGAATGAAGATGTTGTCAAATTGCTGCATGAAGCACTTATAAGGAATGGAGTGGTAAGTTTTATAGCTATAATTCTAAGTTAGGGCCTTTCCGCACTAGCAAACAAACTAGAATTATCCCAACAAAATCAAAGGACAATTTTTGTTTTGTCTGTTGCATTTGTATTAAAAATTTGAAAGCCATGAAATTCTGTCAGCACCTGATCTGTTCGTAAGACCAGCCAGCTTAGTTGCCAAAGGGATTTATTCTATGTCATTGTAAATTTTAGAATCCCCAAGTTTTGCAGCAAAAGACAATTTTTCCCTTTCCAGTAAACTGATTTCAGTTCAATTACATGCTTGTCATAGCTTATGTGATAAATGATTGACAAGCTTATCAGAGTTTGTTTATTTAGTTGATTTTGCCAAATTTTTACCCTGGGCAAATTTTGTTGCTGGTGCATTTGAAGATTTGTCCACTACACTCAAAATTTTTTAAGCCGGGGCAAACCATCCACATTTGTAAAATGTTGGTGATGACTGAAAACTTGTCTAAATAAACAACTTTGTTGCTAGTATGGAAAGGCCCTTAAATTAATTTCTAGAGAATTAATTAATGGAATTATTATTGTAGTGCATTAGGCAAATTTTGATTGTGATGAGAAAGCTCCTTAAAATTTCGGGATTTGGAAATACAACATTGTGATTTTGGTACAATGCTCAAACCATCTGAGTTGTAAAGCCACCAATGTGAGGCTAAGCAAGACATCTGAAGACTTTTATATTCTTACAAGTTTAATAATATTACAGTCCAACCTCAATTATCCGGACCTTGATTATCTGTGTTTTTTTTTTATTTTCTGGAGTTACATCTATGGTGCCATCAATTTAAATGTAGTAATAACTCACATTCAAGAATTGCAACACCTTTTTTTCCATCAAACAAAACACATGCACTCAAACTCCCACTGAGACTGAATTTGTTCCACTTTCCAAAGCTGTTGAATTAACAATGGATGGGAAGACTAAACATTTTTGATGCTGTTAAGTTCATGCACCCCCAAAGAATGATAAAGTTAGTGATGCACACACTCTATAGCAGCTTGAAAGATATGTTTGATAAAAAATTCATATGTTTGATTAATTTGACTATCAATTATCCAGACTTTTCAGACCAGTCCCCATGAGTCTGGATAAGCAAGGCTTGACTGTACCAACAAATCAGCTGAGAGCTCCTTTTTACATGTAACTGCACACCTTTCTGCTCTCAAAAACTTTTAAGGGAACGGAAGGTCAAGATTGCAGACAGCTTTTAATGTTTTTTAAATTTTATTTTTAAATAGGATTTTTTTATTTTTAAATTGTGCTGTTTTGTAGAGTGCTAGTGTGGATGTTGTGGCCCTCGTCAATGACACCACAGGTACAATGATGTCCTGTGCATTTGAGAATCCATCAGTCAGTGCCGGGTTAATCTTGGGCACTGGAACCAATGCTTGCTACATGGAGAACCTTGATAATGTTCCTAAGTGGGACGGAGATAGAGATGAACCACGACAGGTGATTATTAACACAGAATGGGGTGCATTTGGTGATAATGGAAGCTGGAATCACCTCCGAACAAAGTACGATGAACAGGTTGACAAGGATTCCCTGAATCCTGGAATGCAATTGTAAGTGAAATCTGAATTGTTGAACCAGGTGAGCCAATCACCACGAGTAAATGATTTGAAAAGATATTGATAAATCAGGAAATAATTTGTATTATGATTTGACCCATAAGGCCCTGCATCGTATCGTAGTGAAAGCTTACATGTGTACGGTTGGATGTTTCAATAAAGTCAGTCAGGAGAAAGCTGTCCAGCCGTCCAGCCGTCCAGCCGTCCAGCCGTCCAGCCGTGCACTCGAACGATAGTAGCATTTTCTAAGTGCATATTAAATAGAACTTGTGAAATTCAACTTGGCATAAAACAGATGTGAAAAGAAGTCATATATCTTAATGAATTACAAGTTTCTTGTTTGGTGGGGCCAAATGGGGAAATATTTGGCTCTTGTTCAAGATGCATAGACCTTGTGCTACTCTCCCCCTCAGTGGATAAGTACATATTATCGTAAATGATTGATGTCCCATTGAGTGACCATGCATTGTTCTGGACATAGAGGTCCTGTCCTATATAACGGCAGTGTTATATAGAATACTTTCATTGTAATTGGGGTTTTTTAAAGTAGGATTGCATTGCACAGTCCTATGATTGTCTGGAAATATTTTTGATAGCTTGTAGTGAATTCTCTTTATTTAAATTTCCCATCAGATTTGAGAAGATGATTTCTGGAATGTATCTGGGTGAACTTTGCCGAATTGTTTGCATGGACTTGGCTGACAAGAAACTGCTGTTCAAAGGACAAGCCAGTGACAAATTCAAGACCAAAAACAGCTTCCTTACCAAGTTTGTGTCTGATGTTGAAAGGTAAACACAGAAAATATGTGACAGATGAAGTGTACCAAATATAATGTTATCATGCTATTGTAAGGGCACAACTTGGGGAGATCCTGAGGTGCCTGTGACACCTTCCTACCCTCCCCCCCCCCCACACCTTTTTTTTTTTTTTTTTTTTTTTTTTTAAGTAAAACACAGCATGGAAGTCAACATGACAACCTGATGAAAACACAGTATGACACCCGCCCCAACTGATAAATCCTGGTTACATCCCTGTATTTTCTGTTTTTCAGTGTGACTTGGATAGGTGATTGGGGGGGGGGGGTTTAAGCCACTTGCACTTTTTGATCAAGATTTCAGGCAGTTATTCAGAAAGACCTCAGTAGTTTCCTATGTGGCCAAAGGAGTGATCCTCGTTATTTATCAATTTTTTTTGACAGTCATCAAAGGCACAAGATAGATGAGGTACTGAAAGAAATGGGAGTGGAGAAACAAACTTCAGAGTCAGATATTGAGGTTTTGCAGCGAGTTTGTGCTGCAGTCTCTATAAGAGCCGCGAGATTGGCTGCAGCAGGGATTGCTTCAATTGCCAAGGTGTGTATTGTAAATTTGTAATTCTCCATCTTTTTTTTCTCTATTAGTGGAGCTTGCAGAGCGTAGCCCCATAATTATACAAAATAGTAGTAACCCATCAAGCCGAAAAAATTTGAATGTACGACTGTACAACTGTACGACCATACAAGGTGCTACTTTTGCACTCCAGAGAGTCTATGAGGCTCAGTGGTAGAGCATTGGAGCACACAATCTGAAGGTGGCATTCATGGCATTGTTTAATTCTGACTGATTTTATCTTGTTTTTATGTACAGAAAACAGGAAACTACACGACTACAATTGCTGTCGATGGAAGCCTCTTTAAAAAACACCCACAGTTCAAACGTTACATGCAAGAGACTCTGTCTGAAATTTTGCCACAAAGCAACATCACCTTGATGCTATCTGAAGATGGTTCAGGCAAAGGAGCAGCTCTCATAGCTGCAGTTGCATCAAAATCAAAAAAACACTGAGCCTTTCATCAGCTGAGTGGCATTAATAATTATTTAATATTTCTATTGCAATAATCAAATTTTGCCATAGAATAGCTAGTAACAAGGACCTTAAATCTAGAACAACACTACGACAAGTATTTGGTGAGACAAAAGTTTCATGAACAGACAAAAGCTCTTTCAAACCCAGGTTGTTCTAGTTCAAATTTATCCTTGGTTTAAATTCAAGTCAACTTATTTTCAAGTTGTGTTATTGAATGTTAAATAAATGAGTGTTAAAAAAAGACTTTGAACCATGGATGAAATTGAACAATAACAAGTACAATATAATCGAGGCAGATGTTTTTTTTTTTTTTTTTTTTTTTTTTTTTTGCAATCATTGCCTTACTAATTTGCACACACAAAAACATATTTTGGAATTATTTTTTAATTTTTTTTTTTAGAGGTATTTACTGTTTTTTTTAATTCTGACAAGGTGAACACTGACTGCAAATTTCTTTTGTGCACTTGATAACAGTGATTACAGTAGTTGCTGGTTAAAGGAATTCCAGTTCATCTTGTATTTAATTTTCCATTTTGGCCCAGGAAATTAGAAATCAGGAAATGGAATGTTAGCTCCAGATAGAAGGTTTTTTGGATTGGTTGTTTTTTCCTTTGTCAGAAGAACTGATCTGGGAAGTGTTAGGACAGTAAATTCTGAGCTTAATTGTGTTAGTATCACTGAGTAGGGTCAAAGTAAAGAGGAAACATGCATCTTGCCTCCAATAATATTTTCTACTTTAGAAAGAGAAACCATTCAGTCACCACTAAAAATTAGCAATGAGACGCGTGAAACTTCTATTTTTAACCTTTTAACTCCCATGAGTGACCAAGACAGAATTTTTCCTTACAATATCAAAACAATATCAAGCATACAAGTTATGAGAATAAAGAAAAATATCAGTTTGGAGATTATAAGATGATCCAATACTAAATCCTCCAAACTAACATCACAAGAACTGTATGGGAGATAGTAAGCAGAATTACTAATGAGATGGTGGGAGTTAAAGGGTTATTGTGAATAGATTGGTAGGTTTGTCTTCCATAACTAGTGTGATAGACTTGCTTTGACTTTGAATTGTTTTTGTGGTTGATATGATTTTCTTTGTTTGTTTGTTTGCTAACATAAGTCATTGGAAGAGAGCTTATTTCTTTCTAGTTTGACTTGTACAGGAAACATGTTTTGTATCTTAGTCAGAGGAATTGACCAGGCAGGGGAAATCTTCTAGACAGTAGGGTTTGATCTGAGGAGTGTTTTATGTTTTTGTTGCGTAGTGATTTAGTTAGAAGCTGTGAGAAAAAAGAGGTCAGTCATGTTACAGTCACTCTCCTTTTTGTTAAACCTTTTGCTCCTAATATCTCATTTTTAAAATTCTCCTTACTGTCTGCCATTCATTTGTTATGATCAACTAGCGATCCCCTGATTGATATTTTTCTTTATTCTCATCACTCGTCTGCTTGAAATTGTATTGATATTCTAAGCTGAAATTCTGCCTCGGCCACTTGTGGGAGTTTATGGGTTAGACAATTTTCGTCATCAAAAAGTGTAAATAATGAAAACTAAATAGTTGGTCTCATCTTTGTTTAGCAATTATTACATAGTAGTTTGATAAGTTTTTCTTTGGTTTATTTGTTTTTTGTTTGACTTCAAGATACTCGTAGGTGACATTATCATTCACTATTCGTTCTTAATACTTAAAACTGCATCTGCAGAACAACGCCCCCTTAAGATATACCCAAAAGACTGCAATATTTATCAAAACTGCTGGAGTTTTGTACAGCACAGAATGAACCTGGTGTACATTTTTAAGAAATAAACGTGGTTTGAAAAAAACAATTCGAAAGTGTCGTTTTTTGCCGTTGCTATTGTTTTGTGTTTTTACGTTAGATGCCACAGGCAGACCACGTTTAAAATTACAGTCGAATTATTTCGTATGGTAATTAGCCACGTGCTTGTGCTTCTCACGGAAGTTAAGCGCTTTGGCCAGGGTTAATACTTGGATGGGTGACCGCACATAATACTCCATGTTGTTGAGTTTTCTTCTCTTGTCGTCATTCGATTTAATTCCAGTTCTAAGGGAAGCTTGCGTGACGGGTCTGCTTAAGAGGCTGGCACTAAGTCAGTATTGATTCATCATTTTCCACATATATCCAGAGTGAGTGTAGGGAACGACCAACGCCTCCTAGCGTCTTGTTTCAAAAAAACAAAGAGGATTAGAAACATTTAAAATAAAGATGACAGATAAAAATTAATCGGACGTAGTTTGGCTTACTTGAATTCGTCGAAACGTCGTTTGAAATAACTATCATCGCTAATTTTTGTTTCATTTCTCATGTCAATTGTTTCGTCTGGCTGTAGAATCCCGGTCAGCTGTGTGAGTATCTGGAAAAACCCACCCTATGTTCTTAATTTCTATCTAATCGTCACGCCATAGTGGTAGCCTATGTGATTTTACCATTGTGAAGTGATTTAAAGCTCCTAAAACCCCCTCCTTTCCCCTCCCCACTCCTGCCCTCACCCACTTTAAGATTGATAACGAGGTCACTACTTACTTCCGTCACATCGATAACTTTCTTTCGGTTTTACTTCAGCTAACGAAGGTTAAATTTTTGTTGCACAAATTGTATAGACGATCGAGTTTCCAACGAAGCTTTGGAGGAGCAATGTTACTTTAACTAATACATATTCATGCGTTTTTAAAGTTATCAAGTAAGTTCATTAACTTACATTTGCCAAAACGCACTACCTCTATCTGGTCCAAAGTCGACGACAGCAGAACAGCTCGGGGCACGGCAGTTCCTATATATTTTTTTTTTTATTATTTCCTTTTCTTTCCTTTTTTCTTTAATCTACTAATATTCCGAATTCTTCAATTTCTGAAGGCTTCACTTTTAATTTTTAAAATATTCAAATGCCTTTTTTGCAGATTTAAAGAGTCTCGCAGAATCTGTGAAAGTTGAGAACATGTTTGCAGCCACATCTTTCGCACAATTAGTCTGTGAATCTCTGACGAGGGCTTTCACGAAAAGAGACGAGGTAATAGGAAAGCTTGCTGATTTTGCAGTTCTTTTTTCATATGTACAGAACACCGGTCTAAACCAATTTCAGCATTAAAAAGGGCGATCAGTAAACTGAAGGGGGAATATCTTTTGGATAGGTTTGTGCTACCTTGTTCTAAAATTTGGTCCCTGTTCAGACAGAACCTGCTCTCTAAATTATTACCCTGTTATAGAAATATGTCAGTTGTGAATGAAACGACCACAAAAAATTGGCAGGCGGTAGCTCACAGTTTGAAGCGTTTGTGTGTTCCCAAAATAATAACCCAAATGTCTCTAAAAACGGATTCTCCATTCTAGAAAAGGAGTCCCATGGGCTGGCTTGTGCTTGTGTAGGATTTTTGTTTGCGGGAGTGAAAAACTTAACAGAAGTCATCATCAGAGTAGGCTAAGCCTGTTGAAACGCTGGTCACTACGAACAACAGCCCTTCTCAGGACTTCTCTCACTGAGGCGAACAGACTACACAAACAGTTAAAATTAATTTGAGACTGAGTACACCTCCTTAATTAATCTAAACGGTTTTAATGTAACTTACCAGCTTCAAGGTGTGTTTACAGAACTAACTTGCGCTGTTTTTTTTTTACGCAGGTATCAGATGTTTTAGGGGCGTTTGACTTGTCGAGGGAAGCCATCCTGGAAATCACCAATAGTCTGTGGAAAGACTTTGATAGAGGCCTCTCTGCAGATGAAAACGAACGAGCGAAGAGCCCGGTCAAAATGCTTCCAACTTATGTGAGGAAGATACCTGATGGTTCAGAATCTGGCAACTTCCTTGCAGTGGATCTTGGTGGAACAAAGTTCAGGGTGCTATCAATCTCCATACAAAATGGCGAAATTAAAGACCAAATTGAATTCCCGCCTCTTGACCAGACAATAAAAACTAGTGATGCTGAAACGTTTTTCAATTACATCGCTCACCATATTTCTCTCTTTGTCAAGAAACACGAGCTAAATGATCAATTGCTGCCTCTTGGGTTTACATTTTCTTTTCCAGTGAAGCAATCATCACTCTCGTCAGGGTTTTTGATTCGATGGACAAAGGGATTTACTGCTTCTGGGGTAGTAAATGAAGATGTTGTCAAACTACTTAAGGAGGCACTTGGAAGAGAGGGGATGGTGAGTTTATTAATTTGGAGAATATGAAAACTACTTTGACTTGTCTAGTGATCATGGAACTTTTCGACATGGATGGATATATTTCACACATTTTCAGTTCTTCATGGGGTTTCAACTAGTCATATACAGAATTTAGTGAGAGGAAAAAAAATAGGGAAGGAATGTTAAGGACTCTAGGAGAACAGCATGAATTTAACATGGTTTTGAACAATAAGTAAAGAAAAATTATAATCTCTGTTATTCCACAGGGTTCTAATGTAGAAGTGTTAGCCATTATTAATGACACCACAGGTACAATGATGTCCTGTGCATTTAAAAATCCATCAGTCAGCGCTGGGTTAATCTTAGGAACTGGAACCAATGCTTGCTACATGGAGCACCTTGATAATGTCCCTAAATGGGACGGAGATAGAGATGAACCACAACAGGTGATTATTAACACAGAATGGGGTGCATTTGGTGATAATGGAAGCTTGAATCACCTGCGGACAAAGTATGATGAACAGGTTGACAAGAATTCCCTGAATCCTGGAATGCAATTGTAAGTGAAATCCAAGTTGTTGCTTTTTGGTGAAAAAATGGCTCCTTAAATCATCTTCTCACAGAGTATGATAAAAACTCACTGGAGAATCCAGTAACTCTCATAAACAGCTGTAAGTTATTTGTGCATATAATGAAAAATGCATCTTAATCCTTAAGGGGGGAGGACAGGGTACTTTCTAGTAATTTGGTCATGGGGATTTGCTGTTAAATGGGGTTACATTTTCACAACTAAATTGACTTTAATGGGGTTGCATTTTCAAGTTACTAGAATAGGGTTGCACATTTTTGCTTGGGGTAAGAAATTCTGATAAGCTGGGATTTGAAAATGGGATGGTTTGCAGATAAAAAGTTGTTACTCTACTACCAAAAGTGATTTAAAGGGGTCTATAATCGGCCTCAGAATTGACTATAAAGGGATCAGGGATCAGGGTTCTAAGAAACCTAGGGCATAAACCCAGCAAACACTGACCCAAGTATGCCTCCCCCCCCCCCCCAATCCATTGTGCTCCATGTTGGAAATCTGTGCAATTTTTCCTTCTCTTTCAGATTTGAGAAGATTATTTCTGGAATGTACCTAGGTGAACTTGTCCGCATTGTTTGCATGGACTTGGTGGACAAAAAACTGCTGTTCAAGGGACAAGTCAGTGAAAAATTCAGGACTAAAGACAGCTTCCCTGCTGAGTTTGTGTCTTGGGTTGAAAGGTATTTGACTAGGGGACCTGTCATTATTTATTACTGGCCCCCCCTTCCCCCCCCATAGATATGAATCATGATTGGTCCCCAGGAGCAGAGCAAACAATTAGAGCACTGTAATCGTCATAAATAAATGCTTAATCATATTCCTCAGGACAAATGAAAAACAATTATATATCTTTCTCTAACAGTGGGGAAAAGCACCAGATAGATGAGGTTCTAAGAGATATGAAAATGGACAACGAACAAGCAACAGGATCTGATATTGAGATTTTGCAGCGAGTATGTGCTGCAGTTTCCATAAGAGCTGCCAGACTGGCTGCAGCAGGGGTTGCTACAATTGTCAAGGTGTGTATAGTATAATTGTAAGAAATGTCATTTTCCTTCTTGGCTTTTGGAATGAAAATTACAGTTATAAATTCAAATTTTAGTAGATTTTTAGTTTAATCTTTTTCAGTCCAAGATTTTTGGCTCCCTCTTTAATCAGCTACTATAATTTCATTCCTCCTGAGTAATTAATGTGAAACTCAAAAGACCATAAGCACTGGAGATAGTTTTGAAATGTCAGTTTGTTGAGAAGGCAAAACCAATTAGAAGTGAGATTCTAACAGAAACAGCACTTTAGGCATGAGGGTTTCTGTTCATCCTGATACTCATTTTGATTTCTGTTTTTGTTATGACATTCTTACATTTTAACAGAATGCTTTGAATTCATTATTTTTGTAATCAGAAAACAGGGAAGTACACAACTACAATTGCCGTCGATGGAAGCCTCTTCAAAAATCACCCACAATTCAAACGCTATATGCAAGAGACTCTCAGAGAAATTTTACCCCAAGCTAACATAACCCTGATGTTATCTAGGGATGGTTCAGGCAGAGGAGCTGCCCTCATCGCAGCAGTTGCTCAAAGAATGTATAGCACTTGAGCTCATGGCAATATTTTTCAGAAAATTTTTTTAATTGTATTATTGAAGATTGAAAAGAAAAAAATTTCCATTAACTATTGTAAGCCCGCAAGTAGCATTTTAAAATATGCAGAGGATAAATACTGACTGCCTAGAAGTTAGACTTTTACCTCTAAGTCTGTAAACTGTATTCTAAAAAATGCAATTCTGATATCAAATATTCTCTATGGATTATCAATAATATAATTTAATTTTCGTTTATGCACAGTTATATGAACAAAATATAAGATTTAGCCCCCAAAAATTGGGAGCCTCTTTTTTAAAATGTACAGAACTGTAGAGAAGAACAGCACAAGTCCAAAGAAAATCAATAATCTGTCTGTCACCTCTCTTCTGTTATACTTATTCAGAAGATTCTTGCTTGTCTGAATTACTCCTGATAAACCTTTGTATTCTTCTTGTGTGTCCTTAACTTGAGAAGAAGATTGTGCTGAAAAAAATTTACAACGACAAAAACACTGATGAATTGTGCAGTAAACACAAAAAAAATGGGAACAGTGTCAGCCTCTGAGAAATTGTGGGCCTACCCTTCCCCTAATCCAACAACAGTTAACTGATGACAAGTTGGGGTTAATGTTGGGTCAGGGGAGGTAAGTGTGCAGTTGCTCAGATACTAATATTGATCTTGAAATTGTTTTGGAGTATGGTTAAATTAAGGTCTGTAAAACCATTTGACCTTGCCAACTCTCAGCATTATGCTGTCAAAACACAGCGATTCAAAATGACAGAGGGTGATTCAATCATGCCACTAACCATTATACAATTTCTTTCATTGTTCTTCACCAAAATGAATAACCACAACATTTGTCAAGATCTTATGATTACCTATATCACAATGATTATAACTGTACAACAGCAAGAAAAATCTATTCAAGCAAGGTCATCATCTACAGCTTAATAATTACGAACCCTTCAACTCCAAAGATCTGATAGTCAATTCTCCCCTCTAGCTATTACATATTTCCTTTGATGTTAGTTACAAGAGTTCAGTATTAGATCAAACCAACAAATTCTACATGATATGTCTGAGTATTCTCATTACCTGTTTGCTGAATAATGTATAGTTATTGCAGGGAGAAGTTAGATGTTAATCACTTCTGTGAGTTAAGGGGTTAATGATAGTAAACTTTGAGTGCCCCTCTTTGTGGATCTTACCTAGTATCTGCATATCAGCTTCACTCTGTTTGACTTGACCATCCATCATCCTAGCAATACTCATCAAATCTTGAGTTATGTTACTAGCAGTCTTTGCTAAATTTTCTTTGTTGAAGGTTCTGAAAAGTAACACAGAGGTGAGCAGTGAATCACTTAATAATCATTATGGAATAAACTAAGTTACAAGAAGTAAATTGACGATCAGCCCTTTCACTCCCAGATCTCACTGGTAATTCTCCTTACTGTCTGCCATACAATTCTTATCATGTTTCTTGGGAGAATTTGGAATTGGATCAACTTATCCCCTAATTAATATTTTAATATAATGCAGAAGAGGGCTAATTCAGTGCAAAGAAGTTACAAACCAGACTGAACAATTCCTTGAACTGTTTAGCCAGACTTTGAACTTTTTTGTGCCTTAAAGATGTGAAAATATCATTGTACATTATTGTTTTGATGGTACATGGTTGTTTTGACTGATTGCACAATTTCACTTGCAGGGTTTGAATAAATTATTTTTGCACTTGATGTGCTCACTTTGCTTCGGCCTAATTATGAAAAGCTATCTCAAATTTTTTCATGTATATTATTAATACGTAATCACATGATTTTTCTTGCGCAATTTGGAATGAATAAGCTCTTGTAAATTTTTTTGAAGACCACAAATTGCACGAGCACGTAGGGCTTGTGCAATTTTGCTAGTCTTTGAAAAAGTTTACTTCTGCTTATTCATTCCAAATTGCACTTGAAATCATGTAATCACCTTTACAAAACAAAATGCAATGATCCAGCCAGGACTTGAACCCAGACCTCTTGACTTGAAGTTTAGCTCATTAACAATTAGGTAAGTTTGCTTCCTTGGAAGTGATTCATAATAAGAAAGAGCCCATTTCATGGTTCAACAATTTTTGTAATGTGTTTTATTTTTCCAACCTACCTGTTTCTTACACTGGAAGCTTGTCCTCCAAACAACTCTTCTTTTTCGCTTTTGTCAATTATTGCCATGGAGGCTACATTGGCTTTCCTAATGGATGCTTGCAGGCTGAAAATTACAAAACCCACATGATAGAAAGTGGGTTTATTAGAGATGGGGCTTTTTAGAGAGAGAGACCTAATACAGAGGGTGCTTATTTAAACCTATTAGAGAGGGGCTTTCAGAGTGGCAGGCTTTCAGAGTGGGGGGCTTTCAGAGAGGGGGCTTTCAGAGAGGAGGGGCTTTCAGGAAGGGGCTTTCAGAGAGGGGCTTTCAGAAAGGGAAGCTTTACAGAGAGGGGGGCTTTCAGAAAGGGAACTTTCAGAGAGGGGGGCTTTCAGAGAGGGGGACTTTCAGAGAGGGGGCTCTCAGAGAGGCGGGCTTTCAGAGGGAGCTTATCAGAGATAGGGACCTTATAGAGAGAGGGGGTTTATAACAGAGAGGGGGGCTTATTATAAAGAGAGACAAAATAGGGAGGGGGGTTAGTAGAGAGGGGAGCTTGATTAAGAGGAGAGTCTTGTAAGAGAGGGGGACCAGTTGGAGAAGGGGACATCAGAGAGGGGCTCTTGTTGGAGAGGGAGACTTTTTTGCAAGGGAGACTTATTTAACCCTTTAATCCCCAAGAGTGATTAGCATCTAATTTCTCCTTTCAATATCACCCCTGAATCAAACATTGAGGTCATGAGAATAAAGGAAATGATAATCAACTGAAGAACCTCATGATTATTAAACAAATTATCCTTGCTGGCACATTAGGAAATGTATAGAGAACAGTATGGAGAAAATGCATACTGATGTTAGTGTTAAAGAGGGGGCCAAATAGAGAGGGTGGTCTGGGCTTACTACAGCATTCATTGTAAAAGTAACGTAGCATTGTAAGCATGAACAGAGGTTCTCCCTGTCAAATTACTGTTGTATTATCTAATACCTTTGAAGTTCTTTTCTATGATGCTGCATGGCTGCTAATATTGCTAATCTGTCTGATTCTTTGTCTTGCTCAAATGCCACTTGCTCCAGGACCTATGGTAGAGTTTTCAATAATAAATGAAATAGCAGGAAAAAATTACATAGGAACAGAATTTCAATAACATCTGAAGACAGAGTGCATGACTCAGGCCATCATAATTTAGCTGCAGAATTCTGTGTTGTAACCCTGGAAGTCTCCAATCTTTGATGCTCTGTTACCCAATAAGCACCCAACCCTATATGCATGCGTATTGTAATCAGTTATAAAGATAACATATAAATTGTGACATATATTAATAACACATTCAAGTTATTCATTAACATTATTTTTTTGCACGCCGTAGGTAAACGAAAAAAACTGCTTTTGAAAATAGCCATATCCTTTCCTTTTTTTCGGAAATTTTGGCAAATTTTTCTTTAAATGTTATCTCTTAATTTCATCAAGTATCATTAAAGGCGAAATCTTAATTAAAATGACCATGAATGTTATGATTAAATTTTTCATTAGTCCTGGCCCGACGACGTCGACGAATGAAGTGAAGGTCCCCTTTCCGGTTTTTATTTTTTCTCAGGTATGGGGAACCAGTTATTATCCAAAGTTAAAATTTCAAACACAGCGTCTGAATTTAAATCCAGAGCGTAGCATTCCAATTTCGCCAAAATATATATAAAGAAATTCACGAGTCGTACGTATAAAATAATTTTTGCTTACCTCAACTTTCTGCCTCAAAGAATTGATCTTTTGTTTTACTTTCAAATTCAAGTCGTTCAGTAGACTTAATGGCCCCTGGCATTGTCGTATACTTTGAACATTATTTTGTATCTCAAACTCAACCTTGACGATTTCTTGAACGTGAATTTTAACTTGGACAGGAACCTCTATGCCGTCCGCCATTTTGAAATATGCCCCAGCAAAGGGTTGTGGGAAGGTACAAAACCAAACTGACTAGGGAGGTGCGAACTTGATTTAGATCGTCTTTTGAAAGCACTTTTTTCACTTTCTTTCGAGACCAGCTAGTTTCGTTTACTGTCATATCGTCGTAGTTTATAAACTTTTTCCATAATTTGTGATATTTCCAGCAATATCCTCCATATTTCATCTAGTATATTCCCAATTACTGGTAATAATTGTTGCATAGATGTAAAAAAAAACCCGACAAATATTCGGAAACTTTCGCTTCCACTCGGAGATCTACAAATTGTCGATGAGTGTTCGGCTACCGCCAATTTTGAGCCATGTGTGTCGCGGGAACCAATCAGATTTGATAAACCGTTGTTCTATCAAGCAACGCTTCGCAGAGTCGCTGCACGCCGCCAAAGATTCACTGTTTTAACTTAATTTTACCGCGTGGATTTCAACTCTGTCGTCTTCTTGGATGGCAGCAGTGGAAACCAGAGATGACAGTGGCTCTTCTGAACCTTCAGAAAGCCCCGTATCGAAGGAAAGTAAAGCCTCATCGAGCCCCACTCAAAGTGCTTCTTGGTTAGTCGGCGATGTCGTTTGGTCGAAGATCCCGGGACATCCATGGTGGCCTTCAATGGTTTCTTACGACCCAAATACAGCAGTTTCGTTCAAGTACAAAGGAAGAGCAAGATACTACCATGTGCAATTCTTTGGCCAGGATCCTGTGCGTGGATGGGTCTCTGAACGATCTATTTTGAAATTTGAAGGTACGAAGGTTCAGTCTTAGCTCTCCTAAGAATTGGACGGGTTTGCTTTACGATAAATCTTGCTTAAATCTCGCAAGTTTTATCGATAATTGTGGGATTAACCTTAACACACTCCTGCTACGTGCCGTAATTAAACACCTCTTTTTCTCTTGGCTGCCTAAAACAGCGAAGGTAAATAATCTGCGTGCGAATTTTGCCATCAAAATTACATCTTACTCCGCCATGTTTGCTAAAATTTTATTCAAAACAAGGCAATTCAGTCGCCAATAATTGAAACGAATTATTAACATTCGTCGCGAATTGTGATTTGTGTTAACTGAATTTAATCAAGGACTTGGCAGAGTCAAATCTGAACCTTCTCCCAAGTTATGGAGAATTGTTTTCGTATCTCACCTCTCCCATGTAAATAGTTCACTGGGTGTACTTGAGCTCACAACCTGTTTTGGCGCTCGGCCATCGTAGATTACGCTAGGCCGCTAAGCGCATGATCAATAATAATACGACAGCTGGTTTGAGAAGAAAACTGTGAATTTTACCAAGATACAATCGTTGTCAGTGCTAAAGTTATTTTCTTCTTTCGATTTGTTCATCAACTCCATGTGCAGAATTATTTTTATTTCATTCAAAGACGTCACATTTTGAATAAAACATATAACTTCAAATATAGATAAGTAATCATTATTATTCATTCTCAGAGAGGGAGCCTTTCATCTTTTTATGTCATGAAAATTTGCAAAGAAATCAGCTGGTCAAGATACATCATATTAGTTCCAATTATAATTCACTGTCAATATGTTACATTTTTATTGCAAATCTGGAGGCCTACAACTGATTCCGTTGATTTTCATCTAAATAGTTTTTTGGTGATTCTCAGATAATGGCTGAAGGAAAGGATATTTTTAACTTTTTTCGCTTTTCAGGTGTTTTAGCTGCCTTGTGATTTTCAGAGAGTTTTAATTATAATTTAAAAAAATTAAATGACCTTTTGCTGTTCAAATGTCAATATTTGAAACAAAACCTTTGGCAGTTACATATGAAATTAATGGTTTTCACACAAAACATTTTCAGTTTAGCTTCCACACTACTAAAAGATCTTGGGATGTCTATAAATTATTGATTTGCTATTGGTAATTTAACTTTCAGTTAAAAACAAAAAGTTAATAACTACATTACTAGTTTTATTTGTTGTTAAAGGATATATTTCTTAAATTCAATCTTTCAATTTACATTAAGTCACTTCACAGTACTTGCCATTAATCTCCGTAACTTATGCAAAAACTGCCAAGTCTGTGTTTTTGTTTTTCGACATGAAAGTTAATTAATGTCAAAATAGGTTCCCTCTCCTTTTTCTTTAAGAATATTCTGCTTGATTTGTGCTGAAATCAATTGGTAGTTTTTTTAAAGGAAGAACCACTTTATATTGGCAATTAAAGATATTGTTCTTGTGGCAAGTATTATGATGTTTTCAGATAGAATCTAGATTTAATTACAATGTTTTTCTTTATCAGAGGGTTATATTTAAAAGAGCAGTTGATGAGATCTGTACAGTTTGACATTTGTAGTTATTCATGAAAGATACACTTCTGACTCTTTTTGTTAAATTGAATCGGCTTAGTCCATAAACTCCCTGTTTTGTTTGAACTTAGTCAAGGTTGCCATACAGAGCATGTACTTACTGATCTGAAATTCAAATTTTCAGTATTATACAGTTTTATTATTATAGACAGTAACTATTGGCTAATATTTAACCCTTTAACTCCCAAGATCTGATTGTTAATTCTCTCCTCTAACTGCTAGACATTTCCTTGTAAATAAGTTACGAGAATGTGGTACTGGATCAAGATGACAACTTCAACCTGATAAGTCTGAGTATTCTCATTACCTTTATGCTGGGTAATGTATGAATATTATGGGGAGAAGATATGTGTTAATCACTTCTGGGAGTTAAAGGGTTAACCATAGCACTAGTGTTACTTCAAACTCTTTCAGCATTTCAGTGTGATTGAGTAAAAGGAACATTGTGTTCTCAGTTCTGACTTTTTTTGTCAAATTGAATTGGCTTAGTCCCTAAACTCCCTGTTTTGTTTGAACTTGGGTAAGGTCGCCATACAAAGCATTTACTGATCTGAAATTCAAATTTCAATGTTAGACGGTTTTGTTATTATTGATGGTAACTATTGGGTAATTTTTAACCATAATACTGGTGTTACTTCAAACTCTTTCAGCATTTTAGTGTGATAGAGTGAAAAGAACCTTGTGTTCTCAATTCTGATTTTTGTGTTAAAAGTTACAAAGGGAGAAATAAGCTGCCAGCCACTCTAACAGTTGAAGGGGTCAAATATGACCAAAACTGAGGTATTGGGACCTAAAAAATTTTTCTGTTTCCTCCATACTTGCAAATGATTGCTATATTATTGTTATCAGGGATTTTAGAAATATCGTTTTGAAATTATTGCTACTCTTAGATAATTATTGCATTGGGAATGCAAGTGTTTATTTGAGTTACTTTGGTAGATGTTGCTGAATTTATACACTTGTATGTTATGTGCAGTTTGAAAAGTTTCATTTAAATCTTTGATTCATTTTTGTTCCTTGCTCAGGTCGACAACATTTTGAGAGTTCCCTCCATGGAAAGCAACTCAAAATTGCACAAAAGCGAGTGGTACAGTGGGAAACAGCAGTTAAAGTGGCAGAAAAAGCAAAGCCAATGAATAGACATGAGAGGCAACTGTGTTACACTTTCAAGTATTATGACAAAAATGACGCGAAACGACTGGACCCCCTGAAAATGAAAAAGTTGAATGGTTTTGCATCGCTGCCAGAGCAAGTAAATGGTTTGATTGATGAACATGCTGATGAAACATCTGATCTTAGACACTCAGAGGCAGGAGATGCAGATGTTCTACTCCTGAATGGAGTGTCGCATTGTACAAATGGGCCAAATGAGGAAAAAAAGAAGATTGGTAAGGGACGGGTTCAACGTAAGAGGAAACTGACAGCTATAGCAGCAGCGGCAAAGGCTGCTTCAGGTGACATTGGCACAAACAAAAGTACTGAGCCACCCATGAAGAAAAAGAAAAGGACATTGAAGCAAAATAATATTTTAGATTCCTCGGGTCAGTTGGAAGATAACACTGACCAAGGAGATGTAACAGTTAAGATTAATTTGAGTGATGAACTCCATCTGAATGTGTCAGAGTTGCGTGAAAAGTGTAATGGACTTATTGACAGTGCTGGTGCTAGCACTCCTCCAAAAGTCAATGGTGATGCTGCTGCTTTTGGAACAAACTTGGATGTGTCACCCAGCACTGCGCTTAAGTTGAAAATTAGAAAAATTACACCAAAACAAAACCAGCCAGAAGGGAAGCGGAGAAGAGGAAGGCCATGTAAGCCGCAGTTTGTTATTGTAAGTGAGCAAGATAAGGATTTGTCTAATCACTCAAATGATGTACATGTAGAAAACGAAAAGAAGAAGCTAGATGGTGTGACAGAGTTACCTCCGTCACCAAAGAGTAGTATTGCTAAATCACCCATAAAGAAGAAAAGGGTACGGAAACCTTCCAGTAAGGTTTTGAGTTCTACCAAAGTTGCAGTGTTACCTGTTAAGGAAAAAACGCTGGTAAAAGAAAAGACAAAACTAGATTCCAAAACTAAAAAGGATGAAGAAAAGAAGAAAGAAGCTTATGAGGTGAATGGTGTGGTGGAGAAGGAGGGAAGTGTGGCTGGAAGTGTTACATCGTCAAGTATAGGAGAGGATACAGGAAGTGTTAAGAATGGAGGAACATCCAAGAAGGAGAAAGAAGCAGTGTGCATTGTGTGTGAGCTACAAGACAATCTGACCTTTTGTGAGGGTATTTGTGGAAATGCCTTTCACTTGGATTGTATCGGACTGTCCGTCATACCAAAGGGGAAATTTGTTTGCGACGAATGTGTGACAGGGAATCACTGTTGTTTTGTATGTAGACAGACTGGAAATGTTAAACAGTGCAGTCAACAATTGTGTACAAAGTACTACCACGAGGACTGTGTTAAAACTTTCAAAAGCACAAAATTTGATGGTGATCGCTTTTACTGTCCACTCCATTTTTGTAGTACATGTGTTAGAAACAAGTCATCGGTGTCGAGAGGAAGACTGATTCGTTGTGTGCGTTGTCCCACAGCATATCACTTATCTGGCTGCCTGGTGGCAGGCTGTATTCAAATTAGTTCTCATCTTATGGCATGTTCAAAACATTTCTTACGTGAGAAAAACAAAGCGCACCACACTCATGTCAATGTGAACTGGTGTTTTGTGTGCTCCATTGGAGGCACTTTGATTTGTTGTGAGAGCTGCCCTGCTGCATTTCATCCAGAATGCATCAGTTACGAGGGTATTCCTGAAGGACATTTCTTTTGCAAAGATTGCACTGAAGGCAAGGAGTTGCTTTATGGTGAGATTGTCTGGGTCAAACTGGGCATGTACAGGTATGGTATATTTATTTTTTTATTTTTGTATATTTCCAGCTTCTAATTAGTGCAACCTGTGTCATTTTTCTGGCACATGATGCAAGCAGGGTGATGATGGGAATTAAAGATTGAACAATTTTCCTCTTGACTCTTTAACTCCCAAGATCTCAGTATTTATCCTGTCTGTTCTCTGGGTGCTATAAGAGGGGGAAGATTTTGATTCAAAGGACTTCTGAGCTAGTGGGCTGTACAGTGAAATACAGGGTGCTTAATTGACCAATCATGATGCATGCACATGTACTTTCTGAGAGATAAAGTATATTTTACAAAAGTTTCATATCTGATAGGTTGAGGATAAGGAACTGACCGAGGGTGAAAGTTAATAACAAAGGATTTATGAAGAATGGTTGCAAGGGTTTAACATTTTTTTATTTATTTCAGGTGGTGGCCAGCACAGATTTGCAACCCACGCGATGTACCCACAAACATCCAGAACATGCGGCATCAGCCAGGGGAATTCCCTGTCATGTTTCTTGGTTCACGGGACTACTATTGGATCCACAGAGGGCGTGTGTTTAGCTATCAGGAAGGAGACAAGGGCTCAACAGACTCTGGAAACAGCAAACACTTGGCTAAGATTTTCAAAAAAGGTCAGAAAAAGTGTTCTTCGATTGTTTACATGTTTAACCTTTTAACCTCTAGATCAAATTTGTAATTCTCCTTACTGTCAACCATACAATTCTTTTAATCTTACTTCAGAGAGTTTAGTGTTGGATCAACTACTTATCCCCAAATTGATTATTTTCTTTATTCTCATCACTTATCTGGTTGATATTGTATTGATATTGTAAGGAGAAACTCTGTCTTGGTCACACATGGGAGTTAAAGGGTTAAAACAAAAGCAGGGCTCGAAATAACAGTTGTTTAACAGACAATGTCTTGTCATTTTCATTTTGTTTGATCAACTCTCTGGATGGCTGCACATTTTGTCCAGTTGTTTATGCATGTAAAGAAGAATTTGATTCCAAGCTAAGTTCAGGGTTAGATTCAGCTGTATCACTTTTACTGCATGGAGTCTGAAGCTGCTTTTACTCTCAAAGCATGGTTTTGCTAGAGGGGTGGGGGGAATTTATTGACTGGGCAACATGACTGGTGCTAACCCAGAAATTATTTTGAGCCTCAAAATGAAAGGGTTTGCTTTGGTTATGAAAAACTTCAGAGCTTATGGAGTGTGTATGGGTCATGGAATGTAGTGGAAAATGCCTGCTTTTAGCATTTTTTTTAAGGTCAAAAAGCATCATCAGAATCTCGTACATATTTTCTCTTGTTTTAGCCCTTGTTGAAGCAAAGGAGAAATATGCAGAATGGAGGACAGCACAAGAAAATAAAGCTGAACAGGATCTACAAAAGATGTCAAAGAAACCAGCACCTTATAAACACATCAAGGTTGTTATTAGTGCAAATTGCCAATTATAATGAATTTCAATGTACAAGAAATTTTTCCTCCTTGAACCATTCCTTGCAGTTGTTATTGCAGAGGTATGCAACCTTGGGAGGTAAAGTAAAAACCAGGAAATGTGTTGCAGAGGTCTTTGAGGAGAAAGAAAGCATTTGATTGCATTCAATTGCATTCTTTTGCTTACATTCATACGTTCAACACGCATACATCAACAGACAACAAATTTCTCATTCATTCTACCACCATTGCACATATCATCTTTTCATGACACAAAGACAACAACACATTTGTGCATTCTCAAAGGCTAAGAACTTTGCTACAACAATGAGAAATAAGGCTTTGTCCCATTTTCTTTGTTTGTTATTTTTTACATACTTTTTTTGTTGTTGGTTTTTTTTCCCTCACTCCAGGTAAACAAGTGTACCACAGCTGTCCGAATAGTGATTGACCTATCAGAACTACCAATGTGTGACTGTTCACCAGATAATGATAACCCTTGCGGCCCCGAATCAAACTGTCTGAATCGCATGCTTCAGTTTGAATGCAACCCAGCAAGATGCCCTGCAAAGGAAAAGTGTCAAAACCAACGATTTCAAAAGAGAGAATATGCAGACTGTGAGCCTTTGAGAACATTACACTGTGGGTGGGGGCTTCGCTGCAAAGAAGGTTAGGGATTGGACAAAATATTGATAAGTTGAAACATAGTTTGAAGAGGTGTCTGGTTAGGAAACCCAGCAGGTTTCTTTGTTTCATGCTTTAGACCTGATTGTGCAGAACATTTGATAGCTTTCAAAACACTTTTAAATGGCTAACTTTGGCATTTCCACATCGGCAGATGCTCATCAAGCACAATTGACCAAAGACTTTTTGATTTATTTAGTCACATTGTGTGAAAGCAAAAAAAAAAAAAAAATGAAAGATTGTGCGTTGTCAGTGCCAGCACTTTCATCCTTGAGTTGTACCTGCCTTTGTAACCATTCACATCTACTAACTATGCTAAAAAAAGAGTGTTTTCAGTGAGTATTGACTTTTGTGCTGTTTTTGTGTCAGTGGTTATCAACAAATGTTTCCCATTGGCTCGTCTTGATCGTCTTCTTTCTTTTTCTTAGCTGTTGATATTTTGCTTTTAACTTTACAAAACTCAGTGGAAAAATAGCATTTTTGAGAGTAGGCCACTTAATTTAAGTGTTCCTTTATTTTATCTCAGATGTTAAGAAAGGCCAATTTGTAATTGAGTATGTTGGAGAGCTCATCGATGAGGCTACATGTCAAGAACGTGTACGGAAAGGAGAAGACATTACTAACTACTACATGCTGACAATAGACAAAGATTGCATTATTGACGCTGGTCCCATGGGGAATCTGTCACGGTTCATGAATCATAGCTGTGATCCAAATTGTGAAACACAAAAATGGACAGTGAATGGAGAGGTTCGAGTGGGTCTGTTCGCCTCACGAGATATCAAGGAAGGAGAGGAGCTAAACTTTGACTATCAGCTGGATTGTTTAGGTGGGTCAAACAGTTTATTTGAGTTAGATTTGATCAGGCATTGAATTGAAGTGTTACATCAAGTTACATGTGACCACAATTTTCAATAACATGCACACTCATAACCCTCTACATCTAAATTTACCCTCTAAATTTGTCTTAGGTTGTTGTCAGTCATCAATTGTGTTTTGTAAAAAGTAGGAAATGTAAACAACCATTACAAAGTGGAGTGGCTCTGCTGTGCTTTAGGATGATCTTGTCTTCATTGTCCACGCAGGAAATGAAAAGAAGAAATGCAACTGTGGAGCCAAAAACTGTAGCAGCTTCCTTGGTGTGAGACCCAAGAACCAGATCCAGGAGGAAAAATCTAAAAAGGTGGACAAGAGAAGAAAGAAGAAAATCAAGAAAGCTGTTGTCAAAGAAGGTGTGTTTTGAATTGATACGAAATGTTGCCATATCGCACTATGAAGAATGAAATTTTTTTGCTTTCAGTGCCCTTTGTTCAATGTACATGTAATTTGGTGCCAACTAGGAAAACAGGTGTTTTTTTTCTTTTCTTTTCTTTTCTTCACAAAGATTGGGCTAAAAGGTGAACTTTCTAGGAATGCATTTGTTATTATTCTTATTATTCTTCTTCTTCTTCTTCTTATTATTATTATTATTATTATTATTATTATTATTATTATTGTCATTATTGTTATTGCTATTATTGATCTAACACAGAACTTTATCTGTTGACCTAGCCTTGACTCAGTTTTTTTCTGACTCATGTCCAGACATTGGACATAGTAGAGATAATTCTTAGAATATTTGCAGCATGAAAGATTCAAAGCTTCTCTGGGGAGAGAGGGAGGGGTAGGCACTGGTTGGTGCCATGCCTCCCCTCTCTCAGCCCTTAACTTTTGTTGCAACCAGCTGAATGGTTCAATTCTCTTCCCTGATGTGTTCTTGGATCAATGTCATTATCTGAGCATTTGCGCATCTGTGTACCTACCCCCTCCCTCTCTCCCTCTCCCCCTCTCACTTTAATCCTAACTTGTTATCAGTTAACTGTTGTGGGGCAGGTGTGTAGTTGCTCAGATATTGACACTGATCCGTCTTCTTACCGAAAAATTATGATTAGAGGGGGGAAAAAAACGGAATTTTTACTGTACAAAAAGTGTGAACTGTATACTGTACATTTGCAGGTGGAGTATTTATTCATGGCCAAATTGATATTTTTTTATCCTTTTGCTTGTGCATGTATATCAGAAACAGGAGATCCCAATACTTGTTGAATTACTGGCTTCAAATATTTTTGCTTTCACTTACTCTGCTACTGTTTTAACACATAAACTTTTCTTTAATAAAATTTTATGCATGTAATAAAATAAGTGGTAATAAATAATAATCCAAATTCTAAATGGGCATTTTATCCTAAAGTATTTATATAAACTGCCATATGCTTTGAAAATGCTCACTTATGACTAATTGTGGAGGAGATTGATCTGAATTTTCGTGAACAGCCTTTTTAAAGCGTGGCTTAATGAACCTAAACTTTGCAATTCTGATGCTAAACCTTTAAATTAATTTGTGCTCAAAGCTTTCAAGAAACTTCTCTCAAACGGAAGCGTTACGAGGAAGACATTATTTTGTTTGATTTTCAGTAAGCTTCCTGTCCTTGGGTTGTGCCTAACTAAAGTCGTGGAGTGTTATTGATGGCCAAAAGGCTTTAGATTTAAAGGGCAGGTCGCGGAAATGATGTTGTACTGGAAAACGAACAAGCTATTGCTTCCCATGCCACCGGTTTTTTTGGTTTTTTTTTTTCGACGTGTATGATGCCTTCTTTCTGCTTTTTTATCGGGCGCTCAGATATTTGTAAGTACGTGCATAACGTGTGAAGTCACTTTTCCAAGAGCGAGTTTCCCCTAGCAGATGTTATCTCCTCTTTTTTTTCCGTTCTGTCGATTCTCATTTTCCCTGGTGGGAGAGATAGAAGTATTTTGTTCTCTGCAAGATATTTCTTGACAGGTCTCCCAGTCCAAAACCTGATTTGCCAGTTTTTGAACAAAGGAACGTGTTTAGCTAAAGCTTCTGGTAAACGGAATTTGCCAACGTAGTTGATAGGCCTTCTTGGTAAAAGCCAGTTGCCTGGTATCTTAATGATATCAGAAAATTGTAGAAAAAATGCTAGAATTTTTTGAAAAAAAATTTTCTTTTTCGCTCAGATGAATCGAATAAAAACATGTTTGTTTTCCTTTTCCGCCTTATTTAAACTTGTTTTTGGTTGATTCTTGATTATTGGTTGCCACAATCCAGCTTTGAAGTGATTTTTCCCTTTCAATTGTTTTTTTTTTTTTCATTCTGGTTGAGGAAGGTGATATGTCAAATTGAAAGGATGGCGAGAAAGGAAACTTCTGGCTACGTTTAGCGTGGAAAGAAATGCAACATATTTTAAGATTTTTTTTTTTAAATTTCTGGGGATAATTAGATTTTAAGTTGTATTGTTTTGCCCATTTTTTTACTTTGTTCTCGAGGAGTGTTCGAAGAAAATATATGAAATTTTTATCTTGGCTTAGCTATATATTTCTCAAGCTTTTTTCAAGGAAATGGTGATGGACTTTTCGAAGGAAAATTCTTCTCTGGAAAAAAATTGAAATGAAAAGTTTTGTTGACAAGTTGTCTTTGTTAAATTCCCTGGCGTTCCTCTTAAAAAACAATATCGAAACGCGACTCTCTCGTGTAAGTAGGGACCTAAATGTACTGAATTGCAACAATCTGAGCGCCCGTTACGTGGGCTAGCTCCTTATCAAAAAAATCTTCTGAAGCAGACATGTTGTTTGGCTTCAGATACTCCAGTGTGCGCTGAACCACGCAAGCGACCCCCTCCTCTGCCAGCTGTCCATCCTGAAGCCTCTATTGAGCATGGCACAAGTTGTAACGCAACTGACCAAGCGTCTCTAAAGCTCACGGGCACTTCTCCTCTGAATAGCGCCTTGCCTTGGACATATAGCCCACTTCAACCGGGACTGACATTAAACAATAGTGCATAGACAAGGTGTGCTTAAAATTGATCCTTAAAATTAAAGGTTATTTGAGTTAAATGAGTTAGAAGAGTCATGAGAGCGTGAGTTAAACTTTAAAACCGACGTACAGTTTACTGTTAGAGCGCTTTTCGATTGAGTGTCGTAAAGCCAAAACCAGAGTAATCACAGCAGCCAATCAGAAGGAAGGAAAATGTAATATGGAGCCAATGGGAGCTCAAAGTAAAACCAAGTAAACTGCATAAAGCGCGGGAAAACGCTGGTGACCAAGTCTTGACTTGCTGTTAGCTTTGAATCTGATTGGTTGAGAGAGTGGTGCGATTGTTCTGGACCAATCACACAGCGAAGAAAAGCAAAACCAATGCAGTTCCGGTTTGCTTTCAACACTCAGCTGAAAATTGCTCTACTAATTTATAACTGAGTAACTAAGGAAGATGTTTTTACTTCTATTACGAAAGTGAGACAAGGAAGAAATCAAGACAAGGAAGAGATTTCAATATCAGATTCTTTGGTGTCGCGCTGCTTTTTTTTTTAATCTAAATTCGAAAGTTTGAGGTTCGAATCCTCGTCTAAGACTCTTTCTTCATTCGGCACATTCTATTGATGGGAATTTTAGTATTTACAGTAGATGTAAGCTATTTACAGTGAACTTATGGTAAAATGCGTATAATGCCTTGCATAAAACGAGAACTTAATTTTAGGAAACCAGAAGAGAATTAAGAGAATTAATTAATCACGAGCAAACTTATGTGTTTCTTCGCTTGTATGTATGCTGGCCAACCCTGGTGCAATTGATTAAAACCTGTTTCTGTTCCAATCAGTTAAACCCATAACTCACGACACGCAGCGATTTAGTGGACTCAGTAAAAGTGACATATAAAATATATAGTTTGGTAAACCTTTACAGGAAATCATTTTGTTGGTCATTCACGAAGATAAAGCCAAAGCGAATTTCGATCGAATACCGTAAATCCTGAACCGAAGTTATCACAATGAACAATCGAAGTAAAGGCAGCTATGACAAGTGAAAACAAGCAAACTGCTTGAAGTGATTGGTTGAACAGTTGGCGTAGCAACAAGCAAACAAACTGTGTCGCGGTTGGTTTTATTTTGGCATCTGATTGATTGAAAAGTTATGGACCAATCATGAAACATATTGGAAAAAAAATCACTGCAGTTCCTAATTACGTTCGACACAATTGAAAATTGCTCCAACAAACGCCCACACAGATCTCTGAGTGCATTGCACTTAACAAGTTTCCATTGCAATTTCAGTTCATGAAGACGACTGTTACATCTGCGGTGATGGCGGAGAACTTCTCCTGTGCGACAAGGGAGGCTGTTCTAAGTGCTACCACAGGGATTGCCTCGGCGGGCCTGTTACAACCCGTGGGAAGTGGATTTGTCCGTGGCACTTCTGTGATGACTGTGGTAAATGGGCCACCGTCCTGTGCTCCGAATGCCCGAATTCTTACTGTAGAGCGCATGCGTCTGGTCAAATCACAGAAGTAAGTAATGGTGTTCACGTCTGCTGCGACCATATTGTGACGCGCACGAAGACTATACAAGACAAGGCATCGGATATACGAGACGATAGTGGCGAGCAAGAACCAGAATCCAGCACTGTTGTGGAATAGAGACAATTAGTAGACTTTTTAGAATTTTTAGAATCTGTTTTAGGTCCAGAAATATTTTAGGCAGTTAACTTGCATTCAATTGTAGTTTTACGCTATTAGGATCATATGTTGTGGTAGAAACGAAGAGATAGTGCAGGGGATTCGCCATGTAAATTGTTTTCCAAGCAATTGGTAGTGTATCATAACTCCTTTTTCGTATTTCTCAAGCGCGTTTCGCTTCGTGGTTTGCATGTTGAAAAACTAAAGAGCAAAGTTTATCTGTTTACTACCATACGTTTTGGTGACCGCTACAAACAACGGGAATTTTCCCAACGATTTGACTTGACATAGATATGTTTCTGTATCTTGTTTGCTTCACTTTTTTATGAATGAATACACTCAGTAATTTGGATAATCTGTTTTAGGCCGCTGGGAATTGTGTATGCTGCTTTATTGAAAATGTCAGACCTGTTCCACTCTGGGATAGAAAGAAATCATTTTTTTAAATGTTGGTTTTGGAACCAGCCAAAATTTATCTTCTGTGGTAAAAACAGAGGCTTTTCAAGGCACACGAAACTGATCTAAATGGTTTCAGTTTTTAAAGATCTGTATTTCTTTTGAAGTAGTTGTCAGTATCCCTGGTTATGATTGTAGGCAATTTGACCAGGTTTGTAATCGTTGTGATTTTCATGAATTATCATACAAACGATGCACCGGTTGTATAAAGAATTGGACTGAAAGTGAACGCCTTGTGTCTACACATAAAGTGGTTATGTAGTGTAAAGTCACACCTATAGTTTAACTCAACGCAGGGAGATAGTGCTTTCCTCTATGAAAAATTTTATATTCGAACTCATGAGCCACCGAAGAAAAATGACTAAGAAGGCTGTAGCCATTTCAATTTGGGTTGTTGTACAGTTTTGGCAAACCACTCGCCAATTCGAACTTTTATATGAGTATTTATTTCAGATGTTAATTTATACTGTAGTAGTGTTAGACCTCCTCGCCTCTTTCAGTATTTTGGATCAGCAGTTCGTGGCGATTCTGTCGTGAAGAGTACGTGGTTTTAGTTTTACTGCATCATCATTCTAATTAGCTGATCGACAGCACTTCAGAGCAGAGCTCTGTGGTACGCGTTGCGTAACTGTGCTGTGTGAAATCGTCAGTTGCGACCATCCCAACGAAACATTGATCAGTACTTTCTTTAGGATCCTAATTTTCAAAGCGTTTTGGCGATACGATAATTTTTGGGTCAAGTGCTTGCTTTTCTTTTCTTTTCTCGTGCATATGAATAGGCTCACGAAAGGATTGGGATATCTTTATCAAATATAACATATAGTCCACGTTCATCTGCGGTTTCTTCCCAAACACGGCACTAAACTTCATCGTTATGTTACTAAAACATTTGTACATTTGCAAGTTCTTCAAGTGAGCGCTACCAACGTAAAATTGTCTTTGTTAAGTCTGTTCCCGAATCAGACTCTAATTCGTAGCATGTTGCGTGACGAGCAGTTGATGTCACGCAATGCCGTGCCCTGGAAGTAATCATAGACAAATCGGAATCTTTATTTTCAGACGTAAAATTCTGTGAAATTGCAAGGAGTGGTTCCACCTGTTGAAAACGCTTCCATTACTTGATATGATTTTTTTTTTCAGTGACATGATCTTGTTTAGTGATTGCAGTGTTTTTAAGGTTAAATTACTTGTCTGAAATAAAATTGAAATAAAAGACTGTGACAACTTCTCTGGAGGTTGTGCTGATTACATGAAGTGAGATGAACATTTAATGCTGGTTCTCGACTAAGCTGTGTGTCATCTGCTCAACAGAAACTTTCTTGAGCCTACGTCGTGCGAGATAGTACTTTTCGATTGAGTATCGTGAAACAGAAAAGTTATCGCAACAGCCAATCGGAAGAGAAGAAAATACCTTAAATAGTCAGTGAGAACTCAAAGTAAAACCAACCAAACTACCTAAGGTGCGGGAAAATGCGGGCAACCAAGTCGTGGTTGGTTTTAGTTTTGGTGGCGAGTTTTTGGACCAATCACAAAGCAGTCCCGGGCTTCTTTCGACATTCGATTGAAAATTGCTCCAACGGCATAACAGAGGGAGATCCGTTTTTTTCCTCATGTCCATGTGCCATTAGTGTTATTATGTCAAGTCTACATGTTCGCACTAGATCAACAGAACGCCCTTCTCGTTCCATTTGCCCTCATTCCCTCTTGGAGCCAGTGTGAATCATGTCACTCAAGTACCTGAAAGACGCTTACTCATCGAGTGTCATTAAACAGCCAATCAGAACAAATTGTTTACTTGTTGTAAGGGACAATGGGAATTCGTTCAGGTGATTCTCAGTATTACACTGCGCATCCTGTACTGCGCATAAAAATCACGTAATCAGGCAAATAAGCGCGCGCTTACTCCAAGAACACGGTATTATTTCTTAATCAATGAACGAGGAAAAAAGGAACAATCGTCTTCAGCTCTTGAATGAGCAAGTTGACTTACATTTTTTACTTCGTAACTTTGGTGTACAAATTATCCCCTTACAAATTATAACCTTTTTTTTCTGAGGAATCACCTTACACACATGTAAGCGTCATCAAGCACGGGAGTAGGCGAGTGTCCAAGTCACCATTGGTTTTGGTTTTTCATCTGGTTAGTCGAAGAGGTGGAGCAAAATCTATAAATGAAGCATTAGGCGAAATGCAATTAAACGAATATAAATCCGGATTACTTCCAGCACTTAGCTGAAAATGGCTTCAAATTTCGCACATAACTGCCCCAAAGGTTGTGTGATTTCGTTCAACAAGTTTCATGTGCATTGAGGTGTGCGCGCGTAGCGAGGTAAGCGCGCGCAAATCGCGCACAAAAACCGCGCGCTCGAAGCCCATTGTGATGTCGTACGCACGCGTTTGAATCATGCGAATGTGCCTGTAACCGACTTGTTTCAAAAAAACGGAACGGTGCTACCAGAACAAACATTCAAACACAATGAGCTACACCCCGAATCACTCCTATCGAGGGAATTATTATTACAACCCGCACTGGGTTCAGGCAAGCGGAGAAAATCCACCATTGCTTGTTTATGGTAACATGGTGGATTTTACTGTGGGACCAGACGGAACACATTACTTTAATGAAGTGCACAATGGCCCATTCACTGCGCCTTCCTCTCAAACTGTCGAGATTGTGCCGGTAAGATACCATTTCACTCGAACGAGATTACAGCAGGTCTAAGGATGAGATTCGAGTACATCTGTGCTCTGTGCTATATTGTTGTTACGCAAATGTAAAGACTTAAACGGTGGTAACGGTTGCATTTAGAGAGCGAAATCTTCGGTCGTGTGTTTCTCCGCCTGCCGTGTGGATGCTAAATTTATTCATAGAGATTTAGTCGGTTGAATTTCGTCCACTTCCCAACATATGTCCCTCTCGAAAGTGTGTTTGTAACGAAAAGGGAAGGAAGTAAAAACCACCTAATTCGCTATAAATCGACCCAAAAACCACGCGGGAGACAAACGAACACACGACTCAAGTAAGGTAAATATCTTTTGGATAAATCGCTATCCAGCAGATAGGTGTTAACAAAACGTACTGCACTATCCACCGGATAGAGATGAATTCAGACAATAGCGTTATCCACCCTCGAAACAATCGGTACCACCTGACTGTGTTTGAACCTTTTCATGATTTCTTTTATTTATATATTTTTCATGTATCACAAGAATTGATTGAATTTGTCGATTCAAAGGAATCTGATCCAACTGCAAGCGAAGACGCTGTTAAAAGAAAGCCAGGAAAATCTTTCAAGTCTGATGACAAAAAGGCTGGACAGAAAAGAGATAGAGAACAAGGTAAAGATGAAAAAAAGTCCCAAGATGCTTCAGGGGAAACTGACTCCTCATCTGATGAAGACATTTGGGCCACCGAAGATGAAGATTGTTATGAAGAAAACGACTCTGACAGCTCTCAAGATGAGTACAACAGGGGTCCTTCGGTAGGTAAAACTAGTAGCAAAAGGCAGCCATCTCCAAGTTTCAAAACAATGCATATTAATTCACCAGCGTGCGATAGTTTTGACGGAGGGTCAACCGAGGAAGAGATCGGCATAGGTGGCTAGGAAAAAGGCTAAAGCCCCAGAAGGAGGAGGGGGGAGTACTTCCTACTAATGAGTTGATGAGATGTGTTAATAGGTAGTTCGTATTTTCGCGACTGGATTGGCTATAATTGGGTTGCATTTTCAATAGAATTATTAGAATGGTTTCGCACATTTTCGGAATTTTGGGGGTAAGTAGGGGTATAAAAAGGGGAAGATTCGTAATTAAAAAGTTGTTACCGCTGGGATCGTGAAAATAACATTCATCCAAAAGTAAATAAGATGGGGTCTGTAATTGGTCACATAATATTCTATAGTGGGTTCTGAGAGGCCAGTGGCACATACCTAGCAAATATGATCCTAAGAACCTTACACTTAGTAAAGCATTCTGTCAGAACTTAACTCAGCTCTTTCTCCAACTGAATTGAAAATCAAACATGCAAACGCCTCAAAATCCTTTTTCCGCGCCAAAGTCTAGCGCATGCGCAGACGTTATCCAGCTCTGTCGGGTAACCCTGCATGACTCCTGATCTCTCTCGACTAGGAGTCTGACCCATTTAACACAATGCTGGTTGTCATCCATAAATCGATGATAATCATAGAATAGAGAGCCTATTGACTGAGGGTTGTGGGACCAAAACCGGTCAGAACTGAGAAAGGAAAATACCTTTAAGTAAAAGAGAGGGAAGGAAAGGTGAACAAAAGTCTTCTTTCCTTTGAAAGTGGACGCGTTATTACCTTCATCGCACGCCAATAAAGATCTGAAGCTGTGCTCATTCTTTATTTTAGCGGGATTACTCGAGGGATAGAAGGAGGCGACCTCTTCACAACAGACGAGCTCGCTCTCCCAGATCTCCTCGACGAGAAGTGGACGCGCGTTCAACCATCGTGTCCCTGGTGCCGAGGGAGTTTCAACTGAACTGATCATGAATTGATGAAAAATTCTCTACGAGCTTGTTAGCCTTTCACGTTGACGAGGTGACGCGAAATCTTCAGCCGCCGCATTCGGCCTTAAAATAAGTCGCTTTTCAGCTTTGATAAATCGCATATTTCCATTCGAAGCATGCTTTGTTTTCAGTTCATTTGTGTTATTTTTGTTGTAAACACTAAGGAGTTTGAGTGAATTGAATAAACTTTAAAAACAATCGCTCCACAAACTCCGGCTCTTTTGAATCAGATCGTTTTTGGCTTACAAAGACTCTCTCTGGAAACTTGAATCTGTAACCTTCTTCGATTGGGTGTCATGAACCAAGCTTAAACCGAAGTAACCCTAACGGTCAAAGCGAACACAACAGTAGCCCTTTCCAGGGGAAATCACAACGTAACATTGCTTCAAACCAGGTAAGCGTGATACCAAGGGAGTTGAAGAAAACCACGACGGTAATAGCAACGGGAACCTCTCTAAACAAAAGATTAAATGAGAAGAACAGTAGCTGTGCACGTGCGTTATCATAAAGAAATAAAAACGCGCCGAGTGCGTTGTTGGGTTATATAAGCGCGTGGGAATTTTTAAGAACACGAGAGAAGTGTGGAGAAGCACTTCTCTAGTGTTCTTAAAAATTCCCAAGTGCTTATATAACTCAACAATGCTCGAGGAACAAGTTTTTTTTATTTCTTTTATAAAATGTATCGTGATTTGCGCGCGCTCGTACCAATGACGTAAGCTGCGTGCATTATATCTCAACAGTGCACTCGTGTGACGTAAGGCGCGTGCCTTAAGGAAATATAATGAGCTTGTTCTGACCAATCACGGCGTCCTCTACAAAACAGCAACGTGAAATGACCAAACTTTGGGTTGTCTGGAGAATGTGAACGATGACGGCTAATATTTTGAATTTCCATGTCTAATTTAACGCTGTGCTCAGTATGCAGTTTTGAGATAGCTTGGACAGCGAGAAACAGAATAATGACTTTAGAGAATCGTGAGATTCGTAGGTAAAATATAAGTTCATTTTTTAACCAACGTTGTCCACGACGTCGCCGTTGTCGTTTCTTAAACCCTATATTCCTAACCTTAACCCTAAACCAAACCCAAACCCAAACCCAAACCCTAACCGCTGGAATATCGTAGGCTAACATGGTTTGAAACAATCATTACGTAGTGCATTCCTGTTCTGGGCGTTCACTTAGATAAACAGGGTGAAAAAGTCAACGGCGTGATAGTAACAGCAGAGCGAAAACGAGGGAGGTTTGGGTCGAGTTGCGAAGAGAACGGCGTTTATTACCCAACCCGACCCAGATCCAGACCTCCCTCGCTTCTTAACTCCTTCGCTACGCGCCTTCTACTTTCGCAGTTCGTTTGACCAACCGTGAAACCCCTGGAAATGGCTGGTACAAAAGGAGGAGCCACGGAGAAAACATAGTAAAACCAAGAGATTTGCCAAAATGCAATCACTGTAAAACACGAGAGACCAAGTCACAGTAGGTTCTAAGTCTTACCCGCAGTCAGCGAAAAAGACATCTGGTTTTTTACACGTCTCATTCTCTCATTCTTATGACGTTCTATTTAATGATTCAGATCAGGCTCTTGTCTAGGCGCCGTCTCTGATTGGTTAACACTTTTGGCAGAAAGAATCGTTACTCAGTGACAACCAATCAAAATTGTTTCACAGCCGTCTGTAAATTTACGTCGTGAGCCTTAGCACAAAATCATCGGATGTTGGATCGGATCTCCAACATCCACTACGTATAGCAAAACCAACACAAATGAATACGTATTGCAAGTTAAATCAGTACTTGGTTCTTTAAAGTTTTTTTAATTGACAGTGCGTTTTCCTCGTACAAGCCTTTCACATGAGATTAACTAGAAACAAGTTCTTCCCCTTGATTCGATTACAAATACATTTTGCGTGCATAATTCAATTTACTTTCTAAAAATTGGTTACACTGATGCTCTTGGAGCAGATTTTAATAATTTCTACAAACATTTAGATGTGTCAAAAGAATAGACGTTGGTGAAATCATTTTGGTTTGCATATTTTAAATTGAATGACGAAGACATCAGATTGCTTTCAAAGTGTTCACAGTTGTTTCACAGTCCTTTGTTATAGTAAAGCTTTGAATGTTTTGTCTTCTGCTGAATTTCACTCTCCAGTTCAGACGGCAAAACCTGAAAAGAAAACATGAATAAATAGATAAAATAGCACGCATCGAAACTTAAACAACGTTCGTAATGAATTTTCATATCATAGAGGGAAGCCATATTTTTGTCCGTCCCGTCAATATGGATTATGGATTCGCAAGTGGCCCTCTACACATCCTCTTTCCCCTAAAAAAAGATATGTTAAATTTTCTGCTGTTTCGAGCAAGGTTGACGAAGAAAAAAATAAGAGTAAACGTGTGAGGTTATTGTAGGTAGTTTTTAGGTCACGGTTCCTTGACCTTAGAATTTCAGGGAAATCTGAGGAAACGTCACTAAAGGACGATGCATAGCGGATTTGATGAATTCATTTTTTTATTCACTTATTCAAATTCCTTGATTACCAAATACCCAGAATTACCTTTCGAGATTGTTGCACGCACTTTTGTCCTATTTCCGACAAACTTTCTCGAAACAGCTGTATATCTAGAAAATCTGATCTAAACACTCGGATGAGCGGTAGAATTCTCGAAAGTTATGCAAACTATGTCTGGACAAGAGGGGATCTCTCTTCTCTTCAGCCCACTGATCGAGAGCAATTATTCGTATTTATCATCCAACTGCACGAAGTAGAGTGCAAACTACGCTCGAATAGAGTAAAATTATCAGGCGATATTGTACAGTTGTTTATTCGGTGTCGCAAAAAAGAACCTGTTTAACCAGTCGGCTGCGCGCGTTAGGGTTCTCTTTCCGCTTTGCTTTTACCGCCTTATGAGGAATGAGCAGAAATACTTGGCAGAAAAAAGAAGCAGTTGGATAGTAAATAACTCATTAGACATTTTTGGTGTGTAGTACTCCCTATTATTTGTTGTTTGCATTTTGACTTGCCCTGAGGGCTCGTCAAGATACAATACAACTCGTTAAAAAAATACTCAGCGATACTACACACCAAAACGTCTGATAATATATATGTTCTTACCTCAGATGTTTGCGGAAACAAAGCAATGGCCAGTGGGAGACCAAAGCCAAACGCTGCCACACAAACTAGCGCTTGGACGGGAAGGTGAAGTTTGGGACGTGCTATCATAAATTTAGTCCTATGCACAAAAGAGCAAATCAACAACTAGTGGGTTTTCGCTAGTTAACCCTTTAGCTCTCGAAGTGATCAACCTGTTATTTCTCCCTATAATATCCATACATTGTCCAGCATACAGGCGGTGAAAATACCTAGACTGATCAAGTAGAGTTGTTGTTTTGATCTAAGACCCAATTCTCGTAACTTAGTTACTAGGAAATGTGTAGCAACTAGAAGGGAGAATTGACAATTGGATCTAGGGAGTTTGAATGTTAGGCAGTTTGGTCTCAAAAATTACGTGCGTGTTTTTTCTTTTGTTTGTTTATTTGTTTTATTATTATCATTTTAATAGGAAAATCTTAAATTAGGAAAATCTTAAGGTAAATGCGGAAAATGAAACGAAATATGGCACAAAAAGTGCCTTTTTGTTCAGCCAAACAATGTGCAAATTTCTAGTTTCCAAAGAGAAAGTTGCTCCGACTGAACTTAAATTGCAAATGTTACCTTTCTAAAAGTTGCATAACAAACGGTGGAATAACCAAGACGGGTAAAGGAAGAAGAATTCTAGTTACAGTTGTTTCAAAAACAGCCTGAAGGGAAAAAGAAGAAACATTGCAGAAAAATTAAAAAAGAAAAAAAAAACAGGAAAATTTCACAAACGCGAGCTTTCATAGCTGCGTTAAGCAACCACTAAGTGCAAAGCAGTGCAATCATTCACGGGGATCTTCGCACTAAAGAATGTCATCTTCACGATTTACCTTTCGAGCAGCTATTTTTGACGTTCCCACAACGTTCCCATCTTTGTCTTTTACTTCAATTCCCGTGAAAAGCTCGTGGTTTCGCATTAGTACGACATTACATATGTTTGCAGTTGCTGTAAAGCAATCAGAAAGAAACGAACTCCCAAGAAGTTAAAAGACTGCACAAAACATTCACATTCGAACGCACGCACGAATACGCACGCACGAACACGCAAGTAAAAGCACACGCACACGCACAAAACTGAACCCGAAAGAAGGAAAAACTGTACATCTACAATACCTGTGGCTGGATAAGCTATTAATCGTTGAAGTAAAGCTTTCATGGAAGGATTGGAAATCTTTGCTCTTTTAACCAGGGTAGTTAGCCCAAGCTAAAGGGAAAAAAGTCTAACAATGAATAACTCAATAGTTTATACTACTATTACAATATTTTTCTTGACTGAACATTCAGTTGAATCAAAAAAGTCAAAAACTGATTAAGCAATCTGATTTTTCCTGGCGATACTGAGATCTGTATTTTATAGAGAATTTGGGCAAAGCAGGTTTTGCAGCCATGTTTTGATCAGATAATTTTCTAATTCAGAAGCCGACTTACCGCAATTGTAACTGCACTAGTGACAGCACCAAAATAACTCAACAAAAATCTGCTGGTTGGTGTTGGCTTAAGATAAAAGATAAACAGAAAAACAAACCAATTAGTTCCAAAACTTAATGTGCAGTAAATCATTATTCACTCATACATTAAATTACTTTTTCTTAACAATAAAACAATGAAACAACTTCTAACCTTGCTTGCATTTCTGTTGGAGTAGTTCACTGCTGCATTATGACTTTGGTTCATCCACTGAAACAATACACATGGAAACATTGAATGGGAACCTGAACACCAGAAAAGTGGTAGGGAAACTTTGAGGGGAAGCAGGTGGGGGGTGGGGTGCTTGGAAGGGGTGTAGAAGCAACAATTCTAGCTCTTCATGCTACAGACATGGCATTAAGCTCTGGTCAGTTGGGCTGCTGCCAGGTTTAAAGATGTCTTTAAAAAAGGTTTAAGTCTGCACTTGAGTCAAGTGGCTCATCTTGCCAAAACTTATTCAAGTTTCCATAGCTGGAAGAGATTGAGAGTATCAGGTCCATTAAAGGTTACCCCCAGCATTTCATCAGGCCTCTTTGACTGTTCACTGTTACCATTTATACTCCTGGGTAGAGAGAGGCACTGGGTGAGAGTAAAGTGTCTTGCCTAAAAACACAACACAATGACCCAGTCATGTTTCAAACCCAGACCTTGGAATCCTTAGCCAGACATGCCATTATACCACTATGTCCCTTAATTATCCTTCCCTTGCTAAAAATAAAATCAACTTTTATAAAACAAGAATTCAAACAGGAGATCCTCAGATATGAAGCTTTTCCACAGTAGATCTACAAGTTATATTTCCCTCTGCATGCATAATGTTGTATATAGTTTATAAATAATATTGGAATTGTAATATAGCATATTTTATTTTATTTTAGCTTATTTTCTCAAAGATATTAATTAGCTCTACAGCTACACTGTGAATTTCGAGAATAAATAAAGTATGTGTATGTATGTATGTATGGAAACTCACCTGCCAAAATATAACTGTCCTCAATGATGGTGCAGGTAACAGCATTCCCACAACCTAATGGATTATAATGCATGAATTCAAGAATGAATTTTTTTGGGAAAGATTGGAAAACTTAAATATATCACATTTAGAGTGAGTTCAAAAAACCATTAAAGATGAAATAAATCAACCATACAACTCACTGTAACTGTTCCAAAAGGAACATAACCTGTAAGAGAAAACCAGTAACAGCAGTGATAAGAAAATTGGTTCTGAAAAGATTTAAGCACTTACTCCAACTGTATCATAGAACTTCCCGTAAATTATGCATTTACTAACCTGACATTCTGAAAGGCATGAACACTTTTTGGCCTGTGTCGGGATGAATGATGGCCTATTGAAGCAACAAGAAAACACTTTGTAATCTAATCAAAGGTCTAAATATTGCCCACCATTACATCCATTTTTAAATTCCTGGTGATCCTTGTAATCTCATTGGCTCTCAGAAGTGTGATTTATTCTCAATTCACACTAAACAATCTATCAGAATTTGAGGCTTGTTTAAAGACACTAATCAAATTGCAGGAAGTGAAAGACATAGAACCCATTGAGAGGCAAATTTTTCATCTTTTGTCCCCAAAACTTTTCTTTTTATCCAAAAACTGGATGAATTTAAAGTTCTTAAAGTTTTTGAGTGGCAAAAATGAGATATTTCTACTGACACAAATCCTGTTTTTGGGCAATTAAATTTTCTGATTTAAAATCAAACTTCCACTGTGCACTTGTTCAAATTTGGAAATCTGTGGATGATTTCAGACCAAATTGCACCCCACTTAGTTCAATTACCTTCAAAAATAATATCCACTAACCCTTTGCCATATAATTTTATAAACATCTTAAAACACATTTACCTCCTTGATTTTTCTTGCCTCCCACAGCTTGTTTTATCAGCAAAAAAAGAAAACATTAAATCATCAATTAACCAGGAATATTTAACCTTAACAACTAATTGTAACCTTTCAGCCTAAACTTATTAAACCACATCTTCTCATTAATGCAGAAACCATGCAGTCTTAATTAGGAGTAGAGCCAAACTCAAAGGGCCTGTTATTTAAACAAAGTTTAGCCCTTGTATAACAAAACCACATTCTAAGCCATATTCAATTTAGCCAAACCTTTCATCTGAACAATTACTTTTGTGCACAGTGTCAAGAGGGCCTAAAGCTAGTTGTGGAAGGACAAATTTTTAATTATATCAACCCACTTATAGAGAATCATTAAGCCCACTACTTACAAAAACTGTGGTTTGGATTAGAACTCATGTAAATAACCAGCCCAAAAAAATCAGTAACATATGAAAAACAGACTAACTAACCAACTAGCCATCCTGGTTAGTTGGTATCCCTGTGATGCAATTATTTGTCTTGCAATTTACACTCACAATAGTGATGATCAATGTGAATTTATTCATCCATATAAAGCCAATAAGATTGAGAATTCATTTGGAGGCCTATCTGCTGCATGCCTGAGTTAGAATTCCACATTTCTTTTTTTATAGTCACAGCAATGGGAGGTGAGCACATTACCACTGCATTAGATATCCCCGCACCCGTAGCAGCACAGTGATACCAACTCACAGTGACTGCCATGCTCATTTAATTGGGCTCGAGTGATGTGATAAAGTTCATCTCAGTTTCCACACTATAAAGCAACCAGGGTTATTACCATTTCCACCTGAATTGAATTCTAATCCATCCCAAGGTTACCCCTTGACATTTCATCAGGCCTCCCTAACAAGTCACTAGTACCCATTTATACCCTGGGTAGAGACAGACACTGTGAAAATATAGAGTTTTGCCCAAGAACACAACACAATGACCCAGACAGGTTTTAGACCCCATACTTCGTGACCTTGAGTCCAGTGCACTAACCATAAAGCCAACACACCCCCACACACCATCATGACATTTCATTTCTACCAACTGACATCAGTTACCTTCTGATCCCTTGTTCCTTGAGGTAGGGTTCCATTTTCAAATTGTTTCAAAAGCTGTATGGAGTCTTGAAGCTTTTTCTAAAATACAGACAAGCTCATGATCAAAGAATGACAGAGAGGGTTCTGATAATTATATGCAGGCTGTATAAAGAGCTAATTATTTTGCTTATTAAATAAATTACTAAACTGACTACAATCATGATCGATTTTAGATCTACAATTGCTTTCTAATCTATCTGTAACGCTAAAACAAAGGGTATGTTTCTTTAAAAACTGTAGTGCTGCGACGGTAGAGGGTAAATAATTTGGTTTTATCGACTAAGCTGATTATGAAAATAGGCCACCGTAGAGAGATAGGGAAAAAAATGACGTTTCGAACGTAAGCGCTTTTGCAGAGCGAATCCGCTCTGACCGAGGGGTAATGCTCAAAACGTCAGCTTTTTTACCTCTCTACGGAGGCCAATTTACATTAAGATAGTCGACTCAGTTGATCTTCACTATAACTGCAACGCTTCACGGCATTTAAAATTTTAGCAAGTTATTAACATGTAAATAAACAGACCTCGCTGACAAACAAGGTTCTAGGATCTGTTACATCAAGGCAGCGCTTCAATCGTCCCAAATAGGTTTTCTAAGAGAATGGAGACATCAATTTGAGGGTGCATTATTGCAGAGAAATACCTAATTACTGGTCAAATTCCACCAAAACATCGAGCGATCTTAAAATGAAAGCTATTGGGATTTTCTCAATTTGAAAAAATTATACCTACTTGATCAAATCGCGGTTCACTCAAGGAAAATTTTGGGTAACCAAAAGATGGAGCCGTATCCGCCATTTTGTGGTTGTTTGCAGGCTCACTTTATTATCTGGAACTACATTTTGGACTGGATTTGAGACTTGGGACTTGGGACTCCTCCTTGGATGGCAACTGCGCAGACAAAAGCCATGGCAACTATTTTGGAATCCACGTGCATCCTGGAAGTAAAACTGCTGAATAGAATATTGATAATTATGTCAGCAGGGCTCAAAACTCTTACCAGAAAGTACGGGAAAACGCTAGATCACTTTATGGTCTCATGAAATCCCAGTAAGTCAAACTGCATAAGTTACCTCCGTGCAATGGCTCACAGGACATTGCTGATCTATACGAAACCTTGTCCAGGTGTTCTTTGAGTAGGAGTTTTTAATTTGCGAGGCAGCCATTCTTTGAGGCAGACAAATAAATTATTAACGAGTCAGTTTTGTTAGAATATTTTGTGAAAATAGTATAAATATTTTAATGCTAAAGAATCTTCGTGATAATTTTACTCTTCACATATCAAAATTGGTGAGCATACAGTTTTCGCCCGTTAGAAATTTCACGCGTTATTTCGCGAAAAAATAACATGATATTACTTCAAACTGACTTGAAGTAGCTCCTAGCTTTGACTGAGTCAGCTTATTCTCACAACAAAATAAGTTTTTGCAGAAGAGAAAACGAAAAATTCGAGAAATTCTCCTACAAAAACTCGTTCAAACAACTAGTTATGTTGCAAATACCATCACCGAATAAATGCTAAAGAAACTCGTTAAAACAACTTGGATAAATATATGCACTATTATGTACTTAAATGACTGTGATTATTGAAAATACCATCACCGAATAAATGAATAGAGACAGACAGTGCTTATTATCTTTTGATTTTGGAACAAGTGTTGTTTCTGTCTGTATTTTAACATACGACCGTCGCTCTTCCTTTTTTAGCTCTCCGTCTGTGTTGCGCAGCACAGCACGTTAACATTAATCACTCATGCATTATTCAGCTTACAGATCGAGGAGAGTCAAATATTCTCACAGTGAGAACGTAAGACACCGAACTTTTTACAGAAACGTTTCGCACGTTCAAGAAGTTGTGAGTGACAAGAAGACAAAAAGTGGAAAGTTCTAAAAAATGGGTGTGCTTACAAGAAAACTGAGGTGGTACAGCATAATCCTTTGTATCGTTGGAAGCATTATAAGCTTGGTTGATCCGGTCACAGATATATTAACAGTATCGAACTTTTACCGCGCTGGTCACATTACATGGTTTATTATGGGGGCTCTTTTCGTAATTCTACCGTGTCTGCTTCTTCCAATGGTTCAGTTATGCTATTCTGCCTCTCCTCAGTCTTGCTACCTACTTTACCGCCACGAAATTGGAAACATACGTCAGCCGTCGTTTTGGTGCAGCTGTCATCCCTTTCTCCGCTGCTTGGGCAAACTTTCAAGTACTTATCCTTTGCTTGAAGAACTTTGAGAAACTTTGGAGGGGCGCAGAAATCGATTCCGTCGACCCTGCTCCTGAATCGAACGATGATATAGCTAATGAGGATGAAGCTACTGAGGACAAAGAGGAAAAAATAGTGGTGTTTAGCAAAGTAGCTTCGTACGTTGAAGCGTCGGTGGAATCTGCGCCCCAGTTTATCATACAACTGTACGCCATGGTAGTTCAAAAAGAACCGATCGGCACAATTCAAATAATTTCGCTTCTGAGTTCTTTCACGAGCATAGTGGTGGCATTTACTATCAGCGAAGGATTGTTTTATGATAAAAAAGGCTTGTTCGAGCTGCTTAACCTAAAAAAAAAAATTTCAACATCCTTGCTAAACGTAATTTTCTTGAGTAGCCGACTCTTTGCAATTACATTCTTTACTGTCAGCTACCGTTGGTGGATTCTGAGTGTTTTCGTTCTTCGTTTTTTCTTAATAGCGTCACTTGCTGCCGTTCAGGATGGCAGTTGCCTCACGAAGCTGCGGGAATTGCAAGCCATCATGATAATGTTCTTCTCCGTCTACTGGCTGAAGGACGCAACATTCTCGGATTGGTTTGTGACTATGAACCTCGGCGAAGAGCCCCGCGAACGTTTCATGAAAATACGCTTCTTCTCGAAGATTTCGTTTGTGGTAACAAACGTGGTGATGATATTGCTCTACTTTTTCAGCTCCTACTCCGACAACACTTGGTATGCAATACCTGTTACCGTTTACGTTTGCCTATGGAATGGCTTTAGTGCACTAAGAATAATATATAAGTGCTTACGATATTTCTTTTTTGAATAATAAGGGAACTGAAAGAACTGTAGGGAATGAGGAAGACCATAGTTAAGAAAGTGTTTTATGGGTCTGAATTTTATTTTCATAGCTTTGTTTTGTTGTTTTAGACACAATCCCGTTATTTACTAGTCCATCATACAAACATCCCGAATTTTTTTATTCAAAAAATCGGTTTTGCAAAATCAATTTACTTTCAAGGTTCAGGGGAAACCGAAGGCTGAATTAATGAGCTTTACTACTTTGCAGGCAAGGAATTACCGAATTAATGTTACTGAGATTTCGAAAAATTAACAATTGAATTTTAAACAGAGAGTATCGAGCGATTTCTAGATTGCTGAACTGATATAGCAGTAATGTCGTCAGGAGCCCATTAAGCAATGAGCTCCTGGTCTCGTTCAAAATAGATGGGGTGGAAGATACTTCAGCATCGCTGCATGTACAAGTACAAGTACACCGAGTACGATAGGACGGACTATTATGATACCTTTATTGGAAGTGGGTCAAACTGCGATTAATTTATACTGAGTCCAGTCCATTTGAATGGGAAAAAGAGGATAAACCTAAAAGAAAACGCAGTTGTTTTGGTTGTTTTGCGATTAACAACAGGCTTATTTACATAGTCAAAAACAATAGCTTAAGCTTCTGAATTTACAGTTCTCGTTTAAAGAAATAAAAGTAAGTTGTACTTCGCTGATAATTTTCCAGCACAGAAAACATAGTGAGACCCATGAGCGCTGATATGTATCCTTGTATTTTAGTGCTAAAATTTTCTGTTTAGCATGAGACCTACTGAGGACTGGAGTTAATCTGAACTTCGTGACCAATTTTTCATTTTCTGTGTGTAGGAGATTTTGAATAAACATTGCATGCTAAAACCTGGTATGAAGAACGAATTCGTAGAAATCCTTATAAAGACTCGGAAGTTTCGACTGTCAAAACGAGCCACATTATTAAAAAATATTATGCTACGATAGATAATCTTTCTGTGCACTTAATATCCATCTTAAACCGAAAAAAATGTACTGTACTTAACCGTTAATCTTACTTAATTTGATTTACACGTTTACATGTACAGTTAACTTTAATGCATAAAGGGGGTAAGTTTCTAAAAAAACTGTGATGCTGCGTCTGTGGGAGAGTAAAACAGATAATTTAGTGTTAACAACTGAGTTGAAAACGTAAATTGACCACCTTAAAGAGTTTAAAGACTGACGTTTCGAGCGTCAGCCATTCGTCAGAGCGATTGCAGACTAGTTATCAGAAGGAAGTTTAATTGATAAACGAAACTGGACATCAAATGCATCAAGCTCAATTTGATATGTAAGCTTCGTTGTCTTCCATAGGCTCGTCCCTCATATTCTGTTTTTATCATCAACCAAAACTGGACAACAATGAAGTATATTTTGAACAGCTACAAGCTTCCGAAAACACCATGTAAAGAAGCCAGGTTCGAGAGCTGAGTTTTTCTTTTTTGGAACGCAAACTCATTTTTTCCCAAAATAGTGAATTATCTCATATACCCAGGATATTCCAGAACCACCACCAGACCTTGAAAAATGCTATAGCATGAGATCTTGACAAACAATTTGGCCTGTTTGTTTTTCAAAAGACGGAATCAAAAGGAATTTTTGAATTGAGCAGCAAGCAAGTCAAATTTTAGCAAACTGGACATTGCGATTGATAACCATTAATATGTCAGATTGGAAAACTGCATAACTTTCCTGCTACGAAACTTTCCAGTCCTGTTTTAGAGTGGATTTATTCCACCTGTCAGATGGTTTTTGAGCGCTTAATGAAAACACAGATCGCGAAAGCAAGCTTCAGGCAAAGTGATGTTGATGTGTAAAAATCGCACCAATTCTAATGCACAGATTAATTCGAAGCTTCAGTATCCTCTCCTCGGGCAACCCACAGGCATTTGACTGTCGTCCGTGCCCGGGGAGGGGAAACGGAACCTTGCCTGGGTGGGGTGGGGCATTTTCACCGAAATGTCAAGTCTCAGCTCCAGCGTAATACACTTGTTAAAGGTAGAGAGTCAGCTTTCGTGAGCGAAAGGCTTAGAAAGACAATTTTCACATCGTAGTATGATGCTTGCAAGCGAAACCCAACAGCACCACTAAAAGCTAATACTTGACTTTGCTAAACTCTACAAAATTCGTACGCGTCGATCACACAAAGAATCGTTCAATATTGAGTGGGGCATCTGAACGCAGTTTTGGCCCTTGGGATAGGAAGTTGAAATGCCCAGGGGGGTGGGGGTTGTTGAAGCCGGTTGTGTCCTCGTGTACCGGTACACAAGGGAACGAAACATTAACGAACTGCGTCACAACTCCATGTATGGATATGAAAACAATAGGAATTCCCCCGTGTACCGGTACACCAGGACAGCCCCTTGAAGCCTCAAAATGATCGACGCAAAAGCTGGACGCTTCATCTGAAATGTGCTTTATCCACTTATCCCAAGCATCGAACATTACTATTAAACTTCAGGAGAGAATTTTAGCCCTGAGCTCCTGTCAGAATCTATAACGGCGTTATAAAAAAATTAGAGGTATTCTTATAGTACAGGACTTCTTTGGCTCTCCGTTTTACATAACTTTCTCTAATTTTCTTCACCTCCTCGTTTGTAGATGAGGCTATGTAGATGTGGAGAATGTCCTTTATTGCTTATGTAAGAACATCCCTCATACATACTGTAATTCGAAACACAGAAAGCATAACGTCAAATCTTGTTTACACGCTTTACGACAAAAGAGAGCGCGTGCACTTCATTGAATATTCGAAACTTTTCCTCACAGAATTCGATGCAAGGTATATGGTATCTATTGTTCCATAAATTCTTTTTCCTCAGAATCATGGAAATAGGAATTGAAGCGCTTTACGGCGTTGAAGAGTGCTATTCAAATTTTTGCTAGATAGTTTTATTTGGTTAGTGTCTTCTATTTCATTGCCCCAATACCCAAGGAGCATGACTTTGATTTAAATTTGAAAGTCGGTCACCTTTAAAATAACCTTTAGAAAACTGTCATATTCTAAACCAAAGGATAGCAAAGTTTTAAGTTTTTAGTACAATCCATAATTCAGAGCTTTGGTTGTACAACTTTTCATAAAGAGATCTCTATAGAAAATGCAAGTTTTACAGTTCCTTTAGCAATTTACAATGTATTAAACCAGATCGTGATGGAATTTTGGTAGTAATCTTTTGCACGTGTCACATATGCCAAGGTGAGGTATTTGCAGCACGATAATAAAAGCAAACTTTCCACTGGCCACAATGTTTGTGTTACGACAAACTTAAAGGATCAATCTCGGTCCTACGTGAAATTAGCCACGATAGATTAAACATGTAAACAAGATACCGAGATAACAGTAAATACTAATGAGATGTCATGAGTGTTGATTTACAAAAGGTCACGGTCGAGGTTAAAGCGAAGTAGATCGGCAGATACTTTCTTGATCACTGATACGTGATAAAAAATCTCCAGGTTTGTTTGCCTTCAGACTCTGCACGCTTATGCAATTGACCTTGGACAATTTTTCACCTTGGACAATTTTTCAACTTGAGACGCGGAATGTCCTAAGGCTAGCGCTGCTTTTCAAGGATGACAGGTTTTATTTCATTTCATTAGTTAGATTAGCCAAGTAGAATTAAATGTTGTACTTTTAAATTATACTGAAGGAGATTTTTTGCCGTGCAAAAATAAATTTATCAGTCAATAGACTAATCAATAGGCGGAAGGAGATGTCTGCAGGGGGCGCTAGCCCCACGTTTCGGTAAGGGAATTTCTAGAAATCGTTGCATAAAACTTACAATTTTCATCGTCGCGAATTTATCCACTAATCATTTTATTAGCAACGCACTTCACGTCTTCATTTCAAAACATCTTGTACCATTTTATTTTAAGCAATGCCATCTTATCTATTGTCACAAACTGCGTGATTAAGGACACACTGAGTGCTGTAAGGTCAGAGAAGAATTTTGCTGATGACGAAGAAGTTCGCAAAAAGTCATTTTAGAGAGTTGAAGTCGGGGAATGGAATTGGTAAAATTAAAGGTGTCACCCCTCCTTTCCGCTTTTAAAACGCTCCGCTACCTTCGTACGAGTATAAAGGACAAAATGGTGTCGATTGTTGTTGAAAAGTTCCCTGAGGTAACTTCAACTGTTTAACAAATTATTGAAGTTTACCCCTCGCTCAAGCTTCAAAGTTCAACCAGTCCTAGTTCAAAACAAAACATAGAAACGATTTCTGGATTCATTTGTCCTTTATAACAACTTTGAAGACCTTTGAAGTTACCTGCAGTGAGTTAGTTACGTTGACCTACACTAGGTTTTCATAACTCAAATTATTAGGGAGCTAAGGTTCTTGTGCTATACACCACGAAACAACGATCCCCCCACCCGTCCCCAGTCTTCTCCTCTTTCTCGTTGCTGGAATTGTGGCGGGTTTTAGCTTTTGCGTAAGTTCCCGTTAACCCTTTCACTTCCAAGATCTCATTTGAAATTCTCACTACTATCTGCTATGCAATTCTCCTGATGTTCCTTTGGAGAATTTTGTATTAGATCCCCTAATTGAAATTTTGATCTTTTATCATTACTTGTCTCCTTGATATTGTACCAATACTGAAAGGAGAAATTCTCTCTTGGTCACTCACAGGAGTTAAAGGGTTTATTTGGATCGGTGACGAACGAAGTGAAGGGTTTTACTTGTCAGTGTTTATATTACGACTCTGATGTTTTTCACAATGATCCCGTCCTATCTTAGCAAAATCTCCAGAATCTTTCTGCCATTTTCTTTTTAAGTACTCTTGATTCTTTGAATCAAAGAAGCTTCGTAGGATCTTAGCGGAACAATTGTGGAAAATTTCCCCAAAAAATCTTGACAGCCGTTAATTAAGCAAATTTTGTTTTGTCTAATTCAGATTGAATTAGACCAAATATGGAGCGCATTACTTAGTGAAGGGCTCCTGAACAAATATAATTTACTAAGCGGATTGTTCGATTTAAAGCTCCTACAAAATTTCTTATTATAAAAAGCTATCTCGCAATGGCTTTTTTATAAAATTTTATTAATCTCGTCGGACGTTTGTCAAATCCATACGTGAATCGATCTCTTTAATTGAATATCAACCAACTTTTATTGAATATCACCAACTTTTGACGCCGGTGCTCGCAGTATGGAAGTCGGTGTTAATGAAGACCAAAAGAAAAATATTTCGAGAAATGACTAAGCAATAGGAACCGAATCCGCGCCTACAAATACCAGAGCTATTCCCGACGACGCATTAAAAAACGACCGCGCCGGCGGCGCCGACGATGTTGATTTGATGTCAAAAAGTTGGTAGCTTCAAAAAGCTAGAGGAAACAGGAAGCTTGCGTTAAATCTTAGGAATATTCGTTTTTCGAAAATATGGGGGATCAAAGATTGTCGTGAATTTATTCCGGATTGACGTGAGGGAAATGCGTTGTAAAGTAATTTTCTGCGTAATATTTTAATACCCAGTTCCAGCCCTGCCTCCCCGCCCAAGGCCGTGATGCCGACAATCACTTGGATTTATTGTCTTGCATTTTCCATTCGTGATAAAGCATACTACAGTTAAAAAACAAAATTTCTTAAATAAGCATACCCTAACAAGGATTCTGTTTCACTGTAGAGGTGCCTTGAAATAAGTTTCTATCCGTTCCACATCGCTCGTTTGAGCGCCAAGATAAATTTTGCGCCACTAGGTAGCAGGAATTCTAGAAATTTGGCAATAGATGCATAACAACGTGAAAAATGTCCAATAAAGAAGGTAACTCTGCCCACATTGTAAGCTTATTGAAGCAATAACTGAGACCATAACAAGATAGCTGGCCTCGTAGAAATTCTGCATTTACTAAAAATGACCCAACCACGGGGTGCAGAAGACCTCTTTGTAATCTAACCTCGCCCGATGACCTGTTGTCCAAGATATTCAATCGATGTCGTGGTACAATTTCTAAATATCACCCCTCTTTTTGCCTTTTAATTAACAACGAACATGGCTCAAGGTGGACTGATATGGTTTTGTTCAAGGAAAAGAAGCCATTTAAATTTGGGGCAAAAATTCACGCGTACTTTTCTCGGCGTGACTTGTCGTGAGCACGAGAACAGTACTTTTGTAATTACATTGCAAATTGAAGTGACTTGAAAACAACTCCGCGTGGTTCCCTTTGTATGAACAAAACGTTAATTATACGTTTCCGGCGTTGAAGACTCGGGGGTGTTAATCCGAATTTCCCTTTGGGAACTGATACAAAACAAAAAGAACTATCAGCAGATCGTCCTGAAATAATAAAACTTAATCGTAATTTTTTTTTTCACATGATTACATATAATCAATAGTTAGATTTCATAGTTGATTTCTTCAACCAACTTATAGTTATTCTTGTGGAATTAAACACCTCCTAGATTATTTTTACAGGCTAATAATGGTTGATTTTCAATAGGACTTTCACACGCCATTCCATGCACGCAATGTCTTAACCACAAACCGTTATTTTTTGTCTTGTGTTTTTTAGTCGCATGAGACAATAAACGATGCACTCGAAACTACCAACGTTGCATATTTTTCACGACATGCCTGAGCAAGTCTTGCGAGGCTGACAGATAATATTGATTCGCCTACGCTGTTTAGAATCAATAATTTAGATTCATTAACCTTGGCATTAAGCGCAATACGTAGAGCTTTTCGAGGGCTCGAAATTACGAAATAAAACCGCTTTGTTCAATATAACTAAATTATTCATTCGATAAATTTCAGACACGGGCAACTCTCTATGACTCACCAGGGTGCTATTCGCTGCATAGTTGGTACAAAGTTGCCTTATGTATACGAATCTTCCAGAGAGCTCATAGTTAAAATTAAACGTTCTGAAACATTCATTAAATGCATGGATGGGTAAACCTTTGGACCAATTATCGAATAACATTTACTTTCGAGTTAGTGGGAAAACTCCCTTCAATTATCACAATTTCGCTTCGTTAGCATTTTCTAAATAAACAAAAAAATTTCCTGAAACTCATGATAACAACATGACCAATTTTTATAAAACCGCAGGTTTCCATGGTTGAAATTCTTGATTGAGGCATATCCGAGATCGAAAAAATTGAAATAGTGCCATCAAATTGCAGTCAAACGAGGCCGCCCTTGAAATATTCTTTGAAAGTGAAAACCGAAAACAAACGTAACAGCTAAACAAAGACATTTACAATTGGTCCTATTGTGTCTAGCTTCGACAACATTCAACGGAAATCTAAACCTAGCAGATTAACATATACTTCTTAAGATGCCTTAATATTTCCTGAGATCAGAGCAACTCGGTTTATCATGGGGTTCTGTGTGGCATTGTATGATAAAGAGAGGACGGCTTTGTTAAATTTAATTTTACAAATAATTTAAGTATGGGATCAAACTGTTTAACAATCAAACGCATTTTATGGAACAGTTCGTGCGATGCGTATTTGCAATTAAAACTTCCTCCAGGAATATTACGACGAACGATTGTCCCTATCGAATAATCCACCACTCCGTTTCCAAAATTTAGTTTCTTTTCTGTCATTCTTACTCTTAGAAATAAAATTATTTTCATTTGGGTAGCTGTTCTACTATTATTTCAAAGAAAGTCTGAAAATTGCTGTGTTCGTTGAACACCGTTCAAAATTATTGACTTCGAAAAATTCCATCCACTAACGTTATATTGCGTGACATAAACGAACTGCGGCTGGGACCTTTCACACGGCAAACTCGTAAAGCTATCTGCTCCTCAAACACCACACTTTTCTTTCATTTGGGTTCAGTTTCGCCTCACTTTATAGTGTATTTGAGATAACGACAAGATAAGAAAGCACAACGTAGGACTAAAGCTTGAGACATGACCGCATCAAATCATGCTCAATATTGTGTCTATTTACATTGTTAACGTAAGAGAATAAAGCTTTTGATCCAGCTTACAAATTGAGTTATTTGTCGTTTAATACTGTAAGCGGTTAAAGCTCTTCTTAGCTGGACTCGACTCTGAAAGTACAGCTACTTATAACGGTATTACTTTCGATTTTCTGAACTTTGGTCAGTTTTATAAGTTTGTTTATGTCCTTCTCACTACATGACATTGTACACTCTTTGGAAAGGAATTCATGCAAAATTATTTCAGTTGTAGCGCGTGTGAATGTTGTGTTTTAGGGAGAAACACAAGAAAGTGGAAATTTCAAATTAAAAAAAAAGACAAAGAAAATTGGAGGCAAAGGTGATTTCATGTTTCTTCAGGAAACGAAATCTAACCCTACCGAGTCGCCTTAGGACGTCGACCGCAAGAGATACTCGACAATCTTTATTTACAAAAACTACGAGATAACAGGCCAAGGTGAAAACTGCGTAATGAGGTTTTCCAACCACGTTTTGCACCAAAGATTCTCATTTGATATCTTAAAATTTTTTTCTGTTTTATTTAAGCTGATAATAAGTTTTTTTCCTGCTGTCTCAGCGTTTTCTTAAACCTAGAGACAGGCCCAGACAGGACGACTTATGGATCGTTAAAAATAGCTGATAATAGATGTCCTGCTGGTGGTGCCAAACCTAGGTCAATCAAAGAAATGTCCCGTCTCCTCGACAAGGAAAAATTCTAGAACGATTTTAAAGCACGTTCAGAATTTTTGTTTAGAGCTACACCGCGCACTCAGCGCCTCAAGCACGTACCCCTGTCATATCAAACCTAATAACATCACGCAAGGTCAATTCTTTTGTTTTAAGTACTGACAACCATCATTTTGAGGATTGTCATTTTACAAGAACAAGTGATGACAGCCTTAAAGCAGTCCTCGAAAACGGCAAGGTCGGTTGCGCACGCTGATAACAATTCATCGGTCGTCATAACAACACGTGCACATTCTGACACCTTTAACTTCGCTCCCTTGCGCACGAGAGGTTTCGTTCTTTCGAAACAAAAAAGATATGAAATTCTTGCCAGATGACGCTTGAATCTAAATACTTCCTGTGATAATAATTTTTGTTAGTTCCTGATTACATCGTGACATGAAAGCTGGGCATTACCTTCTACATTTCCGCACAAAAGAAGATAAAAACATAATAGACCGCACAATGTGGAAGGTACAATCTTTCAAGAAATGGCAGATGAAAGAATATGTCTAAACACTCGTCTAGTGAACACTGGATGAAATATTTAACCGTAAAAAATTTTTGTCTTGATTGATGAACTCAAACAAATATTGATAAAAAATAGCGTCGGATCGTCTAATAATCCTGTCAGGAAATTTGTTTCTAACGGTCTCCAGCATTCATCCTAAAAAGCGCGCTTGACACGAATTTTCTCTCTTTTAACAATCTCATGGGATTTGAAGATATCAAATCAACGGATTTTGGCTGGAAAAGCTAACATTTCGCTCAGAGCGATGAGTGACAATATCTATTATGTTTTTTGGAAATGCCCTGTCGTTCGATTTGCGTAATAGTACAGTGTGGGCGAAAATTGCGGACGATGATTTTTACGTGTTCAAGCAGGCCCACCGGACAAACGTAAACTCAATTTCTCCCTCCCCGCCCTAATCAAGCTTAGTCAATGTGCCGTGAGCCGTAACTCAAACAACCTTCCACCGCCTTAACCTATTTACCGAATATATCCTTGCCCCTCTAGAATAATGAAATACAGGGTATCTTCCATATGTTTATTTTGTAGAAATTCTTGCACCTGATAAGACGATCAACAAAATATTTCCTTACTTCTGCACACCCATGTGAAAGCTGTCATTATTTTTGTGTTAGCTTTCGAGTTGTCATAAAAGTTTGTCCCACGTGGAACACTGAATCCTGCGCCATGTGAATTTACACGTTATGTTTTTTCTCCTCTGATTGGTTCGCTTCCAGCCCTTTGGTCCCTCGTGATTTTTTCATTGTCATTCGACCAATAAGATTTCAGAATTGGCGTGTGATTTCCATGACGTTTGGGCGCGTGACACATATCTTGTTTTCATTTTGATAATATTTACCATCCGTGTACAGCACATGCAGAGAAAAATTTCTCTCGTGAATTTCACTCTTGGCTCGCTAAGGAATTCGCTCCGACAATAGCAATGAATATCGAACAGCTTCTAGAAGCTGCTAAAATCATCGAACAAAGAGATGAAGGTAGGTTTTTCTTGTTTCTCAGAGAAAATTCGTGGCACATGTTGTTCTCACGCCCCGCTAATGTCCTCTTTCCACCCTAAACTACAGCGAAGAAGCAGAGCCAGGCGTCTGTCAAACGCGATAGAAAGCCAACGAAACGTTCACCGAGCTACAGGTAAGCATTTCAAAGAGTTTTCGTCGTAGATTTTAGAGCAGTAGTTTCATTTCGACGCCTTTTGCCACGTTGCATGCGATGTGTTGAAATTGTTGTGCTTGAGATTATGGCGCCCAATGTTTTGTTCAGTGTACCTTATGTACACAGCAGATGCGAAGTACTTTAACGACCTTTGCTATCTTTTGAGACATCGAGAGTTTTGTTGATCGCGTTTGGGGCTATGATCAAGAACTTGAAACTAACAAGTGTTGTAAATTTGCTCTCAAAAACGTGCCTGAAATGTATCGCTGAAATAAGCATCTTCGTCTGCGCTCGACTCAGCGAAAGCGGACATTGCAATCTCATGCTCCGGGTATTCCCCGAGACCTGTACGGCGTGGGTTCATCTTCACCTCAGTTTCGGTATATCGCATGTTTGTCAGCGATGTGCCATACCAGTAATCTCTGGGCAATGTCCATAAAGTGTGGGTTTGCATTTTCGTGAGGAGTACCGCTCACGGCTTTGCTTTATGTCCCTTCAACCTCAGCAACCTTCATGTATGTTTTATAAACACCGCAGTTGTCCATCGCAGAACTTTATTCTGTCGTTCTGTCAAGGCATTTTCTCCTATATTCTGGTATTATTACGGCTAGCCTTGTACTATATTAGGCTTTTTACCCATGTCACATTGCTAATGAGGAGCTTTTGTCTCTTTTTTCCACCTTTTCGCTTTCTATGCAACCTACTGTCAATGCTACCAGCCGTACGACACATAACCAGTTAGAGAAAAACCGGTAAGTACACAAGACCCACTACTTAACCTAGAATCCGCTTTTACCAGCAAGTATGTTAATTCGGAAGGCAAAGGATTTTGAAGAGGAATTAATGTATTTTTCTGTTCAGAAAAGTTCGGCAGGAGGTTTCCGTTCAACAAATGTTCCTATCCTTTGCCACGTGGCTCACCAAAACAACAGAATACACGTGCGAATTGCATACCAACTTGAATACGTATGCACGCGTGAAACGGTTTGCTTTTTCTTTTAAAAGGAAAATTTGATCCTGCAGTGGTCTCGGTGAAAAATGCGAATAAGTTTGGTTCTCGATCGAGCCCTATCCGGGCACAGTAAGTAGTGTTTTGGTCAACGGGGGCAGATGTCCTCGCTGGTTTTGAGCGCGAAAAAAACTTTGCTACTGGCTCCTCGTGAATGTTTATGCCAGACTGCAATTATTTTGCCTGGTACCCGTCTGAAAAAATTTTCCGCCCCTTGCGTCAGTAAATTGTGACAATTAGTAAACTAAATCAGTCGATGCCTTTGGGTTCTTAGCGAAAGGATTGCGTGTGATTTGCGTTCCTCATTACGAGTGGTTTACCAAGGCCTTTTGAAACTACCGCAAACGAATTATTCTTTTCTTTCCTCTTTTTTGTACCGGTGAAATTAAAAAAAATCACGCCACACTTGACCTGTCGCAAAACTCGCCGCTGTGTGTCTAGAAGCTAGTTTTCGTGGGCGTTCATGTTTAGAAACACTAGGAAACCATTGTTTACGCTCCCAATCGCAAGTTTCATTAGCTCGAAGATAGAACCTTGTGGTAACGCATTTTATCTCAACGTTGTGTTTTTTTTTTTGTTACAGACGGGCCCATCTTAGGGACTGCCTTGAGCTACTGAAAGAATTAGTTCCTTCGCCACCTGAACATCAAAAAGCTACAACGCTGGCGTTACTGCAGAGTGCTCAGCAGTATATACAGGTAAACAGAACACTTTCGTCTCTTCCTTTTCACATCACAACCGTGTCATTATGACCAAGGAATTCGGTTCGCAAGTATGCCCAGTATAAGATAAAAACTTGAAATTCGCAACAATCGCTTCTTATTAAGCTCCAAACAAACCCGTTGGATAAGCTATGGCTTTGCCAAATGCAAATCTGTGATGTTTGTAAGCTCCTGAATCAAAAAGTGTTGTAGCAGATGTTTTCTATTGAATAGGGGAAAACCCGAAAATATCCTTTCCAAAATTAATCTGCAACTCTCTGCTTTTCGTAGGTTTGTTACAATTATATTCTTAGCTACTTTTTTCTTATTTTAAAACGCCATAGAAGTTGGCATAACTGAGATCTCCCTGATTTTTTGGTTTTTATATTTTTTCGAATGGAATATTTTATGTTGGCACTGTTCAAATATTCCTCGCATGCAAATTATTTGACAGAAGATTTCCCTGTAGTCATAGTTTAAATTTTCTTGGGAAATGCAAAATCCTGGGAAGTGGAGAATATAAAATCTGTGTTAGTTTTATGATTACCTAGCCAGAAATCTGGAATCGGTTCAAGGGAGAATAATCTTGAAACATCTGTTGTGGAGATCATTTTCAGTCAGTAAACTGGCTTTACAATGAGTGGCAATTATTAATAGAACATGTTGTGTTCTTCTTTGATTATAAAGAGGCCTTTGAGTATGTGAGGAAAGAAAAATCTACAGTGTGCGTCATTTCAGAATGTGTATACCTTTTCATGCCCAGAATTCTGCTCTGAAGCCATTTTTAGCCACAAATATGACTTATGAACTGTAAAGTTAATTGTGTCCTGTTAACCAATGCAGAGTCTACCTAAGGGATAATTTTATTTAAGATGTACATCTTTACTTCCATCTCTTATATTCTCAGAGAATAATGTGCATTCATCTTGCAATCACAGCATTGTTGCTTCTCTGAAATATTTTGATGTGATATTTTGTCTAGCTGCTCTGGTTAAGCTATGCTGGAAATTTCTGTGCGCATGTGTTCAGGGTGTGCCCACCTGAGGGTCAGGAGCCCTGCAGGCAGCTCTTTCAGGCTCACTGTGTTGGTGTATAGTTTAGGGCTGCTAATTTGTGAAAAATTCCAGGTGTAAAGCTGTAGGAATTGTAATTAATCTTAGTTTTGAAATTTTGATGGGGCCAGGTGACAAACAAACAGAAAAGAAAAGAGAAAAAACTCAAAAAATGTCTTAAAACCTGAGAACCTTTTCAAACTAAGCAAAGGAGAAAAGGCAAGTTGACTTCTTATTTTGTTGTGCAATATTCAAGGTTGTTGACTTCATAATGGGAATCTTTTTCAACATAACCCTTCGTGTGGAAGTGTGTTTTGGGTCTGGTTGTAGGTGGCCTAATGTACTTTGCATATCATAGCACAACAAAGAATACATTAACATGTCTTTTAAAAATTAAAAACATTTCATTTCTGTAAGTGTTGTTGTGTGCTGAATTCTTTAGTCAGCATTGCTTTTCTTCCTGACAACGAAATCTTTCCATTCAGTTCATTGCTTTGCTAAATTGACAAATTGTTTGTGGGCAACTTGAGAGCCAGAGGGAGGGTATTTTTCCAACCAAGTTTTTATTTTCTGCCACCTTAGCCTCTTAGTTGTAGGGGGTGCATTGTAATCTGCATTTAGAAAACATATTAGTGAGAATAGATGGTCATTTGTCGAATGAGAAAATTTAAGTTGTTTTTAAGGCTTGTAGTTGGCAAAGAAGTGACTGTTCAGCTTTTGTCCGTTCTCTAGAGTTGAACAATCTGCCAAGGGCTTGTTTAGTGTTACAACAATAAACCTGGTATTGGGTTAAAAGGTACATTTTGAATTTGCATGCAAAAAGGAAACCCTGGAGGCCATTATCTTTGGAGTATTATTTATATTGATGCTGATATTGGATTAGGAGCACCACTCACGTGATCCACATGTTTCTGTAATTTCCTATTTCTTGAACATATCTGCAGCTTGATTTTATCTCTGACAGGGTGTAAGTTTGTGGCAGAAAATGCCCAGCTTGTTTTTTTTATCAAGTCTGAGCAGCTTCAAGCACTTTGCCCGTTGTGCAGCTGTTTACATGATTTCCCTTCAACGAGATTTGACATTAGAAAATCATGAGATATTTGAATGTAATATGACACTCATTCCCTGTTTTGCATTAAGTACTCCAACCTCTGCCCTGTGTAAACTTTGAACTTCAACAATATTGTTCAGCTATCAATGTGCTTTTCTTTTCAACAAGAAATGACATCAGAAAATCATGTGAAATTTGAATGTCATATGACTAGTACTTTCCATTTTGCCTTTCAATGTTCCTACCTTGCCTCATGTGAAGTTTGAGCCTTAAAGAGCTACTAAACATGTTTGCATCATGAAATATTGTTTTGAACTTGAAAGGAAATTTAAGAATTCTTGTAGGAAATTTCTGCCCAACTAAAATGCCTCTATATCTTTCATCATTTAACTCTCAGATCAAAGTTGTACTTCTCCCAAATGTCAACCATACAATTCTTGTGTTTGTTCAGAGAAGTTAGTATTGGATCAACTTATTATCCCCATATTGATATTTTGCTTATATTTTTCTTTATTCTCATTACTTATCTGGTTGACATTGTATTGATACTGTAAGGAGAAACTCTGTCTTGGTCACTCATGGGAGTGAAAGGGTTAAGAGGCACTAAACATGTTTGCATCATGAAATATTGTTTTGACCTTAAAGCGAAATTTAAGAATTCATGGAGGAAATTTCTGCCTCATTAAAATGCCTTCATCTCTTTAAATAAACCTAGTAGTACTGAAATGTTGGACCAAAAAAGAATGTATACATTCATGGAGCCAAAATTTAAGGAACATTTTAAAAAATTTAGAATAATCTTTAACTTTCAAAGAGAGATGTAAATCTTACTTTCTTTAAAAAGATTTTTAGTGAGAACCTAAATGTACATTTTTTATTTGTTGTATTTAAATTTTGTGCCATGTTTCCCAATTTTTTTTTCATGGACATTTGCACACTCTGATATGTTATCTCTGGTACACCAGTGTATGTTCTGCAAAATAGACATAATAACTGTTTTCAATTTGATGTGGAACAGTGGGATATTTTCTTTATTGCTGAGCACAGGAAATACTTTTGAATCTATAGCTCTGTAGGTACTTCTGTCCACTAAAAATATGTCAGCTCTTTTTAATAAAACTCTTGTTTCTCTAATGGATAAGAAGGGTTTATGTATTTTACAAAATTAGATTTAAGTGAAGCATGAAATCTTGCTTTGCCAAATGTAATGAAGACTTTATTTCTTTTGTTTGGTTGGGAATTATGTTGCATACTGCTGCTGTCTGCAGTTTTTGAAAAAAGCATGTGGTGTTAATTGTACTCTGAAAAGTGTTTCTAAGCTAGTGCTCTGTCAGAAATCATATATTTTTACTCACTTAGGGTATAAAATGCTAAGACAATATTCCATTGACTTCATGCTGTCATTTGATTAATATTTTGGTGATATGGGTGTTTATTTTTTCTGTGAAGTTACAACTGCAATCAGAATATTTTTCCTTAGGAAGATTAGAAAAAAAAGGATGTTAAAATCTGCAGCTGTTTGTAAGGAAGAAGGAAAAATGCAAGTTTGAAAGGATGGTTTACCAGTGTCTGGGCTGTTTAGAGACACTGAAAACCAAATTTTTTTATGAAGTTTATTGGTGAAATTTAATGTACAGCATATCAAGGCACTAAAATCTATTCAGCCATTGTTTTCTGAAGATAGAAATCATTTGCAAAAGTCGATTAACATTTTTAATTTGGTGAATGTTTATAAACTTGATTGACAAACCTGTGTTGTCCTTAGACTGTGATCTTTCCCTATTATTTCCATTTTTGACAATCAAACTGTGAATTTAATAAAGTAACTCTGAATGGCTGGGTGTTTGCACAAGATACATACTGTGTTTTACAAATCACTTGAATTTGCATAACAACAAAATTTTTAATGAAAAAAGGAGGAAGATCTTTTTTTTTGAAATGCACTCATAAGTTTGATTGTAGTGGAAATGAAAAAACTTGATGAATTTATTTATTGTTTACATCATGCTGAGATTTGTAATTAGATATATTAGAGAGGAGAGATTTTTTTTTTGGATTCCCTTTGAATTTGAGGAAAGATTTGCCGAAAAAAAGAACTCTAGTTTGAAATGTATTGTGTTGTCACAATTTGACTAATGCCACTTAATTGCCTATGAATTAACATTTAAATTGAAAAATAGATAAAACTTGAATCATGACATACCTTTCCTTTTGTCTGTTAGTGATGTTATTAATTTTTGGAGATTGACTGTGTAATTGTTATCACAATAATTTGTTTCTGTATTTGTGTTTGTAGGTTTTACAAATGACAGAGAAAGAGGCGATAGACACTAAGCGAAAGCTTGCCCAAGAGAGATATGACCTTCAAAGAAGGTTAGCCCTCCTTCGCGGTGACAAGGCAGTCCCAGGCGCAAAGAGGCCACGGCACTCTGAAGGCGATTCCTCTACAAGTGGCGAGGAAATTGATGTGGAAAATGATGAGGAAGCTGGCTATGCCAGTAGTGAGTCAGATGATCGTTTTAGTACTGGGAGCAGTGTGGGGAGTGATGGGGGTTTAACTGCAAACTCGAGGAGAGTTAAATAGTTAAATTACGGGCATGATTTTCAATGATCATATTTGATTCATGTCTCCTAGAATCCTGTTTTAGTTGGTGTTTCTTGCACCTATGTGGCTTACATAATAATTCATTTGGGAATACAGCTGGGTAGAGCATTGGGAGGAGAGGGTAGGGGGGAGACAGTACAATTGTAGTGAGACAAATTTACTAAAGTTAAGGTTAATCGTGTATAAATATGGTCAGACATAAGCATTACTGCTCTTGCTTTTTGCGCAAGTTTAAAAACACTGCCCTGAGCTTTCAACACTGAAATTAGGTTAAAATCTAGGCCCTCATAATTATCTGATAGTTGCAGTTTTGCATTTTAAAAAGCTTCCTTTTTGGGGATGTCTTCTTTCTTAAAAATTTGTATCAAAGGTTTGGTTTGGCTTTTTTCAACTGGTGCTGAGCTCACAGACTGTTTAAAATATTTCCAGGAAGGTTTATGCAAAATAACTCCAGCACGTAATATCACTATTCAATCGACAACCATCTCATTTCTTAACATGGGATGTCAAACATTTGAGCATAGAATAATTTATGGTTTACAAGATGTAAATAGAAAAATTGTGTAGGAGTTGAACTTATCCAACCATCAAACTGTCCATCCAAAGGAGAGAGATACTACTATCAAATAATTTCCAAACAATCACTATTAAATTATTATGGTGTGATGGATGCTTTCTGCTCAAAAATTCCAGTAAATTAGTTGTTTGTGACCAAAAAAAATCCTCCTGTAGGGAAGTAGTTAATCAAGGTGATATCTTAAAGACCAGCTGCCTTGAAATGACGTCAAAATTATGAAATTCTAAGGCAACATAGTGATTATTGACACGGCTTGTAACTTTTGAAAACTGGTAAAACGTCTGTGCCAGAGTTTCAGGTTAACTTCCGAGCAACGTTCGTTGATCAGTCAATTTCCTTTGTGTGGCAAAATTACCAAAGTTGTTTTATGTACCTATTAGTTCAGCCTTTTCTTTCGCTCTGAGTAACTATTCCTTGGTGAAACCACATCTTTGAGCAATCTCTTGTTTGCATCAATTGAGGTGGCATCAAATGGTTTAAGAGCACATGAAGACAGACATCAATAATGCAACTTTCTTGCATTTGTACGTTATTGCATACCCATAAACATTTCTCTTCTGGCAAAATCATTATGCAATTGTTGCAACTAGAATTCAGGAATACACAGTCTTGTGGGTATTAGAAACTCTTTCTAAAGGGTTCTCAGCTGTGTTGATTCTCAGTACTATTTCCTAGTTCAAAATCTTGGCTTAAAAAAAATTCCCTAAAAATTCTGTAGATAATTGTAAATTTTACTCTCCTCTGTAAATGCTCCAGGGTTAATTACCAAATATTATATATTAACTAAGTATCTCTATTTATGATGTGGGGTCTTGGTGAACCGAAAGGCAGATAAAAGATGCCCATGTCCAGCATTCAATCACTTTTCCGTCTATGTAACTAATAATCTTGGATGGTGGTTCTTGTATTTTTAATGTGATCTGTATATAATGTGTATTTTTGAACCAAGAAAAATGTACCTAAAATGACATTTTTATAAATTATTATTGGCAGAGTTTTAAGGAATAGTAAAACATGTTTTGAACATCTTAAACCTCTTGTCTCTTGCTTTATGCTACAATGGGGATGATGAAATGGGTGGGGGAAGTTAACTAAACCTTTTACACTTTAGCATCAATATGCATATTCTCCATACTGTTCTCTAAGCATTTCCTGAAAGACTGACGAGGAGAATTTGTTTAAAAATCCAGAGCTTTATAAGTTGGTGATCATTTTCTTGATTCTCGTGACCTTAATGTTTGATTTAGGCTTGATATTGTAAGGAGAAATTAGACGCTGGTCACCCGTAGGAGTTAAAGGGTTAAATCAAGTGTCCAGTGGTTAGTTGTTATTTACCAAGCAGAAGGACTGTACAGCAGCAAAAAAAAAGAAAACTGTGCCCGAGGTCTTGAGTTCAGCCTTGGGCTTTACTTGGGACTGTTAACACAGTCCTTTTTTCCCTTACAGGCCTGCCTAGACTTGTAAATGAGTTATTGAATTTTCTGCTGATTTGTCATTTTCTGCTTTGCTGTCTGTAATGTGGACAAAAATACAGGTTGTGGTCTATACTGTGAAAGGCTGGACCAGTTACTAATGCATAATTAGCCAATCGGATTCAAGGATTTCAAAATTACAGGAAAAAAAATTTTTTACTTCTTAATTTTGCAAATTAGTCTTGCAAAAGTCCCTCTCCTAGTGTTGCACCTTCTTAAGAACATTTATGTACATAGTTACCTAAAGGTTCTTTGGTCGAAAATGATCATTTAGACATGTTTGTTACTGAAGTCCCTATGATCATATGAATGGTTGCCTAAAAGGGTGAAATTTGAAATTGTTTTCATGGCTGACTGAAACACTTCTACTTCTTGAATTTACTGTGAACACAATGTTCTGCAGAAATATCTAATGAAATTACGGTGGATTATTAGGTTGGTACATTTACTTAATTGAAGAGCATTACCCTGTGATAAAAAAAAAAAAAACCTCATTAAAATTTAGACATCAAGTATGTGTGGTTTTCTGGGATAGAAAAACGACTTTGAACACCACTAAACTGACATTTGATCTAGACTTTGTCTTTGTGTATTTATTGTTATAAAGCTGTTCACCACAAAACTCTGGTTGGTGTTTAAACTGAGAACTGAAGGTTGAAAAGCTACGCTATTCGCAAGCAATCATATGCAAGTCTAAAACATGTGCTTATGTGGTAATTTAGTATTAAATCCAAAGCTGACATTTCGAGCGTTAGCCCTTCATCAGAGCAAATGGAGGGATTGTGGGTTGTGTGTGTGTTTATATGCAGAAAATGGAGCTATGCTATTGTTGGGAATATGGTGATGAGAAAACAAGGATAAATTAGTTGAATAAAAAGTGCTCCTTGACACCATGGGAATTGAGAGTGCTGATTTGAAAGACAAATTTTTGTTCTAGAGTTTTTGAGTCTTCGAGTTTTGCAGCTTTCTGAACTGACTAAAAGTAAAGAAAGGCTGCAAACTACTATATGCTGCTTTGAGTGAATAGGGAGATTGAAGTCTCTGGCGACTGGTTTGGATACATCCTTTGTCATTTCTATGCTTGCCTGGTTGGACAATTGTGTTCCTATTGGCTCCATATGATAATTTCCTTTGTTCCAATGGGCCAAAGATTACTAACATTCGACTCCAAAATGGAACTAGGTGATAATTAAAAATGCAAAGATGATTCACACAAGTGACATGAACTGTAGTTTAATGCAACAAAACAACCTTGAGAAAAAAAAAAATCAAGATACTGTACACAAATACAAACAATACCATTTGCTTTTAAAAGCTCCTACTAGAATTTGATATAACTTATTGATCTTGGGCAGGGTTTGTCTCCAGAGAGGTCACAATGTCTCAGTTGCTTGCTTCAATCCTTACATTGCACTTTGAGAAATTTTATCAGGATCTATGATGTGTTTTGTTAAATATTTCATCATTCCAAATGTTTGTATCCTCTTGCGACCTGGAAGAAAAGATGGTTTTAGAGAGACAACTAACAGACCAAGTTGAAGAGTGTATTTTTTCATATATAGTTTTCACAAATACCCAAATCCTATTATTTAACCCTTTGACATCAAGACGAGATTCAGATTTAACTCAAACACCCTAACATCAGTATGCATATTCTCCATGCTGTTCTCTGTACATTTGCGAAGGTGCTGACTGATAATCTAATAATCCAGAATTTCTTTAGTTGGTGATCATTTCCTTTATTCTCATGACATCAATGTGTGATTCAGCAGTGATATTGTCACAAGAAATTAGATGCTAGTCACTCTTAGGGGTTAAGTTCTCCTCCTAATTTCAGTACATAATTCTACAAGCAAGTAGGAAGAATTCACAACCTGAGCTACTTGAGGATCTTATCATAATTAATTTAAAATGCAATGTATCACAGCCAGATGGGAGAATTGCCAAATAAATCAGTTTACTGGGGTTTGGGGAAAGAAAACTACCAATGAGACATCTATTTAAGCAATGGTTCTGTCAGTAATTCAAAAGCCTCTAGTTTTGTCTCACTACATTGACTGCTGGCATCATAGCTTATGACTGACACTAAATGTGAGAATTAACTAAATTAACCTTGCTGCTGTAGGTGGTTCAATTAACCTTTAAACTCCCAAGATCTGATTTTGATTTCTCCCCTCTAGCTACTACACATTTCCTTGTAAATAAATTGCGAGAATTTGGTGTTCGATCAAGACTACTAACTTCCACTTGATAAGTTTGATTATTCTCATAACGTGTTGGCTGGATAATGTGTGGATGTTATAGAGAGAAGGTACATGTTAATCACTCATACAAGTTTAAGGGTTAAGAGCACAGTGGACTGATGTTGTAAGGTCAAAGGTTCATGTCCCAGGCTAAAGAAAAAGGGTCTTAAGGCCTGTTTACATGAAAGTGGCAGACCCCAAGTGGGTGAGGTGACTTGCCTAGGTGTGGTAACCTGCCTGTCTGCATAATTTTTTATTGCATTTACATGATAGGTGGGGTAACCCATCAAGGCAGAATCCCTGGTCTGCAGTGTAGGGTAAGACTGTCAGCCAGGGCTGCAATTTGCCATGTAAATGCCTCAAGGTGGGGTAACCCACTTGGCTACACTTGCATTCACCCTGGAATCCCAGGGTAGTCAGATTGTATGTAAACACAGGCTATTTTTTTGCCACAGCTGGGCAGGTTACCTCGCCTGCCTTGGGCCACCCAGCTTCATGTAAACAGGACCTTAAAGTAACGAGGAAAAATGCAAAACTATAGGCTCTGTCAGTGCTAAAGAACACTTGCATTTGCTGCCATGAATAGGGTGCAAAATTTACAGTATTCTGGTTTTTATTCTAGCCATGTCTTTTGGAGCTTGAATTTCACCTCATCTGGCATCTTTCTACCATGGAAAGACTGTTCAAGAAAAACAACAATCACATATACCAGGTACAATTGTTGACAATCTGCCACAACCCTAAGTTTACATACATACCAAACACTTGTTGCAGTTGTTCATCGCATAGCGTAAATCTTTTATTTTTAGGATCCTGAAAAAAGAGTACACAAGTTACTGCAGAGTACATGAAAATAAAATTATTTAGTCAAACTTTTTGTTCTGATGAAGGGCAAACACTCACAACTTCAGCTTAGAAACTCTACGTGGTGGCCAATTCACATTATCAACTCACTCTCAGTTGATAAAATCAAATTATCTTTGAGTTGTAATAATATATATGCAAAAATTACACATGTCTGATTGGCTGAAAACAAGTGCATTTTTCATGTAAGACAAGTGAAAATTACAAATGGCATGCACACTTCCAAAATTTCGTCACTCCTGACTTTCTGCAATGCATTTTTCATGTAAATTATTAACAATTATCAACATAGAGAAAGATGTATTGGTCTTTTCACGAGCGTGGGACAAAGAAAAAATTCCAAGTCTCCACAAGGAATCGAACCTCAGACCTTCGGATCCTGCATACTGCTAGGATCAGCAATGTCGATAGTGTCATGTTTGTAGATAGAAGTAACAACATGATTTCTTTTGCCCTTCAGGCTCATGCAATTTTTTTGTCATTGAAAAATTTACACCTGATTATTAACACCGAATTGCACCCATAATCATGTTGTTACCTGTATTAATATCCCCTACAACACAGAACTGCAATTTCTTTGGAAAATTTCTGCTTTTCTGAGAACAGCTTTCATTATGCATTCATTACCTCTAGTTTTCTTTCCTTAATAATTTCCCACATTTTCTTCACAACATCACTTCTGGTCATCTAGGGAAATAAGTGTGATGAAATATACAATTAACAAAACATATCTATTTGTAAACATATGTATTTGTAAATAAATACATATCTAAATGATAAAACTGAAACTTAGTGTTGTTTTGTCCACTACTAGAAAAAAAAAGTTATGTTGCCGCAAGATCTGAGTTTGTAATACATTATCAGTCAGATGGGCAAAAAAAGAATTTATGAGCTTAATAGAGGGAAAGGAAAATTGAAAATAGGAAATTAGCCATTTTCCATATACCTGCCTCTTCTGAAATTAATTTACTAGTATGATACAAATTATTGTCAAACATCTTTACATGTATTGCATTTGACAAGTGTTTCAAGTCATTTTATTCAGTAGTTGAGCTGCCAATAGTACAGTATCACTCTAAGTTTCTCATCATTTTACATACAGACTCAAAGAAAGACTAAAAACTGGCATGCAGATTTAACAATTTCTTCATTTCAATCACCTTTTCTTCACCTACAACTTCTGCAAGTTGTGGCGACAACACCATTATCCTTTTAAACCCTGGAAGTAAACAGAGAAATGAAGAGTCAGCTTCCATCGTATGTTTGTGTGTAAAGACTTTCAGTTTAATTTGCCAAAAGATGAGCACAGGAATATGTAAGCACCATTTCTTCTACAAAATCAAATCATTTTCACCTGTCACTCCACCACTTTCTTTGGGTTTCCTGGCTTTTGCTGTCTTTCTCCTTTCCTAAAAGTTAAATTGCACATACATATAGTTTTACAAATTAATTTTAGAAACACACTTGACAGTTTTTCCTTTGTGAGGTGGAAAACTGCTAACAATACCAACTGAGAACACAAATCCTTTCCATTATGCTGTAAATTCTTTCACTCCCAGAGGTGATTAACATGTTACTTCTCCCAATAATATCCAAAAATTCTCCAGCAAAGGAGTATTGAGAAAACCCAGCTTATCATGCAGAAGTGTTGTTATCTTGATCTGACAGCAAATTCTCATAACCAATTTGCAAGGAAATGTCTAGCAGCTAGAGGGGAGAATTAACAGTCAGATCATCATTGCAATAGGCCAAAAATCTGTTACACGAGTGAAGATTAGGCTCCTATTCAAGTCTAAAAGCTTACTGATGTTAAAAATTGGAAAATCTTTAGTTTTAGTCTTATTGCTTTTGCTTAGAATTTATTTTTGTCAGACTGTGCCACAGCTTGGCATATAAAAATTTGCAAGAGCACTGTTTGATAGCAATTCCTTTACACAATCATTTAGCCCTTTTCTCCCTGTGAATAATAAGCATTTAATTTTTTCAAACAAAATCACCCCTTGATCAAACATAAAGGTCGTAAGAATAATAAAATGAAATGATTGCAAACTCAAGCTCTTGATAGTTTGACAAATTCTTCTTGTAAGCCATAAGGAATCTGCAGGTACATGTATAGAGAGCAGTCTGGAGAACTTGCATACTGATGTTAGGGTGTAAAGGGCTGAACATACTTCTTGGGGCAAATTAAATTGGAATCAAGCACAAACTCACCACTGGTCTCTTTGCAGTGTGTCTTCTTGATCGCAAATTCTTCTCATCTTCATGAAGCTTGCGTGCCAGTTCTTCATCATCTAAAACATGAGTTTCCTGAAGAAAAGAAAAAAGGTGTCATCTACAACACCCAACTGCCTGATTATTTTTCTGTTGAAATTTTACAGTTAACCCTTTAACTCCCAGATCAAATTTGTCATTCTCCTTACTGTCAACCATAAAATTCTTTTAATGTTAGTTCAGAGAATCTAGTGTTGGACCAACTAATTAACCCCAGATTGATATTTTTCTTTATTCTCATCACTTATCTGGTTGACATTGTATTGATATTGTAAGGAGAAATTCTGTTTTGGTCACTCATGGGAGTTAAAGGGTTGAGGAAGGTCTGGAGATCTCAACATTGTCTTGTATCATTCCATCTGGTATCATATTAGCAAAATTGATGGTAAGCTTCAAAATTCAACAACAGTACTGTATTTCCTTGAATAAGCACTGAGGTACTTTCTTAAAATTTTGGCTGGAAACAGGGGTGCTTATTTGAAGGATGGGGCTTCATCAAGATGGATGCTTATAAAGAAACTGTTAGCCTGTACCAATTCCATTGTAGTTAATGCTTATTCAAGGAAATACCACATGCTACTTAATTCAAAATATTCACATCATCATCATCATCATTACGACTGCCATCATCACTTTTACTGGACTTCTAGTCAAAGGCAAAATATAAACTTTTCAAAAATAATTCTAAGACTTTGAACCTGACAAAATGATAGAAAAGAGCTCTATAGATGGAGATAAAACAAACAGCAAGAATCTACCAGAACCAAATGCCAAATTAATTCGAAAGCTGGTAACAAAAATAGTTTGAATAATACATTTCTCTAAAAATGTTACCTTATTGTTAACCCTTTTCTTTTTCTTTGGTGATGGTTCATCATCCTAAGACATGAAAAAAATTATAATCAACAATTATTTTAACAAATATATAACACAGAGTTGTAATTACAGGCTTCATGGTTCCCTAACCCTACCCTGAGTGCAAATTTGAAAGTTTCTTTTTCTGAAGTCATTAATAATGGATGTGAAAGTTCCAATTAAAGTCCACTGTATTGCTTAAAAAATTTAAATTTTAGTATATCTCACAAAAAGATTGGCCTAGCTACAATCCATGTCCCAATTAGTTGACAGAGTCCTATTTATCTGTAAAATAACACTTCAGTCTCTCCCACTCTCTAAATTATTGGCCCGAACCAAGGGAATGGCAAAAGAATATCAAAGGGATGCAAAAGTTGGTGATTCCATGTTTTGTTGCTGTATAGGATGGCTAAGAAATGTACAAAGTTTTAAAATGCATGTGCTGTGCTGTTATTTTGCTTGTTAGATCTTCTGTTTTGCTATGTTCTTGTTGCCTTTGCGGTCATGTTTTTCCTACAGTCCCTATTGCAAACACTCTCATACCTCTAATGATTCCTCATCTTCCTTGTCATCCTCTTCCTGTGTCACTCCATTTATTTCAGAGGTTCCATTTTCCTGTTCTTTGTCACCTTCTACTTCTCTTGACTTTTCAATCATATCCATCAACATTGCATCAATTTCCTTTTTCCTACAGAAAATGTATTTTGACATTTGCAAGGGAACCACTAAGCTCACGAGCCACTTCATCTTAGATAAATCCACAAGGTTTATGATAATTCTGGATCAATGTCACTCAGCATCTGAGAAACTGTGAGCCTACCCCTTCCCTAACCCAACACTTACTGTAGCTTGTTATCAGTTGACTGTGGTTGTGCTAGGGGAGGGGTAGGTGATCTGTCCCTCAGATACAGACTTTAAATGGCAATTTCTCACAAATTCAAAACCTAACCATTGCCCCACTTAGTTGACATTACAAGGGAGACACATTAGGAGAAAAAAATTATTGTATCATACAGCCAGACCTCACCAAAAAAAAGTAAAACTGATTTTGCATAATGTCATATGAAGATAAATTTTTGTCACAATGACACAATTTTAACAAAAATTATCCATGTCACACAAGGCAAAATTTTTTCTGCAACTTGCCCTCACCATGTATTGCAGTCACTTTTTAAAGAGAATTCCCATTTGTTGCCAAGACATGTACCTGCCACCTTATTTCACACCATAATAACTCCACTATATATGCAACATGGAGCTTAAACATTGTAGAATGCATATCTTGAGAAAAGATACCATATATTAACCATTCGACTCCCAAGATCTCCTTTTTAATTCTCCCCTCTAGCTGATACACATTTCCTTGTAAATAAGTTATAAGAATTTGGTGCTACATCAAGATAGCAGCTTCTACCTGATAAGTTTAAATATTCTCATTCCCTGTTTGCTGAATAATGTATGGATATTATAGAGAGAAGTTTCATGTTCATCACTTCGGGGAGTTAAAGGGTTAAATTAAAAAATAACTTACAGTACAACAAAGAAACATTTTTTCGATAAATGGTGCATAGTGGATGAACCAAGGTATAGGCTTTATACAGTGAAACATTTAGAAAACCCAAAACCCATTATGAATGGCTGAAAATATTATTTTTGCCTCAAACATTCCAACAATGATTGGAATTGAATTCAACAGCCATTATTATAACGCTTGATTAAAAATTCTGATTTTTGGTGAAAGTAAATGACAACTCTCCAGCTATGCAGAAAAGTTTAACCGCATGATGAAAGCGAGAAAAAGAATTAATCAGGATTTATAAACTAGTAAATTTATTCTTAATTCCTACAAGTATCGTTTTTATATCAAATCAACAAAAAAATATAAGCTTGTTTACAATAAGAAATCAAATAAAATTATTTTCAAACGGTGAACGAAGGATCGATAGTTGTCGAGTCTCGTATGGATGGAGCGTTAATTGTAGAATTAATTGACTAAGGAATCAACTAATTTCAAAAATTATCAATAGTTAAAAATGCAATCAAAGCTTAACCATTGATCCCGACGGAATCTGATACGATTTTATGAATTATCGAGTTGAGGTTTTACCGAATAAATTTTGCTTATCTTCAGTTTTATTCTCCAGTTTATCACGTCTCTGGGCTGCAGATTTATGGGAGAAGAATCAATTCATACCTTAGGGACCTTAAAGCTTTTAACTGGGAAAAATATCAGAATACTTTGGGCGGTCATCAAGTCATCATCAAGTTGCATGACGAATAATTCCCCTGCGGAACAACACGTGTTTGGCTCAAACTAGATACTTTATTTTTTTCCTCGCCATAGTTTCTTCTGTGTAAACAACTAAAGCAAATTGAAGCTAAAATCAATCGTGTTTTCACACTCACCGGGCAAGAAAGCTCACGCCAAACTTATCTTCCAGTTGACGGCGAACAATTCTCGACGTTAACTGGGAGAGTTCACCATCGCGTAAAATGTCTAGAAATCAAGATATGAGGGAGCTTAAACCCTTAATTGTTATGACTGTGTAAATTCTTCGACATAAGCTTTCGTTTGCGTAGATAGGATTGAATACCTGCCAAAGCAGACTTGATTTCAGCATCCGATGGTTCGACGGCCATCATGTTTGTTGTTGTGCCATGTGCAACGAGCCAGCAAATAATCGCAGCCGCGATCAGCGGATGATAGGATCTACAATTAGTGCCAAGGAGAGGTAGTTGTGAAGTGATTACTTATCGAGCTGTTTAAGAATCATGTGGCCAACTTTGGCCAACTTGTGGATAAAATAATCAAGAAATGGATGTTTTTTAATTTGCTATTAGTCTTGTAGCATGCAAGGTTGTTCTTATGTCACAATGCTCTATTTGTCCGCATTTGTTGAACACGTACAACAAACACATACGTTTGCCTATTCCAAAGAACATACATGTTGGAAGCTTGATGGCTCATGAAACAACAAAAGGTGTTTCAATATTCTCCTTTCTCCATGGGAGACGTCGGAGGAGTGTTAAAAGTATGGAATCTTTTGCTCACTTTCCGACCATAGGTTTTCAAAAGGACCTGTATGTTTGTATGCTAGCTACCTCACGCCGCCATAGTTGTCTATAAAATTACAGTTTTTTATTTAAATCGTGCAATCGTTGAGTCGTTTAAGGGTGCATTCATTATATCCATGATTTTTTGCGAAATTCAGCGTTGTTGATGATCGTTTCAAATTTAACAAGATATGTGTCACGTGCCCAAAGGTCATGGAAATCACACGTCAATTCTGAAGTGTTATTGGTCCAATGACAATGAATAAATCACGAGGGACCGAAGGGCTGGAAGCGAACCAATCAGAGGAGAAAAAACAGAGCATGTAAATTCACATAGCGCAGGATTCAGTGTTCCACGTGGAGCGAACTTTTTATGGCAACTCGAAAGCCAACACAAAAACTAGTATGAGCTTTGCACATTTGGCTAGCTTTCAAGCTACAGAGTTCGTGGACCGGCCCATTCCGAAAACGCTCGACATCATTTTGTATGTGAGATGAGCGTATAAGACAGGAATCTTTTCAAAGCGGTCCTCACAAAACACAGCATTCTGAAAATTAGGTTGCTTACGAAGAGCGAGCACATGACAACACAAGTTGTCGCACTCTCATTCTCATTTTCCGCGGCTTACGCAAGGAACGCCTGGGACCATGATCCCCCTTTTGGCGTTAAAACTCGGGCTTTCCTACGGAAATACGAGTAAAAACGAATTTTCAGGGTGGCCACGGGGCAGTAAATATGACTCCTGACGGACCAAAATTGTTAAGGAATACGCTCTGTTCCAAGAGAAACAAGCTATTCCTATTACTATTCCTATCTGGTCCTCTTTACCCACTGTTCCTCTGGTCCTTTGTACCCACTAGTCCTCTGTACCCACTGTTCCACTGGTTCTCTGTACCCACTGTTCCACTGGTCCTCTGTGCCCACTGTTCCTCTGGTCCTTTTTTTCCCACTGTTCCACTGGTCCTCTGTGCCCACAGTTCCTTTAGTCCTCTGTACCCACTGTTCCACTGGTCCTCTGTACCCACTGCTCCACTGGTCCTCTGTACCCACTGTTCCTCTGGTCCTTTGTACCCACTAGTCCTCTGTACCCACTGTTCCACTGGTCCTCTGTACCCACTGCTCCACTGGTCCTTTGGACCCACTGTTCTACTGGTCCTCTGCTCCCATTGTGCCACTGGTCCACGGTGCCCACTGTTCCTATGGTCCTTTATGCGCATTGTTCACTGATCCTCTGTTCCTACTTTTCCACTATGCTACTAATTCTCTGTGCCCTCTGTTTCTCTAGTCCTCTGTGCCCACTGTTCACTGATCCTCTGTACTCACTCACTTTACCCTTCTGCTACACCTATCTGTTAATTATTAGTTATTTCAGAACCCGGTATATGAGAGACTACCCTGATCATTGGATGAAGGACAGTTGAATTTGAGCTATCAACGGAATCACTTGACCAATGGATAACTCTACAATGCGCACGGCGACACACTGGGTGAGCCGGAAAGCAAAAGGCAGTCGATCGTTAAAAGGCGTTGATCGCTTGAGCGACTCCTGCAATTCGCTTGCACTTTTAAATCTTCTAATCTGAAAGCTAAGCTGTTATTAGGATATCCTTTAATGACTTCCGTTTGCGATGTGATATTAAGGGTTAGTTTTAGGGTGTCATTTCCCCATCTGTATGGTCTTGAGGTTTGGTAAAACCGGATGAGATTGTGTCACAAAAGGTAATATTTTCATGTGTGCGCGCTATTTTCTTTTTTTTTAAGTATCAGTCTCTCCCGCAGAAAATAACTCCAGAGAAAAGTTTGTCCAAACCTTATTCTTAGTATTCTCTATTCCTTAAGCATATTTGAAACTCTGTAAGTTTTTTAATAAACGTTGAACGCGACGAATTTGGTATTAGGAGGCGTAAGGCTTCTCCTTTCGCGAATCCCGTGTTCACGCCTTTGGTGTATGACGTGGAAAATAGTTCGTGTATTAGAAGGTCGCTGCCTCTTTGGAATGCGTTTGCATGTCAAGGGACGATTCCCCGTTAAATACAACGTTCTGTCACCTAAGCCAAATCTGTTGTTCCAGTGACGGCAAAGCAATTAGTTAAATTCAAGGGAACGTCAGGAAATAAACTCCGAGCATTGCGTGACGTGATTAGATATCCACTTCACGGGGGAGCCGGGCTGATAGGGAGGCTAGTTAAAATTGGGCTCCACACAATTAGGAAGTCTCGTTAAAATTTCTTGATTTTCACGAACTGCCACTGATATCCTCACTAGTTCCTAACACTCCAAGTATATATTGTCCTACGCGTTTTATGATTTAAACTGTTACTTATTTAGTTCTTCTTTTCAGCTCTCATTTAGCATCTACAGTAGTTACTGGGATACCTGTGGTAGCCCAGTCATAAAATGCCTTTGTTTTTTTGTCGTCTTTTTTTTTTTTTTTTTTTTTTACTGGGATACCTGTGGTAGCCCAGTCATAAAATGCCTTTGTTTTTTTGTCGTCTTTTTACTGGGATACCTGTGGTAGCCCAGTCATAAAATGCCTTTGTTTTTTTGTCGTCTTTTTTTTTTTTTTTTTTTTTTTTTTTTACTGGGATACCTGTGGATAGCCCAGTCATAAAATGCCTTGTTTTTTTTCGTCTTTTTTTGTCGTTTTTTTTTTTTTTTTTTTTTTTTTTTTTTTTTTTCCTCCGCCACAAAATGGAAAAATTGCGCAATAGTACCCAGAGGTCATTGGGCCCTCAACACCATGACAACTAACTGTGATCCAATGAGGTGTTCACATGCTGATCACGCGTGCTATCTTGATGATGATTGACGTTGTCATGCACGGACAGGGCCGGGTCACATGACGAACACGAGATTTTTGCCCATAAAACTATTTTGTCAGTCGTTTTGTATTTCAACGTAATTGGATTACGATCATCTGGAGCAATATGGGGCAAACGCTCAAAATACTTATAGACGCATACACAAGTCGTATTGTTCGCGGCCAATCCACACAAAAAGATGTTATTGAGCGGTAATTTTGGATCGGACAGAATCGCGAACGCTTGAAAGCCATGAAAGCATTGAATGCCTTGTATGTCTTGTATGCCAAGTATGCCAATGTCTTAGTTGAAAACGTAAACTCGTTGTAAAAAGCAAAATCTGAAATCTGAAATCTGAAACTAAACTGCATATACTCTATGCAATCTATTGAACAACACTACTACCGTGAGACTGAAGAACAAAATTCAAATGGATGCAAACTGCTAGTTAAGAAAGACGCCATGTTGGATTCACTTGATGCCAGGGAACGTAGCTACGATAACAGTGCAAATGGTATTAATTTCACGATCAGAGAGGTGAATCTTATGTTTGTATTCATTATAGTTGTATGGATATTCTTTTTTAATAAATACATGATCCAAAATCCCGTGTTTTTTGTGTATAATGTTATTATGTCAAGTATTGTTTACGCAATTGTCTTGCCACAGGCGACCCAAGGTCACGTTTCGAGAAAGAGCCAACAATTACGGTAATTCACGAACGCGTCACGCGTTGTGTGACTCAGAGTAGGTTATTCTAGGAACCGTTTAAAAATTTGAACACGTTATAAGGAATAGTATAGGGAACGAAATATGGTCGATTTACAACGATAAATATTTCGAAATATGAAGATTTTTCTCGAAAAATCAATAAAACTTACTCATACCCTGTGTATCCGTTGTAGTTTCTGGCGATTGTTGCCGTTTTAAGCTTGCTTTACCATCACTATTATTCACGTCATCTACTTTTATGACGTTGGTAAAATCTGTACAGACATCACACCAACCAACTCGCGCGCAAAGTAAGAAGACTATGCTGAAGGCTTGAAATTATATTACGATCGATTTTCATCAAGAAATGGGCCAGGAATATTCCACAATAGTGCAAATAATCGTGAAGGCTGATCGCGGAAAAGCGATTGCGTGACGCTCGGTAAGCTGTAAGATGACATGTTATTATATACCAGACGTAAAAACTCTTCAGATTCTCAGTCTGCATTTTTTACCCACTCTGCAGTCTATATTTTGTATCCGGTCTGCAGTCTGCTGTCTACATTTTGTACTAACAGGTATCCGTGGCACAAACACAGTTTATTTTTGGTTACATTTATTCGCACAACACACATAATCTACCACAAAATACCTGTGTGTGAGGTAATTCGACACTTTCATTCTTTCCCGCGTTAATAATCTTCTTTCCTTTTGTAAGAATGTAGACCACTTACAATGTTTCAAGTAATCCACCAACCCTACAAAAAATAACTCTTGCATGCATAGCATGCCTATGTTTTGAGACAGGTGTATGCCCTTGGCCAGACTTGAGCTCACTATTATAGTATACTAGTCCGACACGCGTAGTATCACTACACTTGATTCCACGGATCCAGTACCATCCAGGTATCCCAGTTACCCTGCTCACAGGGTCTAGTTTTTTTGTTTTTTTGTTTTTTTCCTCCGCCACAAAATGGAAAAATTGCGCAATAGTACCCAGAGGTCATTGGGCCCTCAACACCATGACAACTAACTGTGATCCAATGAGGTGTTCACATACTGATCACGCGTGTTATCCCTCAACACCATGACAACTAACTGTGATCCAATGAGGTGTTCACATGCTGATCACGCGTATTATCTTGATGATGATTGACGTTGTCATGCACAGACAGGGCCGGGTCACATGACGAACACGAGATTTTGCTTATAAAATTCTTTGGTCAGTTGTTTTGTATTTCAACGTATTTGGATTGCGATCTCCTGGAGCGTTATAGCGCAAACGCGCAAAATACTTACAGACGCATATACAAGTCGTATTAATCGCGGCTAATCCACACTGAAAGATGTTATTGAGCGGTAATTTTGGAACGGATTGAGTCGCGAACGCTTGAAAGCCATGAAAGCCTTGAATGCCTTGTATGCTAAGTATGCCAATTTCTTAGTTGAAAAACGTTCACTTGTTGTAAAAAGCAAAATCTGAAATCTGAAACCAAACTGCACATACTCTATGCAATCTATTGAACAACGCTACTACCGTGAGACTGAAGAACATAACTATATGGGATGCAAACTGCTTGTGAAGAAAGACGACATGTTGGATTCACTTGATGGCAAGGAACGTAGCTACGATAACAGTACGAATGGTATTAATTTCACGATCAGAAAGCTGAATCTTATGTTTGTTTTCATTGTAGTTGTATGGATATTCTTTTTTAATAAATACGTGATCCAAAACCCTGTGTTTTTTTGTGTTTAATGTTGTTATGTTAAATATTGTTTACGCAATTGTCTTGTCACAAGCGGCCCGAGCTCACGTCTCGAGAAAAAGCCAACGATTAATTCATGAACGCGTCACGCGTTGTGTGACTCGGTGTTAAGTTACGAGAGGAACTCCACGTTATAAGGAATAGTCCATGGAACGAAGTATGGTCGATTTACAACGATACATATTTCGAAATATGAACATTTTTCTCGTAAAATTAATAATCCTTACTCATACCCTGTGTATCCGTGGTATTTTCTGGCGATTTCTGCCGTTTTAAGCTTGCTTTACCATCACTGTTATTCACGTTGGCCAGACTTGAGCTCACTATTTCAGTATACTAGTCCGACACCCGTAGTATCACTACACTTGATTCCAAGGATCCAGTACCATCCAGGTATCCCAGTTACCCTGCTCACAGGGTCTAGTTTTTTTTGTTTTTTTCCTCCGAGAAAGTTTCGAGAAAGAGCCAACGATTAATTCACGAACGCGTCACGCGTTGTATGACTCAGAGTAAGTTATTCTAGGAACCGTTGAAAATTTGAACACGTTATAAGGAATAGTATAGGGAACGAAATATGGTCGATTTACAACGATAAATATTTCGAAATATGAAGATTTTTCTCGAAAAATCAATAAAACTTACTCATACCCTGTGTATCCGTTGTAGTTTCTGGCGATTGTTGCCGTTTTAAGCTTGCTTTACCATCACTATTATTCACGTCATCTACTTTTATTACATTGGTAAAATCTGTACAGACATCACACCAACCAACTCGCGCGCAAAGTAAGAAGACTATGTTGAAGGCTTGAAATTATATTACGATCGATTTTCATCAAGAAATGGGCCAGGAATATTCCACAATAGTGCAAATAATCGTGAAGGCTGATCGCGGAAAAGCGATTGCGTGACGCTCGGTAAGCTGTAAGATGACATGTTATTATATACCAGACGTAAAAACTCTTCAGATTCTCAGTCTGCATTTTTTACCCACTCTGCAGTCTATATTTTGTATCCGGTCTGCAGTCTGCTGTCTACATTTTGTACTAACAGGTATCCGTGGCACAAATACAGTTTATTTTTGGTTACATTTATTCGCACAACACACATAATCTACCACAAAATACCTGTGTGTGAGGTAATTCGACATTTTCATTCTTTCCCGCGTTAATAATCTTCTTTCCTTTTGTAAGAATGTAGACCACTTACAATGTTTCAAGTAATCCACCCACCCTAGAAAAAATAACTCTTGCATGCATAGCATGCCTATGTTTTGAGACAGGTGTATGCCCTTGGCCAGACTTGAGCTCACTATTTCAGTATACTAGTCCGACACCCGTAGTATCACTACACTTGATTCCAAGGATCCAGTACAATCCAGGTATCCCAGTTACCCTGCTCACAGGGTCTATGTTTCAAGTAATCCACCCACCCTAGAAAAAATAACTCTTGCATGCATAGCATGCCTATGTTTTGAGACAGGTGTATGCCCTTGGCCAGACTTGAGCTCAATATTTCAGTATACTAGTCCGACACGCGTAGTATCACTACACTTGATTCCACGGATCCAGTACCATCCAGGTATCCCAGTTACCCTGCTCACAGGTTAGAAAGAAAAAAATGTATGCTAGTATGGTTAGAAACTGTGCCTAATCTAAGTTATTTTTTTAGCGCTGAGTATTTTAGAAAGCTACTCCCAATTTAATTTTTTCACTCCCGCACCTGTCTACCCTGTAAGCCGTCACAATTTACAAAATAGGATAACACATTTTTTTACGTCGTTAAAAATTAATGTAGTGAAATTTCCTCTATGCTGTAGTAACATATACCTAATTCATTTAGCAGTCTAAGGTGACGCATGAGTGGTATCGCGCTTAAAAAATGCAATCAACGGTAATTTTAAATTCTGGATTTAAAACTTTTTCCCGGAAATAAAAAATAGGGGATAAGAAGGAAAGAAAATAAGAGTGTATTGGTAACCGAGCCTCCTTTCGAGTGACATGTTATTGCGTGACACCATCGCAAAAAACGAACGTCAATGATTCATTTCATCTGTCAGGATGCTCTGGCTCGTTCTATAAAAAACAAACTTCCATTCTTATTGTGAAAGGAAGACTTGTAAAATGTGAGTGTTCCAAGCTGAAATATGGTTATAACTGTCCAGCAATGCGACGTTTCCGGCAGGAACCTTCGTGAGATGTGATTTGGTATACACCGCCTGTAGTGCTGTACTATCGAAGCTGTTGTCAAGTCTCTTTATAACAAGATTGAGGCAAGGAACCAATCTTAGAAAGGTGTTTTTCTCCAGGTGAGCTTAAGAAATCCAGTTTACATTCTAGTATAGGTCAAAGCGATAAGATTTTGTTGGAATTATGGCTTTGGTAATAAAACGCCTAATTGGATTATCTGCGGTTGTTTACACGGCGGCATTGCGATTTGCACGAAATAAAACATTCTTTCCACTTTGTAAAAATGCTCATCTCAAGCGATTCCGAGTTATACCGGGCAAGAAAAATTTTTATTGAAAAACTGCTCCAAAATGTAATTTTTAATCAATCAAATTTTGGCTATTTTCAAATATTCGCCAATAATTCATAGTTATGTCAACAATCCCGATATTAGATTCAAATCATTTTTTAATACCTCGTATACAAATAGGTAAAATTCAGAAAGACTTGCTTTCTTTTGCGCTTTTGAGGAATAAAGGTTTTGTTGCCTTACTCGTCGACTTCATTTCGGCCATTTTATGGCGGTTGGGGCTCGATACAGTGTTTGGTGATTTTCTAGAAAATAAAAACAGCTCTGAACAAAAAAATTATACCACGTTTATAGAATTACCCTAAGGATAGTGATTTTTCCGATCATGTGCCACCTCCCACACGGTGATAAAAAAAATTCGCTCTTAATTGGTCCTGAAGGTGACTGTAATGGTCACAGATCTTTAAATCCCTAACACAATACATAACATTTTGTTGTTTAGTGGTATTGAGAATTTGCGAGCTTATATTGAAATGCAGAAGGCGCCAACGAGAGGTCATCGAGCTCGGTCTAATAAAATGTCTCAAATACTTTAATCACTTGCAAAATCCAAACAGAGGGAAATAAAACCCAAATATAGTTGCTTTTAAGAATAATCAGGCCATTACAACAAAGATGACTATCTAATGTAGGCTTCGAATTCAAGTGCTAATATAAGACTTACAGTCATTTTCAAATTGAGCGTATTTATTGGATTCAAATAGGGGTGAAAGTTTGCAACTTGACGTCTTTAGAATCTTTTGTTTAAGATTTCCTTGGCAGACTAACTTCCAGCTTGGTCGTCTCCCTTTTGCTTTGGTTAACAAATTGTGTCTTCATCAAATTACATCAAAGATGTATCCCAACGAATTAGAAGCATGTATGAGTTTTGTAAAATGATGGCAGATTTTTCACCGCAGGCAACAGCTTTCACGTCTCTTGGAATTCTCAAACGCGGTAAAAGGGCAATGTTAAACAAAAACAAATGAGTTTTGATATACAAGTATCACTATAGCAACTACTTAAAGTTAATGACCTGTATTTGAGTCTTAAATGAGTCCAAAACACTTGAGCAGTCTAACACTGAGTATGACATTCGGTAACAATTTTTTGAAAATACTTTTATGAATTTCTCCATTTTTCTCACTACATTACAATCAAATTACCATTCATTAAATTTCTCTTAACTATCATAGACCTCCGTTTTATTCAGGTCTAACTTAGGGAATACAATGTTCAAGTTGTCTTTTAAATGGGAATTCTAGATGAGTCCATAACACTCCAGTTTTCCAAGCGTGTGATATCCTTTTTCAGTGCCACCAATGACACCAGTATCTCCAAACCTCATTTGAATCACGGGAAGCTTGGACTTGTCCGTTAGTAAACCGCTGTCTTCTCGCCAATTTTCATCATTCTTATCACAGTTGCAGCCGTAATTGGTGTCCGCGCACGTGTTATTCAAACCGCATGCACATTTGAATGGAACAGAGTTGACTCCACCCCAGTACTTCATCTTCTCGTCATTACGTGATACCCACCAGCCGAACATGTTACCATTGAGAAGGAGCCTTGAATGATAGCACTCATATCCAATAAACTGCTCACAGTGAGCAGATGAAGCTGCTAAGCTTGCTAGCTGAATTAGACTGGTTTCATTATAAGTAACATTGCGCGAATAACTACCATAGCCATCATACCCATCCACCAGAGTTCTACTTTCACTGTCGTGACTGATAACTGTCACTCCTATCCCGTCCTTGTCAGTCATGTCACAGAAGACTTTAAATGGTGTCACTCCACCCTCTCCATCAGGGTCGATGACATAAGAGCCACTTTTAGCTTCAGGATTGCAGTTCTTGATGTCACTGCAAGTTCGTTTTCCTAAAAAACAAATAACAAAGCAACAAAGAACACAAGAAATTTAGAAGTATAAAGTATAAATAATCGACCTTTGCGCCTAGCAAGTTCTCCTTGACAATTTTTTTGCGCTTTGAAATTACGATTTGTCGGCCAAAAAGTGTTCTCATTAAGCGCGCGGCCAAAACGATCACGTTACATAGCCGTTACGTAGAAAACTGTGAAGACACGTCGGCAATTATTGTAAAGAAAGGAGAAATCTAGAAGAAAGGACGAACGCATTGCGTGGCCGGAGCGCTAAAAGATGTTTGCTACAAGAATAATACACATATACCGGGTATTTCTATACACTAATTTCCAAAGGATGTAGCTGTATGGCCAAAATGGACGCTCCTCGATCGTCGACATCGAGGAGATTTTACTCTTCAATGTCGTCGGCCTTATGCATCGTACCGGCTTCGAAAATGGCTGTTACGAACACATACCACTTGTTAAATCAGGGGAAGATAACCAATGAATTTAGCTAAAAAGAATGCCTGTTCCCACACCGCACACGATTGTTCAACATTCTTTTCGGCTGCAAGCAAAGAATGGTAAGCTCCTTATTGTTTTTTCATTTCACGTGCTTGAGATGTACTCATACTCCTTTTCTTTCCACATGACTACATTTACGCTTTTCTAATCGTAGGAAAATCCTACTAATTGTATTTTCATCGTATTTTAATTACAGAAATACATTATTTGTAAGCAAGTTCAAGCCCTTTCCTGAGCTGACCGATATCCTGTTGCCTGAGCAGTGAGAAACCTCTGGCGTGGATACTGGTATAAACACAAGCTCGAAAGGGCTGTGTATTCTCTTAACCTTGGTTTCCAACGAGATAAATAAATAAACACAAATATTAATGAATTGGATGGTAGCGAATCCAAGTGCTGTACGAAAGTCGATGCATACGAAATATATATTTACAACACTGATGTCAGTTATTTGCCATTGAGCGAAATGGGTCATATGGCAATGCTGCGCTTAAACTAGATGAGTTTTTCTCTATTAAAACCCTTATTTGAGATTGACTCGAATCTATATAAACTCACTATTTCCCTTTTGATCGGCTCGACGACGATAACCTCTTCCTTTGCAATCTCTGAGGAAAGAAGCAACTTGCAGTGAAACTGCTCGATGACTTCTCGGCGAAAAGTCATCGTTCCTCATGGTAAAGCTGATTCTTTCGTCAAAAGTTAGCTTTTGGTTTGCTAAGGGAATTACTCTACAGCAACGAAACACTGGAGCACTGAGCAAGGAGAACCTTCGCTGCACTTAGAGCGAAGGAATAAAATTTTAAGACGACCGAAACGGACACAGCTACCCATTTTTAAAATGGATTTCGCCGTTGAAAACAAAGCGCCAAACGCAACAACTAAACATTCAGTATCGGGAGTTTTTTCGTTCTCGTCTTGACCTAAACACCGCAGGCGAGAAACCATTTTGTCAGTCTTCGTCTAAATCTTCATTTGATGCACATGGTTCTCCTTCGTAGGGCCGAACCGTTCTCGCAACTTCCAATTTTTTCTTTACTAATTGGGTACGATGTATCAACTCTCGGTAGAGCTTGGTGAAGGTAGGTATACATCGCTATCGGACAGTTTTTCAACGCTGACTGATACAAAATTACAAGAAAAGTGAGAGATTTGCAAGTGTCCACTGAGAGCTTTCACAGTTTTCTACGTCATAACTCGCTAATTTGTTACCAGTCCACGGGACACTTTTAAAACAAAATAAGAGCACTTTAAGGCCCAAAAAACCGAGTTTGAAGTTATTTGAAATTTTTTTTTTTATCGGAATTGGTTTGAACATATGATAAGCTAAATACTTCTGCAAAAAAAAAAAAATTATCGTCATAGGCACTTTAAAGGAAAAACCAATTAAGGTATGTTTATAGGGAAGGCAAGACAAAAGACTGATTCGAATGCATTTAATTTTATAGCACAAGGTTGAACATAGGTAAACCATCAATTTATAACAGATGATTGAAAATAACAGTATGAGTTTTTTTTTCAATTTTTCTTCATGCAACAGAAAGTAGGACAGATTAAATACCTCCCCTTTCGCAGTGAGTTCCGTAGAATCCTGCTCTACAGTCACAGTGATATGAGTTCCTTTCATATTCAGGAACACAGACACCTCCGTTCTTACAAAGAGCGCTCTCACATTGAGACTAGAAACAAAGGAAACATTCCTTGAATCATTCAGTTTGTATTTAAAGAAATACGAAGAGTGTTAAGCACCAGATATATGAAGAGATCTTACCAATGGACTGCAGTGATGGAAGGTAGCATTTGCATGAACCTTTTTAGCCTCTCTGTACTTGTCTGTGGCCAATAACTCGCACAGATAAAGACCTTTGGAGTCAGGATACACTGCTATGTTGAACGAATAGCACTTTGGTTCACCGACACAAAGGAAAGTGCAGTCCAACTTATCTTCCACCATGGACGATGTAAGTTTCTCTTCCAATAAGAAATAGAAAGGGTCGCACTTGAATTTACCAAACGAAGCATGGCCTGTTGGATATCGATAGAGAGCGCTGTTTTGTGTGGCAAACAACAATCCTAACAAAGAAGGAAAAAACAACAAGAGTGGCAGAAGCAGCATGACAGTGGCCGATGAACTCTCACCACCGGAATGAGCTGATGTATGACAACGAAGACTTGCATGCAAATGAAAAACAGGTCCTTTATAATTGCCTGTCAGTAATTAAGAATTAGTAGCCACATATAAGAAACAGGTGCCATGAGTGGGATAAACTTCTACTATAGGAGAAGTAGAGGTGGAACA